TCAGTATAACCATCAGAACAATAAATCAAACTTCCAAATGCATCAACTTGTGTTGAGGATGAATATAAGTAGATTAATTTACAAGTATTGATAATTGACATGAGATTTTCAGGTTTACAATCACCTATTCCTATTGAACCCAGTGGAGGAAATTCTAATAAATGATATTCAAAATATTGTTCATCATCGAGGTCTTTAGGATTATGTGATTGGATAGTAGATTTGAAAAGAAGGTTAGAAAGGGTTGATAAATCAGGGAATGTAGCATCATTATGACAGTATATGAAAAGTCTCCAATTAGCTCGGGGTAATGGTAGATAATCTAATAAGTTAGCATTTACATTATCAGTTTGACTTACAATTGAATTCTTAGGCTGACAATAAAAATCTATGAATTGAGAGGGCTCTTCAAAGTTAGTCAATTTATCATTTTCTAATATGAATGTTAACAGTATTTGATAATCCCAGTAATTCCCACACCAGATATTTCTATCTAATTTAGTGGCCGATGACATCCTTGTAGTTTCAATCTTTTCTTTAATTTGATAATCATTTTCCCAAAGGAGTGGTGATGATTGGGCAACTGATTCTTTATCTTGATTATTGTCATTATCAACTATTCCCAGCTGACTTTCTTTATATCGTTTATATTTTTCCCATAAGAATTTAGATTCAATTTTAGAGAAGTTCGATATGGATGGCTTGTCATTGCCTGAATTACCCAGACTGTCCCGTAATGACTTTAATGAATCTTGTGAGTCAGTAAAAATAAACACATTATAAGGAGATTCAGTATTAGCTTCTGGATCATTCAAATGTGATTCATATTGCTGAGCTATCCACAATAATCTAGCAATACTATATTGAAATTTCAAATTCGGTGAGCCAATTAAGGATGAATTATATACAATAAAATCTGAACAAGTGGATAACTTTGATACTTGAATGTGGAAATTCCGAAGGGAAATACCTCTATCTGGGTCAAGATTTAAAAATATTGGTAATGAATTTAAAGTTATACAATCTTGTAGTAATTCTGAAAGGTCTATATTGTTAATCAATCCTATAGAAGTCAAGATCTCCACAAGAATATTTTTAACTTCTAGTTTAGAAACTTCAATTTTCAGAAGGATTTCATTCAATTTAATGGTATTCTTAAATACAACCATGTCTCTATCAGAATTTTCAGATCGCAGATTACTATTCTCCATTACACCGTCCATGCTTAACATATCATTTGGATCAAGAGTTGAACTATCGACACACATAAGGAATCTTATTCCTTTAGGTTTGTTAAGTTTGTACTCGTTGAAGTACTGTATGATATCATTAGATTCATTTTCACTGTTTGATGTAGAACTAGGAGTCATTGAGAGAAGCTTCCGTTGCAATTGTTGTTGTTGATGTAAGAAAAATTGTTTTTGAGCAAAATTATCCTTATTCAAACCATGCAACCATGGGAACATTTCATTAGTCTTGGGTAATTGCGAATTGAAATACCAGGAGAATACAGATTTCAATTGTGATAATGTAATCAGTTTGATTGTAAATACAGACGATATCGATATTGGGTGTATCAATAATTTGGTCTTGTAAAATTGTGAATTGTGATCTAATGGCGATATTGAATTATTAGTGTCTGCATATGAGTCTATAGGGATGAGTTTCTTAGTTTGATGAGTGAATGATGATCCATGAATATTCAACTTTGTAGTTTTTGAACCAATACTATCACAAACATCGCATTCTTTATCAGCATTAATTGACGTAGAATCTATATCTCCATTCCCATTTTCATGAAGAGTAGGATGAGTATTTATTATAGCAGTAGCGAAGGGTTCTGTATAATCTTCTGAAATGTCTAATGCATTATTATTGAAAGATTGAAGTCTTGCTCTAAATCTATCTCTTTCGTATAATAAATCATTCGAGGTTGAAGAAGATCTTTTTGAAGATTTCAAAGTAGGGGCTATAAAAGTTCCTGTCGAAGAGCTGGAACCAGTTGTAGTAGATGAAGTAGATGAAATATCTGAAGCAACTGACGGTGATTTGATTATAGTAGCTGTGGTTGTACCAACCGAAAGATTAGAACTATTGATATTGTTTATATTATCATTATTAGTATTACTTAATGCTTCATTAGAATTTTCCATTAATTTGGGCATTTTATTATGGCTAGTTGATAGCGAATGTTTAATATTAGAAGTTGAATTATTGGAATTTGAGGTCGATGAATTAACATAAGTAGAAGATGAATGAATTAATAAATCATTGGGTGGTATTATAGGTGGTGCAATATCAGTTTGATTTGTAGTTGAAATTAAAGGTGCAATTGATGGAATTAAATGTAATGGGGTAACAGGATGACTACTAGATGAAGCTAATTCCGTTAAGGGAACTAAAGATCTTGGAGTTGTTGGAGTTGATGGGAATAGATATGAAGGATCTGTAGTAACAGAATTATCGCTACTATTATTATTATTGGAGTTAAGTAAAATAGATGTACTAATATGACTATGATTATGGTGAAAATTATGAGGAACTAAGTTATTATTATCAGTTGATGATGAAGTAATAGTAGTTCCACTAGATATGGATGAATCTAGTGAGGCTGATATAGACGAATGAGGCTTTAAATCAAAAGTTGTTGTTAATGGATTAGATGAAGTATCTTGAGTAAGCACAGCTGAGCTCGTTGAATTAACGTTATCAGTACTATTTGAACTACTACTACTATTACTATTCCTAGTACTAAAAGCAACAGTTGACATCTAAATAGTAAGAACAAAGAAAAACTTTCTCTAATTTTGTGTTAGATAATTTGAATGACTAGTTCGCTGTAATTAAAAAGTGACAAATCGAGGACGAAAATGCGGGTGAAGATTGGGAGACAACTGTAAGCCAACAGAACTAAATCTAGTAATAATAATAGTATTTAATAGTAATAATAGACCTAAGTTAATAGCAATTGATAACTATATTGATGACAGTAAGTTGGATATGGTAGTACTTACTATCTTCACTATGAATTTATTTAGAATAATCAAATTAAGTGACTTTCTACTTATAATTTGTCGCATTTGTAGAGTCTTTCTTATCAGTTTAATGAAATATTTTTACTACACTTTTGTGGCGATTGATCCATTGCACACGACTCTTATCTTACATCTTACAGCCTCTTCCTTAGAAGACTAAATTAGGAATTTGATTATGCATGCTATAGATATCATGCCACTGCTTCGTATGTTTCGTAGTTAGTAGGAGCGTATCTGATGTGGCTTAATGTACGTAAAACAACATGCGTATTATTCTTTGCTGTGAATGACTGTATTATGCTTATGTCGCAACTTTCCTTACCGGGATTTGATTCACTAATGCGACATATTGAAAAATCCCTATGTAAGTGAAAAAAGTGTCAAATGGTTATAGGCTTTATCAATAGACTTAATATACACTTGTAAGGTATTATACGGTAAATAGTTAATTATGTCAATTCAAGACACTCTATTCAATATTATTAACTACTTTCATAAACATAAACGATTCAATAGGTTGACATTTGGGCTTACACCTATCATAGATTATTCAGACCCCCCTTTCCTTATCAAATGGAGAGTATCAGATATCATTGTGGTGGCTATATTATTCGGTCTGTATATTGCACTTGGATCCGTAAAACCATTCCAACGTCAATTTTATGTTGGTGATTTAACTATTAGTCATCCATTTGCTGAACGTGAACGCGTTAATGGAGCTGAATTGTTTCTTTATGCTGTATGGTTCCCATTCTCATCAATCCTTGTCATAAGTTTAATCTTTACAAAACCTAAATATAAATTATATAATACGTTTATTGCTTTACTTGGTCTTTTCCTTTCATGTTTTACTACTTCTGTCTTGACTGATATACTTAAGAATTTTATTGGTAGACATCGTCCAGATTTTTTAGCAAGATGTATTCCTAAGGAAGGTACACCACTTGATGTACTTGTATATGCCAAGGATGTATGTACAACAGATAATATGTCTCGTTTATTAGATGGGTTTAGGACTACACCTTCTGGTCATTCTTCTTTAAGTTTTGCCGGACTTTTCTACACTACATTATATCTTTTAGGTCAATTGGTTGCTTTTAACGAATATGTTGGGACTTGGAGAACAATTGTATCTTTCATTCCTGCCTTAGGTGCTGCTCTTATTGCTTTAAGTCGTACTGAGGATTATAGACATCATTTTGTTGATGTAATAATTGGGAGTTTAGTTGGATTGGTCATTGCTTCTTGGTCATATTTCCGATTATTCCCTTCATTGTATCATCATAAATCATATTATCCGATATTAATCAACAAACAAGAACAAGACACACTTGATGATTATGATGATGATACAAGTACAACTTCGAATATTCCTATAACTGCTGCTGGTGCTACGGAATTACCTTATACAAGAATTGGTAATGCTGTCTGATTTTAATTACGAATTTTTATTATCTATATATAAATATATTTATGTATGTTAGACTTATATTATAATGCATTTGATATTTGAACAAAAAGATTCAACAATTGAACATGCTCATCAGTCCCATTATTTAATCTTTTATCGATATTAAATAAAATTCCAGCGATTTTATTCTTGGTGATAGAATTTATAGTATCATCAAGAATGAATTTATCATGTAGCTGGTCAATCACTTGTTGTGCACTTCTTCCTTGAAGAATAACTTCATTGACTTGGGATGAGATTGATTTAATATTTTTACTTTTAATAGTATTAGCAAGTTGATTAACTATATCATCTGGAATTACACCAGCTATTTCTTGAATTCCATTAACAGTAATTTTACTTGTGGTTTCACTTTCAAAATTACCATCTTCATCGGCCATTTCTACATCTTCTAATGAATTACTTAATTTTGTAGCAGATTGTAAAAATGTAATTGCTTTTCTTAGATCTCCATTAGAGATCTTTAATACTTCTTCTAATACACCTTCACTTAAATTAATTTTTTCTTCTTCAGCAATATATTTCAATCTATTTAATGCATTATCATTATTCAATGGTTTAAATCTAAATTTAGAACATCTAGAGGCCAAAGGATCAATTATTCTCGTGATATAATTACAAATTAAACAAAATCTAGTTACACTTGAATAATTTTCAATTGTTCTTCTTAATGCTGCTTGAGCATCATTAGTCATAGAATCTGCTTCATCTAATATAATAATCTTATAAGGTGGACAAGGATAATTTTCTAAATCTTCAGTTGTTGGATTAGATACAGTTAATCTTGCAAAATTCTTAATCTTTTCTCTTACTATAGAAATTCCTCTTTCATCACTAGCATTTAATTCCAATACTCTTGTCTTATATAATCTTGGTCCATATAATGTTTTTGCCAATGCTAATATTGTTGATGTTTTACCTGTTCCTGGAGGTCCATAAAATAACATATGAGGTAAATTAGCAGATTCAATGGTTCTTTGAAGAACTGTTACTGCATGATCTTGTGATGCAACATCTTCTAACTTTTTAGGACGATATTTTTCAACCCATGGAGTATGGTGAAGTCTTTCTTCTTCATATTGGTCTAACTTACCAGTAGCTTTATTCATCAATACTGATGTCATTTTGGCTATAGTTATTATATTTATATGTCTTTATTAAATTAAACTAAAGTAAATTGGATTTGTTAGTTGAATTTTTAAATTTTTGGTAATGTACGCACATACGCGTTTTTGGAGTTATGCTCGAAATTGATTATGATAATGATAATTGTTAACATTATTATATGTATATATATATATATATATATATATATATATATATAGAAATAAAAATAGAAATAGAAATAGAAATACGAAAAGCTAATCTATAAAACTAACTAACTAGCATAGAAATGAAGAATGAGAATAATACATCAATTATGATTTTTTTTTATAGGGATCATCATTATTGTACACCAATAACTGATAATTCTAAAGTCCATACTCTTCTTATATGAACTTTAACTACTAAATCTTTATCATTTAATTTAAATGATTCATCAATTGGTACATCTATAGTTTGATTTGACCACCAACATTTTCTAGCAGGTTTCCTCCAAAATAATAATAATTTACTTTGATTAGCATCAACTGGTTTTTTTCTTGACATTGATCTTGAAGCAGCTCTTGATGCACTACTTGCTAAAGTTGCTATACGAGATCTTGAACGTCCATTTGATGATGCATTAGATGTAACTGGTGCTAAAGCTGGAGATGCTGGAGGGGTTGGATTAGTAGATTTTAATCGAACTAACAGTAATGACAGAATTACACATTTAGATGGTTCTAAAGATCTACTTCCCCAAATACCTTTTGCACTAAATCCACTTGAACATAACATATCAAATAAATGTTGTTCAGCTGAACCTAATTTTTGTTCAATTGAATGTGATGCATCAACATCATAACCTAAACCACTAAATATAGATTTATTTTCTAATAATGCCTTTGATACTCCTAATTTAAGATGCCTTATTTGTTCTGAATCTAATCCAGCAATTGGTGGTATAACATAATAATCTAAATCTTCTCTTAAAACTATTATAGCAGGTTTATGTTGTAAAACATTTTCTTGACTATGACGACTTGGTAAACTTGTTTGAGGAGAAAGAGTAGCCATTTCTGGTATTTGCTTTTGAGCTTCACTAAATATATCAATAATATATTGGAAACATGAAGGATCAAAATTAACAAATACAATATCATCTTCAGTTAAATTATTAATTACTTGACCTTCCATATCTAAAAATACACCATTTGGAAATAAACATAATAATATACTTTCAGGTAAACTCATTAATTCATCTCTTGTAATAATAAATTCAGAACCTCTAATATTTAAATGAATTTTTGAATTATAATCAACATTACTATTAGCATCATAATTTGAACCAGAAACTCCCGTTGGTGAATAAGCTTCTGGTTGAACTTGAGTGATTATATTATCAGCCATGATTATATTTTAGTATTAGTATATTATATAATTAAATAGATGGCCAGCACCGTCAATTAAAGAAATATAGAATGTAATTGATAAATATTATGTACGGCTTCGCGGCTCGTTATAAACTTTCGTATTACTAGCAATGGTTATGGGATTTTTTAATCTACCCCTTTCACTCGACCTGCTTCTGTCACACTATCACTATATGACTCTTATCTCTATATAACCTTTAGTTACAACAACTATCTGGTTATCATATATGATAGATAAAGTTAAGTCTTCACTAATCTTTTAGCCCTGGCTATTTTTTTCGTTCTTCCCTTCCCCTTTAAGATTTGGGCGAGGGAGAGATTGCTGCGACATTACTGGCGGCTCAATGTCGCGAAAAAATGTCTACAATACTTATTAATTATGTATTATAATATATATATATAAGACTTTTAGCAAGCAATAATTGCTATATAAGATTAAGATGAGTTGTAATGGGACATGTGGTGAAGGTCATAATCATAGCAATCATAATATTGAAGTAAATGAAATAAAAATTGATCATTCTCACAATATTAATATGGAAGATGTATGGGGAGATGATGATGGAGATGAGTATGATATACCGTTTAAAGCCGATGCCGATATAAAACGAATACATGAAAAGCAAGGATATTTAGATGGATTATCAAGAGCAAAAGAAGAAAGTTTACAGCAAGGATTTGATGAAGGATTTCCACAAGGAGCTGAATTTGGAATAATTGTAGGAAAAATAATGGGTAAATTGAAATTATTTAAAGATGATGATTTATTTAATCAAGCCAGAAAAGAACTCAATATTACTAAGGTGTTAGATAAGAAATACTTTAATGATGACTTAACACTTACTACAGATCATCAAGTATTACAAAAATGGATGAATTTAGTGGAAGCATTGGATAAATAATTATTAACAAAACTAACTTTACTGATAACTATAAAATTAACTAACTATCTGGATAAGGGCATATCATTACTTATTTCATTATTCAAATTCTCCAGTATTCCCATAAGTTTTTCCAGGAATCTGAATCTTCCCTTAGACCATTCTACCCATATTTCACTAATAAGATATTGAGTTTCTTGAAACATAAGAAATTCTTCTAAGCAACAATTTTTAATTAACCAATCTCTATTTAATTGTTGAAAGATTTCTTGTTTATCATTTATAATAATTTGACGTAATTTAGCCAAATCAGTTCCCTTGGCATCAGCATCTTCTGTACTCAATTTATTATATCTTGCTTCATTATCTTTTATTCTTCTCTCTAATAATTCAATATTATTAATTGATAATTTTTTGGTTCTTTCGAAAAGTTCTTGTAAGGAATATAAATAATCAAGATAGTTTTTAAATTTTTCTAGAATAACTGTATTAATTGAATAACTTTCATCAACCAAAGTTTGACATGATTTATTAAAGTATTCTCCCACAAATCCAAGAGAATCATTTAGAACATTAATATCATCTTTATTACTATTATCAGCCAATAAAATTTCATTTTCATTAGGATATATACTAGTATTAAGATTTTTGAAATGATTTAACATCTCAACAAATTTTCCATTATCATAACTAATTTGTTGTTGTCTCTTTTCATATCTTTCAACTAATAATACTAATTTTGTCCAAATTTCAATTAATTTAGTTACTGATTTTTCTGCTCCATCCCAATTCTTCAAGAATTCAACTCCAATTTTTGGCCAAATTGAATTTATGAATGTTGTCAGAATCTTTTCTCCTTTAAATTCAATTGAATAATCAATCTTAGCTTGTTTCCTCCAAGCAGAGATATCAGTTGGTACAGTTAAAAAGCTTATAACCACTGGTTCATTTATCAATATTGGATGTTTAACAAGTTGGTTAAGGAATCTATGTAAACCACGACGTCTTCTTTGAAGAAATTGAGAATCGGGTGATGAACCTACTATATTGTATTAGTATTCATTCAACGAATAAACTTAAAAATAATAAAATAAATTAAATTAAAATAAAATAAAATACGTACCAGTAAATTTTTTGGGTGGTAATCCGGGGATTACTCTGAATGGATATTTTTGAAGTAAGAACTCTAATAGCCTAAATTATTATGTTAGTAAATGTGATTGTTTGTAATTCTTTCTTAAAGTCAGTACATACCATACAAAGTCAGAATATCTTCTGATTACCTTTTTGGTACCGGCTGGTCCATTAAGATGAAGTTTTAATTCATGAGTAATAATGTAATTTATATGCTTAAAGAGTAATCCTTCCTTTTCTGGAACTTCTTTAATTTTCACTAGATCATTTGCTGCAATTAAAGGTTTAAATTTATCTCTAATTTCAGTGATATACTTGTTCATATAAGAATTGTCAACAAAAGTATCATCTTGAGATGATTTTTGAGAATCATTAGAACGTAAAAATGTTGATGAATGATCCTTTAAAAGAGGATCTGAGAACTCCAGTTCTTCAGAATTTTTACCAATAACACCTTTAACATTTAATGGATCAGTAAAAGTTTCTTCATCAATATTAAGTATTGAATCTACTAATGCAACTGGAAGTTCAGGTAAATTATTTAATCTGAATTGTAAAGTTACAAAATCTCCTGTTCCTGGTGCTTCAACTTCTAAAGCAATTAATCCTAAAGCTTCATAGAAATTATTTGCAATAGAAAGTGGTAATAAATTATTATCATAGACAATATCTAAGATTCTTAGTTTTTGTAAATTGGTAATGTATTCGCCTGCGATCACTTTACTGAATACGAGTTGCTCTAAATCATTTACTGATAACAACTTTTCCGATAATGCAGCATGAAGTTTTAAGTATGTTTCGGGAATATTGGTAATGTGATGAGAATAATCTGCTTCCTCATCAATATCATCACTAACATTAGTATTAGTATTTAATAATTGTGATGAAGTCATATATGTACTCGCTCCTAATCCTCCACTAGTACCTCCATAGATAGGTAAGGACGATGATGTTGTGGCTTCTTGGGAATCCTCTTGTGCCCATCCATTCTCCCACGGATCATCTGATGATCTGAATATGCTATTACTCATTTCTGTGCCTCAGATTCAATCAATTGATGTGATTGAAGCTTTGTTGAATGTTTACTTATCTATCACTCGTCACTGATTCGGTTATTACAAAATTGATCGCATATTGTTTTTTTTCCGTTCGGCTCGTGAACCACAGCCAAATGCCAAATGCCAAATGTCAAATTGCTCTTTGTATTATATATGTATATATATTGTAATGTATTTATAGATTTAATAAAAATTAATAAAATGATAATAATATTGATGTACTATACTATTAATTGACGCCGGGTCTATTGTAGTTCAATTGTCTAACTCGTCTCCAAACTTCTCGAACTACTCTCTCTTGACTTTTTTGGGCAGGTTCATGCTCGTTATCTGTACAACCTCTAATTGCTAAATATAATCTTGAACCTAGATGAGCAGGAGGGATTACTTCAGTATTTGGAGGAGGATTGGCTGTGGTAATTAATCCACCTGCTTCTTCTACAATAATAAAACCAGCACAAACATCCCATTCCCAACATCCAGCTTCCCACCAAATGTCAAAGGCACCTGTAGCCACAAAACATAAATCTAAAGATGCACTACCTAAGCTTCTAACACCATGAACCATTCCTCCTTTACCATCTCTACCTCCTATTTCAGCAGCCATATTAACAAATGATTCGACTTTCTTATGTAAATTCAGATCAGGATAATCCTTTCTGTCTTTCCCCCATTCGCACAGAAAGATGCAACCTTTGGGAGCTTCTTGTGATAAAGGTGTTTCTTGCAATGGAAGTTTGGTTGTCTCATTTAACCATGAACCTCCACCTTTGTAGGCTGAATATATCTGGTTTAAAAATGGAGCATATATAACACCTACAACAGTTTTGCCATTGATGGTAAATCCAATAGATACACAGATCATCGGGAATAAATGTACATAGTTAACTGTTCCATCTAATGGATCAACTACCCATGTTGGAGAATCATCGACAAGATAATCTCTTGTTTGACCAGAACTATACGTCTCTTCCCCGATGAACTTATGGTTAGGATACTTAGACAATATACTTGTCTTTATAAATTGTTCTACACGTTCATCAGTTTCGGTTACTATATCAACAGTATTCTTTTTAAGTTTTATATTATGATTTCTATTCGAAGATTCCTTTACTAATATTTCACCAGCTTGTTTGGCTAAACTAATAGCAAAATCGTATATCTCTTTGAGATCTACGTCAAGTTTCTCTGAATGAACCATTGAAAGATATTATACTGTAGACTAAATAGTGTTGGTGATAAGAATTCGGACACTGAGAGCATGTTAGAGTTTTAGAAATAGAGAAGTTTAGGCAGGAAAATACTAGCGAAGAGTTATGTCATCTTCCTCCACCATAGAACATAGGTGGGGTGTTATTGACACTTCCCCACCGCGAGCTTTAAAGGAAATAGTTCTGGCTAAATAGTCCTCCTGGCTAAGTATTGTGGGGAAAATTTATTAGCGCTGCATCATACCTAAACAGGAAAGCTCATTGAGGGCTCAAAATGCAGACGTAATTGCGAAAATACATTATCTACAAATAACCTATTAATCATTTTCATTCTTATTGACAATTTCTGAGTATCAGATATCTTCTATATATAACTATATTGATATATATATATATATAAGCGATATTAAAATACAGCATTTTGTAGTTGTAAAGTAATCTTTAGGGAATTTTCATTTGGTTCATAACCAAATGTATCACTTAAAGGAAGCTTGAAATAATTTACAACATTCATTTCATCCTTCTTTAACCTCTTCATTTTCAATCCTGTAGTGCAAAATAATGCTAGACGGTTATATTCAACTCTATTTTTAACTTTTAAAACTACTCTATTAAATAATTTTTCGTTTTGTGTTGAATTTTGCTTAATTATTACATGATTTGTTGCAAAAAATTTATCAAATTTCAACTCTTTTAACCGACTTGTTAAATTCAAATAATTGGTTGTGATTAACGTCAAATTCTTGAAATTACTCAAATGTAATATTTCAGACTCATCCACACTTGGACATGTTGCTGTTGTTTGCACACCTTCTATTTTCACATCAAGATTACCTGAAGAATTTTCCAACTGTAAATTAATTAAACTTCTTAGGCCGTCGTCAGAGATGTATTGAGAGTCACCATTGAATTCCCGGAATGATCTATTAAATACTTCTAAACTAATGTATCCTTGATAACCTGATTTTACCAAAATATCAAATTCCTCTGATAAATTGGAATAGTCCCCTTGTCCTGGGAAGTTTCTATAATTCCTGGCATAATGAGAAATATCAAACTTTAAGTCTAAATCTATTGCGTCACAGAATTGTACAAAAAAGATTTTATGATATGGAATTAACTTGGAATTATGAATGTTTATGTGAAATGAATCAAGACAGAGCCCAAAATTTGGTCTATTGACTTGTTCAACAATCGATACAAGTTGTGAGATGGTTTTAATATGAGTTGACCAACTCAAATTTTCGTAAGCAATTCTAATGTTATATTGAATTGCTAATTCAGCAGCTTTTTTCAATTGATCAACCATCAAATCAATATCACCAGATGCATCTTCTGAACAATTGGAACACACTAATAACAAATCAGTTCCTAAGGTTTTCATCAACTTTAGAGTGTCTTCAAATTCTTGCATCTTTTGTTTAAAAATGGTTTCATCCTCCCATCCTTCCAAATCACGAAATGGTTGCAATATTACAAGATCTAAAGAAAGCTTAGCTAAATAATCTTTCAATTCTAAAGGATCGATTTCATCTAAATCAGTCATCATAATTTCAACACCATCAAATCCAGAACGACTGATAGCAAGTAATTTATCTTTAATAGTACCTGGTAAACATACAGTAGCGATGGAATTTTTATATGTAAATCTATCAATATTTTCCCCACTAACAATTTTAGGAATAACAGTATTAAAGTTTTTTTGGCCACTTTCATCTATAAGTTCCGTATCATCCTCAATTGAGCGACTCTCTACAATAATTGGAACATTCTTGTTAATTGGGCTGGACGGAGTACTTGCTCTTGGTGTTGGAAGAGTTTCTTCTTGTGTAGCCATTTTGAATGCAAAAAAAAAAACTTATCTATAAATTACATCTATAGAATGATTTGAAAATTTCAGGAATCTTCAAACTAAATATACCATTTATTAAATGATAGTTGCGTTACAGATTAATTAATTAAATTTCTAATATTTTAAATCTTACAATATTAAAGGGATAGCAGCTTTTAGCCGACCTTATTGCTTCGCGGGAATCATGACATCCGATAATATTGAGGCATGGAGTTTCGCATCGGCTAAACTTTTTAGCTGTATTTATTTTGCGGTAAATGATCAAAAGCGCAAAACTTAATCTTCGGTATTATGGATATTATATAAATTTTTTATTATACATTATACATTATACATTATATATTATATATTATATATGTGGGGAACTTAATAGTTAATTACTTATATTTATCTAATAATTTTTTAGCTTCATCACGTAAATCTTCTTGATCACATTCACTTAATTCTTTTAAGATATTAAGACAAGCTTGCTTTACTGGTGGTCGATACATGATAAGAAATTGTAAAGATAAAAATCCAATTTTAGATTTGACTGGATCAAAACATAATCTCTTAATACTTCCAACTAATTCTTCATTTAGATAAGGTAAATCACTTAATAATCTTATGAAAATTTTACGATCATTAGGTTCTAAAAATGGAATCATAGAATCTAATACTTTACCAGCCCATTTATTATAAATTGGAGTTTGAATAGCTGGTAATTTCTCAATTGGTTTACCTTTATTTAATTTTTGAGCTTTTTTAATTTCTAAATCTTCATTAAAAACTTTTTCACTATACCATTCTTCAGTAAGCCATTTAATAATAACATCAATTCTAGTATGAATACTTTCTAAAAAGTAATCGAAAATTGAGTTTCTTATCATATCACTTAATGCTTCATTCTCTAATTCATCTGGTGATTTAACTTCATTTTCTTTTCCCGTAACAAAAACCCTCATACCTCTGGTAGCTAATCTAGTTAATATAAGTACCCAACTATCCTTTTTCCAAGATTTTATAGCAATTCTTGTTAATTCTTTATTTACTTTGGTATTTTCATCATCTTCTTCCTTTACTTTTAAATCTTCATCATCATCAATATTGACAGAATTTGGATTTTTAGCTAACTTGAAGAAATTTTGAATGATTATATTGATTTGATCCTTTTTGTCTTGAAATGATAAATCCTTAGGTGGTGGTAAAGTATAGATTGTTTCAGGATCATAACTATCATTATCATCATCATTATCGTCATCATCAATGGCTCCACCACCATTAGTAGTATTTAAATTATAATCAACTTCTGGAGTTGCTTCATATGGGGGATTAGTACCATAATTGTTATTAAACTGAGTCGGTACTGGTGCATTAACACTGGGGCCATTAGATCCAAATGTTGGTATAGGAGTTGATTTGGATGATGATGTAGAATTTAAAGCATTTAAATATCTTTCTGAAATGATATCCAATGCTTTTGATAATTTATTAACTGATGATCTTTGTAAAGCATTAACAACCATATTATTTAAAATATATTGTGGTAAAGTAGAAATATTAAAACCATTTAGTGGATTATCACTTTCATTTAAAGAATATAATGATGAATAATCCATTACTTTGATTTTCTTAGAAGGATTATAAAATCCTTCAAATTTTCTCTTTTTAATATTTGGCTCATCAATTGCAAATATATTCTTCTTTCTAATTTCATTACCCTTTTCAATTAAATTTGAAGATTTTTTTGTTAAAGATGCTTGATAATTTGATGGAACTAAATTATGTCTTAAACAATGATGAATAAAAATTTTAAAAATTCTATCTACATATTTCCTTGATAATTTAAATTGTTCAATTGATTGATAATTTGATTGTAATTTACTAGAAGTATCAAAAGTTTCAATGACATTTAAAATTTTTGAAGTATATTGAGGTTTTCTTCTCATTATTATAATAGAATGATTTAAAACTGCTGAAATTAAAGGAGCAATTAATATATCATAACTAAAAGTTTTTAAAACCAATTCTAATAATGCAGTTGATTCATATTCCATATTACTATATTTAATTAATGAATGAGTTGGACTTACTGAATTTAATGAGAAAGTTGTCAGAGGTGGTGGAGTATTATTATTTGAAGTTATCACAGTTGATTTTGATTGATAATCAATTACTGTCATTATAAATTTAATTAATTGAATTTTAGTTATAACATTTCTTGATAAATCATGTTCTGCATTATCAGAAGGATCTAAGGGAAAATTAGATTGGAATTTATTAATTAAACTATTTTTTAATTCAGTTAATTTACTCCATACTTGATTACATCCATCATTTTCTGCCACATAAGTAAATACCAATTTAAAAATAACAGTTGAAATATCGATAATTTGTAGAAATACATCTAAATCTTTAATATTGGATAAAGTAAATAAAGAATCTAATGAATCAATAGCTAAATCCACTTTATCTGATTGATTTAATACAGTATTATTTATGAATGAATCATAAATAAATTTAACACACCATAATTGAATTGAACTATTTGGATTATTGGTAAATAATAAAACTTGTCTAAAGATAGCAGGATAATCTTTGGGAGTAGTAAAAGCTACTTCACGTGCTTGATCTAATTGCTTTATAATATCTTCTGGTCGTATTTGTTGATTCATTTTTGTTTTTGTTTTTGTTTTTGTAAAATATTTGTTTCTAGAAGCTTAACAGATTTAAAGGTACAGTAAGAAAATATAAGAAAACGGTTAAATAACTACTAGGTAACCTTTGATATTGGTCGATCGCTATGATTGGTAATCTTGTCGATTGTACTATAGTGTCTACTTAGATACAAGGACCAAGAAAATATTACTTCTTTCCTTCTTTCGTTTACTTCTGCTTGTCAATCACAGTCACACAGAAAAAGAAAGAAACAAAGAATAAGGTAATAATCGATCGTGGAATATCCTTATTAGTTTATTCCAATTCGAATTGCGATTTATTAGAGATGTAGCGTCGATGCTTGAACTTTTACTGTAGTAGTTAGGATATATTTTAACGGGCTTTCCAGTTTTTTTCCCACCTTTGGTGAACATATGCTGATTATGTCATGTGAGAACAACCATTTACCCGGACATGGACAAAACATGGCCTGTATATAACAGTATCGCAAAACCCATTACCCATTACTATTTTTAGTTTAACGGGAATGTTTACCTTATGCACTAAATATATGAAACTTCATTGTAAGCGATGCGACAAATGCAAAAACTATATGGGGACTAATAGGTACGTAACCGTTGATCAGGTGGAAAGACATAGACATTAAATATTCCAAGTATTATTTGTATTATGTGTATTCTATTTGTAGTTGAGTATGTAGCCAGTACTTAAGAGTGTAGTTAGTAGTTAGTAGTTAGTAGTTAAAGAGCTGTAGCACCCTTTTGCTGAACTTGACCCTCTGTTTGTCTTACTGGGCCAGCCACGCGTTATTTACAAATCCTGAAGGAGACGACAAGCAAAAAAAAAAAAAAACTTAAAAATAAAAATAATAAAAAAAAATTAAAAATGACTCCAGATATCGATCTGCTACAGATTGGAAACTTAACTGAAGTTTCTAGATAATTAGTATTAGTAAGTCTAGACTGAACTGGGTGATTAAAAGTAGCATATATCTTTAGGTTATAGTGGATCATTTTCTGTACCCTTTTTTTTTCTTACATTATACAGTAAAAGTTTATTATATTATCAGTACAGGTTACACTAATTACACTACTAAGATAGTCAATATCATGAAATAGAGTTAGTTCCTTAGTTACTGCATCTGATCATCTTTCGTTAAATATATTATTGCCTTCTTCCAAATAGTTGGCCTACAAATCGCTAGCCATAGTCATAGTCATAGTCATCTTCATATCATTTAACCTTTATAATGGCTCCTAATCATTTCAGTGCAAGAACACAAATCAATAAGTATAAACTTGATGAATCTACATTCGATTTGGTCGATGTAGATGGATTTAGAAATACTCGTGGTTCAACCATATTTGCATACTTTGTCATGTGGATCCTTATATTCCTTTCATGGGCTCTTTTAGGTACTGATATATATACATGTTTAAATATTTTGGTATTTCATAGATGGTCTAATAATGATTATAAACCATATGCATATTCAGTAGCTAAATGGATATTTACTGGTTGTATTATATTTGAATTTTGTCTTTTATTATATCATTGGATTTGGGCCATTCATACTTATAAAACAAAAAATATTGCTTTGGTTTATGTTAATAATATTGCTAGATTATTATATAGTATACGATCTTTTAATTATTTTTGTTTATTTAATCAAATTGAACAAGATAATTTCTTTGATTGGTCATGTTTCTTTTGTTATGGTGAATTAGATAATGCTTTACAATTATTAGTTGCTGATACTCCAAGACAAGTTATTAATATCTTAACTTTAAGATATTATGCTACTGATGGTGAAACAAATAATAATATCTTAAATAATATTAAAACTATCGCAACTACAAATTTAACTTTGTCAATAATTTTATCATTAATGTGTGTATCAGTTATTATTTGGTCTATATTCTTTTTTAAATTCTTATTAGGAATGATCCTTTATTTACCAGTAGCATTTAAAGTTAAATCTAGATCTTCAAGTGGATCATTAAAGAAATATTGTTGTGAACTGGTTAATAAGAATGTTAGATTATTAGTTATAAAACATCATAAATCTAAACGTGAATTATTGGATAAGGGAATTCTTAGTAAAAAAGATATTATTGCTAATCCATTATTAAATAGTTCAACTACAGATTTAGAAAATTTAGCTATGCCACCTTCATTTAGAACTAATGATGAAACTTTCAAAAAGAATAGTATTAGTTCAGTATCTGCCAATTATAATGATAGTTTTAGGAAACCACCACAAATGAAATCTACTCCATATGAATTGAATACTATGAGAAAAGATAGTGCATTATCTATTGAATCTGCTAGTGAATTAACTTATGATTATACCAGAAAACCTCCACCTCCACCTGCAACATTACGTGGCAATAGATCCTTAACAACATTAAATTCTCTCAATAATTCACAATCTGATCTTAGTAATCAACCACCTCCACAACAACTCGATGTCACAAATATGTCTACTTCAGCAGCAGCTGGTGGACAATTTCCATATAGAAGAATTAGACCTCCATCTAATACATCTTTGGATCATTACAATAATAATAATAATAATAATGGATCAGTACCTTTAAGACGTCTTAAACCGGCATTTACTGAACCTATACTATCAACCAGACCCATTCAACCACCACCAAATCCACAAATTCCTTCATCTAATCTTATACCGCAATCATATGTTGCACCTTCTATTTCACATTCTTATTCTCATTCTCGTCAAGACTCATTTAATTTCCAACCTTCTACCAACACTCAATATAATGCACTTAATCACAGTAGTGATAGTGTTGAAACAGGATATATAATGGAACCTAGACGGAATGTGTCTAATAGTGATGAGTATGATATGATCAAAGATATTGATAGTTATGAATCAAGCGATCAATCTCCATCTAGTCTGGTTACTGGAGAACATATACCATATCCACTCAATGAAATTAATGAAACAGAGATTGAAACTGAACAAGTACCTTATCCACCTCGTGGTGTATCTGTGTATGATTACTACTCTTATGATCAAATAGTCAATCATAATAATAATGATAATGATAATGATAATAATAACAATCATCATCAAAGCCATTAAAGTACTTTGGTCATTTTATAGAATGTCTTAATAATATATAACGTATATTTTACTTACGATACTATGTACAAGAATACCAATGTAGTGTAGTTTAGTGTTTTTTTTATTTATTTATATATATAACAAATCATGAGACATTTTTTCAATTAATTATCAATTAACTCTCAATTCTTCTTATGATTGTTGCTTTTTCTTAGCTTCATATTCAGCTTGTAATTGTTTTAATTCAGCATCATCAATAGGTGGAATAGGAATATCACTAAATTCATCCTTACTTAAAAAGCTCCAAGTATACATATAAACACCAAGTGGTATAGCACTTACCAATACAAATCCAATCACATTTCTTTTAAAAAATGGAGCTCTAACTCTATATAATGCTGGTGTTATTTGATGAGTTAAAGGATCTCTGTAACGATCATGACCTTTTCTATAGTTAATTAATTAGTTAGTAAGGTAACCTTTTCTTTATTTCCAAATCAGTCTATACTTACGGTGCACCCACGATCTTACCCATTCTAATGGCACTAGCAAACATTGTTCTTAAACTGTTGTTGATACTTGTTAAGATATACTAACTAGAGACTAGTAGTAACTGTATGGTACTGTATGGCCAATGGGTTCGTTAAAAATGAGTTGAGTTTTTTAGGAGTGAGTGGTTTCCTGCATGTTAACCAAGAGTGAGACATTTTTTCTTATAGTGTGCGCACTTCATTACATAGTAAAGTTACTATAAAGTATTACTATTACTATTACTATATAGTAATACTATAAGTTAGTTGTTTCTATAAATTATATATATATAGGAGTCTAGTAATGGTTTAATCTCCAAAGAGTTACTTTGCCTGCTTCATTACCTACTGCCAACATCTCATTATTAGGTGAGAAGGCAACAGCAGTAACTTTCCCTAATGGAGTTCCACTAGTAGGCCAATTAGAATATACAGTACCAGAAGCTACATGAACTAATCTTAAAGAATCTCTTTTAGACCGAGAAGCTATACATAAGATTTGGCCATCTGGAGTAAATGTTAAGGATGAGATAGATGTTACCAAGTTTTCGATTGTCTTAACCGGTTTAGGATTAACATTATCAATGATAGTATTACGATCATAAATATTAACAATACCATTATTAGTACCAATAGCCAACCAACGATTCTTTGGACCTCCAAGTTTAATCTTAGTTATACCAACTCCTCCATCATCATTCCATTTTCTTATAATTTTATTTAATACTTTAGTAGATTTTTCATCAGTAGATTTAGTATTATCAGTAGAATTTAATTCATATTCCCATACAGTTCCAGAAGAATTAATTATAATTATAAATGATTCATCTCTAGAAAATTCAAAATCAACAATAGTTCCTTCAATTTTGAATCCTTTTATCCATTGACCTGTACTTCCATTTAATAAATTACACCATCCACTATTACCAGTTAATCCAATAAATGTACCATTTGGAGATATTTTAAAGTATTCAAAGGATTTTTGGAATTGTTCATGACCATAAATTCTTGAAATTTTTTCAACTTCTCCACTATTTAAATCCCATTTACTCATATAACGTCTTCTACCAGCAGCAAATACTAAATTTTTTTCATTATCTTTGGTATTAGATCCTAATGCAGAAAATTGACAACTGTAAATTGGAGAGTTACGTAAATGCAATGATGTGACAAGATTATTTATCTTACCATCTATATGATATATTCTTAAAGTTCTATCAAATCCACCAGTCATTAAAAGTGGATGACTATGATGAAATGATAAAGATTGAATAGCTGATTTAGAAAGTCGTTGATAATTGGCATCCTTTAATCTAGTAATAGAGATTTTCGATGGAGATATTAATTTTAATTGTTTGGTTATAATGAACAGTTGAGTATTGGCCAATATCTTTAAGATAGCATTCGTATCATTATTAGTATTGTTAGAAGTCTCATCATTTTCGTCATCAATATCATTTTCATTGTCTTCTTCATCATTTTCTTCTTCTAATTTATCTATCCATTCTGGTCTTGGATATATTTTTTCAAACTGACTCTTTAATCTCGCTACATAAGCTCTGCCTGATATTGTTACATCATTTTCGGATTTTCTTAATTTCTTTAATTTATCAGATGAAAGTAATGATATGTTGACACGTTCATCATCACTATCGTGCCATGCAGCCTCTTCTTCATCATCTTCTTCATCTTCACTATAGTTGCCTTCAGTTTCACTATTTTCTTCATCATCAATATCCATGGCATCTTCGTCTTGACCATTCTGAGGTCTAGATTCTCCATCATCAATGAAAAACAAGTCCTCATCTTGAACATCTGATCCATTTCCTTCATCTTCCGACTCTTCCTCGGAACTATCTTCAAAGAATTTATCACTATTCCCATCATCTTGTTCATCTGACGAGTAGTCATACAAATTATCTACTTTTTTCAAGTTGGCTTCGAATCCCTCAGCATCCCCAAATACCAACTTTTCCAATAGTATTTCTTCTTCATCTTTGGGTGGCACTGGTACTTCTTCACCGTCCTTATTCTTTGCCATTGTCACTGCCATCTTTACTATCCACAATTCGGTTCTGATGGTACTGACTTCACTTACTACTCTCTATATATGCTATAGCCATCTCTGATCTACCGTACATTTTTTTTTTCTCATCGCATACAAAAACTAAAACTAAAAAATTGGCTGGTACTGTATATTAACTAATTATGCAACGGTGCGGATTTTTATATAAAAGACAAAATTATATAGTATAGTATATTTACATGGTGAGTGTGTGAGTGTGTGATAGTACGCCGATTTATTCTGTAGTCGGAGTTTGTATCCGCTTGCGTAATATAATATTCCCCTTTAGTGTAAGTGTGAATGTAATTGTAATTGTAATTGTAATTGTATTATTTATTACCCTTTAATTTTGTTACAAACGTTATAAAATACTTTTTGAATTGTTTGATATCCGATGATACCAAATTAGTGCAGAAGTCATTGGTAAGATCTTGAGATAATCCCATATTAGTGAGATAATTTGAAAGATAATTTGTAAATTCATCATTTTTCCGTTGTTGGAATGTCTTTAATAAAAGAGCGATTTCTTGACCCATTAAACGATATTGAGCATCTTTTAAATCAAATTCTTGCTTTTGAAATGGTAATTCAAATGAAAGTTGAGTAACTTTACTCATTAAGAATTCTTCAATTCCATCAATTGCTGGTAATGATTGACCATATTTATCTTCTTTATCACTAATTTTTCCCTTATCTCCAAAGATATTAACAATATTAATAAGTTGAGTTATGGCTAATTTAGATACTGTTGTTTCATTTAAATCATAAGCATATTCAAAAAGTCCGGTAACAATTTCTGGAAATTTTTGTTTATTAGTTTCTGTAACTAATAAACTTGATGAATTATTAATTACTATAGAACTAAGGAAATTTAAAAATGCACGTTTAAGTTGATACTTATCAGAAATTATATGTTGATCATCTGAACCAGTAGTTGCCAATATTTCATATATCTTATTAACTAATGGTGTTAATAAATTATTTAATAATTGATACATACTCTCATCATTTTTATAATTATGTACAATTTGACCAAGAAAACTTAAAAAATCACTTAATTCACTAATCTTCAAATTATTAGCTGCCAAAAATAAACTTACTAATTTTGTTAAATGAACATTAATTTGACTCTTTAAAATTGGAATAAATCTAGCAAATGCAAATCTAGAAGAATCTCTAATTATTTCATGTTTAGAAAAATTCTCTAAGGTTATTAAAACAACTTGTGCAGCATTATTTATTTTTGCAATTACTTCTGGAGAATATTTAATTTGATCATGATCATATCCTCTAGCAAATGTACCTATAGCCATTAAAGAGTGATGAGCTTGTAAAGCAATTAATGGTTGAGTAGTTTTATCTTGATCAGAACTACGAATACATTGTTCCAAATCATTAAATAAAGGTTCAAAAATTAAATCAATAAATCGTAATTTTTGAGATAAATGATTATTTTGTATAAGTGATATTAATAATCCAACACTTTCAAATAAATATAATTGATTATTAAAATTACCATTATCAATTACATCATCATCTTCATCAGTAGTTGGTAATTCTGCTTTAATAGAAAGTAATGGTCTAAGTTTACCAATAATTAATTCAACAAATGAAACATCATTTGATGTTGGTTTAGTAAGCTTTACAAATCGGAAAAATAAATACCAACTTCTTAATCTAACTTTTTCATTCTCATTAGTTAAACCAAATGGACTAGTAAAAATTTCTAAAATTCGAATTACTAATTCTTGTTGATTTGATTGTGATGTTAAAAATGTATAATGTTTAACAATGATTTCAAAAAATTCAATTTGAACTTTTGGATGATTAATTTCAATGATTATATTTGAATTAATTAATTTAATTAAAAATTCTTGGAAAATCATATAAGGTTTACTATTATTAATTTCATTTTTAGGAAGATTAATTAAATTATTTCTTAAACTTTCAGAAAAGTTATTTAATTCAAATAATCCCAATTCAATTCTTCTCCAATCATTTACATTTTTAAAGACAGATTCATTAATAACAACAGGTATAGCTTCTAAATATAAATCTGATTTTAATACTGCTATAGTATCTTGAAAAGTTTTAAGTTTGGCTCTAATTTCAAGAAATTGTTCATCTTCTTCATCATCTATACCATCAGAAGAATCATCATATTTCATCTTTAAGATAACTTTATTTAATAAAGTTGACATTAAATTAACTGAAACTAAGGCATTTAATTTTTTACCTAATAATAAATATTGTTGAATGAATGAAAATACTTCTTGAGATACATCATCATATTCATGAGAAAGAAAATTTAATACAAGAGGCCAAAGTTTGACAAATTGTTCTTGAACTGGAATTATTAATGTTGGATCATTTTCAAGTACAATTAAAAGTTCAATACCCACTTGATTAACTAATTTAGAAATGCTAACATCAAAATCAAGATCATCTTCACTTGCATCTATAGAATTAATAACAGATGTAAGATTTAAAAGGGAAAGTAATTCTAATTTATTATTTGGTTTCATCTTTTTGGAGATAATTTCTATTAAAGTACTACAAGTAATATTTCTTTGATCTTTTCGATTTAAAAATTGAAATATGCTGTTAATAAAATCATTTGATACAAATAAACCAATTTCCATCCAACTAATATATTGGCCAACAATTGTAAGTGTATTATTTAAAATTTCTGGAGAATTTGATATTTGAGTTAAAATATTTGACCATACTGCTACTAAAGAATTCATATCATTAGCTCTTATAGCATCTTTTAATAAAGTATTTCTTTCAAGAAGGTTATCATTTCTATTAACAAATTTATCTCCAACTTCATAATGAATAGCTATTATAATTCTTGTATAATAATCAAGAGCATATTGATTATTGGATGATATGATAGTATGTAAATCTTTTATAAAATTTGGATAAACTGTTAAATAAACATAACGAAATAATTTGGCAAATATTTGAGCTAATTTATTCTTTAAATATATAGGATCACTAATATCATTAGTTATATAACCTGCCAATAATTCAAATAATTTTGAATTTAATGAAAAGAGTTGATCATCTGATAAATTTTCAATATATTCATCGATAACTTGATATGCAAAGAATTTTAAACCTTCATTAACTGATTGAGATGAAGATTTCAATAGAATTTCAACACATGAATTATATCCTTCTTGAGTTGATTTTATTTGTTCAATAAATTGAAATGCTTGATTTTTCAAGTTGGGGTCGGCAGTACCACTAAGTGCAATATCTACGGCCAGTTGAATTTGCTGTTCCATTGACTACTTGTATGATTATAATAAAAATGAATGTAAAAAATAAGATTATGGTTGACAACTTCTAGACAGGATGACTTTGAAAAAAAATATTATGATGGAATAAATGACAAGTCTTTGTATATAAGTGCCTATTGGTTGAACTATTTACTGTTAAAGGTACATGTAGAAGGGTGATGATTATGCTTCTGTGGTGCCGTTTTAGTGTTATACTGATTTGAAAATCTTTTTCACACCTGTTTTGTTGTGTCCTGCAGGCAAGTTCTATCGTAAAATTTTTTTGGACGCTCACACGACATGTTTTAAACTATATTGATTAGAGTTAGGATTTGCTGATCAAGAATAGTAAATAATACAATAATTGTTATTAATTAGGAGTTTACTATATTTACTATGTTTATAATACATAGTATGCTTATTATGTTTATTAAATGTTTTCTTTTTCAAGGCTTAGGGGGAAGTGATATATTAATCGGTATGAGTTTTATACAAATTTATTGCAGCCTAATCTAAAGTAGCATATTTCTTTAAATGGTCTGGAATGGCATCGTATAAGCCCTTTGTCTTTAACCATTCTTTGGAAAAGATTCTGTCAGCATATTTGTGAGCAGAATCAGCTAAAATAGTTACAACATTACTTCCTTCGGGTAAAGTTTCGGCAACTTTAATGGCTGCAACAACATTTAAAGCACCAGTACCACCAAGATACAATCCTTCTTCATCTAAAAGTCTATAAACCATAGCAATGGAATCTTCATCAGCAATTCTTATAGCATCATCAATGATATCTAAATCTGGTTTTAAATTATCAGTAACTCTACCTTGGCCAATTCCTTCAGTGAAAGAAGATCCCCCTCTTACAATATCCTTACCATTTGATTTAATATAAGAATATAAAACACTTCCTGGTGGATCTGCTAAAACTGCTTTAACTTTTCCATTTGAAATTGTCTTAAGATATCTCGATGTACCAGCAAATGTACCTCCAGTACCGGTTGAACAGGTGAATGCATCTACTTTACCATCTAATTGAGCCCAAATTTCTGGTCCAGTTGTTTCAATATGTGCTTGTCTATTTGCAATATTATCGAATTGATTAGTCCAAACTGCATTTTCTAGACTTTCGGCATGACGTTTAGCTTGGTGATTATAATTTTGTGGGTCAGTAAAAGCAACGGCAGGGACTGGATATACTTCTGCACCAAGTAATCTCAATGTTTCAATCTTAGACTTTGATTGAGTATTTGGCATATAAATAACACAATTATAACCCTTTGCTCTACATACATGGGCAAGTCCAATGCCTGTATTACCAGCAGTACCTTCTACAATGGTTCCACCAGGCTTTATTAAACCTTTCTGTTCAGCATCATTGATAATATAAAGTGCAGCTCTATCCTTAATAGATCCACCTGGATTCATAAATTCTGCCTTTGCATAAATATTTCTACCTACTGATTCAGAAATCCTCGGTAACTTTAATAATGGAGTCTGACCAATTGCACCTGGAAATCCATTTTCTGATACCAATGGAATAAATGGTGGTTTCACTGGATGGTTAAGCGTTATAGAAAGCCATCTTCTAGAAACCTTTCCCAACATCTTATTAATTTGAATACAAAAGAAACATCTACATATGGTAAATCACTTAAGACTCAGTTATGAGTCGATGTTCTAAAATTCAAACATTTCACGTGCCATGGATCACATGCAAAATAGACGATTTTTTGTCGCATTTACATAAACCTTTTCTGACAAAATGTTTGAGGCGAACATTTTGAAAGCAGATAACTTACTTACCTTACGTCACAGTACCTCTTCTGACAGGGGGAGATTGAAAACTCCGGAACGAGAATTTACATCCTCCTATAGCCGAGTTGAGAACCAAAGTACGTAACCTCCTTATCACGGCAGTTGGCGCAAATTGAACAAAACGGTTGATGAAATGAAACTTATTATCTATACAATTGGCATCTGTGCATGGCTCTAATGCTTGTAGTTTTTTGTGATAGACCCTTCAACTATGCAAACAAATGTCAATCAGATGAAATTCAGACTTATCAATTATAATTGAAAGAAAAGTAGGTGTAGTTAGTGATATATATTTTCAGAAACCGAATTGCCGCGTGAATATTTTCTCTCTGTGAGTTAATGCAAAAGACTCCGAAGATTTACTTTTTAATTACGGAGATTATTTAATGAACTTAACTGAAACGAAGCCGCTGTAGCTAGATAGCAGTTGATCACTGATTGATAAGATGCGGAAGTTGAGATTTTCTTTATTGTTCTTGTAGTGAACTGTTTACAACTGACAAATGTAGGGTTTAGTAGAAGTATATCAAGATGAATTACTTTAAACTCTAACAGATATTGAATTCAAAATAGTTTTGAATTACGATACCCGGGGAAAGAAATAGAAGGTGTTTTGCATTAATTACAATTTTGATCAATGATTCCTTTGTACATGATACATTGTTTCAATAAATTCCAACGGATAATAACAATAGGGCAGCTTAAAATAATAAAACCCCTATGAAACATCATCTAGCTATGAGGCGCTTTGTTCTAATGCTGGTCAACTTTCAAATTCAAGAATCGAGCCAGTTGTGCATTAAGTGCCAAATGGCATGGAAACTTCTAAGCATAAGCCGGACTCTGAGTGTATTGTGTATTTGCGACTCTTCTTTTCCAATCTTCCATGCATAAATTCCTAACACAAAATATTCTTCTAATGTAAGTTTCTATTCCTCACAATTATATACGCTTGTATTATTGATAGAATTATGCGTTATACACGTACACTTCATAAAGCACAAATGAATCAGGATAGAATGCAGGGCTCCTTACTTGTACTTTGGTTACATTTCCGATATTACGTAATGTCTACTACTATTTGTTCTCTTTAGTATTTTTCCTTATTTCTATATGTATAAATTTTATTTTGCTTTCCCCTTGTCTATATATCCTATCACTCCATCTTATATCGAAATTGATTGAAAAAGAAATTGAGAGTTATAATCATAGAGCAATTGTTAGAAACGGTGCATAACTTTTACATACTTAATCGGACTAGAATCCCGGGGAAACCTAAGGAAGTATGTATATTCACTTTTCCGACAATAATGTGGCTAAGGTATAAGGGAAATAGAGTCCCTGAAAATAGGGAAGGCAGTTGCATTATGTCATGATGTTTTCTCCTTGATGCTTAGGCGTGCATGCATGGCAATCGTCATTATCTAAAGCAAGCTGGATACAGAAGTGATAACACATTGTGGAAGCACCTACCTCTTCAATTCGAAGACTCGCACCTACGCCCTATAAGCACGAATAATAACTTATTCTACGGGTAGAGGTAAGAATAAAGGTTATCTTAAAAAATTATTATGCAAGACAATTTCTTGGTTGAAAAACATTTTTACTATTGTTCCAAGAGTTGGTGCGTAATTATAAAATTATAAAATTATAAAATTACAGAGTCTTTTTATTTTTATTTATTGTTCTCGGATAGTGAAGTTAAAGGAAACAATCGATTTTGATTTATACATGTCAGTTACAGGAAAGGTTGGATGATTTCTAATTATGGATCCACTATCTAACGCCTCGAAGAGTAATTAGACACCCAATGATCAACACCATACAAAGTCCATACCTAAATCTACAGAACTAGAAACTTCCCCTTCGTTGTAGAGATAAGAGAAATTGCAAGTCCTTTGGAATGTTGAGCATCAATTCTCTTCGATATTACCCTTGCAAGCATGTAGAATATTTTTTCTTGGTAAGAAGGCTAAACTTACTTAGAAAACTAATGTGAGAACTTCAGCAAATTTATTAATATAGAGAGGTTTGTTAATATGGAGAGGCTTATTAATAGAGACAGGTTCTACTATAAATTTTATATATTAATTGAAAAAGTAGAAAGCAGCTAAGTAGGAAAAACGAAAATGGAGTAGTGATCAAAATAAAGGAAGTGGGTTCAAGTGATCCTTATTATTCTTTAAAGATAATATTTTGTTTTCATAATCTATGCATTGTTCTCTGAAGGTTACTATTTCGTTGTCAACACAGGTACATAATGCTTCTAATTGAGGCAAACTTAAACATATTCGGATGCTATAAATCTGTTTTGAATTGAAAATGTTACACAAAGTTAAATCCCATCAAATCCCAGAAAAAAATAAACTTTCCCAAATATAAACCAGCAGGGCATAGCGAAGCTCTCATAATTCAATATTTATCCTTCAAGAATTATACAAATTCATCAAAAATTCTCAACAAAAGCTATGCTATTTTGATTTGGATACTTCCGTTTTCGTTCATAATATTTCATTTTGATATTCCAGTTAATTCCTGCTTGAGCGTAAACTCCGCCATTGCCAATCATTCCTGTACATAAATACAGGGCCTCTATTATATGACAGCTTTGGAAATATGTAACGTAGCACCGATAGCAGCATAGTTTCAACTAAGTAGATAGTGCTTTGTGAACACGTGAACTCCCACCAATATTAAGAAAGCGCAGGCCAAGAAAATGGAATAATTGTAGCAATTAACGTGGTAAGCGAAATAGATACAGGAAATACTCGTTAGTCAGTCAGACTTTGCATGGTGATTGCATAGTAATAGAAAGTGCAGGCACCATTTTATTGCAAGTGAAGGTTGGGAAGTGCATTTTTTTGTAGGTCGGCAACCCACTTCTTGATTCTAAGAGAAAACATATTTCTGTTGGGCTCAGTTCTGAAGAATCCTCGTGTTACATTTAACACTCTCGATAAATGATTTATGAAGTGAATTAGAGAATAATCTAAGAAAGTGTATATTCACTTGCAGAACTGATCTGCAAAATTAATGCTCAACATAGTAAGCCGCTCAGTGTTATCACATGTAATAACTTTAGCGATCAGGTAACTAATATCATGTTTCACATAGTAGATGAATAGATGCTTGAAATTTCCAATGATTGTTATATGACCTATATGTGCGTAAAATGCGCTTTCTAGCGATGATAATGGCTTTATACCAAATCTTGGGGAGGATGAAATTTTGCTTACTGAAGGAGAGCGGACCACATTCCCCGAGCACCCTTTTGAATCAAATTTCAGGTTTACGACTGTCAAAGGCAGGAAGCGAGAAAAAGAAATCAAATCTCAAAAAAATGTAACCCACTGAATGAAGTTATTCCATGTTCTACTTCATTCTTCTTGTCACTATGACTTAAAAAATTTCTTCAAGGTAGAAAGGGGCGAATTCTAAAATAAGCAATTTGATCATCAGGTAACGCGGCCATTGTCAATCCAGGGAATTCCTGGTACCCTGAACCAAAGATGTTCTTTGGAAAAATAAAATGCAGAAATATAGTGTCGTAAATTAAGCATATTTATTTCACTGGTGAAACGAATTATGGGCCGCCTTACCTTACTTGACCTGATCATGCTTGATTTTCTGCTTATGAAATCTTGAATCTATGTAGTTCGAGGTAAGTATATGTTCGAATGCAGTTGAATGCATATAGTCATATGTAGTTTCATACACAAGAAGAGTGATCGTGGAATAACATATGGATTATAGTATGAAGACAGTAAATCTGCATCGGGAAAAGAATAAAATGGTTGCTCAATTCGAAGAGAAAGATCGAAAGTATATTCTAAGTACTTACATGTTACTTAAGTTATTCGAGCTATATTAGTTCAATTATAAGTTGATTTAATGATGGAAGTCCACACAAGAGAATTCGTATCTTTTCGAAAATCTAGCTCAGTTATTCTTGCAAAAGCTCTTTCCTTTGATGGTTAATACAAACCCTATGAAATATGCCTGTAAGGTGGATGTTTTTTCATATGTAGAGCGAAAATTTAAGAATTTTTTGAAATTTATGACAGCATTCTATACAGTATGAACTTGAACATCTTCAAAAAGCAATATTCAATACTGGCAAGTAGCAGAGCTTTTAGGTCACTACACGAGGCGTGGTTAGTTTTTTTTGTACCTGCCTAAATAACAATAAAGTAGATAGCATCGGTTAGTAGATTAGATTAGATATTCTCTCACTTCATTTAACACGCCTGAAGAAACCTCTTCATGAGGTAAAACTATCCAATAAAGATAACGATATTATATAAATGGAAAATGCTGTATCAACTATCGTATATCTGATTGACAAATCATTTACTGTATTTATCCTTTCTGAGTTTAGTTTGCACTCTCACTTCATGTGCTTGGAAATATCGGATGAAATTCTATGTAGAATTGGCTGACAGCGATCATCGAAGCAAAGTTTAACATGCAATAAGGTGAGAAAACATAAACAAAAAACTTTGTTTCGATCTGTATGCGTCGTACAAAAGTTAGTTTTAAAATTTGAATAATCTATATAGTGAGAAATATGATAGAAGGTGATGTGACACTAAATTTGATTTCTAAGTGACAAACATACTATAGAAAAGAAAATGCTTTGAACCAATATGGGCCCATAATCACATTTATGTTACTCGCTCAAGTTTGAATACATCATAAATACTAATTCCCCGCCCTAATTACAAAATATAGTTCAACATATGAACCAAATCGCAAAATGTTGCCTTCTCAAATGCAGTTAATTAAACAACAATGTATTTCCAAGCAATTAGTATTTTTAAATTTGAAGAAGTCACCGTGATGAGTTGCAATTAATGAAATACCAGAAGAATTATTTAATTATCCATTAGCAGCAACAGAAAAAAGTCGCGTTAAGAGCAAAGGTGACACGATTTACATACAAAAGCAAAATGGGGCAGGTGGAAACTTCTTCATTTAAAATCAGGTAGTGCGTCGGCAAACCAAACCTAAAACAAAATGGAAACAAAAAAATAACAAATAAATCCATAAATAAATAAGTAGAATACATTAGTGTATGTCCTATACGTAAAAAATAATATACAAATAGGCTATACAAATCCCAAGGATGTTATTCTGCACAACGTCTAGCTTTGAAGTGGAAATCTCTGCAATGCATAAGAATTTCTTTTTAATATGCACCTGTAGTCATGCACGCAACCATGAAAACTCTAATCAATTCCTATTATTTTTTCATTATCTGTTTTTGATTTTTAATTTTTTTTCTTATAAATATAATTCAGGTACAAGAATTTTTTAATTTTTTGTTGTCTGGCTCTGAGTCTATCGTTTTATCTTTGTTTTGTGTTACGAGCAAAGTACATATGCGCATTTCAAAACTTATTTTTTAGAATATATTTTTTAACAAAAGAAACTATATTCAGAGTACTGTTGTATGCACAATTGATTTAAGTTTGTGCATTCATTTGAAAAGTTGTAAATTGTTTTTTTTTTTTTTTTTCTTTTGGACTGTCAAAAATTAAGTAGATACTTAATTATGCTTTTAAGAAATATGATGATATAAAAGTATTTGAAGGTCCCACTGTAGAATGCTTTTTTCTAAACCCTATTGCTTTAATTATTTTTCTTTCATAATTGCTGTTTCATTTATTCACGCTCTTAAGTAGATTTTACATTCGAGAAACTCCATTACTTGTCAGTAATTACAAAGTGATATATTTGTTTTGCAGGCAGTATTATCTTCTTATCTGCCTCAGTTAGAATAAGTCAGATTTGAATAGAAAGTTCAACTTCATCATCGAAACATATTATAGGTACTAGGGCGATAATTTTTTTAAAAAATGTTTGCAGTTAAGCCAATGTCCCATCAATACCAAGATGAACAATCTACAAATGCTAATTCCAGACCAGCTAATGGTGGATCCTTGCCATCATTCAGCGAATTGTTAACTTCCATTCCTTTAGCAGGAACTCTCAGAACTACATCAACTACAAGCTCTGCTGTAGGTTCTCCATACATTCAATACAACGGCATATCAAGTCCTATTGATCACCGTCGATATTCCAACAGTACACCCCCAGTACCCAGCTTAAATCAAACTTCTACATCTTCAATATCTGCATCATCATCAACTTCATCAAATAACTCTATCTCCTCCTACATACAGCAACAACCAAATACACAACAAGCCATTATTCATCCTCATCCAATGCAAGCGACCATGGTGGTTGTAAATCCCACTGCAGCTTATCAATATCAACCCTACCACGCACAATTGTTACCAAGACAATCGTCTCAACAGCAGGTCGTTACTTATCAATGTGTGCAACCTCAACCAAGCCATGTTTTACAAACTAATAATCATCATTTAGTTTCACAAGCCCTTGTCTCTTTAACTGGTGCCCCTTCTACTGACGTTCAGTCTCCAACTTCCTTACCTTTAACGTTACCTACTCCACCATCATCCAGTAATTCTCATAGAACCATAGTGAGATCTAGTTCAAGCAGTAGTATTTCCAGCGACAGTGCAACATCTCCTTCTGGTTGGAATAATGAATCTAAGAGGAAGCATATTTGTAAGGTGTGTACCAGATCTTTTACAACATCGGGCCATTTGGCACGCCATAACAGAATACATACTGGTGAAAGAAAGCACATATGTCCTTGGCCTACTTGTGAAGCCCGTTTTGCTAGGCAAGATAATTGTATGCAACATTACAAGACACATACCAATGGTAAGAATAAGCGTGCCAAGGTTGGTAAAAAGCCAGTGATCAGATTCTAAGCAATGCTTGATCATTACCTTAATATTTCATGATTATTTCCGTTCTACTTCTGATAAAGCTAATGCTACGATTTATTAGTTTTTTATTATATATTTATTTTGGTTCTTTCTTTGGTAATTAATTGTTATTAATATTTTTAGTTCTTGTATATGTCTATATTTAATTCATTTACTTAAATCTTTAAATTCAATATATTAATGATATTCATTAAATAAGATATTGCTCATAAATGCTTGTGGGCTTTATAAAGCGTCGCCCATTATTGTCCCTAAGTTATCGATAGTTCTATCAACTTCGTGCCGGCGGGGTCCTGTTTTCTGAGAAGTACAAAAAACGTTCATGTTAACAACAGAAAATTCACAGCAACTACCAACTCAGTATCGGAATTCTTCCTAAACATCTACGTGATTAGTCAACATTGCTGTATTTTTAGGTTATGTTCATATCCAGAGTAGGAAATGGTAATATACATTCAATAACTTGGATGTATACGAAATAAAATGAGCTCAAGATTCCCTTGTTAATTTGCAGTTGGCAATTTTACTTTCTTAGTTACAAAATACTTCCAACATTTTGATATTATTTTTTATAAAATGTCGTCTTAAAAATCCTTTATTTTTATTTTCTATATTTTTATTTTTTTTTTTTGACAAACCGAATAGATGGAAATATATCTAGATATTTACAAATGAGGGTAAAGCGACCATCTGACACAAAGTCAAATAAACGATCACTTAAGTCAACGCTTGCGGGATAAATTAATTCTTATTATACGGTTTTGCGATAACCCAGATAAAACTGTCGAACTGGGTGGTTGTAATAACTTTTTTGGGAAATCATTGCGGGAGCCTTTGTGATGCTCAAATTATTAAACTTTTGGCAACGTCTCTCTCTCCACACTATAAATTTTAATAAGACAATTGACTTTACTAAGCTTTCAATACAAATACTTTGGTCTACCTTTTTAAACTTTGAAGAAAGCCTATATCAAATCTGTAGTAATACAACGAGTTGAAAGCATAAGCAAGCACCCCTAAACCTAAATGAAAGTTTAAAAATATAGGAACCGTCAAAACTAAATAACCTTAAAAAACTTGAAATCGTACCATTGCATACGCTCTATGTATATCTCCTGGGCCCACACTCTTATACTTGTTATTTTAATAGTGTAGTCTCTGTTTTACATTTTAAAGCTAGAATATTCAACAACAATTTTCTTATACTCGCTCAAATTCTTATTCGTGTCTTTTCTTCTAACCTTTTCGAGAGGAAGCAATTCATTTCATATGTTAATTCACTGTTTCTTTTGGTTGTTTAATTCCTATCCCTTCAATCAGCTAAAATCTTTATGTAACATCACAAAAGAGCTATATTTTTTAATGAGATATTTTCTTACCTTTTTGAGTTGCTTTTAAACTATTAAGCCAGAAAATAATATCTCAACTAATGGCTTAGATTACGTAATCGGCATTTGACCAGATATGCTGGCGCTTAACAATACACAAAAGACGTAGCTTCTGGATGTATACCAGAACGGGAAGTACATCCCGAGCACCTTCACATTTGCAGTGATATTGATACTTAAAAGAGGTATCGTCTTAGCCCTTAACACTGGAATCCATCAAACTGCTTTCTATTAAAGGCAGCATAAAATACGATATTCAATTACAATATTCTAATTTTAGCAATATTAGCTTATTGTATATCGTTTTTAATTGGTCCTTCTAAGGCGTTCAATCTGCTTAAAGATGTACTTAGTTTGATTTAGATATGCTTGACCGTTTATTCCTGCAACAAGGTATTGTTTGCGACTTAATTCTCATAGCAAACGCGATCCGAGAGTCACTTCAACGAAAACAAATATTATGACTTAAGGCCGGATGGATTTAGTTGCTTTTTCTTTCTATCTGTTTTACTCAATCTACATTGCATGACTTCAATAATAATAAGTTAATGAAGGATTTTTATAATAATAAAGAGTACTCTATAAAATAATATTTAAAAAATATTCAAATGAAGGAATTGCAGAAATTATAGCCTTGATAATCGTAGACCAGAAAATGGGTGCATTGTACATAATAAAGTATAAAGAACAAAAAACTTGGTCTAATTTTTTGTTGAAGTAAAGTGACAATGGGATCATTCGCTAACGCTTGAGACTAATAATGACTCGTAATAATGCTTCTTCTCAAATACGAAGATTGTCAACGTATGTTTGGACCCTACCAGTATTCATATCTTATTTTCTTGCTTGATCTTTAGTTCATCGATGAAGTCTTATTATAGTCATAGAGGGAACAATGATGGCTTAATCAATTGACATATCCTGCACTCTTTAAAATTTTCTATGCTATCTAGCTCTAAGCCCTACAATATGTAGAACAAGTAGACATCATGAAATGAAAAAGAGCTGTATCACGCAAGAGTAGATGGAAATCCGTATTCCTGTTTTAGGTTAAATCTTGTACTAATTAATCCAACCGAATGTAAACAAGTTATTCAAACACGTCTCAAATGTACGAATAACTAAGGTATATACTGTGCTATTTTTATTTTCACTACTCTTTTATAAGAACAATATTGTTAAACTTACATAAAATGTCAAATTTTAGCGAGCACATGTACTAATTGAATATCCTAATTAAGATAATTTTATAAGAATTGAGTCCAGCATCATCTAAATCTGTTGAAAACAAAGATCAACAGTCCTGAGCCTATATGCAAAAGCCCTTTTCTACGTTAAGTTCGTAAGTCGGGTTTACGAAAGTTTACTCTTAGTCTTAAGAAACAAAAACTGGGCCGCCTTCATTCAAAGTTTGCTAACGATTGTTTGCATCTATTATATTGATTATGCGCGTAATTACAAAATTAGATCTTCTGGGAAGGTTTTGAACCCAAACTTATTGTATTCGTCTCTCCCTAATCTCATTTACGACACTATAATCAAGCACAAAACATTCATCGAAAAAAACTACGTTCATGTGTGTAAAAATATCTCAAAACTTAATCAGATCGTGCATGCGTTATTCCGCCTTGAAAATAAAACCTAGAAAAATAATCATTACATAAAAAAAGTTTGTAATAGAACGTTGCATTTTCAGTAGATATTTTTTGAGTGTAGTTCTGGACTTGCCCTTCTCGTTTTCCTCTCTTGTAAACTGTATTATTTTCAAGCAATATCTGCCTAATGGCATGCGAGTCTTTTTACCTACCCTCAGTTTTATCTTTGCTGGTGAAAGCAATTGGGACGCGACGCAGATTAACTGATTTCAAACCATGCTATTTTGTGTTCTTTACTCCCAATGCATATCTTGCTGTACATTTATTCGTGGTAATAACTTACTAACAATGTTTCTGCGTCGTAAAAGGGTATAATCTTACCGTCAACTTATTATTTTTGAACTTCATATCCGGAGAGCAGATATCAATTAAAATAAGCAGATATGTTCGCTTTATGTATCCTCGAAACAATGGGATCCATCAACTTTAAACTTAAAAACATTGTACTTCTTATACTTAGAATTTTTAACCCTAAAAAGCATCTTGTCTCAATTAGTTTAAGGATCAAAAAATTATTTCTGAAACTTAGAAAATAATTACCAGATGATATAAGCAGTCTGTCAGACGCACATCAAACAGATATTGAATTTACAAGCATTACATGGCTCAAAACAGAAATATTAGCTGGGAAATAAGTGAGCAAACGAAAGAGAGAAAACATAACTCATGAAGAATCTCATAGTAAATACCGGACATTCTTCTTGTCATACTATAGGGAAATTCAGAGGTAATAATATACTAAGTACCCCAAAAAGTGAAGGGACATGTTCTTTATATTTTTTGTATGCAAATCTGAGAATATACTTGAGGGTTCTGCATTTTCTCAATTAGGATAGAAGCAAACACATCTATTTGGGGGCCGGGATACGAAAAAAAATAAAAAAGAATTATTTTTTAAGCTTTTCTTCGTTCATAATCGGTTTAATGCTTTCACAATTGGATAGTCTGAGTAGGCAAACATCGCCAATATACGGTTTTAGAACAAACTTTCCATTTTTAAATTCAAGTTAGGCTATCTTCTCTTCTAGGAAATAAGCACGAACTAGCGAAACTGAGACAAAGACTAAAGAATGGTTCAATATGTTTCCTTTAATATTGTAAATCGCTTTTATATCCGACTGTGCGCATATATGGTGGATGGTGAAGAGTGTTCATCTATCCCCAATTGAGAGAACTAGCGATAAAAAGTTTGGTTCCAACAAAAGCCTTTTGCGTCGATCCTCATACTTAAAAAATACCAGTTGCCAGATACATCGAAGGAAGTATGGACAGCTGGCCTAATTGAAGGCATAAAGAAATATTTTGTAAGTCCTGTACGAGGACCGGCAACCTACTCTGTAATATCAACAATTGTTCTATTCATAGAATGGCTACATTTGTGTTGATTTCATAAAGGCGAAGAGTTCTTTGACGTCGTTGGATCAGACTCTTCTCATTTGGTTGGGCATATCTTTAGATCAATGTAACGTTGACTTATTTAAAATTCCTCAGCTCAATTCGAATTTTTCGTAAATAATGCAAAGAAATAGGGTCCGTCTCAGATCGGTAGAAAAGAACTATTCACAATCCTTTGTACATCGTACATCGAAATAATGTAGCTGTCGCCTTTTACATCCAATAATTAGAGAAATAAATTCTCTGTTTATAAAATCTACTAATAAATTCCAGAAATATCAGACCACACAAAGTCTGGAAATTGATATCAACAGCATATTTCCATTTACAGGGTTGTTTTTCCGGAGCTTCACTCTAAGAAAACTAAGGCTGAATAAAAATGATTAAAAAATATGAGAACTAAAATAAAAAAATAAAAAAATAATCTATGTCGCTCTAGAAAAAACGACATTCTCAGATCTCTTTTTGCGTCGCCTCATCGAAGAAGGTACTAATGCAAAACACAGAAATAAATTAAATGCAATAGTTTAATAAAATGACTATTGCAGTCGACGTAATTAGTGATCAACGAACGTGCATGAAACTTATACAAGACCCATTGAGACAGGTAAAGTAGTGAAATTGTACAAATTTTGGAAGGTTTTTAATTATTATCAATTACAGAGTATATGCGAAGCTCATCCTCATTTTAATTATTCATCGTTTTTATATTAGAGGCGGTTCAAACGATGAAAAAGATATGACTTTCGGTCATTCATAGATTAATCAACCTTCTTTTCCAATCGGTTTCGTTCCAGCTCCTTTATAAGCAGTACATATTGCATCTAGAAACAGAACACTTACAGAATTGACATTTGTTTTCTTTTTCGTCATCGTATTGAGTGAATTAAGGGCTCGTGAAGCAAATTAAGATATTTCTAAATAAAATAAAGGGTATCATTGTTATGTAAGTGTTTGCATTGTTTCCGTTGAAAACTCCGTCGTCGTCTATACAAGTATATATTCTTCTCTATTTTTGTGTACCTTAAATTTACGTCACCCACAAAACTTTCTTTTTTTTAGGATCTCATTGTTGGGAAACATATTTTCGGAGTACAGTACGTTTCAAGTATGAGATGAATTAACTAATGTATAATGGTTTAGCGTCAGACGTCTCCTAAATATTTTACCACTTGTAACACTACAGAGTACCAAATATCCTTGTTAATGAAATTCTCGTTTCTTGTAGATTTTAAATTGATAAATTGTGGAAAGGGTCTAAGACTAGAGCTCTAATCTATATAGAACCCTGAACTTTCGATTACAATTCAACTTAACAATAAAATAAGAAACAATGGAATCCATATTGCGTTTAAGCATGGAATGTGTTCAAAATAAATTAACAGCAAGAAATCGTCAAGCAATATTAGGATCTGAACTGGTAGGTAATAATAATTGTAAATACTTAAGAAAATATAGTTCTTTATTATTTTTTGTATTATAAATAATACATAATTGCTATTCTGCTCATTGTCATGAACTATGGGCATTGTTTCATTAAGTGGAAACATAATTGCTTTAATTGTTATAAGAACTAGACGACCTGGTTTAGAAACTACTCAAAGCTTAATATTGTTGAGAATGAGTTGCCGAATCAATGAACCATTAAAAAAGTAACCACCAAACACATAATAGAGGTTATAAGTGACTTGTGAAAACTGACTACAATAATAGTCCCAAACATAAATTACATGGCCGTGAAATCTCTGAAAAAGTAAAATATGCCTGTTGAGGCATTAAGGCGGTTTCATTTCAGGGGTCCTTTGGGTAGAACAAATTAGAAATCTTAGACAAACAAAAACTTTAAAAAATATTAGAAGCAAAACTTCCCAGATCTGAGATGCTCCCTTAGACCTAATTTTCACATTTTCCGTTCACTTAGTTCTAGTATATAGTCGTATATTTAAGCTGAATGTGCTTTCGTTTTCTTGAACTTCTTTCTATTCTTTCTTGTCAAAGGAGCTGTTAAATTGACGGGCTTCTGTGACGCATATTCCAGTGAAATTTTTAAGTGTCCCCTTTTTTCAGCCCTAATTTCGGCATAATTACACAACAAAAAGTCAGTCTGTAACAAAACAAAATGTAAGTGAGATATCACACACCCGTTAATCATTACGGCATACATGAAGCCAAATTAATAAGTTCATTCTAGAAAAGTGTTTTAACTATAGTTGGTACATTAATTATAGCATTGTAGTAAACCTTCAATAATAATTTTGAATTTCAAGTTCATTCTAAAAAATTTATCTGGACCCATTAACTTCGCATTAATTATCTACATAAACCCCTCAAAATAGGGTCCTGTATGCTAATTGATTAAAACCAGCGTGACCTCATAAGTTCAATTCCACTACATAGTACATCATAACTTAACTGACCCTTTTTAATTCCATGAACAATAAAGCCTTACAATCTGGTTATTAACTTATTGTTTGAATCTAAATCAAACCTACCAAAAAGCTGTGGGATTCGTTTGCTTTCATCTGCATAAGCAATCCTGTACATGGACTTTATGTGCATATTACATCCGACCCTGTTAGAAAATATTATTTATAACGAAGCTTCAATGTTCCTTTGAATGTTTCATATCTAAAAAGGATTGAACTATTCAAATTGTAGATTGCATAAAGTAGACTGCTTCATTAAGCAGAAGATTTTGTACTTGAGGTCATTATGCTGATTAGCCCTTATCATTATTTATCATAATTTTGTTGCTTAAATAAAGCTTGCACAGAAGTCAACTTGTTGCACAAAACTGCAACATACTTGCCTTCAAACTAGTTCGTGAAGGCAATGGTGAAGCTATCTACCGATTTTATTATCGTGCTATACTTTATAACTCCGATAACTTCAGCTTCGTTGTTCTTTTTATAAATCTTGTCATTAAAAGTTTTCTACTTGTTCAGGCGGCGTTTCAATCCAGAACTTTTATCTTGACTTTCCAATAATATTTTATGCATCGCTGAATATTTTCTAGATGTCTTATTTAAAAGAACTACAAAATCAATTTTTTGCCTAGTTTATTAATTAATAAAGTACAAGAGAAAAATTTATGATGTAGCCCCTTGCGGGGGTATGGCATATCATGGGGAACGCATATTCCCTAACCAGCTTGGGTTATAGTTCTGCAAAATAATTACACCGCAATCAAGGCGTTTCTCTGATGAAATGCACATTATTATAATACGATTAAGGAAGAAGAAAATGTTTTATGCATATTTGTAAAACGAAAAAATTTGTAGTGTACAAATTAAATTATTGTTTACTCTTTATTAATAGGATCTTTCCATCTCTATATACAATTAACGTATCCATAGTAAGAGATAAATAGAATCCTCTAAATGATACATATTCATCAAAGCTAATACAACAGTTAAAATGTGATCAGTCTTTCTTTATATTCATTTTAAGGTAAACCTCTGACAATGATATAGGCTAAAATATATACATATAGCATTCACTATTATTTTTATTGTTCATCAAATGGTAGTATTCTGTTCTGCATTACTAGTTATTTATTGTTAAACCTACACGTAAACAAATCTTACAACTACCGGCAAATCATACATCTAAGCTGAACAGGAGGCTTAATTTTAAAATTTTACAACAAAGCCATGAAACATTCACAAGTATCTTTCGTAACAATGGGTCCCGTTCAACTCTTTATCCATTGTATAAATGATCCCATTTATAACAACACGATTAATGTTAAGATGAGTTGATTCATTATCACCTCCATCATTAAAGACATATGCCTCCATATTATTTGATTGCCTTTGAGTCTCATTAATTATCATTTCGTCCTTTTGATCTTCATCAAATCTCTTTTCAGCATTACCTCTATCAAGTTTCAAGACTTTGATAATGATACTATCAAAATAATGGGACATGGATAAAGGAACACCTTTTAAGTAATGAAATGAATTAATGTTGCATCTGAAATTTTCTTTCTCCTTATTGTCATCTTCTCCGTCAAACTCTCCTAAATCGATTACTTTGACTGAATAACATTTTAATGGATGATAAAAATCGAGTCGGTCTAGACTGTGATAATCCCAACTATATTGCCTTAGAGGAAAATGCCCTAAGTGTAAATTAGTGAAATATTCATTTCTACTAATTAGTCTAAGCAGTAGATAATTTGCAACTATATTAAAAAAATGAGAACTATTCAAATCTTTGAACCTTTGCAATCTGACATCATAGTACTTATGATGCATTAAGTAATCATCGACCAATCCAAGAGACTCAATACAATGCGTGCACTTGCAGCCATTCCATAACATGGTATTCATTGATTGTTCATAACTAGACAATGAAGCAAACAAGTTAGGTAAGTACAACGTCACTTTTCGAGTTGCAGTAGATAGTATTTGAGGCAATATAGTTTCATACAATTTCATTCTTCTCAAATAGTTACCGTCGAAGCCGTCGTCAAAGTCTCCAAATAATGGCACTGAATGTTCTATGGATAAATACTGCAAATTTTTAACCAACCCTCTTATGAAGTTAAAAATATTTAAATCGAAAATTTCATTGGATTTATGACTTGAGTATACGAAATTTTGTACAATTGAAAGTTTTTTTAGTTTTTGACAATCATTAACAGGAATCAACTTCAATATAGCCAAAACATCCTCTTGTTCATTTGGGCTGCCTATTACAATCTCTAAATTCTCAAGTTTGGCCCAATTAATTAGTTTAACTAATTCTATATTTTGGGACAATTCTTCATGATTAATAACAAGTTTGAATGTCTTTAAGTTTGACAATACTGTTGGATGGTTGTGAATTACCTGATGTACAAATTTCCAATAATTTGGCTCGTCGTTAGGCAATATCAAGGACTTCAATTTAAATAACCAACCAGGAATATATAACACTGGAGAAGATATAACGCAGGAGTCTGTTATTATTAACTCTTCTATAGATTTTCCGTGAATAAAATGTATTTGGTCATCAAACGTGTCATCAAGCACTCTCGTCTTGACATTAATGGCAGCTAAATCTATCTTAGACCTTAGGTTTATATCTGAAATAAAAAAAGTTCTAAGACTAAGATTATTGGTCAGCACTAATTCCACTAATTGTTTGAGATTGTCAACAAACACGAGATCTTTTTCAAAGTCTTTGCCAATTATATGTATCTCTTCGACATGTTCGAGCAAGGAAGAATTAAATTTCAAAGATTCAATAAGAAGTTGCAATCGCAAATTGATCAACTTCATTTGAACTTCGCTTTTATCAAAAACCTTGCCTTCATTTATTTTATGATGTAATGCATATACCACAGTGTGGTTAGAATCTACGTAATCAGACAACCTTTGGTCACTTGGACTATTGACTATGGGATCTCGTTGGATCAAGATTCGTTTATATAACTTCTGTATACATGGTTGGTAAAATTCGAAATTAGTTTGTGCAAGGTTAAGAACTGATTGTTGAGGTAAGTAGCTGATAATATGCTGCTTTATCGAAGACGGTAAATCGATCAAATTGACCATTGTAAACCCTCGCTTTATATCGAATTCATGTTTTGCAATATTGAATCATCTTGCTCTTTTTTCTGTTCGTTCTCATGTTTGGCCAAAAAAAAATGGTTGGGCCCCACATGCAGTTTCTGAAAAATTAGACTGCGAATCGTGAAACACCAATAAATTGTTCTATAAACAAGGCATCGGTCATCTCTGCTTCAATCATAGAAAATAGTTCTATTACAATTAAGCACAATTGAGCAGGTTTAGATTATTGCATTCTTAATATACACAACTTCAAATGTTTCTTAAACATTAAATAAAAAAATTCAAAACATATAGGGTCTAAAGTTCCTAGTCATTCAGGCTATTGTGACAAACTTTAAATAATTCTTTGAGAATTCTGCTTGCTGCACCTAAGGGAATTCTGGTTTTTGCACTCCTCGGTATTCTTTTGCATTCTGCAAGTATACTCTAATGAACCCTTTCTAGATTCTCAAAGGCGCTTTTGCGTGTCAATTTAGAAGCTGCCATCGTCAAATGTTTACGAAAACTTAAAATGTATCAAATCAACATTATTCGTTAGGCTGTTTTCAATTCTGATCTAAAATAGTATTTTATTGGTCTGCTACAAGAAGCATTAAAACCAAGGCGATTTTCGAGAATATTATAACACTTCTCACTAGCATGAAGTGCATGGAAAATAAAGCAAAGGCCGAATAGCCAACAATGGCACAAATGAGATAAAGTGCGTATAAAAGATAACATACTGGTACATTGTTAAGAGAGATTCACCACTTCTTCCAGCCAAAGCCCTTAGACACTTGAGGCTGGTATAAACATATAATTAATTAGTCCATGACACAAAACGCTAAACAAAGGCATTGCACTACACAACTTAAACAAATATTTCTTGTTGCACTTATTTTATATAGTGGACTCACCAACACAAATTTGTCGATGGGACTAATTTAGACATATCACATTGCTTGGTTATTGCCATTCTTGGGATTTTGATTATCGATTGTTTTTAATGCTGTTGAACAAAATAGGCTGATTAATGTGCTTGCCTTGCAGCTCGCTGAAAGTCGGGTCGGTAGCCCGCAGAAAGCTTAAAAAGAACATGGAATCCCATTTCATTCATTCCATCAATTTCTTACCTTTTCTAATCTTGGAACTTTTCTATTCTAATATTCCTTCATTCCCAAGAAAACCAAGCACAGACTTCACATGACACTTAGACAGAAGTAAATAAAAAATATAAAGTAAAATTAGTAGTTTTCATTATACTTGCTCTTTTCTCTTTAGGTTTTACTTCTTGCGTCTTAACTGCATGCAATTTTGTATTTCAGTTAAAGTTAATTCAAATACGTTATAGTTTAATTATGCTATTGTGTTTATTATTATTTTTTAGCGAGAATTTTCTTAGTACTACATAAAAAATATTAGTATTTTACATTTACAAAAACAGTAATATTTCTCGCTCGAGTTTCTCTTTTTGGCTAAATAAGTGTTTTCCAAACGCGTCACTGGTACTTGACAGGTTGACCGACAAAAGTAGAAAGGTTTAAAAGGGATGTTGTTAATTTCATCCTAATCTACTACCCAATTTCACAGTTTCAATTTAATTCAATTTAATTCAATTTAATTCAATTTCATACTTTTACAAGGGGGTGGATGATGGCCGAAACAGCAGTTTGATCTGCAGCGTCTTGTATGTTCTAGAATGGCAAATAACATGCTCTTCATGTGGTTATGAAACTTCTCTACAATAAGTCAGTCGACTAAAGTGCATCTATTGTTAAGCATTATGTACAAATCGAATGTTGGAATTTGAAGGGTCAAGACTGACATATGTTTGCAACCATCAACCCATTGGCACAACACTCTAAGATTTAGCAACTAAGAAAACAGTAAGAAAATAATACTCTTATCGATAACACTTGTGTCCTATCCTCAGATTACGATTGAAGCCTTATGATTAGTAAATTTGCATAAAAGATGATAGTAATATGGCCGAAAGTTTCTTATTAAGATTTGGAACTCTGGTCTCGGTCCTCTTATTTTTAATATAAAAATTATTTATAGAAGCAAAAGCGTACCGTAGCAAAATTAATGCAGCCAAAGTTCATGTTGCAATATATCAATATTAGTAAAAAAAAATTTATCCAATGTTTTAATAGTAATCAATGGTTATAAAATTTAATATTGGCAGTGCTTTTAACACTTAAACTTATCATTATGCTACCAGACTCAATTGGCCACACATTTTAAATTAATTATCACAAAAGCCTGTTGAATTCGGATGATGTCCGCGCTCACCGAATCTTTGATAAATGCTTATTGTTATGGGACCAACTATGTTAAAGGCAGTTTCCCGCCTCTGATTAAATTCGTCTAGTTCTTCAAGAACAATTCAAAATTATATTATCTAACCATTTGGCTCGATGTGGGAATCGTGTAATGATTTTTTAATACATTTCTCCAACTTCACTGAAGCATTGTTGCCTAGTTTTTCATCTCTTATCAGATGTTACAAATGAGCTAAAGCCGTACGGACGAATTCTCCGGGAATAAATTCGATTTTTCACGTGCCGAAGTTCGGGTTCAAAAAAGGTCAGCGAAAATTTTAGTAGTTAGAAGTTCGGTTGAAAGTGATCGGCCTAAAATCCGTTTACTACTCCTAGAAATGAAGAGAAAAATAATTATCACCGATAAATCCCAAAGTCGGACATGTTGTAAAGTGACCGGCCTTACATCAAGCCTATCTCGGATTCAAAGAATTTGAGACCACAAAGCTATAAATTAGGTACGTTAGCCCCGAGCAAGAAGCTTACTATCACTAATCCTACTGTGCTTTCGTTACTATTCTCTATTAATGTACGTAATTCTCTATATTTGCCTAGATTGTCAAGATTTGCAACTTAGACAAATTTAATGTTATTTTTGAAAAAGGTTAGCATTTATACCATTTGGATCAATTATTCTTTCTATAAAGGCGGTGAATAGCATATATCAGTATATTGTCTGTGATATCAGTATATACTGATATCTACTATTCACAGATAGCCTTCGGAACACGATGTTGATAGGGCTATGCTCTGGCGAAAAGTAAAATAGTGTTCCAGAAGCACTACTCTGGTCCGTGCCAGAGTGATGTCGGCTAGAACTAAGTCGGCTAAAATCATCGGCCATTTTTGGATGGAAGAAAAACAAAAAAAAATAGAACCAAAAATATCCGAGCCGTACAGTCTGAGGAACGCTCAACTGTCGAACTTGTTATATAGATCTTCCTCTCCGTAATAGCTAAATTAAAAGAAAGCGAAATAGACCATCAGAGAAAATCTATAATGAGATGCGGTGGGGACTTTCCCACTATCCTGAAGAACAATTACCAAATTTAACTATAAATAAATTAAAGTTGTGTGCCGGCAATAACCTGAACTTAGCTTATCTCCTTTGGCCGTGTCGGGAGAAAATTTAAATCCCTTTCCTCACGGCTAAAAGCAAGATAAAAGTTTTCTTTGATCATTAAGCTTTAGAGTTCAGGACCCTAAGATTATTTCGATGAATGATTATAAATACATACTAAATATATAGCCTCTAATGAATCTTTCGGCCGAATGATAATCGATCCAACATCTACTATTGCTACTATCTACTATTACATTACCTTTACTCATCTCTAAGTATACTCTTGCTATAATGTACCAATAACTTGTTTAATAAACTCCAATCCAATTACAAGCCTTATCCGGTATAACCTCCACAATAACACATCTTTCCACATCTTTCTATCGTATAAAAATCTAAATAAACTAGCCTAAAAATATAGTAGTCCGGATGGATTTGGCTCGCATCATAATTCCGAAATCCACAAATAACAATAAAAAATTTCAATGACAATAACAATCGGAAAAAAAAGAAAAATTTAAAATATAAAACCAAGAATTTTCCCTTGTCTTATTCATCTTCTATAGAATTGCAATAACTTCTGTCAAATATTGTATTTTTAGAGTTATTAGGTTGACCGTTATTACAATCAGACTTTACTACTGTGAAATATCAAACAGTATATTACTCAATTGATAATTTTTCATTGAGTATTGACTACAATTTATCATTTAAAAATTGTACTACTCATCATCTCGTCATCTGACTGTTAACAAATATCGTTACAAAGTTTCCTCTACCATTTGTATATATAAAAAACCATCATTATCATTTTAAAAATGTCATCACAACCAGCAAATTCTTCCACTCTGAGTGGAGAGCAAAAGAAGGATGAAAATAGAGACCATGCTACTAGTCAATTCGATACTTCATTATCTCAAAGGGATGATGATTCATCTGATGAACTTACAAATTCAAATCCAGACCCTGAAGCATTTGTTGGTCATAAGGAATCAGATTCCGACTCACATCAAGCAGGTACCGATAATGAAGATTTGGAAAGAGATGCTGTAGAAACTTATGATCCAATTCCAGAAGGTGGTGATGAATTAACTAGATATGAATCAAGTGCTGCTTTATCTAGAAGTTTATCCAGAAGATTAACAGGCGCTGATAAATTAATTGAAGAAGCCAATAATACTGATGAACCATTACCTAAAATGGGTGGTGATCGTCCTTATCCACCTGGTTTACCAGATAGATCTCCATATGCCATCCAATTTGATGGACCACTTGATCCTCTTCATCCTCATAATTATAGTCTTATCAAAAAAATATTCTTCACCGCTTCTGTGGGTTTAGCTGCATTATCTGTTTCAATGGGTTCAGCCTTTTTTGCTGAAAGTCAAGAAGTAATTATGGAAAAATTCCATGTTGGAGCTACTACCGCCACATTAGGTACTTCTCTTTTCGTTTTCGGTTTTGCATCAGGTCCTGTTATTTGGGGTCCATTGTGTGAATTATTTGGTAGAAAAACTGTAATGGTTCCTTCTACTTTTGGTTATGTCTGTTTCTCATTTGCTGTTGCTACTGCTAAGGATCTTCAAACAATTATGATTTGTCGTTTCTTTGCTGGTTTTGTTGGAGCTGCTCCTTTGGTTGTTGCACCTGCTGTTATGGCTGATTTATTTTCTGCCAAGGCTAGAGGTACTGCTATTGCAGTTTTTGCTATGGTCTTATTCGGTGGTCCAATGTTAGCACCAATTTTGGGTGGTTTCACTGTAAAGAATCCTGGTTTAGGATGGAGATGGACTTCTTATTTCTGTGCATTAATTGGTGTTTTATCATTCCTCATGAATACTCTTGTATTAGAAGAAACTCATCATGCTATTATCTTAACTCAAAAGGCTGAAAAATTAAGAAGAAGAACTGGTAACTGGGGTATTTTTGCTCCTCATGAAGAAGTCAATCTTTCTTTCCGTGAAATTGTTGAAAAGAATATTACCAGACCAATTGTTATGTTAGTTACAGAACCTATCTTATTATTGATCACTATTTATAATGCTTTTATCTATGGTATGCTTTATCTTTTCCTTACAGCCATTCCTTTGATTTTCCTTGGTAATTATCGTTTCAGTCAAGGTGTTGCTGAATTACCATATTTAGCTATGTTAATTGGTATCTTCTTTGGTGGATTAACCATTATTTTCTTTGAAAAGAGATATAATCGTGCTATGGATGCCAATGGAGGTAAACCAGTTCCAGAAGAAAGATTACCTCCTATGATGGTAGGTTCATTCTTCTTTGCTGGTGGTATTTTCTGGTTAGGTTGGGCTGGTGATTATGCTGATCGTGTTCCTTGGATTGTTCCAACTCTTGGAGCTGGATTCATTGGATACGGTTTAATCTTAATTTTCTTACCATGTCTTAACTATATTATTGATTGTTATTTATTCTTTGCTGCTTCAGCTTTAGCTGGTAACACTTTCTTAAGATCTGCTTTTGGTGCTGTGTTCCCATTATTTGCAAGACAAATGTTTGAAAGTATGCAAATCAAGTGGGCAAGTACTTTATTAGGATGTGTTGCAATTGTAATGATTCCTGTACCTTTCTTGTTCTATAAATATGGTCGTCGTTTAAGGGACAAGTCAAAATACGCTTTTGTTTTATAGATTCTTTTCCTTTCCTATTCATTCCTTCTTCTGTCGTCCCTTGACACTTCATTCTAATATTCTTTAAATTTAATAATACATTATTCACATTCACATTCAGATTCTGCTGTTTATAGTCATACCCTTAATATACTTAACTTAATCTTATTCTATATCGTAAATGTATTATCATTAGTATTGGTATTGGTATTGGTATTGGTATTGTTCATAGTATACTAACAAATTTAGTGGGATTTGCAATCATATTTAAATTTTGCCAAGGTCGGCAATTAGGGTGCGAGATTTTTAGGTCGGTCAAACGAGAAATTTTTCAAAGTAATGGTACCGATTGTTTAAAGATCCAGTGGGGTATTTCAATTATGTTCGTGCGTAACACGAGGGGATCGATACCGAATTGGTTACGAGTACGATACTTCAGTAGTTGTCAACGAAGTTTTAAAGCTCCTAATGGGGGAAAGTCTCAAGCTCCTGCTAATTTCCTAGGTAGAGCTTCAAATAATTTATCTGTTGGATTAGTTGGGTTAGCTAATGTTGGAAAGTCAAGTATATTCCAAATCCTTACCCGTCAAACAAGTGTAGGTACACCTGCCAATTATCCATTTGCTACTATTGAACCAACTAAATCTATTATTAATGTACCACTGATAAAATTGGATCATTATCAAAAACTTTTCCAATCTAATAAGAAAATTGAATCTAATTTGTTGATTTGGGATATTGCTGGACTTATTAGAAATGCTTCAAGTGGTGCTGGATTAGGTAATAAGTTTTTAAATGATATAAGGAATGTAGATGGGATTTTCCATGTCATTAGAGGATTCAGAGATGATGATATTATTCATATTGAAGAAAATAAAGTCGATCCCTTACGTGATTTGGTCATTGTTAATGATGAATTAATACTTAAAGATTTAGAATTTGTTGAAATTGGAATTGATAAATTAACAAAATTGTTGAAAAGGCCAGGTATTAATAAAGCAGAAGTCGAAAATGAAATAAATATACTAGAAAGAATTCAAGAGTTATTATATGAAGGGAAAAAGGTATCACAAATCGATTGGAATGCAGAAGAAGTAAATATTATAAATCCTTATAATTTTCTTACTGCAAAGCCTACTTTGTATTTATTGAATGTCAATGAAAACGATTACTTAAATCAAACTAATGAATTCTTAGAGTCTGTTACAGCTTGGCTTGAAGAAAATTCTCCTCGAGATAAACTAATTATGATAAGTGCAGATCATGAAACTACATTATTAGAACAAGAAGTAGAAGAAGAAACTGTCACTGGATCTACTATTGTAGCAGAAGTTATAACTACAATGAAATCAGCCTTGAACTTAATATCATTCTATACTTGTGGACCTAAAGAAGCTCATGAATGGAATATTAGAATGGGTAATACAGTTCAAGAAGCTGCAGGATGTATTCACACTGACTTACAGAAGACATTTATTTCATCAATTGTTTACAAATGGGACGATTTAAAGACTATGGATTTGTTCAATGAAACTACTTTGAAAAGTAGTGGAAAACAATATAAACAAGGTAAGAAGTATCTTGTTGAAGACGGTGATGTAATAATAATCAAGGCAGGCAGTGCCAAAGTCCGATAATTATAATTCCAAATAATAATTCTCCAAGAGGTACATTACTATAATTATTCTTTGTGTGCCTATTTGGCTGCAATTCCCCTAGGCTTGCTGAAACTACTGTATATATACATGAATTACTTTGTAAATAGCTTAAAATTAATGTAATTTGATTTATTAATAGAGCAATCAAACATCCTTAATTAGAGCTATAGAAGGCTCAACTCTTCTTTATTAATTAAGACGTTTAGTTTTAAGGTTTGGGGTAAATCTAGTAATTTACCCCAAATGGGAAATTTTGGTGTGCAGGATTGATGGGGTTTCACAGCACTACTCCGACCTCCGTCCTCCGACCTTCTGGAGTGGAGTAAAGTCATGCTACGTCATTTAAAAGAGGGGTTAATAAGACAATCTAATCGAATATTAGTGAACTTAAAAGGAAGTAAGCTTCCATTTAAAGTACTTATAGCCTAATCTGGAGTTACAAAAGCTAAGAAAAGTCGTCTGAATCAGACGATTACAGTATTACCTTTATAGGAATAGATACTAAGGGTACTAAGGTACAAAACTTATATACAATACAATTGATGATTGTATGGGTGCTCATAACGCACAGCCGACTTTCATTTGAATTATTCAAATGTTTAATACAGTAATTTATTGACTTACCCCAACTTCCATTAAACTACGATGTCCTATTTACGCCCCCACCGTAAGCTTAAGCAGTAAAGCCATTCTAACAAAGTTAACTCGCCCCAAATATTTACACAGCCACCTAATATTACTGATACTACTCTTTAAACAACTCTTACATAATATTTCTACTTAGAACCACATCCTACCACTACCACTACTACTAGAACCATATTAGCTAAATGGCAGCATATCCATTTCCCCCAAATACACGACCAACAATAGCAGAAAAATAAACAGGAACAGAAACAGAAACAGAAACAGAAAAAGAAACGAAAAAGTTTGCAGCGTGTCGGATGTCAAAATATCTAAGCCCAAACATCCATACACTGTCAAAAAAAAATCTCATCAATTTAGCCATACTAATTAGGGCCATCCGGTGCATGTTCAAATTCAAATTACCTGTTAATTTCTCCTTCAGGCTATAACTAACTTTCGTATTTACAGTACAATAGTCCCTGTAAGCTCTATATAACAACAAATTACAGTAGTTAAGTTTCCTTAGTTTAAATCTCCACATTTATCAATAATTCACTATATTTGTTGGAATATTTTTAATCATTGTCATCATTTTCCACCATATCTTCCGCCTTCCGTTTCTTACATTTTAGATACCGGTTGATCTGATAGTTCTATACAAGAGGAGTATTACGCTGGTTCGTGCATTTTCCAATATTATTATTATTAATTATCATTAATTATTAATTATTATCATTTATTATTATCATTTGTTATTATTATTATTATCATCATCATCATTCTATTTTTTCTCGTAATACCATACCTCTTTGTTTGATTCTGCACATTATAACTCGTTGGTTTTATTCTCGTCCCTTGTTTCATGATATCAAGACACGTTACCAATATAATTTCAACAAGGGCTTCTTATAATACTGTTACTACAACAACTATTGGAACTACTACTACAACAACAACTCCTTTATTATCTAATAAAATGGTTATTTCTTCAGTATACAACTATTTCTTTTCAAGATCTACAAATACATCTCCTGTTCATCAAGATCATCATCATAATTTCTCTACATATAATAGACCTACTGATTATAATTCTTTTCATCCTAATTTAAAACCAGTTTTACAACAACTAGATGCTATAAGTCCAAGATTTATTGTTAATGCTAATGATATTACTATATTAAATGATCCAAAAGTATTTTATCAAACTTTATGTAAAAAGATTTCTCAAGCAAAATCAAGAGTATTCTTAACAAGTTTATATATTGGAAAAACTCAATATGAATTAATTGAAATTATAGATAAAGCATTGACTGCTAATGAAGATTTAAAAATAGATATCTTAACTGATGCTTTAAGAGGTACAAGAGAATCTCCTCAAGCTCCTTCTTCAGCTACTCTTTTACTTCCATTAATTGAAAAATTTGGTAATCATAGAATTAATATTAGAATGTATCATACTCCTCATTTAGCAGGTTTTGTTAAATCAATAACTCCAAAACGTATTAATGAAGGTTGGGGTTTACAACATATGAAACTTTATGGTTTTGATAATGAAATCATTCTTAGTGGTGCCAATTTATCAAATGATTATTTTAATGATAGACAAGACAGATATTATATATTTAATGATAAAAATTTAACTGATTATTATTATAAAATTCAAGCTGCTATTCAATCAATTAGTTATCAAATTTTACCATCTTCAAAATTACCAGCTGGTTTTAGATTATCTTGGCCAACATCAAATAAATCTTGTGAACCTCATCTTAATTTACATCGTTTCATTCAAGATTCATCACATTTATTAGATCCATTATTAAAAACTAATGGACAATCTCAAACTACTTCATCAGAAATTCCATCAAATTTCGATACTGTTGTATACCCTATTAGTCAATTTACACCATTATTTCCTGATCAAAATGATAGATCTACTGAAAAACCAGCCATTCTTAGATTATTATCATATCTTGATTCAAGTTCAAATATAAAATGGTGGTTCACCGCTGGTTATTTCAATATGTTACCTCAGATTCAAGATAAATTACTTAATTCCAAGAATTCTAAAGGTGTTGTAATAACCGCATCTCCAAAGGCTAACTCCTTTTATAAATCTTCAGGAATTTCTTATTATTTACCCCAAGCTTATCTTTTATTTGCCAAAAGATTCTTAGAACAAATCCAGAAGTTGAATAAACAAGACTTTGTCAGTGTATTTGAATGGGAAAATGGAATTGTTAATACTCCAAATGGTTGGTCATATCATGCTAAAGGTATTTGGATTACTACTCCTAATGAAGATCATCCTTCCATGACAATTATTGGTTCTTCAAATTATACAAAGAGAGCATATTCATTAGATTTAGAAAGTAATGCTATCATTGTAACTAGAAATGCTGAATTAAAATCAAAAATGAGACATGAAATTGATCATTTAATGGAACATGCTAAACCATTAAATTTAAGTGATTTCCATCCTAAACCTGTCAATGATAAACAAGAAGAACTTCCTGAAAAAGTAGAACAAATAAGTGAAAATATGGGTGAGATTATAGATACATTTGCTGCTATTGAAGATAATTCTGATCATCCTCTGAAATTACGTTCCGATAGTGCAAGATCTTCACCTGTACCGGAATCAGAGGCAAATAAAGAATCATCACCTCCAGTTTATGAAATTGATGAAGATAAGAAGATTGGATATGGAGTCCATTTAGCAGTAAAACTTTTAGGTGGAAAATTATAAGACTAATTAATATTAATATTAATATTTTATTTAAATTCTTTAATTCATACCCAAAAAAAGTTCGTTAGATTAAATATACATACTTGCATACATAGACTTTTATAATAATACAGGCAGTATTTACACTGATTCTTCAGGTGTATCTATTGCACTATAATACAATTCTAATTTAGGTCTATGACCCTTATACCATTTGAATTGTTGAAGCGAAAGAATAATCATGGTTATACAATTGAAACATAAATATGTCCATCCCATATAATTAATAGGAATATCATACCATGCGACTTCACCTTGTACAAGCCAATAACCTATTAAGTATAATATATAACTAACCAATTGTAGATGTAACCAATTATCATGAAGTCCAATACAACAATCATCAAACCAATTCATCATCAATTGAGGACAATATTTCATTATCAGTAATACTTGTCCAATAAACCATAAAGAATCTATAACATCTATCCCTACAATAGTTTCTTGTTTATACCAATAAAGTTTATACACATAACAAAACAAGAGAAATAAAAATGTAAGAAATAATTTATGTAATCCACTAAAACATTGATTAATATTTTTTGTAGTTGGATATACAATATAAAGTTGCCATATAATTGCAAAATATAAAATAACAAGTACGGAATATTCAACTATTATTCCGGAATTGAGGGGAATAATTGAATGAACAGGATATCGATTTTTATATTGTTGAGAAATAATAGAACTAAATCGATAACTATAACTTGTTAATAATATTAATCCAGTACTTATAAAATTAGCTATATAATAATCAAAGGATATTCCATAAATGGATTTCTTTACTTTATTATGTCTGATTTGTTGAATTTGATTAATAATCTCTATGAAAACTGACCCCAAAATTAGTAAACTACCGGGTGTCATCTCATCATATATGTTAATGTTATGGTTATATTGTGTATATTCTCTATTACTATAATTCGTATAGTAATTATCGAATTAAGTTCTATAGTAGTATAAATATTACTGTAAGTCTTATCAATAAAAATTATTGTGTGGAGGAGGGTCGTGTCACAGTTACCAAATATCTGACCCACTATTTTGTTGCGAGTCCGTTGATGTTTAGCAACTACTAACTGAATAGCACTAATCCTTAACCAACCCTGTAATATCAAATGGTATTGTCACTGGAAATAGAGGGGAACTGGGATATTGTTATAACGTCCCTTCAGGATATTTGTAATTCTAATGAATCGCTTACTTTCGATAACATATACAAAAAACACCTTGAAGAACTAACTCATGATGAAGACGAGTTAACTAAACTAAAAGAAGAAATAATAGATCATAAATCCAACATAGGCACAGCCAGACGACTCATTGACACCTCGCATGAGAAATTACAAACTTTGATAGAGTATTTACAGAAGCAACTTGAAAATGAAGATGGTGATGGTGAAAGTGAGGCTGCTATATCTTCGACGAAAGAATCATCAGTTGCTGCAAATGGTAAAGAAGGTGTATCTACCAGAAAGGGAGCGGCTGCTGCGGCAGCTGCTGCGGCATCTTCTACTAGAAGAAGTTCTACACCATCAAGTGCTGTGAATTCTGCGGCTTCAAAATCATCAGGATCTGGAACTACACCAGCAGCCAATACTTCCGATTCAAGAATTAATAAAGATACAAAGAAAGGTAGTAGTAAGAAGGGAGTTGGAAGACTGTTTTATACTTCTAAATTCAATCCTCTGGAACCCATATATGTTGGATCAGAAGTTGCTTATAAATTAAAGAATAGACATTTTGAAGAATGGATTCAATGTGAAGTTATGAAAGTTATTGGAGATGGTATAAAATTTGAAATAAGAGATCCTGAACCCGATGAAAATAATAATCCAGGACAAACTTTTAAAGCCAATTATAAAGAAATATTATTAATACCACCTCTTGAAGAAGTTAAAGAATTATCAAATTATCCTTATGGAACAAAAGTACTTGCAAGATATCCTGAAACAACTACATTTTATCCTGCTGTTGTAGTAGGAAATAGAAAAGATGGTAGTGTAAGACTTAAATTCGATGGAGAAGAAGAGGTCAATAAGGAAACTGAAGTTGAAAGAAGGTTAGTTGTTCCATTTCCTGAAAAGTAAATTAACGTGAAAATAGTAAAATAATTATAGAATTATGTATATATATATATAACTCTGTATAACATGTATAATTAAGAGGTCGTGTATATCGGCTCAATAAATCCTGGTCAATTTTTCACTTTTTTTTTTGAACGACATTGCGGTAATTGAAATGTTTAACGAAGAGCCCCATAATTTGTTAAGAAACTAGTTATTACTAAACTTCAATTAGTTCTTTGTTTAGGTTGGCAGTTGGCTTTGTTTTGAAATATTTTTTTTTCCATTTGTATTATAATTTATTGTTCGGTGCTGAATTTATTTGTTTAACTGGGCCGTACTACACATTTTAGTTATTATTAAAAAAACGTCGACATTCACAAAATATATCGTAGGTATAAGGAATAATGGAGGGTATGGATATTGATGATTATTCAAGAGTATGTTTTTAATTGAATATTTGTTTTGAAATTGGTAACAAAATATGAGATGCTTGAAATCTTGATGATTCAATACTAAATTAGTTTGGGTGAAAAGTTGGTGATAATTTCTATGGTTTAATTGATTAACCTAGTGAATTTTCATTGCGTAGGTTTTTCGAGGGTCTAATGTTTTGTTGCAATTTTTTTTGGGTTTAAGGAACCTCATTGCTAATGCTATTTTTAGGATCGTTCTCGTTCTCGTTCTCCTGTGAGAGACAGATCTCGTGAGAGAAGAAATTCTACTACAAATTCTAGTAGTAGAGATTATCGTGGTGGACGTTCAGAAGGAAGCCGTGATTATCAAGGTGGAAATAGTAGAGATTATGGTACCAATAGAAGATTTGAAGAAAGAAGAGGTGGTTACCGTGGAGGTAGACCTAGTGGAGGAAGTAGAAGAGATTATGGAACTTCATCAACTTCTGATTCGGATTACCGTTCTAAAACTGAAAGAAATTATGATAATTCTATTTTCATAAGTAATGTACCATTTGACAGTACTCCAAAGGATATCGAAGAACTTTTCAAAGGAGAGTTTGGTGTCAAAAGAGCTGATATTGTTACAAACAGAGGTAGATCAAGAGGTATGGCCACTGTTGAATTTTCCAGTAAAGCTGATGTTCAAAAAGCAATTGAAAAATTCGATAAATATGATTATAATGGAAGACCTTTATACATAAGACAAGATTATCCACCACCAGAAAAGAAAGAATTTCCTCCAAGACGAGAAGAATTTAGAGGTGGAAGAGATAGAAGAGATGATTATAGAAGTAACAGAGATGACTACAGAGGTGGTAGAGATGATTACAGAGGTGGTAGAGATGACTACAGAGGTGGTAGAGATGACTACAGAGGAGGTAGAGATGATTACAGAGGAGGTAGAGATGAATTCAGAGGTGGTAGAGAAAGAAGAGAACCACCAGCTCCAGGTACTGAAGTTTTCATTGGTAACTTGCCCTTTTCTGTTAATTGGCAAGCATTAAAGGATTTAATGAGACAAGCTGGAGAAGTAGTAAGAGCCGATGTTAAATTGGACTGGAGTGGTAACTCAAAAGGTTTTGGAACTGTTGTTTTCAGTTCTGTTGCTGAAGCTGATAAAGCCATTGAAATGTTCCAAGGTTATGAGCTCGAAGGTAGAGAACTTAATACTCGTCCAGGTAAGGTAATTTCAACTGAAGGTCGTGAAAGAGACTCTTATGAAGGAAGTAGAGGAGGTAGAGAAAGACGTGAAACTCCAGTTCAGAAGAACTCTGAATTTACTGAAGGAGTTGAAGGAGATGGAGAAAAGTCAGATACTATCTATGTAAGCAATTTACCATTTATTACTAGTAATGATGATTTATATGAATTATTTGAAACTGTTGGTAGAACTACTAAGGCAGAAATACAATTTAATGAACAAGGTAAACCTTCTGGTAATGCTGTTGTTCAATTCGAAGTAGCAGATATTGCTGAAAGTGCCATTCAAAGTTTGAATAATTACAACTATGGTGATAGAAATCTTAAAATCACCTATGCTAAAAGACCATAGGATTTCCATACAATAGAGTAAAACTTACATAAAAATATCAAATCCTTTGAAATTCCTCCTATAATGAACAAAAAGTTATTAAAAATTTAAATTTTTCAATTTTCGATTTTCTGCAATTAATTACCTTTCTCTAACTGTTTGCATAATTAAATATATTACTGCATCAGTTCCCTTGTCTTAGTAAATAGAAATTTAACATATTATTTTTGTTACTCTCTAAGTGTCCCGCGACTAAAACTTTCCGTATAGTTCGGTTTGTTTGGGGTGCGGCCGAATTTATTTACTCTTCGGATGTAGGATATTTTCAGCAGTAGCCGCAATCCATTAATTCATGATGGATATCTGGTATAAAACGATGGTCAATTCCCGTATTTTCGGATTAAGGTTATATCAATAGTTAGATACAATTATAGTTATATATATTATATCAAATTGTTCTGAAAATAGTTTATAAACGTTAATGTCTACTGAAGAAAATATGGGATTGAAAGTTATAATTACCGGTGTTACTGGTATGGTTGGAGAAGGTGTTCTTACTGCTGCTTTAAAGGATGAATCTATTAAATCAATATTATCTGTCTCAAGAAAATCAGTAGGATTCACTCATCCTAAATTAAAAGAATTGATAGTGCCTGATTTTCTCGAATTAAAGGAAACTCAACAAGATTTACAGGGTTTTGATGCATGTTTTTATTGTGTGGGAATCAGTTCAAATGGGTTAGATGAAAAAACTTATACTAAAATAACGTATGATACCAGTGTTCATTTTGCTGAAGTTGTAGGTAAATTAAATCCTAAATTGACCTTTAATTATATGTCAGGAGCTGGAGCTAATAGTTCAGAAAAGGGTAGAATGATGTGGACCAGAGTTAAAGGTAGAACTGAAAATAAATTGAAAGATATGTTCCCTGGAAGACAATACAGTTTCCGTCCTGGATTAATGAAACCTTTCCCTAATCAAACTCACTTATATGGTTATAATAAGTATATAAATATCTTATACCCAGTTTTTAATCTCATTATGACCGGTGTATCTTTACAAAATTTAGGTGATGCTATGATATATACGGCTGTTAATGGTTATAGTAAAACCATCTTAGAAGCTGCTGATATTAACAAAGCAGCTAAGGCATATAAAGGTGAAAAATAAATTGTATTTAATTGTAATTAGACCAATGTATTTAACAATGTAAGTATTTTATTAAATTAGTACGTCACTATAGTTTGTATAGTCCACTAGGTACCTTTTATTGATTATTCAATAAACTATTTTTAGTCTTTGCAGCCTAATTACGACATGGCAGAGACCCTATGTCCTTAAATTCCGCGCTTATATAAGCGGGACTAGTCACGTTGCTTATAATCACTCACCGTAAAATTTCTATATATAAGTAGTGTGCCATTGCCCCTGTTGTCTTGTTAGTAAGAAGAATACCAAATAGTTTTGTAGTGGTATAGATCATCATGGCTGACGAGACGGGAATTGAGATCGAGACAGACAGAGGAGTGACAATTCCTTCAAATAATAATTCTACTTTGGCAACATATTTGGATGAAGGAAAGAATACGATAAAGTCACATTATGTTATATTTGTAGTACTATTAATAGGGGGATTATTATTATTTCATTTCAGAAACAAAATTGCTGAAGCACATGATAGATTCAGAACTAGACAAAGATCAAGAAGTGGATTTTATGATAGACTTAATGGATTTGAGAATGATTTGGCTAGTGGGTTAAATAGTGCTAATTTTGATATAGAATCTAATATCTCTAATGGAGATTCTAGAAAAGGTTTACTGGAAGAAGCTAAAGAAGCTATTAAGTCATTAATGAAACTGAAGGGATTAAGCTTTGATGAAGCCAGACTTCAATATACTACGCAGAAGTTTTCTCAAAACAATGTTGATAGTAATGGTGTACCTAAAGATCCAAAATTGGTAACCTTTTAAGTTAAATTTAGTTAGATTGATTGAATTTGTATAGGGCTCATTTGAGATTCTATTAATGAATGATGAATAATATATGGAATTAAATTATAAGTTATTATTGTAGAGTTGAGTTATTTACAGTATAGACAATAGTGAAATAGTGAAATAGTGAAATAATGTAATTATCATTACAAATAGCTGAAAGATGATTTTACCACTATTATTCTTACTTACAGTATAAATACTCTTACTAACACCAATACATACCATTTAACTATAAATATTTAACCTACAATCACAATTGATTGCAAATATTTAAACTTATAACCCCATCTCTTCCTCTTGCCTAATTAGGCAATGGACGCAAAGAGCGGTCACGTGCCTGTGTTTATGTTTACAAAACCTGTCCGGAAAAAAAAATAATAACATACATTTGCAGACACTCCGACCCATCACATATATATTGAATAGTCAATTTATAATACTTTACCTTATTGAAATCTTAGTAGAAGGGGTTTGAAAACAGAAATATGGGAGTATATCGACGTTACGCGTCAGGCGATCATGATGAAGATTTCTTTAAGGGTAAACGACAGCATTCTAATAGTAATGGTCATAGTACAAATTTCACAGCCAATGAATTTTCAATAAAGGCAATAACTATTCCACCAATGGCAGGACATTTTGATTACCATTATAGAGATATTTCTAATCGTATTATGACATTACAAGAGTATAAACATTCATTTAATACGGCAGCATTTTATTATGGATATGATAAACAAGTATTTGGAGATGTTATAATAATGGTATATAATCATATAAAGACTAATAAAATTAGTACTAAAACAATAACAAAGTATGGATTAACATCTTATGATAATTTAAAATTGGATCCACTATCTCGATTTTGGCCTAGTTGTGAAAATCTTACGGAAGAAAATAAGAAATCACCAGTAAGAAGAGCTTTAGCTATAACCAATTTAAAGAATTATAGTAAATTAACAAATCATTCAGGTAATCTACAAGTTGATAGAACATGGGATGAAACTGATGCTGGTTCATTGGCCAATGAAATGAAACTATTGGATTTCAAAACTCCAATCCAATTGGGTTATAAACTTTCTCAAATAGGACTCCTTCAACCTCATCATATTAATTCAGTATTATTAGATATTATTTATGATAATTCAAATGAATTAGTAATTAATGATAATAATCGATTAGTTTATTTAATTGGAGAACAATTGGATCAATTATTTGATCCATTATTAGAATATTCTCCCGAAGCAATGCAAATTGAATATTCAGTTCCAACCACTGCTAATTATATACCTCCAAAAGTTAATAGTCATTTAATTGATTCAATTGTTACAGAATTAATTACTGTACAAACTAATTTTACTATGGGATTAGTTAATTTATTACAAAATTTCATTATTCCATTAAGAATTAGTGTTTTATCATCATCAGCCAATTCAGGTATAGCTAAATTAAATCAAGTTTTCCCACCAACAATTGATGAAATAACAAGAATTAATTGTATATTACATGATGCTTTAAATCGAGCTCATAGTTATGGATATATGGAAGTTATGAAAGTATTAAATATGATTTTACCATATTTTTATAAACCATTTATACGTCATGAAGCTAATTTAAGAAACTTTTCTACCAAAATTAATAGATTTAATAAAAAGAATCATTCAAAAGTATTTGATAATGATTCAATTAATCGAGGAGATTTTGGTTATAGAGAAGTTGAATCAATTATTTCTGGTTCATTAATGGAATTACCAAAAATAAAATTAATATTAAAAAGATTACAAGATACAATTATTTCAGAAAAGATTCATTTAAGAGGTACATTTAAAGATGAAGAATCTAATATATTTCAAATATATTTTGATAAAACCATTGAAATAATTGATGCCTTTGGAGGAGAAGAAGATACTTATGATAGAATAGATTTAAATCAAAGAATTTTTACTCCAACTGGTAAAATCTTAACTGAATTAGCTGAAGATTGGCCCAGTGAATTACAATATGGTTGGTTAACTAGAAAAGTAGTTGGTATATTTGAATTAAGAAATATGAAACCAATAAATTTATATGATATTGATATCCTTATTATATTCTCAGATCATTTATTATTTATAACCATTGTTGATGATAATTATTATTTGAATCAACAACAAACTTCAATCAAAAGACTTTCTATTCCAGATATTTTAATGCATTCATTAATTAATGAAAAACCTTTACCAAATCTTTCTCTGTTTCCTTCTATGCAAGTAACTCATTGGTGTGATATAAATGAAGTATTGGTTACTTCATATCAAGGTATTAATAATGATGGTAAACCTTGTGATTATCTTAAATTCCTTAGTTTAAATCAATTAGGATTTAATGAAAGTGAAAGTAATCCAACAAATCAAAACTTTACTATGAATTATGAAGTACAACAAAATGATATTATACATGATATTAAAGTTAATGATTCTATTATGCAATTAATCAATAAAGCTAGAGTCCTATTAAAGAGTCAACCATTTCATTTATTTAGATCAAATACTTCAGATTTAACAGTATATTCAACAGCTCATGATATATCAGTTTATGAAGCAGAAACTTGTAAATCTCCTATAGGATTATTTTTAAATTTAAACATTGATTATAAACAATGGTTTGAACAATACCCTCATTTAAATCTTATAATTAATTCTTCATTTGTAACTCAAGATATGGTTAGAATTAAATCTATTGATAGATATGGAATTATTACTACAAGACAAACATGTAATTTAAATCAATTTGAAAGTACTATTCATGAAATTATTTCCAATTATATTATTAATACTTTCATATCAATTAATAAAACATCAACACTTGCAAGTGAAGGGATTGTTAAAGATCTTCAATATTTTTGTAAAGATTTCCTCAAGTATGATGCTAATAAATTAAAGGAAGAGTTAAAGGAAAGATTTAAAGAAGGTAAATCATTACCTGGAACTGAATTGACAAAAAGGACTCATAAAAAGGCATTAAGTTTGGCATTATCCATGCCTGAAAGTTATATTAATGGTAATAAACCAGTAGTAAAGGAGACCAAAGAAATGGAAGTGCCTAAGCAAACCAAAAAGGTGGAATTCAAAGAAGAAAGTGTATCGAATGAGAAGGCCAAGAGAAGAAAGTCGTTTATTGAGGTTATATTTAAATCTTTGAAACGTAGTAGTAGTAGGAAGGATAGAAAGGATCCTACTAATAAAGATACTCCTATTAATAAAGATACTCCTATTAATAAAGATACTCCTATTAATAAAGATACTCCTATTAATAAAGATACTCCTACTATCAATGATGATAACTTGTCGGAGGATCTCATTCCTAAGGGAGAACAGATTGAATATAAACACATCTATAGTCCTATTCCTGAGTTGCACAGAGCCGAATCAGTTAAGATAAGTAAAGTGAGAAAACAAGAGCTTAACACGGGTACGAAGTCCTCTTCATTACAAGACAAGACAAGTCAGCAACCCACGATTTTAAAAGCTGAGGTTGCAAATGTTCCAATTCCAAATCCAGTCCAAGCTCCTATTCTCAAGAATACTCCTATCTCACAGACTGCTACTATTCCAACAAGTAATAATATGAATGCTTCTCCTATTTCCAATCAAGTTTCTGTACCATCTCCTCCTTCTACTACTGCCATCTCTGTTCCCGACATTAAGCAAATGAAGCCTAACGAATCAAAAGCACAATCAGCTCCACAACACACTAAATTGTTTTCTATAAAATCAACATCAAGCAAGCACTTACATCAGCAAACTGTATTTGATTATGAATTTAAAGAAGAAGAATACTACAATGATGGAGAATCTAATTGGATTCCAATTTCATTCAGCAGAGAAAACTCCGCCCAGGTTGGAGTGTCTGAACAGCTCCTGGAATCTTTAGATCAATTGGTTAAAGGATTGGACCCTGAAGGAAAGACTGTTGAAAATCCTCAACCACAATCTGACAAAGTCATTGAACATAAGATTGTTCAACCAGTTACAAAATCATCTGAGTCAGTGGTAAATAAGATTCCTCCTAAACCAAAGTTAATAGGTCCTATTAAACCACCTTTCCATCCAGGTTTTAGAGATGTATCGCAAAGATCACTTACTCCATCAGAAATTGTCAATGATTTCTGTCAACAAATAGATAGTAAGTTTTCTAGTGAAAGACAATTACCAAGAAATTTTTCTTATATTAATCCAAGTATAAGTAATAGTGTACTTAATTTACCTCAATATAATGTTAGTCAAGTTACATTAACAAGTTCATCAGATGAATTCTTTTCACCTGATGAATTTGAATTTGGAGAACAAATGATTCCACAAGAATCATTTAATAAATCAACTTCTCCTGGTACACTTACATCTGCTTCAAGTGAAGCAACTATAATTAATGCTATGATAGATTCACCTCAAGATTCTCATCATAATACTAATCCTATTTCTAATCCTAATCCTAATCCTAATCCTAATAACTTTAACCGAGATTGGTCAATTCCTAGTTTTGTAACAAGAGATGATTCAATTGCTTATTTATCAGAATATTTAAATCAAACGGTAGATTTTGGAGACTTTTCTTTACCATAGATAAATAAGTAAATATTTAATTAATTAATAACGTAATACATTAAAAAGATATATATATATAAGAATGTATATGATGATTTAAGCAGATTTCTTTAAAATCTTAATGACAGCTTCTACAACAGCAGCTCCAACTTCTTGAGTAGAACTTGTACCACGTAAATCCGCCGTTCTAATACCAGAATCTAATACTTGACGAACAGCTTCTTCTAAAGCATCAGCTTCTTTAAGAGAATCTAATGATAATCTTAACATCATTGCAACTGATAAAATAGTGGCAATTGGATTTACTTTATTAGCAGGTAAATCGGGGGCTGAACCATGACATGGTTCATATAATCCAAAAGCTTTATTAGTATCTGGTAAAGATGATAAAGAAGCTGAAGGTAAAAGACCTAAAGAACCAGGAATTACTGAAGCTTCATCAGAAATAATATCTCCAAACATATTAGAAGTAATTACTATACCATTTAATTTACTTGGAGATTGAACTAAAATCATAGCAGCAGAATCAATTAATTGATGTTGAACTGTTAAAGTTGGAAATTCTTGACTAATTACTTTATCAACAGTTTTTCTCCATAATCTTGATGAAGCTAAAACATTTGCTTTATCCAATGACCAGATTGGTAAAGGTGGATTATGTTGTAAAGCCATAAAGGCTGCCATACGAGTAATTCTTGATACTTCTGCTACAGTATATTGTTCAGTATCCCAAGCAGTTTCTTTATCATCTGATTCATCTTGTTCTTGTCTTTGACCAAAATATATACCTCCAACTAATTCTCGAACAACAGTAAAATTTGTTCCTTTAACAACTTCAGCCTTTAAAGGAGATAATTCTAATAATGCATCAGAAGCAAAATTACATGGTCTTAAATTAGCATATAAATTTAATTCTTTTCTAATTTTTAATAATCCTTGTTCAGGTCTAACAGTTCCTGTCCCCCATTTTGGACCTCCAACAGCTCCTAATAAAACTGCATCAGAACTTTTAGCAGCTTCAAGAGATTCATCAGGTAATGGAACTCCTGTAGCATCAATAGCTGCTCCTCCAATTAAATGATGTTTAAATTCAAATTTAATCTTTTGATGTGGGGTATTATCTTCAATAGCCTTTAAAACTTTAATGGCTTCATTAACAATTTCAGTACCAACATGGTCACCGGGTAAAATAGTGATAGTCTTAGTAGTCACTGACATTTTCTTTCTTTGTTTGTTTGTTTGTTTGTTTCTCTATAAGTTGTTTTAAGTAATTCCTAAAGAATAATGAATAAATTGTAAAATGACTGATTCGAAATTTTTCAGGTCGGTCAACCCACTCGCATGGCCGGTGCGACCACCGCTAGACAGCATGCCGGCAACGGGGATGTCGTAATGACACTACACTACGCTGACTGCTAGCGCGCATGGCTGAAAAAAAGAAAGGCTCCAGTACAATAAATTTATATTTGAAAGAACTACTTACAGATGAAGAGAAAGTTATCATATTAATTCGACACAGTTAAGATAATGATAATAAATAAAGGAAACAAACAAAGAAAGAAAGAAAGAAAGAAAGAAACACAATTTCAATTTCAATTTCAATTTCAATTTCAATTGTAAAAACTCATACAAAGTACCACCTATAACTCCTATTAACCATTGACTCTAATGACCACTCCATTCAATAGAATCTAAATCAATTCCTTCTTGAACCATTTCCCATAATGGAGACATTTTTCTTAAAAAGTCAACTCTTTCATGAATGGCCTTGATTACGTAATCGATCTCTTGTTCAGTTGTAAATCTACCAATACCAAATCTAATTGAAGAATGAGCTAAAGCATCATCTGCTCCTAAAGCATGTAAAACATATGAAGGTTCTAAAGATGCTGAAGTACAAGCTGAACCTGAAGATAACGCAATATCCTTTAAAGCCATTAATAATGATTCACCTTCAATATATGCAAAAGAAACATTAACACAACCAGGATATTGAGAATTTGGATCAACTGATCCATTTAATTGAGTAGAAGGAATTGATAATAAACCATTCTTTAATTTTTCAGAAAGTTTATGAATATATTTTTGATCATATTCCATATCTTCTTTAATAAGTCTAGCAGCTTCACCAAATCCAGCAACTAATGGTGGAGCTAAAGTACCTGATCTTAAACCTCTTTCTTGACCACCACCAGTAATTATTGGATCTAATCTAACTCTTGGACGTCTTCTTATATAACAAGCTCCAATTCCCTTTGGTCCATAAATTTTATGAGATGAAATAGATAATAAATCTATATTCATTTCATTAACATCAATCTTTATTTTACCAAAAGCTTGAGCTGCATCAGTATGGAAAAAGATTTTATTTTCTCTACAAAGTTTTCCAATTTCTTTTAATGGTTGAATAACTCCAATTTCATTATTAACAGCCATAATAGATACTAAAATAGTATCTTTACGAATAGCATTTTTTAAATCATCTAAATTGATTAAACCTTGAGAATTAACTGGTAAATAAGTAACATCAAATCCTTCATCTTGCATATGTCTAGCAGAATCTAAAACACATTTATGTTCAGTTTGAGTTGTAATAATATGTTTCTTAGTCTTTTTATAAAATCTAGGTACACCTTTAACAGCCATATTATTTGATTCAGTTGCACCCGATGTAAAAATAATTTCCTTTGGATCAGCTCCAATAACATCAGCAATATAACCACGAGCCTTTTCAACTGCTTTATCAGTTTCCCAACCATAAGCATGAGTTGAAGAATGTGGATTACCATATAATCCTGTATAAAATTCCAACATTTTATCTAAAACTCTTGGATCTGTTGGAGTTGTTGCTTGAACATCTAAATAAATTGGTCTTGTACCAAATTTAGAGTCATCACGATTAGCATTCTTTAAAGAAATTGATGAACCTTCAGGAGGGCGAACGGTTGGAGGATCAATGGGAGTTGATACATGAAGTTCACCTGAAGTTGTATTAGTTGCTAATTTAGAAGTACCTGATCTTGAAAGTTGACGACTAATAATTCTAGTTCCAGTTGTTAATAATCCCGTACGTTGACTTGACCTTATAGCCAATGATTTAAGTTGATTAGTTAACATTTCTATAAGTGCTTGCCTCCCAAATTACAATAAATAGAAATATAAATAGAAAAAGAAAAATGATAATCCTCCTTAAAACTTTTGACTGACTGACTCTTCCTGACTCTTCCAAGTCTGAGGCTCGCTGAGGCTCTGAACTTTTTGGTCGCATTGTTGCAGTTCATTAATCATCAATGAGGAGAATTTTTTGGCACTTGTGGGTGTGTGCAGGAGACCATGGAGCCGTTTACCGAGTCCGATCCTAATTCCGATTTTCGTTCCATCTGATAAGTTTATTAAGTTTATTAAGTTTATGTCAAAGTGTAGGTAATTAATTTTGGTAAGTATATTATTCTATTATATTATTCTATTATATTATTTACGATGCAAATGTGGGATTCTGTTGAGTATATGAAGTTAAAGTTGTATGAACAAGTTCATAACATCCTAAGAAAATAGCTCCTCCTGCACTAATCCATGCAGTTCTAGGTCCTACTCCATTTAAAAATGATCTATAACCTTCTTGTTGTATCATAGTAGTCACTAATTTAAATATTCCAACTCTTTCTTTACTAAGCATTATTCTTGTTTTTATAACATCTAATGGTGTAGTGGCAGCAGCAGCAATACCTCCTGCAATAGATCCACATATAGCACCTTTAATAAGTGAGATATCTTTTCCACCAGTGGCTTGTGACCATCTTACTTTTAAGTATTCATATAATGGAAATTGAATTACAGTAAACGGTATTTCTCTCATGATAGTAGTATTCCATCCTCTATATAATCCACGAACTACTCCTTCACCTGATTTATTTTGTATAATATAAAGGAAATTTGATAATGAAGTAGATTTACCATTGACTCCAATAGCACCAGTTTGAGTTCTTTGTTTAATAACTTCGGCTGGAACTCTAACTAAACAAGCAGCAATTTCACCACATGAAGCACTGATCATATGACTTTGAGTTGACAGTACATATGGTTTAGTATATATTTTCATTGAATCATAAGTAATGAAGAATAATGAAGCTGATGGAGCAGATGCAACCACACAAGATCCTAACCCTTTATAGATTCCGCTCCAACCTCCATTCTTAAAGAATCCTCCTTGTGCTTGTAATCTTGTCTTCAAGGTATCAATTGGGAAAAATGCAAGATCGGTTGAAGTTCCAGCACAACCTCCACTCTATAAGTCAAAGTTAGTAAAAATTCAAAAAAAAAATATAATTACTGAAAAATCACCTATAATCAACCACTAATTAACACATACAATTAAGGATATCACAAATGTCAGATTATCCATCTCTATTCTCCACCAACTATATTAACCACCTTTTCGGTAATATTTATTTAGCAAATATGTCAATACTGGTACCAAAAAGATCGCCTAAAATTTTTCCTCTACTTAATCCCAGATTCGGTTGCGAGTCGCAATTTAGTGCGCTACAAGTTCCTGAGTCACCATGACTATGAATCATATGCCTCTACATATATTTTATTTATTGTCTATAAGCAAAAATACTATCTATGAACAAAAAAATATTTATTAAACGATATTTTCTATCTATGAACTAACGAGGAACAACTAAAAATTTATCCTTAGTGAGTTTCTTCTTCTTCGCATACTTTAAAATAATGGAATCAACCTTTTTACCATGAGGCACGAAATCTTTAATGAAGGGAATGAAGTCATCATAATTCCAACTCTTATCTAATTGAAATAATTGAACAAATCGTATAGATAAATTGGATGATAATCCAATTTGATCTACATATAAGATTCTATCCTTGATAGGACAACAGTAATTTCCTCTTAAATCATGCATATCAAGTGATACATTATAAAATGAAGGTAGTGATGACTTCCATTGAAGAAGGAAATCTTTAGGATTTATTAAATTACTTGATGTTCTTGATAATGTTTGGATACCAAACCATTGAGCTATTTTAGAATTATTAAGTTTAAATGTAGTGCTGGAGATATCATCTCCAAATTTGTGGATAATAGTTTCCAATATTGATCTATTAATTGTATGATTCTGATTTATTACGGATTTTTCAATCGAATCAATATTTGCTTTATCATCTTTATAATTAAACTCTTCCAGTATGAGAATGGTTATTAATAAGTATAATATTTCAGTTATGTATTCGTTGGTTAATATGTATGCATAATCATCAACAATACAACCTCCTAATTCATACCATTGAGCAAAGAATTCATGCTTTGAGATTAGAGAATTCTCAAGAATCTCAGCCAAAGTCCAATTCACAGTTCCTACATTAAGAGTATCATCACTTAACTTATCACCTGAATATCGAGGAAGATTTTCAATCTCAATTTTTCCGGCAATTGGAGTTAATTCATATTCATAGGAACTCAGATTAAACCCTATTAGTTGATTCTCAAACAGATTTATCTTTTCACCTTCCAATCCAGGAATCAAAGGATCTGTAATTTTATGATTAAGATTTATATTCATATTGTCACATATCAATGCGGTGTTTGAATGGTTCATCTGTCGAAGTCTCCATGTCTTAGAGTCTGAACAGATAACAACTTGATCAGAATTGATTGTAGATTTCAATACTAACTCATTGTCCGTATTGTCATTCTTAAGGTATGTTAATAATTCTGGCGGTAGTTGCATAAGCTTATATGTGTACTGTGGATCATTAGAGATCTGTTGAAATACAGAGTACTGAACCATACTTAATACGTTACGATTTTTAACTCTACTTTATGACTAGTTAGTGAGTCTTGAGACTATTTAATGAAAAATTCAAAGACGCGTATAACACCAAAATAAAATTTTAAAGATTTTCACGTGACGCAAACTACATGTATAAAGAAACTGTCTTACACAAGAAATTAGGGTATTATGTTAAATCTATAAACGATAAGAGCAGCTATTAATGAATCGAATAGTTCTTTTTTTTTGAAGGGGATCACGTAAAGTAATGGGAAAACAAACAAGAACAAAGGAAAGAAAGAAAGTGAGTAAGAAAGAAAGAAAGAAAGAAAAATAAAGTAAATAAAGATAACCAGAAAGAAAAGGTACAGAATATTCGAAAACGAATCTCAAGGGATTAAAAGATTATTCAAAAGTTGGAACCTTGGTTGATATTTCTATCTCTAATACCTAATTCACCGTTGAATAATTCATCTTTTTCATTCTTTTTCCAGAATGTCCATCCACCTTGATATTGACTATTTGACTTTCTCTTGATGTAGTATAACAAACTTATAATCCCAATTAAAATACAACCCCCTACACCAACAACTACACCGACAACGATTCTGTTGGTATTAGATAATCCACCACCACCATTGTTACTATTATCTGTTGAAGCAGAAGGCGTTGGACTACTGGTGACAACAGATGTACTTGTAACAATAACAACTCTACCACTAACACTTGAACTAAAAGTAGTTGTTAAATGAGAGGTAGATAACGAAGAGCTTGATGATGAAGATGTAGTAGAAGGTGGTTCAGATGTTGTTGAATGTGTGGATGAAGTTGATGAGGTAGAATGAGTTGAAGTTGTAGATGAAGATGGAGGTTCATAGGAAGAACTGGATGAAGGACTTGGAGAAAAAGATGGGAATGAAGATGAAGTAGTAGTGGAACTTGAGGGTGAGAATGTAAATTCAGTCAGCGAGGTGGAGCTTGATGATGAAAATAATAATGTTGATGATGATGATGATGATGATGATGAACTAAAGGAGAAGAATGAGCTTAATGATGATGTACCGTTGGTATTAGCGTTTGAACCATCAAATACAGAGCCTCCTTCAGTCACTGCTCTTTTATCTTTATCATCATTCGAGTAAATTAATGCAGAGGTAATTTCTGATGATTGTGGTACTACTGATACTGATTGTTGTTCTGATTGTGGTACTGAATGTGGAACTGAATTATGATCAAGATGGCAAGGATGGTTAAAGTGGAAATTGGCAGTGAACACATTATATATGAATGCTACTGATATTATCGAAGCAAGTATTATGGAACGAATCATCCAGTTACGTTTATAGTTTGTAGAACTTTTCTGTGACTCTAAGAGTTTTTCGTTATTCATCGTGAAAATTTTGTACGTATTAGGTAATAGCTATTAAAGTGAAATGATTGTAGAACTTTTATAATGAATGGATGATGAGTAGTCTGAATAAATGAATGTGGACTGATATAGTACAAAAGACAAACTGAGCTATGCAAATACCAAATAGATTTCGAAGCCTTGTCTTGCTTTTTTTCTTTTACTACTGGTGCTGACTGCTAGTAATGCTAGTAATTCTAGTAATTCTAGTGGTGCTTGTATTGCTAGTGTTATTCCTAGGACTTCTGTGAAAAGACTGCTTCGTTAATTAGTTATGAGTGGGGCCAATATCTAAAACAGGTAGGTTTGAAAATTTTTAAACTTCGCTTAATAATTAGCTTAGAACTGCATACAACTGTAATAATATTATACCGTATATCTTTTTTTAGAAACTATCGATAATATTTTCTACAGTTTTCTAATAGTTGTAATAGATAATTATCTAGATGGCTATCAAGGTCATGGATATTCTAAGGGATGCTGATTGTGTATTTGTTCAATAAATATCGTATTAGTTCTAGACTGTTGAGTCACAATTCGATACCAAAACATTAATGAATTGACGAAAAAATATTTCTTTGTTACTTTATTTACCGTTTTAGATCAGCATTGTAGAATATCGTTATGTGTTGCATAGTAGTTTTTAATATGCGTGTATGTGCTCAGTAAACAGGCTATGTTTATAAAAGGTTGAGCCTGGGACTGGGCTTGGCTCACTCCTGTCATCGCTATTTATAAACTACGCGCGATCTAGCGACGACTGGGAACTGCCCCCTTTTTTCCGCGTAGCGTAACGCTGACGGAGCTCAGCGGGGATCTGAGTGCGATCTATAGACTAGCCTAATAACCTTATATATAAGTATGTTAAGTTAGCAATGAATTTTAAGGTATGATAATTGTTCTCTCTAGAAGTCGATCAGTTCTATCAACACACCTTAATATGTTTGAATTCTGTGTAAATTCAATCTTGTTGTTGTTGTATTAGATATCGAGTGCCATGTAGCAGAGTGTATTCAGCTTTCATTTTTTTGCAACTTCTTTCATAGAAGCCAGTAAATAATTTTCAAATTAAAATCACTGTAACGATGATATTTATAAAAATTAGCGAATTTGCAATTTGTGATTATAATTCGTATTATATTTAATGTATTATTTAAGTATTTATACGCACGTCGCATAGCATCTACTAAATTTCCAACACATACGTGTAACATACATAACATACATCAGTTACATATATTATACCTATTTTCTACTAATGGTTAGAAGAATATCCCAAACATAAACTGCGTAAACTTATAACTTTATTACGCATATCGGTAAATTAGTAATGCGGTTAAAAAGGGTACGACTTTAATTCTCCACTCTCTCTCCACAAAATGGCTAACCTTTTAACTTGATCTTTAATCTGTTCAATTTAATCTATTCATTTCTTGAATTGCGAGCTTTCGCTTTTATGAAGTTTCTCTTAAATTTTTCTTTATTTACTTTCTCGGTATACATTTATCTGTGTAGAACAAAATGAAAGGTAAAAAAACTACTATATTATTCAATAATGACATTTGCAATCGAAACAGCATATATAAATCTTGTGATGTGAAGTGACATAAAGATAAAGAGAGATCTAATCCTGGCGAAGTGATTTTTATTCGGTGGTTGGTACGTTCCGAGGTATTAAAACACTGAAGTATCGGATTAAAATCTGAGCCACTTTCGTTATCTGTGAATTGGCTGCGAATTGTTAATTAAATACAGACCTACAAAATTTAGTACTAAAAATAAATTAATTAATCAACATGTCCTTGTAATATATATATTTATTTGTAATTAAAAATTTGCACCTTGATTGACTCTGTCTCTAACTCCTAAATCGGTATTCAATATATCATTATATTTTTCATTACTTCCATACTTCCATCCACTACCGTATCCATTCTTCTTTTTCTTAGAATAATAATACCACAATAATGATCCTATTCCAATCAATACGGCTGATCCAACTCCTACAACTACACCAATAATAATCTTATTATTTCTCGACAAACCTCCTCCACCACCACTACCATTGTTACTGCCTCCTTCTCCAGCTCCTGAAGTTGGTGCACTTGTTATCGTAGAAATACTTGTACTAGTAACAATATAAGTTTGGGGTCCATCATTACCTTGACTGGAAGTCAAAGTATTTGTTACTGGTACTTCAGTTTCGGTATCAGCCAAAGGTGTTGTTGAAGTTGTCGTTGGTTTTGATGTCTCCTCTATAGCAGCCGAAGGAGGAGGTAATGAACTTGAAGTTTGAGCAGATGTATCCACTGGACTCGAGGATGAGACTTGATCAACTATTGGACTTGAAGGTGATGCTTGGTCAACCGTTGCATCATTATTAGGAATAGATGGAGTAAAGGAAGTACTCGGGGTTGGAGTTGATTCTGTCGATGGTAATGTCGATGTAACTTGGAGTGGATTCTCATCATCACCATCTGTATGAGTTAAATCCAGAAAGGTGGAATGAGTATCTGAATCAGTGACATCTCTTTTCTCGATTGTCTCCCACGCTATCTCGGAATTTAAGAGACTGAATCCTTCAATTGCAACAGTGTTTGTGAAATCTGAAGTTAATACCTGTCCACTGCATAAATTCTTATTTTGATCAAGGAATGGTCTTAAGCTCCAACGATCTGACGTGAAAATTATAATACAAGATAATATAATCGCTCCCAGTATGAACCTCAATACATTTATTGTTTTAGACTGTCGGTTGTGGGTGTTATCAGTTCCTTCAGTTTTGTAAGTACTCATTTTTGATTGTGTGTAATTTAAATGGAAATCAAGTAGAAGTAACAGTATTAATGTAAAATCACAACAATACTTCAAAAATTATTACAGATTGTAACAAGTCAGATAGCATACGGCTACTACAAATAAGACAATTACGGTCTTTATAAAGTTTTTGATATACAAGGCTGAATGAAGAAAATGTGATAAATTTCGGGAGTGCATAGAACTCCACAAAATTAAGAGAAATAACCTATTGTTTAAAGATGGGAGAATTTACGATAATAATAATTTGTGAATAATAACAATAATAAAAATAGTAAATATAAAGAATCGTCTTACAGTGCTGCGTGCTACTCAATCTAGCTAATTAATCAGTGATCGTACTTTCTTGTATGGAAGAAAAGTACCTACTAATAAATAATAAAAACCCATGTATTGGTCACTTCAATAGTAGAAAATAAAATATCTCATCTCTTTTACCCCAGATTGAGAGTGATACTAAACATTCTCACACCACCATATCGTGGTTCAGCTAAGTTAAATAATATAATATAGTACAAAGCCAAACATAAATAATGAACTTACTGAATAACTAAAACAGGAAGTGACGGTAGCTCTTCCATCTGATTCTATGGAAGTGATGGCGTTGTCTAATCGATAGTGAGTGACTAAAAGTCGTGCGCGAACCTTCGACTCTACCTAAATAGGTAAAGATCTAGCATATTCTGGAACATTAAAGAATGTAATGGATGCGAAAAATAAAAATGGAACCTGATAAAAATAAGTGACGTTGTGGCGAGATAGTCCGATTTCAACTATAAAAGGATTACTATAATCTTCATATATTACAGCTTGCTTTTTATTAAGTTCTTTCATTAATTATATCACAATTCAAGCTAAAAGGCTAATACATAACAATTAACACTTTATTACAAATGTTCGCAATTAATCCATTCTTCCAAGGTTACGGTGGTAATGATGAATCCAATTACGATTTCAATTCTTTAATTGACTATCTTCAGGAAAGACATCAACAACAACAATTTGAACAATCGAGGCCGAAAATAGTTAAAAAGATAGAAAATGAAGATTCATACCAAATTCAAGTTTATAAGAAATTCGGAGATTTTAATAATTATGAAGTGAAAGCTATTAAAGTTCCAAATACTTATGCAAACCAGCCTCAATTGATTAATATTGTATTGCAACTGGCAAAAGATCAATTCAAGAAGGTTTTCCAGTTTAGATTAGATGATGTATTAGTTGATCAAATCAACTGGGAATGGTATAAGGCAGAAAACATTTTAGTCCTTAATATTCCAAAGAGAGTTAAAGTATGTCATTCTAGTAGTGTTGAAGATTTAGCTACCTTATTAGGCTTTCCTTTTTTTTATCAGGATAGAAATGCAGAAGTTAATAGATCTGATGAAGTAGATTCAGTTAGGAAACAACAAGCTGAAAGGCAAGCTAGATTTGAAGCTCAACAAAAGGCCCAAGCAGAATTTAAGGCCAGACAAGAAGCTGAAAGAGCTAGGCAAGAAGCTGAAGAGAGGGCTAGAAGAGAAGCTGAAGAGAGGGCAAGAAAAGAGGCTGAAGAAAGAGCAAGAAAAGAGGCTGAATTAAGAGCTAAAAGAGAAGCCGAATTGAAAGCTAAAAGAGAAGCTGAAATTAAAGCCAAGAAAGAAGCTATGATAAAGGCTAAGAAAGAAGCCAAGTTAAGAGAGGAAGAAAAACTTCAACAGCAAAGAGAAGCTTATGATAAGTATTTACAACAACAACAAGAATTCTTCAATCAATTTTTCAATGGAAACTTATTCCATAAATCTACCTCACCTTTCGAATTTGCTTCTACTCCATCACCAGTGAGGTCACCAAAACCACAACAACAATATCAACCTCAACCTCAATCTCATTCTCAAGCTATGCAAAGACCAGTAGAATCTGATAATGAATCCATAGATTCAGAAAATGAAAAAACAACTCCAAATGTAACAGTTTCTACTCCTCCACCAGCTTCAGTTGCAGCTGAGAAATTATCACCTCCAACATCTCCAGAATCTGATGGAATGCAAAAATTACATAAGCATCCATCATTAGAAGAAGTTGAAGATGAAGAGTTCGTTATGTTCAATAAAAAATTTAACCATTAATTAATTTAAATTATAAAGGGATTTATATCCGTAGTATTCATATATAGCATTTTAATATATTATAATATTTATCATATATATAGTCACTGATTGGAAGTAGTCTGACAATAGGGATTTCCTTCCTCATATGATGTAATTTTTTGTACGTAATCCCGCACTAAATCCAAAGGTAGAAAAAAAATCAAGCCATGGACTGTAACCAGTAGACTTTTCACATATTTCATACCCCGTTGTATTCAGGATTAACTATCACTACAACATCGTATCATGTCAGTATCCAAATCAATTGCTGTGTTTGGAGGTAATGGATTCTTAGGAAGGAAAATTTGTGAGGTTGGTGTTCTGAAGGGTTATCAAGTCACATCCTTCTCAAGATCTGGTGAACCTCCTCAAGCAGTAATTCATCAACCATGGATTAACAAAGTAGAATGGGAGAGAGCAGATATTTTTGATTCCTCATCATATGCTTCTAAATTAGGTCAATTTGGAACTGTAGTTCATTCAATTGGATTAATGTTTGAAGATCAATCTTATAAGAAAGCTATGAATTCTAACTTTAATTTCCTTAATGATGTTCAAAGCCTTGCCAATAGTATACGAGGTTCAAATCCTATGAAAAAGGGTGAAGATGACCACGAAACTTATGAAGCTATCCAGCGAGATTCTGCCGTATTATTGGCTGATACTTTTGTTGAACATCAAAAGGAAAATCCTACTTTTGTCTATATATCAGCTGATCAACAAGTCCCATTAATTCCAGAAAGATACTTAACAACTAAAAGAGAAGCGGAATTTGAATTATCTTGTAAACAAGGTTTAAGAGCTATATTATTTCGTCCAGGAGTCATGTATGAACAAACTCATCCTGAAGACAATGGTTTAACTACTAGAGATATATTGACTACATTTTTAAAATTTAATTATAATGCTAAACAATGTATTCTTGGTGAAAATATACCTTTCGTAAATAAATTGGTAAGACCTATTGTATCAACAGATCAAGTTGCAACCTACATTTATGATAAGATTGAAATACCGGAATTTAAAGGAATTGTACCTTTGGATGAAATTTATAAACATTAATTCAGTAACGATTGATAATGATTATTATGACCATGTAAATAGGATCACGATACACTATAAAAATATATTATTTAATTAATTGATTGATTGATTTTGTTTGATTTTTAACCAAAATTTTATAGTAATAAATATAAAAAGCATTAGTAGCATTTAAAGTAACAACCTTAGTTGAAAACATTGATTAGCATTGTCAATACAAATAAAAAAACTTCATCCAAAGTAAATGTACATCGCTAAGTTAAACTGAGCTAGCTGATAATACGCAAAGCGAATAGCTAGTCAATAAAACTTAGCTATATAATTAATAGAGCATTTGATATCATTCATAATGAAACAAATCTCGTAAATGTCATTAAAATAGTCATAAGATATTTGATTAAACTGGACTATCATTTTTGGGAATTAATGATTGCAATTTATTCCTCATTTCATTTAACCATTCAGTAGTAAGTTCATCCAAATCATAGTCGGCTGGAACTAAGGTTTCAGTACCAGATATTTGAATGTATTTCAATCCTGGTACGGATGTAATACCTTCCTTTACATCTTCTGATGATGAAATTGATTCAGCTTTTGCGCTTGAAGATAATTTATTTTCTTCCTCTGATGGAACTGGAGCTGAAGCAGGAGCAGGAGCAGGTTCTGGTTCTGGTTCAACTTTTGCTTTACCAACTGGTGCAGGAGTCCACCAGTAAACAGGATACTTTCTTATAATATTTCCAGTAATTAAAGCTACAGAAATAATCAATACACTAGAAACAAGATGAGCAGGCAAGTACCACCAACTCATGGCTCTTATTGATTCATCTGCAGATGGTAAAAGAGCAGAAGCTCCAGCAGGTGGATGAACACAATTAAGAATAGACATAGCAACAGATGCAACTGCTACACTAAGAGCACCACTTGCCCAATAATTATCTCTACCTCTTTCACTTAACAGGAAAAGCTTTTGGATGCAAATTCCAATTAAAGCAGAAATAAAATGTCCAATTAAGACATTTCTAGGTTGTGCCAATGGAGCTTGTGAAGCATTAAAACAAAGTATAGCAGAAGCTCCATAACTTGCAATAATAAGTGGAGCATTATGAGCAGTAAATGCAGTATTACTCTTAAAAACACCTTCAATTAAAGCAATACCACAGAAACTTCCAAGGAAAATTTCTAACCAAATCAAATAATCATGTTTTGGAGTAGTTTTATGAGCACCTAAGAACCTTCCAATAATATTAGGTAATCTGTCTAATCTATTGGGAGGAATGTGCTTGTTGACGACATCGTCAATTGTAAATTTAAATACCATAATTAAGTTTGAATATTAGTTATTGAGTGAGAGACGAAATGACAAAAGAATAGGAAATTTGAAGAGTATTTATGTGATCTATATCATTACTACTTAGAATGGTTATGTTAATTGAAACCGGTAAGTTATGCCAGTATAGGAATCAATTCCAACGACATTTAATCCAGTTTAAGTCATCTGAAGAATTCACCTGTCAAATTGCAATTGCGCGCGGAAGTTCGTCTAACAATTCGCTCAAGCGGCCTTCGCTTTTTTTGACTCGAGGGTCTTTTCAAGCGCGGGGTTTGGAGGGGAGAGTCAAAACAAAGGACCAGAGTCACCCTCTTGACTAACAATGTTGTTAAAACAGTCATTTCAATCATTAGTAATCGAGTCCTGAAATAACTACAGATCATAAGTTATTGTTTGATCATTGACAAAATGACAAGGAAAACATTATTGGCAGATTAGCAGATTTTTCAAATTTTTACGGGGCGTCTGCCCCAATTGCCTAAAACGTAAAAAAGGTATCATCAAATAATTTTCAACGGCTGCCACAGATATGCACACCACTATCAATATGACATATTCATATACCTATTGTGTTTTATAAATGACAGCAATATTTTATAGTTCGACTAATATAGTAATTCGTATTAATATTATTGAGTTTTATAAAGGGCAATCTACAGGTTTTATATAATATTTATAAATAGTATACTTAGTATATTTAGTATACTTTATTGTAATTGGTTAAAGTCGTGTCATATTATTTGGTCTTTCTAGTGGTTGTACAATGTAAAATGTAATATATTACAATGTTTATTAAATTTCTAATAATAGTAGTATTATAATTATAATTAATATATTATAATAAATGATGATACTCTTGCTCTTGTCATTGATCTCCTCATTTAAAAAGCTTATACACCAAAATTTACATTAAATCCGTTGGATCCTGATGACTTCTGTTTTAACAAATACTTTCTAATTTCATCTCCAATGAAAACAGTACTTGTTAAAAATAATAAATGCAATAAATCACTGAAATATAATGCTTCAGTTTGGAAAATAGCTTGGAAAAATGGTACGTAAATAGCACATAATTGACCAATTAATGATCCTATTACTGCAAAATTAAACATTTGATTGTCCAATCCAATCTCAAATATGGATTTAGAATAATGACGACATGATAAAGCATTGAACATATCATACATAACAAAACATGTAAATGTCATAGTAGTATCTCTTGCAGTAATTTCATTATCTGTCATTTCTCGGATAAATATATATAAAGTTCCAAGAATAATCATAGCTGCTGATTGTAAAACTCTCTTTATAACTTGATGAGTTAAAATTTTATCATTTCTCTTTCTTGGTGGTCTATTCATAACTTCATGATCTACTGGTTCAACCCCTAATGATTGTGCAGGTGGTCCATCCATTAAAATATTAATCCATAAAATTTGCATGGCATTAAGTGGATTTGGTAAACCAAAGAATGTTGCTAATGCAATTAATGTTAATGCAGCTATAGAAGTTGATAATTGGAAAGTAATAAAATTTTGAATATTAAAAAATATTCCTTTACCTTCTTCAATTGCATTTAAAATTGTTGAAAAATCATCATCAGTTAACACCATATCTGCTGCTTCTTTTGCAACATCAGTACCATTTTTACCCATAGCAATACCAATATCTGCCAATTTTAATGCAGGAGCATCATTAACACCATCACCTGTCATGGCAACAATATCTCCTCTTCTTTGAAGTGCTTTAACAATTGTAACTTTATGTTCAGGAGTTGTTCTTGCAAATACAGATACATTATGAATAGCTTCTGCTAAACGTTCTTCACTTAAATTTTCAATTTGATCACCAGTCATAACAGAATGATCTCCAACTATTGGCATACCAATTTGTTTAGCAATATTTATAGCTGTAGTAGGTGAATCTCCAGTAATCATAATAACATGAACTCCTCCTTTCATTAAAAGTGCAATAGATCTTCCAACATTTGGTCTTGGAGGATCTTTCATTCCGACTAATCCAGAAAAGATTAATTCTGATGGTTCTTCATTTTCCTTTTCATTAATATATTTCTTATTATTTCTAGCAAAGGCTAAGACTCTTAATCCATCATTAGCCAATGCATGCGATTTTTCACCAATTTCTTTTCTTATTTCATCAGTTAAAGGTTTTATATCACCATTTTCATCAAAATATCTATTACTAAGTAATAATACTTTTTCAGTTGCACCTTTAACAAAAGTTTCACTTTTATTTAAATCACCAGAATGAGCACAAATTGCCATATATTTTCTTACAGATGAAAATGGTAATTCATAAACTCTTTGTTTAGTACCTCTTATATCATCTAAACCAAAATGTGGTAAACATTCAACAATAGCAATATCACTTGGATTACCAATATATTTTTCATTTTCACGAGAATATCTGGCATTATTACATATATTACCTGCTTCTAAAGTTTTTTGCATATTTTTAGTTAATTGATGATGTAAAGTATTATCATCTAATTTTTCAACTACTAAAAATGGACTATTAAAACTTCCTTTAAAATCAGTTGCCCAAATCTTAGTAACAGTCATATGATTTTGAGTTAAAGTTCCAGTCTTATCTGAACAAATTACATTAACACTTCCTAAAGTTTCTACACTTGGTAATCTTCTAACAATTGCTTTACGACGAGCCATTCTTAAAACTCCTAAAGCTAAAGTGACAGTGACTATAATTGGTAAACCTTCAGGTATAGCAGCTACAGCTAATGAAACAGAAATTTGAAACATATCTAACCAAGAACGTCCTTGAAGTATACCAATTAAACAAATAACACCAATTACAGCAAAACTAAATACTGATAAATCTTTACCTAATTTATCCATAGCTTGTTGTAAGGGAGTTTTTGGTTTTTCAATTTCAGACATCATTTCAAATACAGCTCCAAATTCAGTTTTAGCACCAGTTGCTACAACTATACCAGATCCATGACCATCTCTTACTAAAGTTCCCATAAAAGCAATAGAATTTCTAATTGTAACAGGTGGAATATCATTTGTTTCATATATTATTGGGTTAGTAGTCTTTTTAACTGGTCTATTTTCTCCAGTTAAATTACTTTCATCAATAGTTAAATGAACAGCATCAGTTAATCTAACATCAGCTGGAATTCTATCACCTTGAGTAAAATGTACTAAATCACCTGGAACTAAAGTTGATGCAAGAACTGTTGAAGTACTACCATTTCTAGTTAAATGAGCTTCTGCTGGAACTAATTTATTTAAAGCTTCCAATGATTTTTCAGATCTATATTCTTGAACAAATCCAACACTTACTACAATTACAATGGCTAAAGTAATTGATATGGCATCATCTACATTACCCATCCAAAAACTTATTATAGCTGATCCAATTAATAATAAAATTAATGGATCTTCATAGAATTTAGACAAGAATTTTATAACTATACTTTCTTCTTCATCATTAGATAATTCATTAATACCATGTAAAGATCTTCGATTTAAAATATCTTGACTATTAGAAAGACCAACAGCTATATCTGTTTGAAGCTCCGAAGCTGTTTCTTCTTTTGATTTTTGACTAAATCGAATGGAGGGAGAACTGGATCGACCTACAGGTACTTTTACTTCAAAGGGATTTTCCGACATTTTTATACCTATACACCTCTCCTAATTAGGCTTGGTCTTCAGATTTGTCAGTTTACTTTAAAATAGCTAATTAATAATTTTCCAGTATACTTATCTATTATTCACTACGCCGACCCGTTGGTAATATTTTTTCCTTTTGAAAAATTACGTGTTAGATCGCTTTTACAGGTTATGCGAGGAAGAGCCGAAGAGCATTTACTGGTTAGGCGGCAGGAAGATTATTTAGGGCTTATCTCCTAAATCTCAACCAGATAAGCTTTTGCATTTATAGGTAAATGAATGTAAATGAACATGGAGGGGAGGGGGGGCGTGTATTATACAATTAGTAATGCAATATAAAGTATAAGTATAAGTAAAAGTAGTGCATGTTTGTGTGATGTGATGTAAATCACAATTATAGTAGTATATTTAATTTTTGAGTGAGTGAGTGAGTGAGTAGTGAGTGGCTTCCTCTTTATTTTGTGGTTGAGCCGTCTACTACTTCAAATGCGGCCTTGGTGAGTCTATTCATTACTGCTAAGCCTTCATTGGTCTCATCAATACCTTCTACAAGAATGAGATCTACGCCTAATTCATCAACTTCTCTTAAAAGTTTGAATAAATTATGTGATACTTCCAGCTTAGATGAACCTAAATCTCTTTCTAATTGTATATGAGAATCTATGGTTTGACTAGATGCGAAATTTAATGATCTTAATAATGCTACTTTAATTTCTGAGGTATTAATTTCATGATCTTTTAAATACTTTTGAACTGCAGCAATACCATCTTGACAATTTGTAAATACTATTACTTTGGCAGTAGGTGAATAATGTCTATATTTCATACCAGGAGTTCGTACTGGTTCAAGTTTACCTGCTGTTTTCTTTGCTAATACAACATCTTTCCAAGCATCTCCACCAATCTGTTTAATATCTTCTACTGAGACTCCTCCTGGTCTTAATATCATAGGTGGATTACTTAAACCATCTATAACTGTAGATTCTACTCCTACTTCACATGCTCCTCCATCTAATATATAAGGTATTCTCTTTTGTAAATCATGATAAACATGACTTGCCAATGTTGGACTTGGACGAGTAGATGCATTAGCAGATGGGGCTGCTAATGGTGTATCACTAATAGCAATTAATGCACGAGCCACAGGATGATTAGGTAGTCTAACAGCAAAAGTATCTTGATTAGCTGTAACTAAATTTGAAATTGGTGATCCAGGAAATATAGGTAAAAGAATAGTTAATGGTCCTGGCCAAAATTTTTCTAATAATTTTTCATAAGATGATGGGAGATTATAATCTTTAGGTAATAATTTTCTTTTCAATTGATCTATAGATGATACATGAACTATTAATGGATTATCTGATGGTCTATTTTTTGCTGAATAAATAGCTCGTACAGATTCATCACGTAAGGCTGAACCACCTAATCCATAAACAGTTTCGGTTGGAAATGCCACCACATTATTTGTATTTATTAATTCATTTGCTGCTATATTAAGATTTTCTTCTGTTTCTTTATCGGTTATACTAGGTACTAATTCATTCTTACCAAATATTATAGAATCCTTTTTAACAGAAAGAATCTTGGTATCGAAAGGTACCTCTATTTTTCCAACCGAACCTAATGTGGGCGTGACCATAACTCTATTTACTGCTCTTAAGGATCCTCGAACAATTAAACTACACCTCATGTAATCCCATTAAAGCATCAAGGACTTGGACTTGGACTTGGACTTGAACTTGAACTTGAACTTGAACTCTTATCGATCTCATCTACAATTTTTTTTTTACTTTGATAATTTTTCAGATGCCTAATGAGCAATCGCGCATGATCCAGATTGGGCCAAAAAATTTTGCAGCTTATTAATGACGTGAAGTTCGTATATGTATGAATGTATCTATCTATGTATATGTATGTATGTATATTGTATCTATGTAATTTAATTTAAAATAATAAACTTTCGGTGATAACTTTCTTTTCATCTTCACTTAATTGTGTATAATAAGATTGGAAATTACCCAAGTTCTTAGTAGTACATTCTCGGAAGAATTGTATGAGAGTTAATTTTAAATCTTCACTATGTCCATCGGAAGAATCAGGCTCTTCATTATCAGAATCTACATATGACTTTAATTTCTCGAAATTTGGAACTCCTATATCATCCATATCTTCCCAACCTTCATCTTCTGCTCCTTCTTCATCTTCATCTTCATCTTTTTCAGGTAAATAATCATTAGCATTCGGTTGTTGATTCTGAAATTCTAATTCTCCAACAAGTAATTTCAATATCTTAAGCGAAGCTGAAATTTGAGTATACTCATCAGGCATTGAACTTGCCATTGATCTAGTAATAATTCGATCTGTTTCATAAGGTATTATATCTCCATTAACAATTAAAGATTGAATTCTATTATCTCCAAGAGTAAATATCTTAGCTAAAGCCAAAGCATTCTGTAAAATCTTTTCATAACCTCTAGTAACTTCAAATGATTCAAACCAAATTGGTAAAATCAATTGAAGTCCATTCTTTTCTTGCCCTGGTATTCTCATATTAGATAAGAAATCGATCATTCCTTCTGGAGAATTTAATACTAACTTACAGAATACCATAATTAAATTCTCAATTGTTACTGGTTCTTTAGCAATTAATAATCGATTGACAGTTGCTTCAAGAAGTTGGAAAATAAAGTCATTATTTAAATAAGTTTGAAATTCATTAATGAAAGTGAAAATAATAGTACCACAATTACTGGCAGCACTATCACTTAAATCTGGTGATAAGAACTTATATAATATGGAAAGTAAGAAATCCATACCTGTTTGATCACCCTCCTTGAAATCAAGGAACAATTTTGAAGCTTTTTTCAAAAGATTGATAAGAACTTCTCCAGAATTTTGAAGGATTTGATTATCAGATGATTGTAATATGAGTCTTCTTAATAGTGGAAAACTGTAATAAAACAATTGCGATGGTAAATCAAATTGAGGAGCATCAATAATAATACTTAATAACTCTAATGCAAGATATAATTCTGGAGAATATTCTATAACAGGATTTTCTACTTTCTTCTTTAATAAATCAAGGATGAATGGTAATGACTTATCACAACTTCTAGTATAATCTTGTTCCAAAATATTAGATAATAAAGTTCTTAAACTATCTGAAGAATCAACATTCAATTGAATATTTGCTGGATCTTTAAATGCAATTCTAAAGATTAAATCAGCCACTGTTATATTCGCATCAACTTCAATCTTAGAAGCTTCTTCTGGGTTAATATCTATAGTAACTGTTACAGCCTCTAATAATGGAGCTAAACCATCTTCAGTACAATCATCTATTAATGAATAAACAATTGAGAAAATGGCCACTTGAACATCTCGTTTGATTTCTGGAGATAATCGCTCCTTTAAATTAAGGAATTGATTATAATATGTAATACTAACAAGAGTACTAACACTAACAAATTTATTAACATCCTTTGCAGCTGCAATAGCTATAATATCAGTAAAAGTTTTCAAACCAATTGTAGGTACTGAAATTTCTGACTCAAATTTCTCAAGAAATTTGGGTAATAATAGAATTGTTCTTGAACTAACAAGAGGATTAGGATGTGATAAGAATTTTGTAAATAATTCAAGTACTCTAAATAAGGATAAATTTGTATCAGTTATATTTGAATCATCATTGGCAAATAATGCTTCAGCAATGAACAAATATGCTTCTATAAAATTCCAATCATCGCTTGTTTCAAGACCTTTAAGAACAGCAACAAAAATGCTCGATGCATCCTGATCATTAATCTCGGAGATTAATTCATAAACTGAATCACGAGCTGAAAGAGTTGTAGATAAGCCTGTAATATCTGTAATGTAGGTATTAATATCATCCTCATAATCAAGTGTAGATGAATTTGTCAAAAGAGATAAATTAACAAAATCTTTTATAAAATTAGCTTGACTATCTAATTGTCCAAGATGAATTTTATTTTGTAAAATTGTGATTGTTCGTAATAAATCCAGAACATAAACGTTTAATAAATTTTCTGGATCATCTAATTCAGGAGTTGTCTGAATATTCAATTCATCAGAATCTTCAACAACAGATTTTCGGAATAATTGTGAAATATAAGATAATTCTCTCAAAGTGATTTCTAAAATAGAGTTTCTAAGTTGTAAAGGGACTTTAGTACCAAAGTCTTCTAAAATTGAAGATAACACACTATAAATGGAAGATCTTAAATATAATTCCTTAAGGATTATTTCATTCTGAGATTTGACTGAATTATTGTATGAAGTATTTAAAACATTTATAAGGGTGGGAATACTTGTTTCAATATGATTTATTGTGAATTGTTTTCTTTCATTTGAACTAAATGCTTCAGGACTTGAAAATACAGCAACAACACTTTGATATAATTTAACTGAAACAGTTTTGATTTCTACTGGTATATTATCTCTACTAAGAACTAAGAAAATATAATTTGAAATTTCGGCACCTATACCACCCCAGAATTGATCTTCAGTAATTAAATCATCAAATAAATCATTTAACACTGTTAAACTTCCTAACATAGATATTTGATTATCAAAATTGGAAGCAGCTTGATAAATAAATGTTAACAAGTCTGGCCACTCATCTGGATAATCAACTGAAGCTATTTGAACAATGGCATATGCACTTCCATTTCTTAATTTTGTATTATTACAACTAGTTGCTATATTTAATAAATCTTGTCTTATAGAACTTTTAACATCTTGATTTACTGGAGGTCCAGTAAATGATGGGAACCCAATGGACCAATATTTTGGAACCAATCTCTTTGTATGTAATAAACTAGATTGACGAATATCTATTGGAAGATTTTCATCCTTAGCAAATTGAATACATAAGTATAAGACTTGCGATGGATCTTGAGTCAGAAGTTTACTGAACTCTAACTCCGCCGCCGTCCGGACATTATTATCACTCGAAGTTTGATCAGATATAAGTTTCAATACAATATCTGACATTTCTACTATGGCAATCTTACTATCTATTTGATCTTAATTGTAATATTCTTCTAGTAAAGTTCTTAGATTGATGCATTGGTACAGTATCGAAAACGCGTTTGGAGTTAACGATTTTTCAGTTACCTGCACACAGAGTATGGAGATCCTGTACAAAATATAAAAGGCTGGGGGAGATCACCCATTTTATGAGGCATCATATTGATATGGTGATACTTTAATACAGCCAAGTAATAAGACAAGCAAATGACGGAAAAATCATCTATATATCCAGCATTGGAGGAAGTAAAACAGCAACTTGCACCTAAACAGTTGGAAATCTTAAAGAATCAAGTTGAATCGGAAAAGCCTAATGTATCATCGCAAACGCTATTTAATTATGCATGGGGATTAATTAAATCTAATCATTATAAGGATCAAAAGGAAGGAGTACATATATTGACTAATGTATTTCGTGATGATCCATCACTTAGAAGAGAATGTTTATATTATTTAAGTTTAGGTTCATATAAAATTGGGGATTATTCTAATGCAAAGAGATATGTAGAAACATTATTAGATGGTGAACCTGATAATTCTCAAGCTAAAACTTTAAAAGAAACCATTGATGATAGAATCACAACTGAAGGATTAATTGGAATTGGAATTGTTGGTGGAGCTTTGGCTATTGGTATAGGTTTAATTGGAGCTTTGGTTAGAAAGAAGAGGTAATAATAATATTATTAAATAATGTTAAGTATGTCAATATAGATTAAATATTTATTTACGAGCTTTTTGAAAAACTTTTTGAATGCTATGTAATTTTTTTTTTACTTATGACATTGTAGTTTTTGTAGAGCTGGGTGTGGAATTTAAAAAGTATCATGGTTGATGGTAATGTCATTGCGGACAAGGTGTTTAGTACTTTTAATGGTTTGAAGTTGAAATCTGGTAAACCAGTAGTTAGATCTAATGGTGTTAAAGAATGGACGGTATTGGCTAGTTTAGTGGCTCAAATAAATGATGAAATCTTACCAATTACATTAACAACAGGAGTGAAAGCTCTTCCTGATAAAGTGCGACATTATTCACAAGGTAGAATAGTTCATGATTTACATGCTGAAATACTATCACTTAGATTATTCAATTGGTACTTGCTTGATGAATGTTGCAAATTGTGTGAAGGTGATTATAAGTCAAAGTTAATTGAAAAGATCGATGAAGAAAAGTTCAGAATAAAAGTTGGAGTTTCATTTCATTTGCTTATAACAGAACCTCCATGTGGAGATGCATCTATGTTAAAGTTAGCTAGTGAGACTGACGATAAGCAAGTTTGGAGTGATGAATCACAACCTCATAAGATGCAAAAGATTGAAGGTAATAGAGGACGTAGTAATTTTGGAAAATTAGGTGTTATTAGAACAAAACCAGGAAGAGGTGATAGTTTACCGACTTTAAGTAAGTCATGTTCGGATAAATTGAGTATTAAGCAAATTGTTGGTTTAACCAATGCATTCACGGCAGATTTATTCCCAGATGGGATATTTTTGAACAGTCTAATATTAAAGGAAGATAGTTACTTGGAAGATGATATTGAAAGGTGTTTTAGAAATAGATTAATTGATGTTTCAGATCTACTGCCCCATTTTATATCCGTCTTGAAATATAATAGTAATGGTTATACATTTGGTAAGGAAAAGGATGCTGTACCTAGTAATCTTTCCTTATTACATCTTGTAGAATCGAATATAACACAAGTATTGAATAATGGAGTTAAGAATGGATCATTTATAAAGAATAAGATTCCCAAGGAAGGAGGCGAGAGTTTTATCTCGAATTACCAGTTTTACTTAAAGCTATTAGCTCTAAAGCCCTTGGTCAATAAAAACTATTCCGAATTCAAAAGACAAAATCAACAAAGAGAATTAGTTAAACAAAGATCAAGGGAAATTTTAGGACCTTGGAATCCAACATCGGAAGATAACTTTGACTTTGTATAAAATATGTATATATACTGGTTCGATAAATATATAATAAATAACATATACTAAATTCTAATCTGAGTCAGAAGCGGATCCTGAACCTTCTTCTTGATCATCTTCTTCTTCTCCATTATTAGCCTCTCCTTCTAATTGTTCACTTTCAGTAATTTCCATTGAAATGGCATATTCGGCAGTTTCTAATAATTCTCGAAGTTTGGTATTGTCTTTACTAACGTAATCAATTGGCCTTAAACGATGAGTATCTTTAATTCTAGGATCAGACCCTGCATCCAACAAGTTATCAATTATGAAATATCCATGATCTGGTTCATCAATAGCATATTTAACAGCTAGGTGTAAGGGAGTATCATGTTCTCTATTGTATGGATCAATTTCTACTCCTTCTATATCTAACACGATATCTATAAACTCCCAGTTTCCGAGTTGACATGCCAAATGCAATGGGGTATTACCCGTTATGACTTCATGAGTATTATTTATAAGTGATGAAAGTTTATCATGATCATTCTGAAGTTCAACCTTAATTGACAAGAGTAATTCAGTATTATTTCTTCTAGCTGATTCTAAAATTCTTTCAGATAATGAGGCACCTTCAGTACCATTATTAGTAGGTTCTTCTTCTGTCATTATATAACTACTAATAAATTATTTGTATATATTTAATGCTTAATAGTACTTATAGCCTCGAACCACCTAATAGGAGTATGCGACCCTCGCCTAGAATTTTGATAGACATACACGACATACTTACAATCTAAATCTGATTATCTGGATCTTACGGGTTCCAATAATGTTTACAATCTACAAGATTATGTAATTGACTAATGTAAAGAGATCTATTACTACTTCTATTGATGATACTTCAATTTTACTAAGTTAATTATAATAAAATTTTAGTATGTTGAATAACTGTTAACAATGTCTCCCCCACTGTAAGCTAAGCTAACGAACGAGCGGAAGCAATTGGTGCGACCGATAGTAAAATTTATATCGAAGTAGATCTAACTATTCTTTATAAAATAATTAAAGTAATTACAAACTATACGAAATATAAATATAACAATGGTTAAGCCAATTATTTCTCCTTCTATCTTAGCCTCTGACTTTGCCAATTTAGGTTGTCAATGTAAAAAAGTAGTTGATGATGGTGCAGAATGGTTACATATTGATGTAATGGATGGTCACTTTGTACCAAATATTTCCTTTGGTGCCCCAATTATTACAAGTTTAAGAAAAGTATTTCCAAGAGATGGTCCAAATCCTGTTTTCTTTGATTGTCATATGATGGTGGCTGATCCAGAAAGATGGGTTAAAGATGTTGCTGAAGCTGGTGGTGATGGATATACTTTCCATTTTGAAGCAACTAATGATCCATTAAAAGTTATTAAGACAATTAAAGAACATGGTTTAAAAGTAGGTGTGGCCGTTAAACCAGGAACTCCTGTTGAATCATTATTCCCTATTATTGAACATATTGATTTGGGACTTGTTATGACTGTTGAACCAGGATTTGGAGGTCAAAAATTTATGCCTGATATGATGCCAAAAGTTAAACTTTTAAGAGAAAAATATCCTCATTTAAATATTCAAGTCGATGGAGGTTTAGGTAAAGAAACTATTGATGCTGCAGCCACTGCTGGAGCCAATGTTATTGTTGCAGGTACTTCTGTATTTAAAGCTGATATTCCAAAAGATGTCATTGATCATTTAAAGAGTGAAGTTTACAAAAATTTAGAATCAAAGGGATTAGTATAGATCATTTACTATAATTAATAAATTATTTTTCATGCATTAATTCTTATGAATAAAACTATCTAATGTACAATAAATTAAAACTAAATGATATTTACCTAAAAGGCTTGAATACCTAAAGTGGTACCTTCTCCATCAGCTGAAGATTTATATTCTCCTCTTGCATTTTGTTCAATCACTGACCATAAAAGTGTTTTAACTTTATCTAAGTTTGTTTGTCTTTCTTCTAATTGCTCTTTTGTTTCAATTTCCATTGATGCATCTTCTTCCTTATTTTCAGCTTGTTTTCTTTGATCAACATATTTTTGATTTCTAGCAATCTTTTTAGCTCTCTTATTAGATAAAGTATTTTTAGTCATTTTAGAAATAGGGGCAGGAGATTCTCCAGTATATAATGCTATAGCTTTGGAATCAGTTGGTCTAACTGCTGTAACTGCCTTATCAGCATATCTTCCAATAGATGATCTAGTATTTGGTAAAATCTTTGAACGAGCAGCTCTCTTTTTAGCTAATGATTTAGCATGACTAGCAGAATTTATCTTATTCTTAGGTTTATTGATAGAGTTTTTGGAAGCCATTTTGTTAAAGTGTGTATACCTTTATTAAAGTATTCAAATGATCTTCTTGGTAGTCCATCTCATTTCTTTTAAAAAAATTAAAAAATTATGTACTGAAAAAAAATCTTGCATAGTAAGTAAATTAAAAAAAAATTAAAATCTCCCGGGGGTGAGTCGAACACCCGATCTCAAGATTACTTTGAGGAGAACCCATTACAGTCTCGCGCCTTAGCCAGCTTGGCCACCGGGAGGATTTTAATGAAAGAAAATTATTTTTTTAAGTGATAGATTGTTCACTGCACGTGGTAAAACTCACGAGAAATTCGGGTTTATTTCCTAATTTGTGATTTTGTTTCGGAGATAAGTGAAAATTTGGAAAGATCTTGAGGGCAAGTGAGATTGATAAATTCAGACATTTGCAGCACCGATTATCTCGGATCTTATAACATAGTAAATATCATTTTATACAACAATTCTAAGCTTTTAAAGTCTTTGTATTTAATTTAGATTGTAGATGAACTATTAAAAGTATAGAGTAATAAACAATTTGAGAGTTATGATCCAATTGGTTAATCATAGATTTGTAATATTTTTGCATTGATTCAAAGAAAACTTAGGTTATCTACCCCATAAACATCAAACTAGAAAAGGGGAAACAATTCTTATTAATTCGATTTCTATTATTTCCAAATCCAGCATCTAACATTTCAAGTTTACTTTCTTAAGAAAGAGTCTTCTACATCCAGCTCTGAAAGTATTAAGACGTTGGAATATACTCGTCAGAAGTCGCAACCATTTCCCGTTTTGGCTTATCTATGCAAGAATACGGAGCGCATTTTTTCCGACTATCTTTCCCGTTCTGGAGCTAAAATCGAGCTACGGCTCCACAAGTCTGGCTCGATTGCTAACAGTGGTGGTGGTGGTGGCTCACAATGACAAATAAGGGTATATATATATTTATATTTATATAGCCCCATTTTATTTCATTTACTTTCTATACGAGTTTTCTTTGTAATTTATATAACTTTCCATACAATTGTCTTTCAACGATGGATGAAAAGCAAAGTTACAAGCCAATTGAGGCTGGAAATGTTAAGCCCAAGCCTAAGAGTACAATTAAAAAATTCGGTTATTTGGCTACAGCAGCAATTGCAGCCTATTTCTTAGTTTCAAGAAATAATCTTATTCCAACAAAGTTCACTACTCAAGATGAAGCTAAGTCAATCATTTTAGATACTTTAGAAACTAACTTAGCTGGTGAATGGTCTAAGAAGTATACTTCTGAACCACACTTGGCTGGTACCAATTATGGTTTCGTTGAATGGACTAGAGAAAAATTTGAAGAATATGGTTTTAAAGCTTCAATTGATACTTATGATATTTACGTAAGTTATCCAAAGGATCATGACTTGAATTTACTTAAGAAATCAACTGAAGAAATTGTCTATAAGGCTCCATTGAAAGAAGATGAAATTGATGAGGATGAAACTTCCAAAGGTGATGATCTTATTCCTACTTTCTTAGCTTATGCTGCCAATGGTAATGTTACTGGTGAATATGTTTATGCTAATTATGGTAGAAAGCAAGATTTTGAAAAGTTAAAGGAATTGGGTGTTGATGTTAAAGGGAAAATTGCCATTGTAAGATATGGTGGAATTTTCAGAGGTTTAAAAGTTAAATTTGCTCAAGATAATGGTGCTATTGGTATTTTAATTTATTCTGACCCTGGTGATGATCATGGAATAACTGAAGCTAATGGTTATAAACAATATCCTCATGGACCAGCTAGACAAGAAAGTGCTGTTCAAAGAGGTAGTGTTCAGTTTCTTGGTGGTGTTGGAAGTGCACCTGGTGATCCAACTACCCCAGGTTATCCTTCTAAACCTGGTGCTGTTAGACAAGATCCTCATGTCAGCATTGGTCGTATTCCAGCCTTACCAATTTCTTATCGTGAAGTTAAGCCTATTTTAGAGAAATTGAATGGTCAAGGTATTAGAGTTCATGACAAGGATTGGACTGGTGAATTAGAAGGTTTTGATTATTCTACTGGTCCAAGTGATAAATACACCTTGAACTTATACAATGATCAAGTTTATAATATTTCTACCTTGTACAATGTTTATGGTGAAATTGAAGGTGAAAAGAAGGATGAAGTTATTATTATTGGTAACCACAGAGATGCTTGGATTAAAGGTGGTGCCGGTGATCCTAACTCTGGTAGTGCAACTCTTTTAGAAATTGCTAGAGCTCTTGGAGCTTTAAAAGCTAGTGGTTATAAATTCAAGAGATCTATTGTTCTTCAAAGTTACGATGGTGAAGAATATGGTCTTCTTGGATCTACTGAACAAGGTGAATATTTTGCTGAAACTTACAAACGTAAAGTTGTTGCTTACTTGAATTTAGATTCTTCAACTACTGGTAAATATTTACATTTAAGTGCTTCGCCAGTCTTGAACCATATTTTACGTGCAGCTGCCAAAGAATTAGAATATCCAGAAGAAGGTGTTGGTAGTTTATATGATCATTTTGTAAAGGAAAGAGGTGATAAGATCACCAACCTTGGTTCCGGTTCAGACTACACTGTCTTTTTAGAACATTTAGGTATTCCATCAGCTGATTTAGGTTTCGGTCAAGGTAAAGGTGATCCAATTTACCATTATCACTCCAACTATGATTCATATTACTGGATTTCTCAATTTGCTGACAAAGATTTTGTCTACCATAATTTGGCCGCAAAATACTTATCATTAATTATTTTCAAATTAAGTGAACATGAGATTATTGATTTTAAGTTGAAAGACTATTCTAAAGATTTACTTACTTATTATAAGCAAGTTATCGATCTTGTTCCAGAAGACTGGTATGAAGATAAGGAAATTAGTGAAGAAACTTTCCAAAAATATTTGAGTCATGATTTTGAAGAAGAACAATATATTCATGATTCAACTGATGGATACTATACTGCAGCATCATATTATCCATTCCCTGAATTGTTAAAGCCAAGACAATGTCAACATAATAAAGTTGTTACTATGCTTGACACTAAACACCACTTTAATTTAACTTTAAAGCATTTGGTTAAGAAGACACATAGAGATCTTAAGAGATTAGCTAACATCACCGACCTGTTTGATGATAAGTCTTCTGTACTTCAATTAAAATTTGATGATAAAGACTCTTTATCCTTCTGGCAAAAGATTAAATTACATTTCCAAATCAAACATCACAATAAGTTAATTCAATATTTTGAAAGAAATTTCTTATATCATAAGGGATTATTTGAAAGACCATGGTTTAAGCATATTATTTTTGCTAGTGGTAGATTCACTGGTTATGAAGGTCAAACTTTCCCAGGTTTAAGAGAAGCTGTCGAAGATGGTGATTATGAAAGATTTGTTGAATGGTTAGGTATTGTTTCTAAGACAATTAAGAGAATTTCTATTAAATTATCTATATAAGGAATATTTTCTAGCTTAGTATATTTTATATAGTTTTAGTCCATATTTTAATGTTAATAAACGCATTAAAATATTTTCTACTTAATCTTAGGTCGTCTCCAGCTCAAATATTGCCTATTCTTTAACACGAGATGAAAGGAAAAACGAAAATAGTATTGAACGCTGTGAAAAGGAAATGAGTAAGAAATAATAATTAATAAAAAAAGGCCGTCCAGGATGAGGGCGAACGCGGCCGGCAAGGCGATAACTTTAAGAAGAGAAGACATATGAAATATGAAGAGAATGTAATCTAAATAGAGGATTTTCCTACATAATAACTAAGAAAAGAATAATACACACATAGTGTCGCACTCGGTGTATTAATGTCTCTAATGGGAAGACTAGTATTAATACTGAGACTGTAGAATATGGGGTTTGGTTTTGTAACAAGAGTGATGACAGAGATTGAGTAAGTTAGCAATTACTCTACGGAAGGGGTTGGTTAAGGTAGTTGATTTGACCAAATAGTATAGAGCTTTAGAATTGATAGTGAATTAATAGTATAATTGATAGCGTATATATTTGATAGAGTATAAAAACCTAACTATTTCATAAAGGAGGAGGAATCCACCTTACTTAAATAGTTAGTGGAAATCAAGGAGTAGTGTATCGATACGATACGATACATACATAATTGATATGAGGGAATATAAATGGTATAAAGATAAAGTGGCAATAAAGAGTATCAGTAGTAGTGTGTGTAACTAGATACGACATTATTGGAATGAAAGTAACGGTCATAAGTGTCACATAGTGACCGACATTTGTCGCGAGTACGGCTTGAATGGAGTAAAGCCGATATACAAATGTCGTACCAATTCCTGCAGTTAAGGCTAATTATAATGCATGCAAATCCTGGCAGACTTGCTACAAGGAGCTTGAATGTAACGCTAAGGCAATTTCATTAGTAAGAGAATAAACCTGCATTTAGGGGTTTATTCAGGTCTAAATGATACTGTATAAATATACGGTAAATCCCATGAAATGTGGATATTTAGATTTATATAGAATTATGCAATATACAGAGAACGAAATAGACTGAACGTAAAAGACAAGTACGATTACTTGGCTAAAATCGACCTGTAGAATCATCACGGTGTTGGACCTCAGTAGGTCTTATACTACGCCAATTGGGCTAGGCACCAAGGTTGAGCTGAATCGACGATTCGAGCTAAAGCTCAATTACATCTGTTAGCGACTTTATGAAGAAATAGGTTGCCACACGACAATAAGCGAGACTGCATATAAATTACGCCCCCCCTAGCCCTCTTAAAAACTCTAACACTATACGAAGTTAACCTTTTTTTGCAGCAAAAAACCAATATATTAACTACTTGGGCTCTATATAAAACTATACCAATAACTTTTAGTCCTTGCCAGTTTTCAAATCTTAGAATTTATATTAGCCTCATTACTTAAACATAGTAACTGGTGAATTATCTTCTAGTTATCAAATTCTGCTATTCCTTCCCTAAAAGATTTTAATCGCTTCAATCATATCCACACTCAACAGCTGAATCATTTAACTCAATGGAAAGAATTTCCCAATTGCTTAGCATCAAGCATGCTAGAAGATTGTGGAAAAAAGAAGCACCAATATTTCTAGATCACACCTCCAATAAACAGTTATGGGAAGCTTATCAAAATGATCTTCAAGAGTTTACTGTATTGTTGAATACAACTAAGATTGATGATTCTACTGAAGTACCAAAAAGGATTAAAAATATAGTGGAATCCATATTAATGAAATACAAAGGAAATTTCAAGGAAATGATGATATTGCTTTTCAAATTTTTACATAGCTATATCATAATAGCTGATTTAAGTGTTACTGAATTAAAACTCTTAAAAGACATCACTCTTGATTTTACTGTGTTTTCATTTGGGGAAATCCTTAACGGAGATGCTGGTGAAAGTACTTCACTACATGCTTATGAAAAGACTCTGCTTTTTAATTATTTATCTTTTGGATTTGGCCTTAAGGTCTTAAATTATAAGAAAGATGTCAAAAAAATAAAAAACAACAACCATCCTGTTGATCAAAGAATCAAAAGAAGAAAGTTAAACTCGTCAACCAAGAAATATAATGTTCCAAATAAGTTCTTTGAATCGGCTGGATATTTTTGTCCAACATTTTACAACAATACAGAGCTTGAAGAAGATATTAAATCATTTGAATTCCGAGAAGGCTTAAGGCCCGCTTACAACCAACTCAAGTTAGCACCAATTGAAGTGACACAAGAATCAGAAATTGAGACATTAATCCAAAATGCTATCATGAATGCCGAAGGATTAATTATAGATGAAAATGGAAAAAGTTTTGAATTAGAGATTAAAAGGCAAAAAAGGTTACCCTTCAAACTCGGAAAATATGACCATCATATAAAAGTTACACCTGATCTAATATTGAGTTTCGGAAGCTTGAACATTCCATTAGAAGTTAAATATTCAGGCTTAGAAAGAGCTTATGATGATTTCAATCTGTGTATAGAGAAGACTTTTGTTGGTGCTAAGCCATTTATCGAAATCTATTCCCAAGCTTTCGCTCAAGCCCTTGCTTGTGACTCAAACTTCTTTATACTTTCAGATTACTCTTTTACCATTTTATGTGCAATAGATGATCAGCTTCTCCCAACCGATGCTGTAACTCATACAAACCTTAGATCTATCAGAAGTTCATGTTTTACAGTTAATAATTCTAATTATGGATTTACAACGATTATCATGATAATGATAAGTTATTGTTTTAAGCATAGGTCTATTATAAACTTAGATAATTTCAGAGAAAAGTTAATTCCAAATAAAGAGAGACTCCTGCAAAAAATCAATAGCCAATATGATATATTAATAAAGTTCACTACAAAAATCCAGACGATGCTTTTGCTAGATGTCAGTTCCACAATACACTCTGCGGATCTTTTAACTTTACCTAAAAGTGGAAACAGTTTTGATGAAGTTGAAGTTGAAGTTGAAGTTGAAGTGCTTCGTGAAATTCAGAATGAATTAAGAAGCTTGGGGGTCGAAGTTTCCCGAACAGAACTAGAAAGATTTGGCAAAATTTATTTTCACAAAAATTTCAAATTGATAAATTTTGAGGACTTAAATATTTCTAAAATAATCAGGGGAAGATTAATTCATCAGAGCTTTTCAACTATAGCAGTCCTTAATGAAAATAGTTTAATTAAACTTTACGATCCTTGCAGACTTAAGTGGATTATTAATTCAAATACCGATTTCTCTAGCTTTCAGGAAATTCTTAGTGCTGTGTTTTCTATATTTATTAGAGAAGTACTAAGTTACATCTATTTAAGAGATGCAACTTTCATCCCAAAATTAATAAATTTCGGTTTCATCCAAAGCCAATTTAGAGGCTTCATGAAAAGACTCGATTTAAAAAAGAGTATTCCTTTTACTGGCTTTTATTTGATTTTAGAAAAAAAGGATTCACGGCCTTTGAAACATTACAGATTGAATGAACAAATAGCTAAATTAGTAGAGGCAGTTATTGAAGACTTGCATAGTAAAAATATTTCTCATGGTGATCTACATCCTGAGAATATTTTATACAATAAGAAATTGAATCAAGTAACCCTTATAGATTTCGGAATGTCCTTCATTGCCTATAATCGTGGGAATTATGGCAGAAAGGAAGTACCACTTACTAATAATATACTTAGATTACTCCGAAAACGACAAAGACAGGATTGGAATAATTATAATAAAATTTTTTTTGGAATCTACCATAGGCAACTTGATTAAAGAAACTTACTTCATATTTACTTCATGGTAACATACTTATCTAATTATCTCTAAATATCCTAACTATCTTGTTTTTATATATGTTAGGATATCAACTCTCTGAAAAATAACTTTATATTTTCATAATTTAATATATAAGTCGTATTTCTTAAAAATACCATTCAAATAGTAGTTCGATCTTTTGCAAATTACCTTAACCAACTTCGTGTATATTGATGGCTGGTATAGCCCAAATATATAAAAGCTTCCAAGTAATTGAATGTAACCTTAGAAACGAGTCACTCAAATGCCATGAGTTAAAATTGGAGACTACCATCATAAAGTTATGATCCTGCTTCAATCCTAAAGCAAATTTGAAGTAGAAGATTGAAATATTGGAAATCGTGCTTATCATTTCATCGCTTACTATGTAATTGTTTCTTTTCTACAGCACATTGTTCTTCTCCTAAATTAATTTGTTCAATATTTTGTTGTTCATCTTCAATTTGTTGAACTTCTTCCTCTTTTTGTTTCTCTTCTTACATATTAATCGATTGCTGAGATACTGAACAAACATGTCTTCCAGATCGAAGCGGTTGCATGTCGTAAATTTAAACTTTGCGCAAAAATACGATAAAAGGAAAGATTTGCAAAAAAATATTTTTGCAAGAATGAACCTGAAACATTAAAAAATATTCTCGAGAAGTGTTCCACAAGAAATCCGAATGGCATCACAACCATGACAAATGGAGATAGGATCAACGTTGGCTATTCGTTCTAATGAATTTGACTTCAATGAATTTGAACTAAATATTTATTTCTGTTATGAGATTTTCCAATTTTTTGCAGCATTAGTATTTATTAACTATCAGCTCTGTAAAGACAACTCTAGCGAAAATGAAAAGCAAACAATTCTCATTAAAGAAGTTTTCCCTCTCACTGTTTCGGAAAACTTTAAAACTGGCCCATCCAAATACTTTAAATTTTGAAGAAGAACCTTCACCTTTAATTTCAGTTTCCGGCTTTAATGTTGAAGAGAGTCGTAATAATCTCTCTTACGGAGATATTGATATAAAACAGACTAAGAACTCAAATGATGAAAGATGTGCATTTTGTCATGAAATGCTTTCACTAAGTCTCCCCGGTGAAACAATAATTCCTTTAACTTGTCTTGATCAATGTCATGAAGATTGTTTGGTTGCAAGTTTTGACACTACCAATTTAACTCATTTACCTATTTGTGGAGCTTGTAATCAACCAACAAGAAGTTTAGATGAAAGTAATCATTCAAATATTATTCAGAGATTATTGTTAACAAATAATCCAATAGAAGTAACGCAGGTATATTATTCAGAAGATGAAAAGGTTACTGAAATTGGAGCATATGGTGTTGATGATAACAATAATGATGATAGCAAAGATTCATACTATGATGACTTAATTAGCAATATTTTAAATCCAAGAGTTCAATGTTACAGTGACTTAAATAGGCTAAAGATTTCTGCAAACTCCACCTACAAATTGGATTATTTAATAAGCTTAAAGAGTCCATTAGTGTACCAGAAGAATGAACCCACCGTGGAAGAAATCGAAATTAGATCCAAACTTGTGGATTATTTTAAGACCACTTTTCTTCAAAATATTCAAGATACTAATGGAGAAATTGGCTTCATAGAGGAATTAGGAGATTTGTTGATGTTTGATTATTTTCATATTAGTACTAATGCAACAAGCTGGGATTGGATGTGTTGCTATTTATTTGAAGACATGCTCCTATTGATTGGGGATGGAGTTTTAGTGGGTCAACTTTCTGTTTCTAAAGATATTTGTGGAGTGAACAGAACAACTAATGAGGATATTCTAGCTATTAATTTGAGAACAGAAGTATTACCAGAACTTTACTTAAAAAGCAATAACAAGCTAGTTCTCTTAAAATGGGAATCAGTTCTCATTGATCTTTATAATTCGAACGCTTCTGGTAGGCCAAATTTATTTCAATTCACAACCAATGCATGGCAGGAAGTCTGGGATTCTGGTATTGAACTAAGTGAAGATGTGAAGAACTATTCACATTTGGCAATAAACGGAAAAGATATTCCCTCCAAATACTTAATTCAAGCATTACCTGAAGTTCAGCCTCTACCACTTAATCTAGTAGTATCAGTTCCATTATACAACAACACCCTGCTAACCGACAATGACCTAAAACAAGAACTTGTCAGAATACTCCGAAACATAAAGGAATTATTAAGACCAATTGATAAATTAGCTTTAATTTTTGTAGGAACTTACCAAAATAGGAATCCCAAAGATAAAAGTACTTTTATAGGTTTCATGCCCCCTGAATGGAAAGATTGGGAAGAAGTATTTAATGACATTGTGATCATTCCAAAAGGAGATCAAATATTCAAAACAGAGTGGAACGAACTCATGTCTTCGTTTCAAAAATGTCAAGATTTGTACTCCCTAATTCCAGAATCAAATACCGAAATACATAAACTATTGGTTTTGAATCTTCAAAGCAAAAGCGAAGATATAGAATTAACTTCACTTGAAGTAAAAAAGTTGCTGCAAATTATTGACGATATTGCTGAAAAAATATCCATTAGCATAATAAGAATAGGAAATGATTATACTAATAATTTAGAAAACTTGACTGAACTTCTTGCTGTCATACCTCAAGATAGAACCTTATCTACAAAATTCTCGAACCCAATAAAGAGATATAATTCATTTGGTGAATTTATTGATGGAATCCCGAAATTAATTCATAATTTGCAATCTATATGTATACCAAAATTAACTTTAGAATTAAAAGTAGATAAATTATTCGGAGAATCACTTACAATTTCAGAAGTAGAAATTAACGGTAGTTTAAAAAAGTTCACCGATATTGATTCTTTAAGAATTCTTATTCAAGATATTGGTCCATTATATGATAGGAATATATTATTAAAAGTTAAACTTTATGTTTCAAATCGTTTATATAAAGATTTACAGTACGAAGATCTTGATATAGTGAAATATGATTATTCATGGTTAAAGTTTAGTGAGGGGGCACAATCCGTATCTCTAAAACTTTCAAAGAGTAATTTCACAGAGATAATGGAAGAATCTACTTCAACATTACCAAATTTTATAAATAGTGGGGATTCCACTATTCAATTTTTAAATATTCCATTATTACCACCATTATCATCGACAAGAGAGCCGGCGTTTTCTCGCCGACAAGCAGAGCTTTCGGTGATTGATGCGTTAAAATCAACTCGCATACTCAATGCAAGCCAATGCCAAGATGTTCTACTAAACTCAATTTCGTTAATGTATGCGATGATGAGCCTTTCAAATGGAAACTCTAATACGCAACGGTTGCGAAACATATTTGAAACAGTTCATAGTAAACGGGATTACATTCAAAACTTAGAAGAAGAGTTGAAACACATCAGTGACCTATTTATTGAGAATAGTAGTATGGCATATACCCACTGTCAGGATTTAGTATATTTTCTTATGTAAAGAGAAAGAATTGAAAGAGTTATATATATATATATTTACATATTACCCAATTAGGAAATAAAAATTACTCGGCAAACTATGTTCGACCCGATAAATTGTAAAAAATATAGGGGAACGAAGCTTCTTTTGTTTGAGAGAACTATGTAATGAAGCATGAATGATATATGCAAGGCATTGGCTGGTTGTTGATGTTTACGTTTCGAATTATGAAGCGAACATATATAAGAGATATTTTCTCGAAATTTTTAAATATGATTTTAAACAATACTATAAAATAGTTCAACTAAGATAATATGTCAATTCAACTACGTTCAGGGGGCCCACTTACTTTAGCAAGTGTGATACTTTTTCAACTTCCTATTGTATGGGGTGCTAATCTCGGTGGCTTAGATTCAAATGATCTGACAACAAATACTAATACTAAAAAGGCAACAAACACTAAAACCGATACTAAAACCAATACTGATACAACAGCAAATACCAATACCAATACTGATACTGATACAACAGCAAATACCAATACCAATACCAATACTGATACTAATACCAATACTGATACACTTCTCACAGATACTGCTGCTACAACTACAGATGTTACATACAACCAATATGGATTTACTGGAAGTCAATCAGTTTGGGAACCTGAAACTGTTACATCTACAACCAATTCTAATTCCAATTCCGATTCCAACTCCCAATCAAATTCCAACTCCAATTCCGATTCATCCTCTAGTTCTCAAACTACTCATTCTATCAAAGGTAATAAAACTTCTTCGGCCAACAAGCTAAGATTCGGTTCACAGGATAATGGACATTCTTTCAATAGTGGTTATGTAATTGCTGGTGCCATTGCCGCTGGTTCTTTTGTATGTCTTTTATAATCTCTTTGCATTTATTCAAACATCATTCGTTCATTCATTTTGCATTCTTTTCGGTTTATTCTTAGTTTACCAAAATAAAATATTTATAGGCGCGTATAAAATTTTCTGTAGCAGAAAAATATCCGTAAAACTCGACCACCTAAAAGCGCATATGATGGAGTTGGAGTTCAAACTCCACAACTTCTAAGAATGGCTAATGGAAACTACTACAACCATAGACACCACCATGGGCCTACAGCAAAAATTGTACCAGGAGTTAACCTTGTTCCTCAGGAAGTGAATCAAGTTGAGACTCATATATCGAAATTACCATCAATTAAACATGTAGAATCTAATTCAGTTCCTCCTTTACCTATATTTAAAACTTTAATAGATAATTATTTTGCTAATGCTAATACTAATTTTAAGGCCAATTCTAATTTACTGAATAATAATCAACAAATATATTTAAGATCTAGTATGTCTCAAGTATATGGTAGGAAATCAATTCTTTTTTGTATTGATGTTGAAGCATTTGAAATGAATACAAATTTAATTACAGAAATTGGTATAAGTATATATGATCCTCGAGAACAATTTACTTCTATGGTTCCAACTATTCATAATATTCATATTAAAATTCAAGAAAATTTTGATTATCCTAATGGTAGATTTGTACCTAATCATGGTATGAATTTTAATGGTGGTACAACTTATCTTATGAAATTACATTCAGCAGCAACTTTTACTCAAGGATTAATTAATCATTATTTTATAAAATCAAGATCAGGTGATGTAAGAACTTGTTTAATTGGTCATGATGTAAAAGGTGATATAAAATGGTTAAATACTTTAGGTATTAAATTTCCTAATAATGTACCTATAATTGATACAAGTATATTATTTAGTATGTCACAAGGTAAAAATGGTACAAGTTTAAAGAATGCATTAATTAGAGTTCAAATTCCTCATGCATTTTTGCATAATGCTGGTAATGATGCTTATTATACTTTACTTTTACTTATGAAACTTTGTGATCCTCAATGTAGACAACAATTCTCACTTGATGTGATGAAACCAATGGAAACTAAACAACAACATGTTATACCATTATCAGAACATATTAGACCTTCACCAGGAGGTAAAGTTAAAGCCAAAAATTATAATATTGCCAATTTAATTCTATTACAAACTCCAGAAGAAGCAGCCACAAAAATGTTTGCTACTACTATTTAATACATACTATTTACTCCAGTTAAAATTGTTCTTTCGAATCGTTCTAATAAATCATTGACTCGTAATAATAAACCAGCACATAAACTTTTTAATTTGGAATCAATTATATTATCCCAAATTTGTGATAACCAACTTTGAATTCGAGTAATTCCATATTCAAATTGTTGAATCAAATATTCTTCATCAGTAATATCACAAATAAAAAATACTGCAGTAATTATACTTTCTATAACCTGAACTTCTTCTAATTTAACTGTTCTTGTAATTGGCAATACTAATTGAAATAATTCTGTACTCATATCTTGAATGTTTATGGCAGATGGGTATGCACATTGTAATAATAATGTTAATGTATTGATATAATGACCAATGAAAATTGTTGAATAATGTCCAATATCAATTTCTCCAACATCATACCATACATGTAATAATGGAAAGAAAAACTTTGCACCAATTAATTTATAAAAATCTTGACGTCTTGGTATATCTTGCATGACTTTCTTAGGATTTAATGACTTTGATACTCTTAACACTTTCATTCCTTCAGCAATTTTATCCAGTTGAACTTCTGAAACACTGGACATTAAATCATCTTGAATAGAATGTTGAAGACTAGTTATAATACTGGGTTGATTATCAATTTCTGTAAAAGCTTTATGTAAGTTAGGGGGTAATTGTTTAGTAGGAAACTTTGTTGAAGAATATGAGCTTGTAACTACTTCATCACTAAAACCTCTTAAATCTCTAGCAGCAAGTGAAATAGATGATAATATTATCATACGTTGTTGTAAAGAATAATCTCCATTCAGTAATAACTCACAAATATGTAAAGTACTTTCTGGTGAAGCCACTAGAACGGCAATTAAACAATTTAATCGAAGTACATCAAAATCAGATTCATCAAAATGATTACTCATAGCTAATAATTGAGTTATTAATTCTTCCGCATGGAATCCTACTTCATTACCAAAATTAATCTTCTGACGTATAAGTGTAGGACCCACTGTTAGTGCTATTCTTCTCTTATCATATGCTTCCTTTTTACTGGTATCTACACTTATATATTTTAAAAGATCCTTAATGTAGACTGGTCGTGGTACACGAACTTTAGGACCAATGGTATCATCATCATCATCACTATCTACCTGTAATGAAGCTTTTGGAATAGGGACTATTGAGTTGTTTAAAGCTTTTGATTCAGTGGGTGGCTCTTCAACCAGGGGTTTAAATAATATCCTCCATGATTCATCATATCCTAACACTAATGGCTCCTTTGGTTCTTCAAGCAAAAGCAAATATGAATCCATAATAGATTCTTCATCAAATATCTTATCTTTACCACTAAATTCACAAACTTTATTGGCAAGAATTACCCCTAGAGATTTGACATTAGTCGAATAAGATTCCAATCTTTTGGTTATAGCATCAAGGAATATTGAATTTTTCATTAAATCTTCTATAAATTTTGTACCTTTCCTCCTTCTTAATACATCAATTAAAAAATGAGTATAATTCTCTTGTTGAACAATTGGTTGAGTCTTTATGACACTTTCATCCGACCAAGTATTTAATAATGAATAAGTGATTTCATTCAATTTTTCAATGGGTTTTCTGGCAATAATTAATGAAACTAAAGTATTTAATGATTGATTATGCGATAAAATAATTCTTTCAATACTTCTAAAATCAAAATATTCATTAGTAAATTCAAGTATAGTAAATAAGGCAGATATAGTCTGTATATCATAATGGTTTAAGAATCTATTATTTAAATAATTAGTAAATAATTTATTAACTATTTCTTTCTTTTGATAACTTTTAAACATATTGAAAGATAACATAAAGTATTGCCAATCTTGTTGATTAAATATAGTATCAAATAATAATTCAGTACTATTATTTCCTAAACTTATTAATGAAAATATGAACATATTAATTGTTGGAATATCTTCATAATTAGTATGATACAATTGTAATATAATAGAACTTAAATAAGAAGCATAACTATCAGAATTCTTAAATATACTATTAGTAGTTTCTATTGAAAATTCAAGATATATTTCATTTAAAATTCCAAATATTTTCCCCTTAAATATTAATCTATCGATTTCTTTAATTTCAACTGATTTAGTACTTTGTTTAACTAATTTAACTACTAGATCAATATCAAATACTCGATCTAATATATACATATAAGTAGAAAGTATATCTTTCAATTGAGGAGATTTAGCACATTGAGAAATCTTAGTAATTAAATTACCTAATCCAACAAGTGAACGAAAGAGTTCAATAATAATTTCCTTTAAAGAATCAGATATAGATTGAAATGATTGAGGAATAGTTATATTCAATATAGTAGTAATGAGATGAAAAATTGCATTTTCTGAGGGATTTTGATATATTTCATTAATTATAACTCTAATTTCATTCTCACTAGGTTGATTCTTTAAGGAATTAATCCTTTCAGTCCATATTAAATCGTCTGTCATAGAGTAGATTATGATAACCTTACTGTGGAGTATAGTGGAAAAGCTATGAGAAAAAAAATTTAATTTTAATTTTAGTTTTTATTTTAATTGATTGAAATTGAAATTGAAATTATCGTTAGGACTGGTTTCAGAGAAGGTGTGGGTACAGGAGTTATGATACCTAGATTAGTGTGCGGGAGTATCAAGTTACAACTCAGTAGACATTTACTGACGAGTAATGCATATAGAAATACTGTACTTGCAAGTACGAGATCTATGATTTCAAAATCGAAATCTACTACAACTACTACAACTACTACTAAGACACCCCCAATAAACAGTTATAAGAAAAGTAATAGTGATAGTCATACAAATAGAGAGCAAGAGTTACAAGATTATCTTGGATCCAAGGAATTTACGTTTGATAATGAGGAAAAGTCTATGAAAATATTAAAGAAAGCGATGGAAATTGTATATTTGAATAACAGACCATTAGTATCTATAGATGTTGAAGCTTATGAAAGAAGTCAAAAAAAAATTACTGAGATTGGAGTTGTAATATATGACCCAGAACAACTGAAAAATTCGATATTTCCAGTCATTAAATCTTTTCATATAATAGTTAAAGAACATCATCGTTTTTTTAATAAAACATTTGTGCCTGATAATAAACATAGATTTATGGGAGGTATATCTTATGTATTACTGTTAAAAGATTGTAAATTATTTATTGAAGGAGTTATTGAGAAATATATTAATGAAGAAAATGGAGCATTTGTCGGTCATCATATTGTATCTGATCTTAAATGGTTGAGAAGTTTAGGAATTAAATTTGATCAAAATATTGATATAGTTGATACTGGTCAAATCTATACAATTTCTCGATCTTCAGGAAATTTAAGAGAAATTCTTAGATCATTAGGTATACCTCATGCACTTTTACATAATGCAGCTAATGATGCTTATTATACATTACTAGCCGCTATGGCATTATGTGATCCAAATATCCGCATTCGTGATAATCTCGATTTTCATAAGCCGTCACCGAAATTACTGAACGAAGATAAGAAAAGAAACAAATTCTCCGATAATGCTATAGTAGATGATACAGTTTCAGTAAATGAATTACTTGAAGAAATTTAGAGTAACTTCTCCATTCCCCTACTACTATGACCAACAAAAAGCAATCAGCTAAATCATTGGCTGTTCTTGCCCTAGACGGTTATCATACATAAATAATAATAAATAATAATAATATTATGTATATATATTTTTTGGCGCGCATCTGCGATGTCGAGGTTGCGATAACGCTAATTAATTAAATTGGAATTGGAATTGTCTGGGGGTGGTGAATTATTGTCCTTAGCTTAAATCTGATTGTTTATGTCTGGTAGTATTTGTAGCTAAAATTTTTAAAGTTAATTAGAGGTTTTTTTAAGGCTATTTATGCTTATTTAGACTTGACTGTAAATAGAAATAGAAATAATAATAATAATAATAATAACACCATCTTTTTGCATACTACATTCTCATTCTCAATATGGCCAGTGACGAAGAAGTAACAGAATTTTCTTCGTTAGTAGCTAGAAGACCATCACATACATTTCTAGATGTACCAATTGGATCATTCAAAGGTCCTAATTCCCTTCATAATTTTGCTAGTTCATTTACAAGAGCTCAATCATTTGCTGCATCTAAAATTGATAATGATATTCATAAGAAACGTTCATTCTTTGTAACTGATGAAGATGGTGGAATTGAAAGTTTTGATGATGAATTATTTGATCCAGAATTAATGGTACCATCATCTCATGGTGAAAGATTAAGTATTGTTATTCATGATATATCCAATAGAAATCAATTATTTATGAATAATATTGATTATAATGTATCACCTAATAATGATGTATTTTACCATGATGATGTACTTAATGCTTTAGATGAATCTAGATCAAGACAGAATTCTTATGGTGGTATACCAATTAATAGTATAAGAAGACCATTCCCATCTCCTTCATTTTCAAGTTTTAGATCAAGTATTTCATTAGCAACTACGGCATCTCAATTTAATTTAAAAAAAATTGAAGATAAAAATGGTAATGTTGTTACAGTTTTAGCAGGTCAATCTACAGCCCCACAAACAATATTTAATTCAATTAATGTATTAATTGGGGTGGGACTTTTAGCTTTACCAGTAGGTATATTAAAAGCTGGTTGGGTTATTGGTGTACCAGTTTTAATTCTTTGTGGACTTGTTACCTATTGGTCAGCATGTTTATTATCAAGAGCCATGGATACTGATAGTACTATTATGACTTATGCTGATTTAGGGTATGCAGCTTATGGATCATCAGCCAAATTAATTATATCATTATTATTTTCAGTTGATTTATTAGGAGCTGGTGTAGCATTAATTGTCCTTTTCAGTGATTCATTATATGCATTATTAGGTGATGATGTTGAATGGACTAGAACAAGATTTAAATATATTAGTTTTTTAATCTTAACTCCATTTACTTTTATGCCATTACCGATCTTATCAATCTTTTCATTATTTGGAATTATGGCTACAATTTCAATGACAGTTTTAGTAATGATATGTGGATTTTTAAAATCAGATGCTCCAGGATCATTATTACAAATTATGCCAACAAATATGTGGCCAAATTCAATACCAGATATTTTATTAGGTATTGGAATTTTAATGGCACCATTTGGTGGACATGCTATATTCCCAAATTTAAAGAGTGATATGAGACATCCATATAAATTCGATAGTACTTTAAAAGTAACATATACTATTACTCTTATAACTGATTTATCAATGGGAATATTAGGATTCTTAATGTTTGGGCATTATTGTAATAATGAAATTACTAATACCCTTTTATTAACTCCAGGTTATCCTACATGGATTTATCCATTAATTAGTGGACTCATTTGTTTAGTGCCTCTTGCCAAAACTCCATTAAATGCGAAACCAATCATTTCTACATTAGATGTTTTATTAAATTCTAATGCTAATATAGATGATCCATGGTTTACAGCATCTATAAAATCTACTAGTAGATTTATTATTAGAGTAGGTGTAAATGCTACATTTGTTGGTTTAGCAATATTATTTCCTGAATTCGATAGAATTATAGGAATCCTTGGTGCTTCCATTTGTTTTATTATTTGCATTATTTTACCTTGCTTATTCTATTTGAAGTTATGTGGAAGTAAAGTATCGGGATTTGAAAAGTTTATAGTACAAGTTACAGTACTCATTTCTTCTGTTTTAGCTATTCTTGCTACTTGGGCAGTTATTAGCTTTTAATTATCTAACTAACTAACTAACTAACTAACTAACTAACTAACTAACTAACTAACTAACTAACTAACTATCTATATATATTTATCATTCATTATAAAAGTCATATTACTATACGAATATTATAATTACTCAATTAGACTGATGTGCATATAAGCAGCACAGACCCCTGATTTTAAACTTTAATTCCGGACCGGAAGTATCCCTACCCTCGGATAAAGATGTTTCGTCTAGACCGGAATTTTTAATTGTGTAACTGGAACTGTTATTAGATAATTGTTCAATAATAAAAAGAAGACAATAGTAGATATTAAAAGAAGTTGCAAAATGCTGTGAATTTATAGTTCACAATTTACTTAAAGTATTCCTTTACTTATTTATTTCTTCTATATCTGTAACTTCTAGATATACGTTCTATTCACTAAGTTTATTCCAACACCAACACATTTATCATGAATTCTTCATTTACGTTTATCTCATCGCCATCTTCGTAATAAATATAAGCCAATTCATAATTATTATTACTGAGCTCGTCATAGAGATAGTGGGTCGCTGAGTGACTACCCACAAAACCATGATTGACACAAACGTCAAATACATTGACCATAAAGCTGTTCTTCTTGCAGCCAACTCCAGTATTAGTACTTGTAACCCCCCAGCAAGTCCAGATGAAATTAACAAAGCAATCACCACTGAAATACAAGGACAATTAGATCCTGTACAATCATTTATTAAATTTCATTCCAGTCCAGGAATTTAACTGCTCGCCACATATATTGGGACTAACTGTGATAAATGTAGACGCAACTGATAAACATATACCAGTTCCAATACCATATCCAATGGCTACCAAATTATTCTTATCTATTTTCATTTTTTTCTACGGTCAGAAGTAAAATATCTACATTATATTATAAAAATTACTGCCATTTTCATCTAGTCACTTCGGTGGTGCATCAACCGGTTATCACAGAAAAAAGTCGGAACTATGAACAAAAAAGAACACACTATAAATTGGGGGCAAATATCAAACTGAACCATATATCAGTAAGCAAAATCAAATTAAAGTCAAAGTCAAATTCACTATATAAATATCAGTAAATATGTCGTGGTTTAGCGGAAACGTATCCACTGTGGAATTGGATAATAAAATCTCAGAAGCCACTTCGGAATCCATCCCCAATGGAGAATTAGAACTTTCTATAGCCTTAGAGATAACTGATGTTATTAGAAGTAAAAAGATTCCGGCTAAACAATGTATGAGAGCACTTAAAAAGAGATTAACCCTTATTTATAGTAATCCAAATTTATTAACTTCAACTTTAAAATTAATTGATTTATGTGTTAAAAATAGTGGATATCATTTCTTAGTTGAAATTGCTTCAAAGGAATTTTTAGATTATTTAATTGATTTCATATTTAAAGTTCATTATAATACTAAAGATTTTGAAGTTACTAGAAATGAATCTAAATTAAGTGTTGGAAATTTAATTTTATCATTAGTTAAAGAATGGTCAATTGTATTTGAAAATCAATTACAATTAAATTATGTGGAGAAATGTTATAATCAATTAGTTAATGAAGGTTATACATTTCCTCAAGTTAATGATGTATCTCATCAATTGAATAGTAAATTTGTTGATTCAGAAGTTCCTCCCGATTGGGTTGATAGTGATAGTTGTATGATTTGTTATACACCATTTTCAATGATTAATAGGAAACATCATTGTCGAGCATGTGGAGGAGTTTATTGTCAAACTCATTCAAGTAATTCTATACCTTTACCAGGTTTAGGAATCTTAGAACCTGTAAGAGTTTGTGATAATTGTTATGCTAAACAGAAATCAAAATCTGGTAAACATAAGAGAGAAGAATCTCATGGTTCTTTACCTTCAGCACCATCTGGTCCAGTCGATGATGAAGAAGAACAAATAAGAAGAGCCATAGAATTAAGTTTGAAAGATACAGGTGTACAATATAGTGCACCTCCAAATCCTCCTCCTATTCAATCTATTCCTGATCCTGCTCCAGCTGTTTCAACTTCAAATCCAGATGAAGAAGAAGACGATGAAATGAAGGCTGCTATTGCGGCTAGTTTAAAGGAATATGAAGAACAAGAACGAATCTATAAACAAAGAAATCAATTCCAACAACAGCAACAACAACAACAACCAATACCACAACAATCTTTTCAACAGAATGCTTATGAACAAGATCAATCAGACTTTTATAATATTTCCATTCCTACAACTAATGCTCCTACTCAAACCTCCCAACCATACCCTATCATTTCACCTAGTCAACATATTGAACAGCATCAAACTCCAAGAGAAGACTTATCACAACAAGAAGAAGAACAAATTAATTTGTTTGTAACTTTAATGACTAATTTAAAGAGTGATCCAACTAAGCAAGGAAATATTCTTTATGATACAGACTTGAGTGAATTACATGCTAAAGTAATTAAGTTAAAACCAAAAGTAAACAAATCTTTACGCTCATCTATCGAGAGATATGAAGCATTCTTAGAAATGAATAATAAAATCTCTACCATAACGAGATTATATGATCAATTTTTAGAGGCTAAGTTAAATTTAGCTTATGGTAATCATCATATTTCACAACAACCACAACAACCACCACAAAATAACTATTATACTTCTGCTCCTAGAAACCCATATGGTCAAGATTATTCCATACCCCAACAAACTACGGGATATATCGACAGTCAACTGACTGGATATAATCCTGGAATTCCTCAACAAACAACTGGTTATAGCGGTGTACCTGAAGTTTCTCAACAAACAACTGGTTATATAAATGAACCTGTACCTAGACAAAGTACAGGTTATCCATCAGCGCCATACATTAATGAACAAGTTGAAGAACAAGAACAGCAACCACAACAACAAGAAATACAACAATCAAGTGAACCTATCGAGTATGGTAGTGTGCCAGCATACCCTAGTTATCCACCCCAGCCATATTCTGAACCTTCTGAACCGACTCCAGTACAACAACAACCTAATTATTCATACGAACAGGCTGGATCATACCCTACTCAGCAATACGAAGATCAAACCAATTCCAATTCAAATTCCAATCCTAATCCTAATTCTAATTACTCACAACCAACTGAACCAGACTATGCTAGTTATCCACGTGATGAACTCAATAGAGATAACAATAATAATTTACTGGCATATCCATCGGGTCCAACTGAAGAAATTCAAAATTTGGCACCACCAACTGATCCATTTGTTAGAAGACAATCAACTACCCTTAGTCCAGAAGAAGCTAGCAATAGATTTCCTACCATTGAAACTGTAGAAAGTGATTATAATAAACAAACACAATCACAAACACAATCACAATCACAACTTCCTTCATTACCTACTATGCCTTCAATGCCAACTTTTAAAGATGACCAACCTACCACTTCTAAACCTACCAAATATGTAGCAGAACCTGAACCTCTCATTGATTTATAGTGATTGTTAAATGAAATAAATGAAATAAGTGATACTAATTTATATACAATTTGCAGTAATTTAACAGTAATGCCTCTCTGCCTGCATACAGGATTGCAAAAAAAAAACTACACGCCAAGGCGAAACTCCGCGACATCGCAGCAATATACGAGAAAAAGTTTTTCAATTATACTTATACATATAATTAGTCATAATTAAGGATCATTACTACTTTAAACCGTCTATCCCTAGAAATTGTCCTTGACCCTACGAGAGCTGCCGCTTGAAGTCATTAGTACAATTGAACTCGCACCCTTTGTGAGTTATTGGCCCCTGTGTTTGTGAAAAAAAGAATCCTCTCTGTCTTTTGTCTCCCAGAAGAGTGAAAAATATATTTATTTAGTTGAAATGAGTCCATCTGCTAAGTATGATGGTACTAGTGAATGTGTTAATGAAAAAGTTAACTCTCACTATCATCCTAATTATCAAAACTCAAACTTAAAATCGATTGTCAATACTAAAAAATCTAGTTCAGAATTAATTGCTCAAGCATTAATTAATCATATTTCTGATATTGATCATGAAGTTTGTGAAGCTGGTGAAGAAGATTCATTTTTTGTATGTGATTTAGGTCAAGTTTATAAATCATTTCAAATTTGGAAACAAAATTTACCTCAAGTTCATCCCCATTATGCTGTTAAATGTAATACAGATATTGAAGTTATTAAATTATTAGAACAATTAGGTGCTAATTTTGATTGTGCATCTAAGAATGAAATTGATACTATTCTTAATCTTGGAGTTTCTCCTGATAGAATTGTCTATGCTAATCCATGTAAGACTAATTCTTTTATTAGACATGCTAAAACTTCCAATGTTAATTTAACTACAGTTGATAATTGTCAAGAATTACATAAATTACTGAAATTTCATCCTGAATGTGGTATTTTAATTAGAATTGCAACTGATGATGAAACTGCTCAATGTAGATTATCAACTAAATTTGGTTGTAGTATTGATTCTGCTATTAATGAATTATTACCTTTAGCTAATGAATTAGGACTTAAAGTTAGAGGTGTTGCCTTTCATGTAGGATCAGGAGCTAAAGATTTTGATTCTATTAATAAAGCAGTTAAAGATGCTCGTATTATATTTAATAAAGGTATTGAACAATACGGTTATGGAGATTCAATGAATATATTAGATATTGGAGGAGGATTTGAATTAGAAACTTTTGAACAATCTTCATTAGTTGTTAAATCTTCATTACAAGAATTCTTTCCACAAACATTTATTGAAAAATATGCCATTAAATTTATTGCTGAGCCCGGTAGATTTATGGTATCAAATGCATTTACATTAGCAACTCATGTAATTGCAAGAAGAGATATTCCTCAATCAATTAGTGAAGATATTACTGCCATGATTTATATTAATGATGGAGTATATGGGAATATGAATTGTATCTTATTTGATCATCAACATCCTCAAGCATTTGTATTGAAACACAAAGATACTTTCCATTATCAAGAACAGAAAATTGTTAACGATGCAACAAAGGGCAAGCATAAGTTTTCAATTTGGGGACCAACATGTGATGGTTTAGATTGTGTATCAACTCAAACTCAATTAGATTATGATGTTCAAGTAGGAGATTGGATTTATTTCCCTAATTTAGGGGCCTACACTTCTGCTGCAACAACATCATTTAATGGGTTTAAAGATAAGGCTCATATCATTTATGTTTCTTCTGAAACTATTGCTACTAAATGATACTTTTACAATATAGGTTAGTCGTGTAGCAACGTATAATGAAAAATATACATAATATACATTTAACTATGTACAATACATTTAACTATGTACAATACATTTAACTATGTACAATACATTTAACTATGTACAATACATTTAACTATGTACAATACATTTAACTATGTACAATACATTTAACTATGTACATTATGTCGCACATCACCATTGTACTCTAAATTCGTAATTCGCACTGTTATCGTCGGTCGAAAAAATCTCACTGCATCATCGGTGAATTTGGTCGATAACAAATACCGGAGTTATAACACTTTTTAGTTAATTTTAGTTTACTTTTAATACTATACACATTATACATAGTTTGTATAGTACACTATAGTCTTTAAGGGGATCAATTATTATGTCATCCAAAAAGGCAGTTACTAATTCCTTACAAATTAACAATGCCTTAAAGGCATTGGATGATAAACCTAATGAATTAAAACGATTCGATATTCATATAACTGAAAGTGGGGAAGAAAAATCAACTAAAGAAAGATATATTACCAATGTGGAATATCCTGTAGATTATTTACCAACTGAACAACAATTATTCTCGAAGAATGGATTACCAAATTGTGAATTTTTAAAAAATCATTTTATTCGTCAAGGAAGATTACATGAAAGTCATGCTATAAAAATTATTAATGATGCAACAGAATTATTAATTAATGAACCAAATTTATTAGATGTAATGGCTCCTATAACAGTATGTGGAGATATTCATGGACAATATTATGATTTAATGAAATTATTTGAAGTAGGTGGAGATCCAGCAACAACTAAATATTTATTCTTGGGAGATTATGTTGATCGAGGATTCTTTTCTTCTGAATGTTTACTTTATTTATATGCATTAAAATTGAATTATCCTGATAAAATATTTATGTTACGAGGTAATCATGAATGTGGACATTTAACTGATCATTTTACATTTAAAGCTGAATGTTTACATAAATATTCTATTGATTTTTATGAAGAATGTTTAACATCATTTAATGCTTTACCATTAGCTGCAATTATGAATAAACAATTCTTTTGTGTTCATGGTGGTTTATCTCCCGATTTAAAATCTTTAGATGATATTCAAAAACTTGATAGATTTATTGAACCACCTCATAGTGGACTTATGTGTGATTTATTATGGGCTGACCCAATTGAAGATTATGATGAAGATGTTAGTAGTCATGCATTTGTTCGAAATGTAACTAGAGGATGTTCTTATGCATTCACTTATAAAGCATCATGTAATTTCTTAGAAAGAACTCAATTATTATCTGTAATTAGAGCTCATGAAGCTCAAGATACTGGTTATCGTATGTATAAACGTACTAAAAAAATGGCTTTCCCATCAGTTTTAACTTTATTTAGTGCTCCTAATTATTTAGATTGTCACCATAATAAAGCTGCAGTATTAAAATATGATGGATCAGTTATGAATATTCGACAATTTGAATGTCAACCTCATCCTTATTATTTACCTGATTTTAAAGATGTATTTACTTGGTCATTACCATTTGTTGGAGAAAAAGTTCTTGATATGTTATTATCTATATTAAACATTTGTACTGAAGAAGAATTAGAAGAAGATACTCCATTTATTGAAGAAACTATAGCTAACAGAGATGAAATTGATGACTCTAATAATAATAATAATAATAATAATAATAATAATGAAGAAGAAAAGGAAGAAGCAGCAGCAGTAGTAACGACAATTACTAAAGAATCTGATGAAAGTATAGAAGCCAAGAGAATAGCATTACGTAATAAGGTTATTGCTATTGGAAGAATGTCTCGTATGTTTCAAGTTTTACGAGAAGAATCTGAAAGTGTTGCTCAATTAAAATCTTTAAATAGTGGTATATTACCTAAAGGATCATTATTACATGGTAGTGATGGATTACAACAAACAATTATGACATTCCAAGATGCAAGAAAAGCCGATATGATTAATGAAGCTTTACCTCCAACACCTGAACAAGCAAGACAATCAGAAAAGGAACGTACTGAAAGAGCTCGAAAGGATATTGAAAGTGGTCAAAATTCCAATCCGGTATTCCACAAATTGATAAGACGATTATCAGAAAAATCTACCAATTCGTAGATAACACATAACACACAAAATACTGCACGTTTAGTTTATATACCCTCTATTTTTTATATAATGTACGATAAAGATCAAACGAACAAAAGATAAAAAAAAAACTGTGGTTCATTACCACGAGGGACACGACCAGTAACTAACTGTAACTTTTTCGTCTACAACGTGATGCTAAAAGTGAAATACTAGCAGTTAAATTACTAATAGAATCAATAAAAACTACTATAAAGTGAAACTAAATGGGCCATCCCGTGAGGCTAATATATGAGCAACCGAATATAGAAAATACTATACCATTTTCTGAATTCCAAAGGTCATTTCCTGAAAAATTTTCTCCACAAGATGATGATAAATTGATATTATATGGAGGATGTCCTTCAGTTTCAGTTCATTTACAAGAAAATAATGAATTAAGTAGATTAGAAATAAGTTCACAATTACATAATGTTAATTTCTCGAGGGTTTCTTTATATGTATTAAATACATCATTAATTTTATGGTTTATTAATGATAATATAGGTTTAGAAATTCCTTATCAATCAATTATTTTGCATGCAATTAAGAAAATTGAAGGTAGTAATAGTTCTCATCTTTATATTCAAATAATATCTAATGGATATATAGCCAGTATACCTAATGAATATAATGAATTCATATCATCAATTGAATTAAATATAATTCCTAATATTGAATATGATTTTAATTCAAATCCTAATCCTTTACTTCAAGTGGTTGATAGTACAGTTGAACAATTATATGATGCATTATCTAAATGTTCAGCTCTACATTATGATACGGAGTCTGAACCAGAAGAAGATAGTAATTATGGAAATATAGATACTCAACTTCCTGCATTACAATTACCAAAAGATTATCTAAATAATGGTGAAGATGAAATAGATGATGTAATAATTAAGAATCTGGGTGATGCAGATGATTTAGGAAATGATGATATCGAAGTTCAAGATGCACAAGTTGTAGCAGGTATGGCAGTAGATGTCGGATTTGCTTCATTATCTGGTACAGTAAGAAAAAGAGAAGATGAAGTGGTAGACAATAATGTTAAGACAAGACGGGTAAATTAATATAGGGTTAATAAAAGTAACTATATAGTGTAATATTAGAGTAGTAACAAATAAAGAAAATCTACTGATTATATTTATTTTTATTTATATAGATCGAAATTTCAAAAATAGATAAAATAAATTTATGTACGTAATTTTATTATACTATAGAAATGGGAATAATCGGAAATAATCAAGAATAACTTTCACATTATGCTGTAGATTATACAGGAAGACCACCTTCTTCGTAGAGAAAATCATGTTTAAGGAGAACATATTCTACAAGTAGTAAGAATATAGCAGTAAGTATAACAGATACAATAATAGACATTAAGTCTACTTGTGTAATAATCACCACAAGTACAAGCCATAAAAGGAAAGAACAATGGATTGGGATTCTGTAATTCGATAATGATACTTCATTCGATATTAGAACCTGTACTTCACACCAACAATATATAGCAAGAAATAAGGCCAAACCTGAAGCTGTAATTAAAAAACCCAATGATATTTTATATTGTATCATTTTAGACTGTACTTCATCATTCGGCAGATTCAATTCCACGATCGTCTCATATACGCGAAGCAAGAACAATATGGAATACATGAAGCATAGTACACCGTCCCAAATCAGAGTCATTAGTTTCAGGTGTCTCGTTTCCTCGTCGAGGTTATTCGATTTCATTTTCTTTTCTAGTACTGCTTATATGTTTTGTAGCTTATTTCAATTAGAAATAGTAAACTATTTCTTATAGATACTTATCTTAATTTACTATTTCACTTAACAGAAGTTTACTGTTTATATATTAGCAATTGTTAGGCATAATATTCTGGATGCAAATTAGCGATACATTTTTTTTTGCATTCTGAGAAACTCACTCCTTACGTTTAGGGTAAGAGGAAGGAGTGAAAAGAGTATGAGCAGAAAGTGTAAAAGTAAATATGGAAGTAGTTTAAGTTTAAGGTTATATAGATCAGAAAATGATAAGTATACATATAAATATAACAAGTTAAGTTTAAAAGCCATGTCCCCTAATTGTAGTAATTAGCTAGGGAGACCCCGCTAGCGGCACATTTCTCGGTCTCGGTGTCTGTCTCCCCCACCGCTTCGAATGGCTCGCGCACCAAAAAGAAGGATCTGCCTAACTTAGCCATACCCATTACCTAATTTGAAAAACGTTTCAGGGATTGAACTTAAGTATTCCGATTGACTTAACATTGTTTGAATTGGGGTTATTCCATTTCGTAACGATTTGGTATATATAGAAGTCCAAGTCAAAATACATAATGAAAACAGCTGAAGAAAGACAACGATTTAAAAATCATTTCTTTAAGCTTGGACAGGGTCGCATTATCAATAGTGAACAATATGAATTTTGGGAATTACTATGGAATGAACCACAAAGTGTCGATGATATCTTTGAAATATTAACTCCTTATGATATAAGAAGTATTCGAGATCAAAATCGAGTTAATATACTTAGTTTAATTTCAGTATTATGTCATCAAATTATTAATATATATGAAAAGGAAGATTTATCATCATCATCATCATCATCTCATGTCATAGCGTTATTAAATTGTATACGATTCCTAACTAAAATAATACCATTCATATACGAATTACCAGAATATGAGCTGGAGATAGAAGACGAATTATTTTGGAATGTGGACTTTGATCCTATTGGATATGCCAATAGATTAAACTCTAAGTCCAACTCTAAGTCCAACTCTAAGTCCAACTCCAACTCATCAGATCAATCACCAGCATTTCTTAACTCCGCTAATAAAGATAATATTGTAGCAGTCAAACTTATTGCTACACTAGTCAAATTACTCTTTGTTAAAGGATTCACCCTAGATAAAACCCTGACTTCTAATGTATGGGAGCCAGGAATTGGAGGAGCTTCTAAATATACACCTCCTGGCTTAATCATAGATTCTAATAGAACCGAAATTTTAAAACTACTTATAACTTTAAGTAGTTATTCATTTTATCAAACAACTGCAAATGTAATATCTTCAGGATCTAAATTTTTAACTTTATTAGTTACTTGTATTCCTCGAATAGAATTATTAACTTTAGTATGTTCATTAACAAATTTAACTTGTCGATCATCAAGAAGTTCACCTGAAGAAAATGTTTTGGTATTTAATAATAATAGTCAATTAACAGAAATGAGACATTTATGTGTTACTAATGCTATACAATTATTAACATTAATAACAGTTTATCCATTACCATCAATTGAAAATACAAAATTTTTACTTTCAAGTAATCTTATAACATCAAATAAACCATTTAATATTGTAAGATTATATTTAGGTAAATTACATAAAGAGAAAGAATTATTATTTCTTGGATCTTCATTATTAAATATATTAAAACATCCACTTTATGGAGTTAAAGAACCAGAATTTAATTTAATTAAAACTTCAAATATTCCACCATCTTTATGGGCCACTGAAACAACCATGTTAATTTGGGAATTAATTCAATGTAATAAAAATTTTAAACAACTTTTAAGTCAAAAATTTATTCCAGAAATAACTATTTGTTTATTATATAATATTATAAGTTATCATAATAATCATTCTCATAAAAATTTAGTAAGAATTTCTGCTTATTTCTTATTATATATATCATCAGATCTTGAACTTAATCAAAAATTATTTGATCCAATTGATATTAAATTTTATGAAACATTTCCTACAAATTTTAAAACAAATACAACTCCATTAACTACAAGAGATTTCTTAGTAATTCATATATGTACATTCCTTTCAAATTTAAATTTAAATGGTAATGGTAATGGTAATAATGATATATCATCATTATTACTTACAACTTTAGTGGAAATATTATATAATATAATTCAACCAGTATCAAATGAAGATATTAATTATCCAATAGATCCTGAAAAGAAATTACATAATCCAAATCCTCGAGGGGGATTATCATATGGTAGTTGTTCATCAATTACTTTATTAATTACAAAATTCTCAACTAAATCATTTTTATCAGAACGTAAAACAAATCCAGAATTATTGGCATTTATTATACGATCAGTTTGTACATCAATAATTAAATATCCTAAACCATCAAGAATGTTATTATTTTCAATATTAAAAAATGAAAAAGTATATGATCAAGTTTGGAATACTGTGTATGGATTTAGTAATGATTATTATAATAATGGTGAAACTCTTAAAATTATTGATGATACTGAAGAAGAAATTGTAGATTTTTCTGATAATGAATCACAACTTTCTAGAACTCCATCTTTAAATAATATTCGAACAATAATACCAGAAATTGAACTGGAACCAGAAACTGAAACTGATCATGATCATGATGATTTAACAGCAGCGTTAAGATCTCGACCTCCAACAGGAATGTCAGAACGAGCTAAAGAAAAATTACCAATTGAAAGCCCATTAAGCCGGTCTTGGGGTGGGAATGATGCTTTAAGAATTATATTAACCATTATAATTCCTCATTTAAAAGTAGTATTAAAAGAAATTTGGTCAAGTAGAGAAGGTTCAAGTATTGATAGTTTTGTATTAGTTAAACATATTGAAGAAACTAATTTTGATGATGTATTATCAGCAAATAAAGGTCAAATTAATTATGATTTTTTACCAGATACTCCATTAGAACCATTAAAATTTAATTGGAGTCATTTATCACTTGGTTGGTATGTATCTTTATTATATTCAACAATTTATAATACAGTTGATAGTGTAAGGATTTATACGGGAAATAATAATAAAATTATGAGAAATATTTCAAGTTCAATAGCTTCAGTAAGTAAAATTACCAGTTATTTTATGAGACAAGATACTTCTGAAACAAATCAAGAAACAATTGAATGGGTAGGGAAATCTCTTACTTCAGTGAATCAATGGTCTCAAACTTTAATTACTTTATTTAAGATTGAAAATGTTAATAATGAAGGAATATTTGGAAGATTAACTAATGTTAATCATGCAGTACCAGGAACTCCTGGTGGAATGAATGATATGGCTAATCATTTAGTTAGACGACTTAGTGATTTCCGATTAAATAATTCAAGTCGAAATAGTATATCATCAGGTCTTACTACACCTGTTGAAGATCAAGAACCAATATTCTCTAGAAATAGTAGAAATTCAGTCACGAGTCTTTATTCATTAAATACTTTAAATCGTTCAAGAAGTAATACTCCTAGAAATTCTATTAGCATGTAAAATTTTTGATAATATATATGTTAAATAACTATACTATATGTACTTTTCTCATTAAATCTATCTACGACCACCTCTTCTACCTTTCTTTTGAACTAATTCAAATCCATCTTCATCAACAATAGGACCTACTGGTTCTGTATCTACTTCCATAGAATCTTCTTGTTGTAATTGAGGAATATCTTCATTATCACCTTCATCTTCTTCATCTTCTTCACTATCAGAAACATCTGGATTATTGGGATCTTCTTCTATATGTATTCTATTAATATTAGATGAACCTTTAGATTGCTTTTCTTGCCATTTAGAATAAAGTAAATCAATATCATTATAATTCCCTATGGAAACATCCTTATAAAATTTAAAGATTAATGCTCCAATTTCTAAAGCTGAATCATTATCAACTTCAGTATCAAATTCATCAACCATAGCATATAATAAAGTTTCTTCTATTAATTGAATATCTACAACTTTTTCATCAAATAATTCTATAACTATTCCCGATATCCAATCTCTCTTCTCAGCCGAATTAGCTCCACCCCACGAATTTTCAACAGCAGTATTTAATTCTTCCCATTGATATACTGCCATACAAACTCCAAGTTCAAATTTGGCTTGTTGCCTTTCATCATTAAATCTTAATCCATTTCCTTCACTGGCTTCTACATAATCAGTAGGATCTATAGACGTCATTGTTAAGCTAATATTTATTCAAATAGATAAGTCTGCAAAAAAAATTATATACGGTATTCTACATATCTCTATATATTTTTTTTTTCATCATCGCAAGGCTGCACATTTTTTGTTACAATCAATGTCACTTGGCACGACCATACTTATACTTCTACTTATACTTAATAAAATCCATTCATTTCTTTATCTCTTCTTAATACAGAAGTGACTTCTTCTTCAGATACATTAAGTTGAATCTTTCTATGTCTTTCTCCAAGAATATTTTGTTGAGTAATAATTCCATTTTCTGCCAATTCATTAATTATATGTTTAAAATGATAAATTCTTATATTTGGAGTCGATTTCTCACTCGATAAAGGTCCGTTACCATAGAGGAAATCATTTAATGTTGTATCAAATTTTTGTAAAATTTGATGTTGATTATCTTTTGATGTAAATAATTGAATGGAATTTTTCATTTCATCAATTATATCTCCAAGAGTATTTTCTGCTAATCCTGATCGTTTCATTCGTAATAATGTGGCTCCTAAAACTAATTTGGCTGCAAATGGTAATGACATAATAAATGAAGAAATTGGTGAATTAACGGTTTCATTAATGGCTCGAGATATATGAGAAATTAATACATAACATGTAGTATCTTCCAAATCTTCATTTGGATTATCCTTTTTCTTATTAATAAAATCTTGTTCAGCTATTTCAACAGCTCGACGACAAATAGTTAAAGCTCGTCTAGCATCACCACTAACACTTGCAACTTTTCTTGAAGCAAATGAAATAGCATCATCTTTAACTATTACTTTCATTTTATTTTCTCGTTGAATTTCTCTTAATCTATGCTTAATAATATCTCCTAATTGTTCATAAGTATAACCAATGAATTGAATTCTATTCAATCCTAATCTAGATGAAATTTTATTGGAAAGTGTACGTTCAGGTAAATCCATTGTATTTGCAATGGCAATAACAATTAACTTAGATTTCGAATAGGTGGGCCAATTAAAGAAATTATACATCACATTTTGTTTCTTAGAAGCAATTTGATCAAGTTCATCCATAAGAACTACTAATGGTTTCCTGTCTTTAGCTTCTTCTGCAAAATATTGATCAAGAAGTCGAACTGCATTGGCAGAACTAACTTTAAATCCGCTGATTTTCTCCCATAATACTTCAAAAGCAACATTAGGTGATAAAAGTTTTAAACCATTAATTTCAAGATAATCAAACTTTTTAAGCTCGCCAGCAGAAGCTGAATCTTGTAATTGTGCAATTACTTCTCGTACAGTTGCAGTTTTACCTACACCTGGTGTACCACTAACATAAATACAACATCCAGTTTCTTCTTGAATTGCAGTATCAAGACTTAAGAAAAGTGAAGCGTATTCATCTTCTCTACCTGGTAACGAGGCAATTCTATGAGATGCATGTAATCTACTTTTAATATCTCTAAATGCTTGAGAAGTAGCATCAATTCCAAGTATTTTATTCCCATTGCCAGTAGATTTCTTTGGCGAAAGAGACAGTAAAGAAGGTTTAGAAACATTGGACTTTATGTTAATGACCTTCTTGTGTGGTGATAAGATTTTATTCAAAAGTTCACTCGGAAGGTGTGTTTTTTTAGCTGGTGATGTTGATCTAGAAGTACTCTTTCGTTTACGTGGTGATGGTTTGGATTTTTTTGTAACAGGCTCATCTTCACTCAAGTCTACCTCATCATCTTCTGATTCATCATTTTCTGGTTCATCATCTCCACTGGATGCTGTTACGAAACCTTCGTCATCATTATCGTCATCATCATAATCCCTATTTTCATCTTCCTTTTCATCCTCATTTTCATCCTCATTTTCATCATCGCTTTCACCCTCCTTTTCATCCTCCTTTTCTTCAGCCTCCTTCTCTTTCTTCTTGTCATCATTCTTATTCAGGCCAGCATTCTTTTCTTTTTCTTCAATTTTCTTCTTTTTGGATTGAGTAGTTGGAGTCTCTCCTTTCTGTGTATCCTTCTTCTTAACAACTTTCTTTTGAACCACCTTCTTCTTATTATTCGTGCCTGGGGTTCGTGCCTCTGTTTCCTTTTTAGAACAAAGGTCTCTGATATAGCTGGTAAATTCTACTGGCTTGGTCTTTATAAAAGTTGTCAATTCATCGAAATCTATTTCACCAGTGAAATATTCATCATCTTGATCATATCCTCGTTGACATAGGAAAGTGAGTGTTGAATTTGATTCATCCAATACAATGCTCTTAAAATCAGATTTGGAAAGTACATTAACTTTTTCTACTACTTGATTAAGATATACCAATGATGAATATGCTGTTATCAATAACTCATTTTCTATGAGAGGTACCGATTTATCTTGAACATCACTACTGAGAATGAACCAATAAACAATCATATCAATATATCCAGAACCAGTCATAGTAAATTCTTTAATAATTGCAAGTTCAGATTCATCAGATTCTACATTGTATAATATTGTATCTCCTGGTTTCAACTCAAACCCATCACTTACTCTTCGTACATACATAGATTCAGGACCTCCACCACCTCTTCTTCTTATAGCTCTCTTAGTAGGAGATGAATCCTCTGGAAGTATGAATTCCCATCCTTCAAAGTCTTTCTTACTTGAAGCCATTGTTCAATCGGTGGACTGTATATTATCTATAAATTATATAATATCAGATAGTTAAGCTTTCTTTATCAATTTTGATTTCGTTCCGACGCGACTTTTACTGAGCCATCACTTCGATGGTTTGACTTTACACCAGTTTGGTGATACTATTAATACTACAAGATAAATAATTTAATAGAGGACATATTGTTACAATTGTCATAAATGATTATGATTGACTATATACAATTAGTATTATTATTTATATGATACATTATGTGTTTGAATTAGTAGAATTACAGTTTATAGTATAGCTACTTAGTAAAGACACACATAACATAGCATAGCTTGTACTCTACTAAAGCATTGGACTAAAACGTTGGCAGACAATAACTCTACTCATATGTCGTAATTAATGTCCGATAATGAGAACAAATAAAAAATTCGTTATCCACACATTTGACAGACATTATATGTGTAAATAATATATCGAATGCGGTATCGCATTTTTTGCAACTATAAACTCCGAAATATCTACAAATGTCAGACAATTATTATTAATTAATGTCATTAAAGTAATATAAAAAATGTATATAGTTAAGCATGTAATAGAATGTATATGTGTAACAAATTGAATAAATTGAAAGGAAACGTAAATGTATTATAGGAGAATTGAAAGTCGTGATTTTGCATGATGATGTTATGGAAAAAGCAATTACTTATAAATAAGAATTGGTTCACCAATGTTTACTATTTCTTCCAAATTTAATCGTAAATCAAATGCCTTAGATAATATTATTTTGAATATCTTTTGGACATTAATTGAATGACTAGTGGAACAGAATACGACAGGTGATTTCATGGCTTGACCAAATTTCTTTGCTTGTTGAGTTATTTCAACTTGATCTTGATGAGATAAATCAATAAATTGATCATATTTTGTACCTACTAAGAAGGGAATGGCCGTTTTATTAAAACCTCTTACTTGTCGATACCATTCTTTGATTGAATTCAAAGTTGATTTTCTAGTTAAATCAAACATAAATAGTATAGCAACAGCATCATTTGAAACTAATGGAAGCATATTTATAAATTCCTTTTGTCCACCCAAATCCCATATTGAGAATGTAATAGTTGTATTTCTTATTTGAATCTTCTTATCCATGAAATTAACTCCAAGGGTTTGTATATAATCTTCATCAAATGATCCCTCGACATATTTGACCATTAATGAAGTTTTACCGATTTGAGAGTCACCTATTAGACCTATTTTTAATGCAACTCTAGATAATTATGTTAGTATAATGCTTATAATTTATAAATTCAATACATAAATTAAATAACTTACTGATTATTTTGATCATTTTGATGATCTTCCATATTGTAATACAAAGATATAATTAATCAAACACGTATACAATGTGAATATGATTATGAATATGAATGTGAATGTTAAAATGCCAATTGATCTGTACAGAGTTCCAACCGTATTCTTAGGCAATATTGATTTGATGATGATATCCAAATAATTGGTCTATATATGTCTATTTATGTTCAATTAATGAAAGGACAAGATCCATACCATTACAATTAAGCGAGTTTGTGGATTCAATCTGACATTAATGGTTTGTTTACATTTTGTAAATTTATGGGAATGACACAAAGATAGAGTCAAAGAACTAAAGCCGATACTAGGGTTGAAGCCCTAACCTGTGCGAAAATACATGTGATAGGCTCAAGGTCACATGGAGTTGAATGCAGTCTTATAGATAATTAACAATCCGCACTAAGAAATCTAACACAGAAATAGTAAATTATGTATGTATGGATGTAGTGCTCATTACATCCAAACACACATAGTTAACTTCAAAATAATCGCACTGATAATTTGTTAACTATGGCCGTCTCATAGTTAAGGATTTTTTTTTTTTCAAACCAGAACCAGAGGAAGCAAAGGGAAAAAAAATTTTAGGTGAAAATTGTTTAACAACTCTTTTTCAATAACGATTCTTAGTTGTAGTTAATCAATAATTATATATACCGAAGAGTTAACAACATGGCTGTTGGTAAGAATAAGAGATTGTCCAAGGGTAAAAAGGGATTGAAGAAGAAGGTCATTGACCCATTCACCAGAAAGGAATGGTTTGACATTAAGGCTCCATCTACTTTTGAAAACAGAGCTGTTGGTAAGACTTTAATCAACAAATCTACTGGTTTAAAGAATGCTGCCGATGGTTTAAAGGGCCGTGTTGTCGAAGTCAGCTTAGCTGATTTACAAGGATCTGAAGACCACTCTTACAGAAAAATCAAATTAAGAGTTGATGAAGTTCAAGGTAAAAACTTATTAACCAACTTCCACGGTTTAGATTTCACCTCTGATAAATTAAGATCTTTAGTTAGAAAATGGCAATCATTAGTCGAAGCTAACGTTACCGTTAAGACTGCTGATGACTACATTTTAAGAGTCTTTGCTATTGCCTTCACCAAGAGACAAGCCAACCAAATTAAAAAGACCACTTATGCTCAATCTTCTAAATTAAGAGAAGTTAGAAAGAAGATGATTGAAATTATGCAAAGAGAAGTCTCTAACGTCACTTTAGCTCAATTAACCTCCAAATTAATTCCAGAAGTTATCGGCCGTGAAATTGAAAAATCCACTCAAACTATCTTCCCATTACAACACGTTCACATTAGAAAAGTTAAATTATTAAAACAACCAAAATTCGATTTAGGTGCTTTATTAGCTTTACACGGTGAAGGTTCTGGTGAAGAAAAGGGTAAGAAGGTTTCTTCTGGTTTCAAGGATGTTGTCTTAGAAACTGTTTAAATTCCTCATTAAAAATTTTCTAAAATTTAATCTTGGATAATGGGTCTTTTAAACTTTTAATATAGCATTTTTAAACCTTCCTTGTATCATGACTGCTTTAGTAGTTTGGTATAAAACAAACAACAATCAAATATTTTTAAATATATAAAGTTCTAATAATATTATTATATTATCTTGTACTTCTTTCATGTGTAATAATACATATCTATCGAATAGAAATTTGCGATTAAACAGTAAAGGTTACCTATAGATTACTTACAGGTAACTAGTCTCGCTCAAATTTGACTAGATTAGCGTCTTCATTTCTATTTAGTGAGTGATAGTAATTTAATTTCGATTTTGACACAATTTCGCATCACACTACGTCAAACTAGTTATTGCTCAGAGTATAGAAGCTGTAAAAGACAATAGTTCTAGATAAGCTCACTGTAACTATAGTCTACTTTACTTAAGTTAGGTTAAAATAAGACAACATAACATAACAAAGTTAACTTAACTTAACTTAATCTTTACTACCCCTATTCTAGTTCTCTTATAGCATCTATATTATATGTGCTCCACATACAAAAGGACACTTACTTCTGTTCAAAATCCAGCAGCTAACCTGTAAAATCACTTCCTCATCAGCAGCCCCTAATTTCTTCGCTGACTCCCTGAGAATTTCAGGTCCACTTCTAATCAGGGGGAAATTTTTACACATTAGCCCCCCATTTTACAAGTTACCAAATAGCCAGATAGATGTAACCAGCAAATTTCCCTCGGGCCATGTCTAAACAAAGAACCGGCCTAATAATGTCATACAGATTAATTATTCAATTTCGAATAATTGTTATTTTATTTCAAACTATTTATGTTTAGAAGTTGATATTAATTGTCTATATCTATTAGTTGTAGTAGCAATTGAATTTTAAAGTCAATTGCTATTCTTATAGACGAAACATCTGTTCATTGTATGTATTATTTATACCGAAGTAGTGGCATCGCAGGAAATTTCAGGTGATTGGGGGGATAGTAGTGGATATACGATGAATAACTTGTTAACCATTTATAATTAATTTACTTATTATTCATATACTAACTATATATTACTTTAGCAATTGTACAATATGGTACTGGAAGTGCCTGATCAAGCGCAAATACCAACTCAATCGCAATTGCCTAACGGCAATAAGGCTGATTTGACCGATGCTTCAACCGCGAACCGAGAAGTAAAGAAAGATTTAAATACAACTTTTAATCAACCAATTGTTGGATCAGGAGCTGTACCTGCAGTTGAACCACCTAGTAAACAAGAAGTAAGGGAGTCTGAATCTGAATCTAAAGCTAAATCAAATGAATCAACTTTACCACCTCCACCTAAGAAATTGAAAATTAGAGATCATGCAACTTTCTCATGGGAAAATGTTGGACCTTGGGATATTGAATCTTCTGATGATAAAGCTGCTTCATTAAAATATATTAAAAATGTTGAAACTTATATTACTGATCATTTTTATGGAGATTGGTATTGGAATTGTTCATTAATTATTGGTACATGTTTCTTTTCTTGGCTTGTTGCAAGACTTGGAGGAGGGATTTTATCACTTGGATTAGTATTATTAGGAACTAATTCTGTGTATAGATTAGAATTCAGAAGATTTAATAGAGATATAAGAGATGATATGACAAGAATTCATGCTAATAATAGATTAGATAAAGAAGTTGAAACTATGGAATGGATGAATTCATTTTTAGATAAATTTTGGGTTATTTATATGCCTGCATTATCAGAACAAGTTATGTATCAAACTAATTTAGTATTAAAAGATGCTGCACCTGGATTTGGAATTGATAAATTATCATTAGATGAATTTACTTTAGGTTCAAAAGCTCCAAGAGTTCATTCAATAAAGACTTATCCAAAAAAGGCTAATGATATAATTGAAATGGATTGGAATTTTTCATTTGCTCCAAATGATACTGATGATATGACTAAAAATGAAATTAAGAAAAAGATTGATCCAAAAGTTGGATTAGGAGTTACTATTGGTAAAGCATTTGTATCAAAATCTTTACCTATTTTAGTTGAAGATATGTCATTTAAAGGTAGAATGAAAATTAAATTAACATTAATTGAAAATTTCCCTCATGTTAAAATAGTCTCAGTACAATTTTTAGAACCTCCAACCATTGATTATGCTCTTAAACCAGTTGGTGGTGATACACTTGGACTTGATATTATGTCATTTATTCCTGGTTTATCATCATTTGTTAATGGGATTATTCATATGACTTTAAAACCAATGTTTTATGCTCCTAATCATTTTGATGTTGATGTTGAAGAAATTATGGCTCAACAATCAAATGATTCAATTGGAGTTGTGGCAGTTACCATTAAAAGATTAACCAAATTAAAAACTGGTCCTAATACACCTCCAAATAGTATTAATCCTTATGTACAAATTAAACTTGGTAATAATTATGAAATTGATGAAAAGACCAATGTTAAGAAATTGATTAATGATCCAATTTATAATGAAACTAAATATATATTGGTTCAATCATTAGATGGAAATAAATTAAATTTTAATATATTTAATTTACTTGTTGATAAAGCTGATGATCAATTAATTGGTAATACTGATTTTGCCCTTGGAGATTTATTACAACAAGAAGTTCAAACTGGATTAATTAAAAATATTACTGAAGGAGGTAAATCTGTTGGAAAAATTGAATTTGATGTTCGATATTTCCCAACTTTACCACCATTAGAATTAGAAGATGGTACCAAAGAACCAGTAACTGATACAGAAATTGGGATTTTAAAATTAAATTTACATGAAGCTAGAAATCTTGAACTTTCTGATTCATTTATTGGATTATTAAATCCTTATGCCGAAATTTATATTAATAATGAATTAATTAAAACTTGTCGTAAATTAAGACAAACTAATGAACCATCATGGGATCAATCTATTGAAACATTAATTACTGAACAATCTCAAACTGAAATTCAAGTATTAGTTAAAGATTCAGTTGATAATAATATTGTGGGTAAATTAGATGTTAATTTACAAGATATTGTATTTGAAACTAATAGAGGTCAACATTGGTTAACTTCAGCTCCAATAAAAGAAGGAGGAGTTGAACCAAGATTTAGAATTACTGCTAGTTGGAAAGCCTTAGGTATGAGTGATGATACACTTGTTAAATCTCATCATACTTCATCAATTGGTGGTTTAAGATTACATTTACGTTCAGCTAAAGATCTTAAGAATTTAGAAGCTGTAGGTAAAGTTGATCCATATGTTAGAGTCTTATTAAATGGTAAATTAAGAGCTAAAACTTTAATATTTCCTGAAACAACTGATCCATTATTTGATTCAGTATACTTTTTACCAGTTTCTAATGAACATCAACACTTTTTACTTGAAATTATGGATTATGAACCAGAAGGTAAAGATAGATCATTAGGTAATGCTGCTATTAATGTTAAAGACTTTTTAAAGAAGGATGATAAGGGACATTTCTTGGCTTATGATGGAGCCGAAGAAATTATTGAACAACCAGTTATATTTAATAAAAAACCCACTGGTACTTTAATTTATTCAATATCATTTATTCCAACCATTCCAATTTATAGTCATCATGAAATAGTTAATAAAGATGCAGTTATTGCTGAAGTAAGAGCTAAAAAACTTAAAGCTGCTAAAAAGAAAGAAGCCGATGAAAGACTCTTTAGACAAAATCCAAAAGAATATGAATGGGTTGAAGTGGCTGGAGATGAACTTCCTGCTCCTGATAAGATTGAAATGCCTTTAGAAACTGCCATTAAATATAGAGCTGGAGCTGTAACTGTACATCTTTTAGGTGGTACATTTGATAAACCAGATATTGTAGTCCATACTTTATTTGATGATCAAGCTTATTCTTCAGGAGTTTCTCCAAGATCAGAAGGTAGAGTTTTAAAAGTATCATCAACTGGTGAAGGATTTATTAGAGATTTACCTAATTCTAAAATAATTTTTAGAATTGCTAAGAAATTCGAAGTTAGTTATCAAAATGATATTCTTGCTGAAAGAAGTTTTGATACTCTTGATATTTTGAAAAAGGCTTATGATAAACCATTAAATATTAAAATTGATGATCGTAATTCTATTCAAGTTCAACTTGAATATACTCCATCTACAGTTAAATTACCTCCTAAAGATACTGTTTTAGATGTTGGATTCCTTAAATTTGATATTATTGGTGCTGAAGATTTAAAATCGGTTGATTCAAATGGTAAATCTGATCCTTTTGTAACTATTTCTGTTGATGGAATTCAATTATTTAAGACTGATAAAAAGAAGAAAACTTTAAATCCAATTTGGAATGAAAGTACAGAAATTCCTATTTTATCTAGATCAAGACAAGTTGTATTATTAGAAGTATTTGATTGGGATTTAACTCATGATGATCGTAGTCTTGGTAAAGCTAATTTACAAGTATCTAGTGTTGAACCATTAACTAGTACTGAATTCCCGGTTAAATTAGATACTCAAGGTATTGTTAATTTGAAAGTTACTTTTAGACCAGAATATATTAGACCAAAATTAAGTGCTCGTCCTGGTTTACCAATTGAATTAGGAGCAGTTGCTGGAGTTCCATTACAACTTGTTGGAGGAGCTGCTGATTTGGCTGGTACTGCTCTTGGTAGTGGTGCTAGTATTGCAACTGATATTGGTGGTAAAGGTTTAGGTATTGCTAGTGATATTGGAGGTAAAGGTTTAGGAATGGTTGGTGATGTGAGTGGTAAAGGTGGTTCATTCCTTAAAGGATTTAGTAGACTGAAGAAAACTAAAAAGACTAATGGAAGTGATGATGCTGATAGTACATTTGATAATTCTGATGTTGGATCTACTTATAGTCAAGGTAGTAAACTGATACCATCAACACCAGCCAAAAGTACTAAAGGAAATGTAATTGAACCAACTACTCCTAAATCTCAATATACTAATGATTTACAAAGTTTAAGATCGGGTCATCCACCACCAAATGCTACAGTAGCTGGACTTGAAGGTTTACCTCCTCCACAACGTCCATCATTTAGTCATACTAGAAATGCTAGTGGAGGTAATTCAGATGCATTAAGTTTTGTTGCTAGTATTAATGGACCAGATGCTATTCCTGGTAGAATTAATATTATTAGTGCTTCTGGAGCTAAAGGTTCATCATCAATTGAAGCCAAAGTTATATTAAAGACTTCTACTCGTGAGAGAGAATTATTTAAGACAAGACCAACTAAAGTAGAAAAGGGTACTGATACCTTAAAATGGAATGAAAGTGTTGCATTTAAGGCTACTACTCTGAGTGAACTTGAATTCCAACTTCGTGAACATCATACATTTGGTAAGAGTGTTAGTTTAGGTTCTACTTCATTACCATTAACTGATGTTCTTAACCATAGTGATAATATTGATGTTACTGTTGGAAATGTCAAATTGACTTTGAACATTAAATATTTTGGTTAGTTAGTTAAGAAACAGAAAAGAAAAGAAAAGTAAAAATAAGACCGCCATTTGAGTCGAGTTGTATTATTTAGTTTATTTAGTTTATTTAGTTTATGTTTAGTTTGTTTAAGTTTGTTTAAATTTAGTTTCTTAATAATATTAGTTATCGTTACATTTATTATTGCAGCTTTGATTAATGGCTGCAACTTTTATTACCTAATGGAGTGCACATAATTGGAAGGATTATGTAAAGTATGTAACAGTATGACAGATCACATGATGTGTGACTGTTTTTTCACACGCACGTGATGAAATACATGCAGGTCTCAAAATTCCCACTGTGACTGTTCCCTCACTGCACTTTACCGCATTAGGACGAATTATTTTCCCATAGTTAAGGAAATCAGTGAGAATCTCCATAGTGAGAGGAAAAAAAAAAAGCTAATAGTAATAGAAAAAAATTTAACCAAGTCGTTTTTGAAAACCTTTTAACTTCGTTGTTAAGCTAATACCAATAAACTAGATCAAAATGAGCCAATCTGTATGTGACAAAACATTCAATAGTGTTAGAAGGAAGTATAGAACAAGTCCAAGTTAATGTAATATTCATTTCAAAAAGTTTCATTAGTATCAGAAACCATTTCATCAATCGACAATAATTATTCAGTAATAATCAATAACGGTTATAAAATTAAAACATATTCATACTACTATAACAAGTATAACAATATGAATATCTAACTAAATGATTAGAAATTCTTTTATTAGAATTTTATATCATATGGTTGGGTTTTCATTCACTTTCAACCACAAGTGTTAAACTTTTCAATGTTTAAAAATTTCATTAAAAGTCAACCAAAATACAATACAAATAATCATGATATACAACTACTACTATTATAATAAACCAAATCATTAGACATTAGTCTTTATCGTTGACTTTAACTATACACCTTCATATACACACAATAATACTATATATGTAAAAAAAACAATTATACTAACTAATTATTTCTAGGCTCCAAAGTGGTACCAATCTGAAGACGTCCCAGTCCCAAAGCAAACCAGAAAGACTGCTCGTCCACAAAAATTACGTGCCTCCTTAGTTCCAGGTACCGTTTTAATTTTATTAGCCGGTAGATTCAGAGGTAAGAGAGTTGTTTACTTAAAGAACTTAGAAGACAACACTTTATTAGTTTCTGGTCCTTTCAAAGTCAATGGTGTTCCATTAAGAAGAGTCAACGCCAGATACGTCATTGCTACTTCCACTCAAGTTAGTGTTGAAGGTGTTGACGTTTCTAAATTCAACGTTGAATACTTTGCTAGAGAAAAGACTCCAAGATCCAAGAAATCCGAAGCTGATTTATTCAATGAAGCTCAACCAAAGAAAGAAATCAAGGCTGAAAGAATTGCTGATCAAAAGTCTGTTGATGCTTCTTTATTAGCTGAAATTAAGAAAACCCCATTATTAAAACAATACTTGGCTGCATCTTTCTCCTTAAAGAATGGTGACCGTCCTCACTTATTAAAATTCTAAATTATTTAAACATTAATACTTTTAAATTTTTAATGTCTCATAATTGGAATTAATCCCCCCTCCTCCCCATTATATATCTAAACCATATATATCAACAAAAAATTTATTATATAAACTTCATAATATACCAGAAGAAGAATTTATCGCGTTTTCTTCATGGTGTAATCCTTTCTCTTTGTATATTTAATACATTTCAATCGATAATATATCATTAACTTTAATATGTAAGAATTGCCATAGTAAAAAAAAAGATGTCTCTTAACTATGGTGTTGCACTGCACACAGCCCTTTTGGGAGTAAATTGTACTAATATTATATTTTTAATATTGGTGCATGGATGTCAACGTGAACAGAGCGATGAGTATAATCTGAAAAAATTCAGATATTTCTATTTCGGGGAATATAAAGAGTTCTAGTAATAGTAACTACAATTATCACGAGATGGCTAGTTTAATTCCTATTTCTACATACAACTTGGCTCTTAAGCCATTCAATCCAGTTCCTGCTATTGAAGAGGATTATCCTGTAACCATTAGATTAACTTTGGCTGCAGTTGATCCTGAAGCAGTTGATGACAAGGCTGAACCATCTACTTTAAGATTATTAAAGAAGACCAATCCTTTCCTCGATGATGAAGATGATTTCGATGACGAAGATGATGAAGATGACGAATTAGACGAATTGGATGATGATGAAGAAGAAGATGAAGAAGACGAAGAAGAAAAGGCCGATGCCAATGGAAGTCTTAAAGATGATGAAGCTGAAGAAGCTGAAGAAGATGAAGATGAAGACGAAGAAGATGATGAAGAAGAAGACGATGAAGATGCTGTTTCTGAATTTGTTGTTTGTACTTTATCTCCAAAAGTTCAATTCCAACAAACTCTTGATATCACTATTAATCCAGATGAAGAAGTTTACTTTGTTGTCACTGGTTCTTACCCAATTCATTTAACTGGTAATTACGTTGAACATCCAGCTGATGAAGAAAGTGATGAAGATGATTATTATGAAGATGAATATGATGATGAAGATGATTACAACTTGACTCCAGATGAAGATGAATTAGTTGATGGTGAAGGTTACGATTTAGATGATTTAGAAGATGAAGAAGATATTTCTGCTAAGATTGAAGAATTAGTTGAAGAAGATGCTGCTGCTGCCAAAAAAGGTAAAAAGAGAGCTGCTGAAGAAGAAGATAAAGAATCCAAGAAATCTAAAAAGGATAAGAGTGTTCAATTTACTAAAGAATTAGAACAAGGACCAACTGGTTCAACTTTAACCGAAACTAAGAAAGAAACTAAGAAGGAAAAGAAACAAAAGAAGAAGGAAGAAGAACAAAAGAAGAAACAACAAGAAGGAGAACAAAAAGAAGAAAAAACCAAAGAATCTAAATCAGAAACTTCTAGTAAGAAATTTCCAACCAAGACTCTTTTAGGTGGAGTTATTACTGAAGATAGAAAAGTTGGACAAGGACAAACTGCTAAATCAGGTAATAAAGTTGGTATTAGATATATTGGTAAATTAAAGAATGGTAAAGTATTTGATAAAAATACCAATGGTAAACCATTTAGTTTTAATTTAGGTAAAGGTGAATGTATTAAAGGATTTGATTTAGGAGTTGCTGGTATGGCAGTTGGAGGTGAAAGAAGAGTTATAATTCCTGCTAAAATGGGTTATGGATCTCAAGCCCTTCCAGGAATTCCTGCTAATTCTGAATTAACCTTTGATATTAAATTGGTTTCATTAAAATAGATTAAAAAGTAATACAATACAATACAATACAATACAATAACATCAATAGTCTGATTATAGTATATAGATCTATATATATAAATCTATACATATTTAATATTTATTTATTTACATAGTGAATTTATTAACTAAGCATTATTTTGTATTATAATTAGACAGACACACACAACACCAGCCTCACGCGCACTATACGACCAACACGTCCGTCGTTTAGAGTATGGAAAAAAAAATTGTTGTGGAAAGATGGAAATTAAAAAATTCACCTAAATTTCTAAATTTCTAAATTTTAGTAAGCAGATCGGACTTGACATTCACATTCTTTAACTTGTTCAGAGTATATATCATCACTGTCAAGTAGTGTACCGGGTGTTTCGAACCATCACCCACCCCATTAAAAAATCAAATGCTTGGATTTATAATTAAAGCTACTAGTACAGTAGCTAATATATCCGCTCATAAGCCTATACATTTTATTATAATTAGTGCATTATTAGCTTCAATCGCTTATTTAGCTATAGTAGATGAATATATTCCTGAAACTTTAAACATTTCTTCAACTTCCAATAAATCATATTATCATCCAGGAAATTCAATAAATGATTTTAATAAATGGGAACCAATTGATGATATTTCAAAATATCCTCAAGCAACAAAATTTACTATTGCACCATTAAGATTTAGATCAATTCATTTAGAAACTAATAATGATAATATTCCAATTATTGAAAATAGTTATCCAAGTTTAAATTCAAATGAAAGAATTTTAATTATTCCTTCAGAAGATATTCAAACAAAATTATATGAACTTGATTCAATTACATTTAATGGTATAACTTGGAAAGTTAGAAATAATAATCCAATAACTAAATATTATGAATATTTAAAAAATAGTTTATTTACAATAAATGATTTAATTAAACATGCTGAAAATTTCGATATTATATTAATTTCAGTTGCTTATATTTCAATGTGGTATACATTAATTAAAGTATTTATTGATATGAGAAAAGTTGGTTCTAAATTTTGGTTAGCATTTTCAACTATTATATCTTCAACTTTTGCATTTCTTTTTGCTTTAGTTACTACTATTAAATTATTTGAAAATAAAGTTCCTTTAATTAGTTTATCTGAAGGTATACCATTTTTAGTAGCAATTATTGGTTTTAAACATAAAGTTTCAATTGCATCAGCTGTACAAAGAGCTTCAAATTCTTCTTTAGAAGTTAAAAATATTGTAACTTCAGTAATTAGTTCTCATAGTCTTAGTATGTTAAGAGATCATATATCAGTTATTGGAATTTTAGTATTAATTGCTGCTTATGCTCCTCATTTAGAAGGATTAAAAAATTTTTGTATTTTAGGAGCATTAATTTTATCATTTGATTTATTATTAGTTTATACATTTTTTTCAGCTATTTTAGCTTTAAAAATTGAAATTAATCGAGCTAGAAGAACTGAAGATTTAAAAGATGCTTTAGAAGAAGAAGGTATTAGTTCATTAGTTGCTCAAAAAGTTGCTCAACAATCTTCAAATATTGATCATCCAAATGATCAAAATAATATAATATTTTCATCAAATGATTCATCAATTGTATCATTTAAAATTGCCATGATTGCAACTTATTTTGCTATTCATGCCTTTTGGTTTGGAACTTCATGGTTTTATACTTCAACTTCAACTTCTTCAATTCAATCAGGTAGTAATATATTTATAAATTCTCCAACTTTATCAAAAGCAGCTGTTAAACATATAACAATTTCTTCTCAAGGTACAATTGTTACTGTATTATCTCCAAGAATTTATTTACCTTTTGGTACTTTAATTCTTATAGAAGAATATATATTATTAATCTTAGAAAAGATAAGTCTTGCCATTCAAGATAGTTTAATTTCAAAATTCTTATTTTTTTCATTTGCAATTTCAATTTGTACAAATGCTTATTTCTTAAATGCTTCAAGATATCAAGTTTCTGCAAATAATAAATTAATTGCTGAAGAAATTTCTAGACCAAAAAAATTAATTCCTGTATCTCCAAAATTACCTCAATTACCAAAACTTCAACAATCTTTATCAGATAAATCAAATTCTACTTCAATTGAAATTAATGATAATTCAAGTCAAGAATTAATTCTTAATGCTCCAAATAAACAATTACCACTTGATGAATGTATTTCAAGATTTAAAGATGGTAAAGTTAAAACATTAAATGATAATGAAATTTCATCATTGGTTGTTGCTGGTAAATTACCATTATATGCATTAGAAAAGAATTTAGGTGATAATACTAGAGCTGTTGCTGTAAGAAGAAAGGCTATTGCTAAATTAGGTAATGCCCCTGTTTTAGATACTGAAAGATTACCTTATCAACATTATGATTATGATAGAGTATTTGGAGCTTGTTGTGAAAATGTTATTGGATTTATGCCAATTCCTGTTGGTATTGCTGGTCCATTAATTATTGATGGTAAACCTTATCATATTCCAATGGCAACAACTGAAGGTTGTTTAGTTGCTTCTGCTATGCGTGGTTGTAAAGCAATTAATGCTGGTGGAGGAGTTGAAACTGTATTAACTCAAGATGGTATGACAAGAGGTCCATGTGTTTCATTTCCTTCATTATCAAGAGCAGGTGCAGCTAAATTATGGCTTGATTCAGAAGAAGGTCAAAAGACTATTAAAAAGGCTTTTAATTCTACTTCAAGATTTGCAAGATTACAACATATTCAAACTGCTTTAGCAGGATCTTTATTATTTATTCGATTTAGAACAACTACTGGTGATGCTATGGGTATGAATATGATATCTAAAGGTGTTGAATATTCTCTTAAATATATGGTTGAAGAATGTGGTTGGGAAGATATGAACGTTATATCAGTTTCTGGTAATTATTGTTCTGATAAAAAACCAGCTGCAATTAATTGGATTGAAGGTAGAGGTAAATCAGTTGTTGCTGAAGCTAGAATTCCAGCTGAAGTAGTTCAAAAAGTTCTTAAATCCGATGTTGATGCATTAGTTGAATTAAATATTAGTAAAAATTTAGTTGGTTCAGCTATGGCCGGTTCTGTAGGTGGATTTAATGCTCATGCCGCTAATTTAGTTACTGCAGTTTATTTAGCTTGTGGTCAAGATCCTGCTCAAAATGTTGAATCATCTAATTGTATAACTTTAATGAAAAATGTTGGAGGAGATTTACAAATTTCTGTTTCAATGCCTTCTATTGAAGTTGGTACAATTGGAGGTGGTACAATTTTAGATCCTCAAGGTGCAATGCTTGAATTATTAGGAGTTCGTGGACCTCATCCAACTGTTCCTGGTTCTAATGCTAGACAACTTGCTCGTATTATTGCATCTATTGTTTTAGCTGGTGAACTTTCTCTTTGTTCTGCTTTAGCAGCCGGTCATTTAGTTCAATCTCATATGCAACATAATCGTAAGGGTGCTGCTGCTCCTGCTGCTCCTACTACCCCTAATGCCACTACAACTCCAGCTTCTAATGGATCCATAGCCAATGGAACTTCTAAATCCAACGGAAGTTCCATTAAACCCAATGGAACTACATTAAGTGGAGCTGATTTGGAACGTCTTAAACAAGGAGCTATTAATTGTATTAAGTCATAATCTATAAAAAACAAAAATATTCATGTAATATAATTCTCATTAAATTGCTACAATGCTTTGCTACTAATTCTTGCATACACTCCCCCCCCTCCCCCGCTTACATAGATGGTAATTGTACACTTTACAATATATATTCTATCTGATAACTGTAATTTGGGTCAGTCATTATGACTCAAAATTTCGCAATTTCTTACGTCAGCAAAAATAACCATTTCTCTCACATTTCTCATCAGTCAGCGACATTTGACATTTTCTTCAGTATGCCGAAACAGGTAATAAAGATCCGGTACCGTTAAGTAAATTTCAGTCATTATACCAATAAAAGCATAACTATAAATTAACTATAAGTAACTATGCCATCTCAAGAAATAGGATTACCTATTCCCAATATCCCACATGCAGTCTCGGTGACTTTACCAACTTGGGAAGCTACTGTAGGTTATGAAGAAGGTGAAGATTGGGTAGTTAGTAAAATGTTAACAGGGTATCCAAGATTTTTCATTCATTCAGTTATTAAGAAATTAGCTTTAAAAATTGAAAATAAATATGGTAGAGATGGTGAAAGATGTTTAATATTCCCCTCTTATAAAGTTGCAAAAAGATGTCGAGAATTTATTCAATCTCATACAGAATTAAATAATTTAAAAGTTCGAGTATTACAATTAAGTACTCCACCTCCAAGTAATGAAGAAGAAAAATCAACTATAATTCAATCAACTATTGGAGTTGTATTTTTTCCAATAAGTCAATTTCCTTTAGCAAAAAATTATTGGCAACATTCTGGTGAAGGTATAAGTTCAAGAATGGGAGAATATGTTTTAAAAGCTTTATTTCATGATGGAATTGATTCTCCAAATAATTCATCAAATAATAATAATTTAGGAGCTGCAAGACAAGAATTACAAGCTCAACAAATTCAACGTAAATCTCCTTCAATTTCTGCATCTTTTAGATCTCCAAGTGTATCAGCTCGTGAAGAAGTTGAAAATGAATTTAATACATTTATTGAACAAAAATTTGGTAGAGTTCTTGATTTAAAATTTGCAAATGAAGCTAAAATTGCTTTAAGAAGAAGAATTTCTGGTAAAGTTGATAAATCTCATAGTCAAAAGGAAGAAATGGAAAAGGCTCGTAGAGGTAAAAATGTTAGTGAAACTGATGTTTATTTATTTCCATCAGGTATGGCATCAATATTTTTCTCTCATTATGCTTTATTAAATATTTCTAAACAACCAAAGAAATCAGTATGTTTTGGATTTCCTTATGTTGATACCCTTAATATTCTTAAAAAATTTGGTCCAGGAGTTCATTTCTTAGGTTTAGGTGATGATATTGCCTTAGATGAATTAGAAGAAAAATTAGAATCAGGTGAATTTAATATAATGGCATTATTTTGTGAATGTCCTTCAAATCCATTATTAAAAACTCCAAATTTAAAAAGACTTAGAAAACTTGCTGATAAATTTAATTTTGCTATAGTTATTGATGAAACAGTTGGAAATTTTTTAAATATTCATGTATTACCATATGCTGATATAGTTGCATCATCTTTAACTAAAGTATTTTCAGGAGATTCTAATGTATTAGCTGGATCAATTGTATTAAATCCTTTATCTCCATTATATTCATCATTAAAGAAATTCTTTGATAATGAATATGAAGATTTATTTTGGGCAGAAGATGCTTTATGGTTAGAAAGAAATTCTCGAGATTTTACTGAAAGAGCTACAAGAATTGATCAAACAGCTTTAAAAGTATTTGAATTATTACAAAATTCTTCAATTATATCTAAAGTTTATTATCCATATATTAGTAATTCAAGAAAATATTATGAAGAAATAAAAACTCCTAATGGAGGTTATGGAGGATTAATGTCATTCCTTTTTCATAATCCAAGTCATGCAGTAAGTTTCTTTAATGCAGTAAATTTACATAAAGGTCCATCATTAGGTACTAATTTTACATTAGCTTGTCCATATGCAATTTTAGCTCATTATCAAGAGTTAGATGAAGTAGCTAAATGGGAAGTTGATCGTAATTTAATTAGAATTAGTATTGGATTAGAAAATCAAGAAGAATTATTACAAATATTACAAAGTAGTTTAGATATAGCTGCGGCTTCAGCTTAACCTTAAGCTTAACCTTAGACATTTATTACAAGTATTTTTAGATGTATATATACATACGTTTTAATGTATTCATGAATCTCAACCTTTTTTCTTATTGTTATTACCTCGATTATGGTATCCTGGAAACTTAATATGATCACAAGGTGCAGGAGGTTCACCATGTACTGGTTGATGATGAACTTTTCCTACATACCAATATTTATTACTATCTTCAAAGAAATGTTTCCATTGATTTAAATCATGTTCGACTTCTATTTCATCTAACCCTCTAAGATCATAAGTAAATTCATTATCATTTTGAAAACATCCAGTAACAAATACTCGAGCACAATCTTTACCACTAAGTTTATGATAAGTACCCTTTGGACCATAAATTGCTGGTGAACTAGTTACGTCATATACACTACCATTAACTGCAACATAAATTGGTAATTTAATATTAGATCCATTATATATAGATAATTCTTCCGTAGTAAAATTAACATATTGACTTAATGGAGATAATTTAAAATTAATATATCGAATATTCAGCCATTTCCCTTCATAGCCCCATAATGAAGTAGAGGTAAACCACCATGAAAGGAATGCATTCAAAAGGATTAATCCTCCTACAATTCGGATAAAATCTATAATTCCAAATTGAGATCGTGCTTCCGTCTCAGCCGCATATGGATTCTTTCCTTTCTTAGTATGGGCCATCCTGTATATGTTGTATAGTATAAGTAGAAGTAGAAGTAGACAGGGACTAACATTATGATCTGAGCTTAATAAGTGTGAAAAATTTGGAGTGTATATAGACACACTCGCAGTCAGGATATACATTTCGGCCGATATCCCAATTGGGACAAATGGACCAATGGCTGCAACTTATAAATAAATCTAGTATGTTAATATATAAATATGTATCTATACATCCATACATCCATATATAAATGGATGTATCTATACCTCCATACATCCATATAAATGTATATGTATATTCAATAAAGAATTAGTATATAAGAATTTAACCATTTAAAAAGAAAACATCATCATGTTTAGCACTATTTGTATTATTACTCGAGAAATGAATCTTATCGGATTCTGAACTTAAGAGATCTACCCAAAATTCTTCATTCAAATCCATATATGTTGTTTCCAATTGATCGGGATTAGCCAAATTAGATAGACTATTTCTTGGATATGGATATGACATTGAAGGTTGTCTATAGATGGGAGTATTTCCCAGGGGAGTATTTCTTTGATCATTAATAGGATTAGATTGTTGTTGGGGTGGAGCCATTAGATTATTAAAATTATTATTAAAATTATTATTATTATTATTATTGTTGTTATTATTGTTATTATTATTATTATTATATGACATCGGTAACGATTGAACTCCAGTTTGATGTCTAGGAATAATTGGAATATTTGTACTCTCCGAATTCATCATAGGAGTTAATTGGGGATTAGGTAATGGTAATGTAATTGGTGCATTAGATGGAGCTCCTAATACTGGAGTACCAGTATTTGATCCATTAGGTACTAATGGTGGAATTGAAGAAAATTGATTTAATGGAGAAGGACTAAAAGGTCGATTATTATTAATATTAGCAGTTGGATTACCATTACCATTATTAATATCATATGATCTTGGTGATCCACCTAAACTTGAAGGTCGACGATCAGTATTAGTATTATCTGATTGTGTCTTACGAATATTACTAGATTTTGCATCATTAATATTATTACTGAAAGAACTATCTCTTCTAAAAGTAGCAGCATAAGAAAGAATATCTAATGGAACATTTGAATTTACAGCTTCATCATTAACAATTGATTTTTGACCTCGTTCATGATGAGCACGATAAAATGCAGTTAATTTATCAAGAGTATTTAATTCTTTCTTTGGAATTGAAAGTGGTTTAAAATTTTGAGGAGTTTCACCATTTTTTCTTAAAAGTTCTTGAACTTGAGTTACATAAGTTTGAATAAACAATTGTAATATTAATCTTGTCTTTTTCAAAAAATGATTAACTTTATGCATATTACTGGCTAAATCTAATAATCTTGTTGCCTTTTGTATAGCATTAATTGCATGATAAGGTACTAAATCCTTTTCAATATGAGATGGTAAAGATAATATAAGATATCGAAGTCTTAATAACATTCCTGCTGTATAAATAACTCTTGAAGCATAAACTAATGGTAAACATACAACTTGTTCAGGGGTAAGATGATTAAATTCATCTAAAGCATTTAAACAAGAATTTGTACAATTTGATATAGATTTAGCTGATCTTTCAGTTAATCTTGCAACTTCAGGATCAAGATTAGGTACAAATATATTTGATAAACATGGTTCATGAAGATAAGCTTCAACTGAATAATAAAATGCCTTTGTTGCATAATCATTGCCATCAATTTTAGTTCTTATAATTGATAAAGATTTTTGAAATTCATGAATAATATATTCTGAAGTAGAAACTCTTCGTTCAGCAACTTCTGGTGCATGAATAATATGATGAATTTTATCTAATTGATTAGTTAATCTAGCAACTAATGCTAAATTATTCCATCTTATATCAGGAAGGGTTTCTAAATTAGTACAACATTCTTCCACATAAGGAGTCCATTTAACATAAATAGTTCTCTTTAAAATAAGACAAATACTTACAGCTGTAAAATAAATTATAAGAACTAAACTTTGATAATCAGGATTTTGCTTTTTATTTTGAGCAATTATATTATTTGAATGACTAACAGTTACTCCAGAATCATCTGATTTAAATGAATTAAATGAAGGTTTAGCAACAATTCCTAAATCATGTAACATAGTTACACTCATACTAATTAATAAATGATACCTTCTATGTCTAAATAATTCAGGACTATTATACCATAAACATAAAACTAATAAAGATTTTACTAATTCATCTGATTTAACTCCGGTAACCATAACTTCTGTGGCAATTGATTGAAATGCTGCATTATCTATTTTTAAAGCTTTATCTAAATCAGTTTCTGTACTAGATACTGCATTAATAATTGACATTATTGAATTAAATAAAAATGGTTGTTCACTTCTTAATTGTTCAGCTGATATATTTTGAGGAATTTCAATTAATGGATATGAAGTATAAATCTTTGATCTATAAAGTTGTAAACGTTGCTCTGATTCTGTCGGAGTTAAAAGTCCTAAACTTACTACATCCACAATTCTCCCTTCATTCAATAATTGTGTTCTTTTTCCATTAATAACTTTTAAATCATTAGTTAAATCACTTAATCTTGATTGAGATGAATCACATAATGTACTTATTTCTCGTTCTAAATCAAATTTAGATATAAATGGTGGTGATCCATGATCAGAAATAGTTTCATTACTATTTTTCCGAATATGTTGAATGAGTGGCAGAGGTTGTTGTTGCTGTTGTTGAGTTAATTGATTATTCAATGTTTTGACTTGTGATTCCAATGCTTTAATTTGCTTTCTTAAGCTAGTGATAGTTTCTGCCTTGGCTGAACTAGGGGCTGAGGCTGAGGCTGGGGCAGAAGCAGCAACAGAAGCATAAGCAGACGGCCGATTACTGCTTTCACTATGTTGACTATTAGTATCTGAGCTAGAACTTTTATTTATTTCAAGACTCATATTATCTGCACGTTCACATACTGATAGTTGTTCATTAACTATTGGAGCCATTGATTTATGTAAATTATAACTATCTTCTCCATCATTAGTTTGATTTATTGATCCATTATTGGCAGATGGACCAGCAGATGGAGAAACTATACCAGATTCATCACTAGCAAATACTGAAGATTCCTTTTTCATAGAACTAGAAGCTAATTCCGAAGCCTTCCTTCTCTTTCTAGTTTGATTTAAATCGATTTCACATTTTCTATTAGCATTTTGACATCTTATACAAGTTCCACCAGGATTTTCAGGATCGGCAGGTGTACATTTAACTTTTAAACTATGACAACTCTTACAAGCTACTGATCGTCTTGATGCTTTCTTCTTTTGAGATTGAGATTGAGATTGAGATGTTGATGTTAATGATTCGTTCGGACTTAAATGTCCAGGACTCGTAAGATTAGATGAATCTAATGAAGGATTGGTAATTTTAGAAAATATACTTCCTGGTATCGGTGTAGATTGTGATGAAGATATGGGAGTTAACTCGGCCGAAACGTATTGGGCCGAAGCCTTTGTATCTGTCATTACTTATAAATAGTTAAACCCTTTGACACGGCTAGTTAATATTATAAGTTATATAAGAATTCACTAACCTTTACAAGTATTATCAATAGTGTCTATAAATTTTCCAGCCGTGTTAGATCGGCTAGTTCGCTGTCTCAGTACTTTGTCTTAGTTATGCAACCTGGATGTTTGCGGAACTATTTTTTTTTTTTAAATTTTTTTTTCTTGTTTGCTTGCTCTGGGCCGATATGGAGATGGGTATAATTATAATAATAGTTTTAATTAAGAGGGCAATAGACCGTATATATGATAGATAGTAGTGGATTAGTATAGACTGGATGTAGAGGGATGTAGGGACGGGATTTGCTGAGAATCTAAAAGAGTTTAATTGAATAAGGTTGTTCCGGCTTAGATGTTAGTTTATAGTATGGAGTTAAGGCTATTATACTAAGAATAAATGTTTAAGGAACCATAGAAAACGTAAAAAAATAGTCTTATTTCATATTTAAGTAAATTCAATAGTGTAGTACTGTTCTCTCGTATAATACAATGTATAAAGCCAAGCAATTTATGCTGTGAATGGATTGAAGCGACGGTTAGAAGCGAGCCCTTGAGTCAAAGCCATAATCTTAGCCTCAAATCGGTCAAGTTATAATGCATCAATTGATGGTCTTAAGAGTTTAATATAAATTAAAATCAGAGTTTTATATAATTATGTCTGGAATAAAAGCTCTTAATTATGTTTATAGTAAGTTACTAATTGAATTCAGACATTTCTTGGTTATTAATACTTCAAACCCTGTTTTACTTCGGCTAATGTTTACCCTTTGTCGGTAATAAAGATGTGGGAAAAATAGTGTTTAAAAGTTACACAAATATAATTACCCCCGATACGGTCATGTGACATAGCACCTGCACATAAGCATGACATTACAGTAACTCCTATGATATTAGTAGAAGAGTAATAGTTAGACATATAGTCACGGTATACCATCCATAAGGTACTGAATATAAGTTGCAATGATTGACCAGAAATGTAATTATATGAAGAGAATTATGAAGCAGTATTAATTGACAGATCCTTAGTTAATTAAACCTAATTATGGTCCTGTTAAGCTAATAAACTCAAAATGCTAAACCAAATAGCGGTCGTGACTTTGACCATACTTAGTTCAATTCAATGGACGTTTCAGTCATTGCTATCATGCGCAAAAGTGTATTAATTTATTGATGAGCATAAGTTATTCATAATCATCTCTCCGCACACACTATAAACAAGTAGTGTTTGTATTCATTATGGACAATAAATTCTTGTAATTATTAGTATAATTCTACAATTTTACACTTAAATAATGTCGTTATCTTATCAGTCATGTGATCTACGGACACTACAAACAATCAATTACTCTAATATGCTGTAAACAACTAAGTCCAATAACCTGTTTGATCGCCTATCACAAATGCTTTGTTACATTCCAAGAACACGTAAAGCGAAGGAAAAAAAAAATCTAAAGAAATAGTGAGATCCCAAACTAATAAAGTTTGGCACACTAATTTATTTCTGGTTAGATATTAAACTTCTACTTATAACCACTTATTGTCGAAGTCTTAATTGCTTATATATATTCTTTTTTATAATATAGATCAGTCAATCGGTCCACTAACAAATTACATACTTTTCATTTTGTCCTTCTTCGTGCCTCTGAGATCAAATTTCATAAATTAATATTGCTCAAAATGTTCTCACGTGAAAAAGATGGAAGTGGAAGTGGAAATGATAGTAAATATTGGAAAGCTAGGAAATCTCCTAGTTTACAATTACCATTATACTATAAGGATAAACCAACACATACACCTTCAGTAGGTGGAACCATTGGATATAAATTTAGGCATTTATTAAGATCAAATTCTAAAATGGCAATTTTTCTAAAGGCATTCTTTGGATCTTTATCAGTATACTTTTTTTATATATACTTAATAAGTTCTGGTCATGAATTTTCACTACCAAAGTCTAGTAGTAAAGTTGATTGGAAAATAGCTCAACAAGAAGTTAAAGATGTATTTTTAGAAAGTTGGCATACTTATGAAAAATATGGTTGGGGTTATGATATTTATCATCCAATTAAACAACAAGGTGAAAATATGGGACCAAAACCTCTTGGTTGGATGATTGTTGATTCAATTGATACATTAATGATTATGGATGCAAAAGATGAAGTTTCTCGAGCTACGAAATGGATTAAAGATGATTTAGATTATAAATTTAATTATAATGTTAATGTATTTGAAACAACAATTAGAATGGTTGGTGGATTATTATCGGCTTTCCATTTAAGTAAAGATGATATGTTTTTAGATAAAGCAGCTGATTTAGCTAATGCAATTGAAGGAGCATTTAAAACTAGAACTGGTATACCTTTAAGTTCAGTAAATTTAGAATCTGGTGAAGGTGTTAAAAATCATGTTGATGCAGGTGCATCATCAACTGCTGAAGTTGCAACTTTACAATTAGAATTTAAATATTTAGCTCATTTAACTGGTGAACAATTATATTGGCAAAGAGCTGAAAAAGTTATGGAAGTTTTAGAATCAAATAAACCAGTTGATGGATTAGTTCCAATTTATGTTAATCCAGATACTGGGAAATATCAAGGAAGATTAATAAGATTAGGTTCAAGAGGTGATTCTTATTATGAATATTTATTAAAACAATATTTACAAACTAATCAACAAGAACCAATTTATTGGGATCTTTATCATGAATCTGTATTAGGAGTTAAGAAACATTTAATTAGACAATCTAAACCTAATGGATTATATTTTATTGGTGAATTAGAACAAGGTATAGGTGGTCAATTTTCAAGTAAAATGGATCATTTAGTTTGTTTTTATGGTGGATTATTAGCTTTAGGTGCAACCAATGGTTTAACTCTTGCAGAAGCTAGACTTGAACCAAATTGGAATGATGAACTTGAAGAAGATTTTAAATTAGGAGCTGAAATAACTAAAACTTGTTATCATATGTATTCTAATATTAAGACTGGTTTATCACCAGAAATTGTTGTATTTAATGAAGATGAAAATAAAGATTATGATTTCTCAATTAGAGCAGCTGATAGACATAATTTACAACGTCCAGAAACAGTTGAATCATTATTCATATTATATAGATTAACTGGTGATGAAAAGTATAGAATATGGGGTTATGATATTTTACAAAGCTTTAAGAAATATTCAAAGGTTAAGAATAGTAAAGGAGAAGTTTCATATACTAGTTTAGATGATGTTACTATTATTCCTCCAAGAGCAAAAGATAATGTAGAATCATTCTGGTGGGCAGAAACTTTGAAATATTTATATTTATTATTTGATGATACCAATAAAATTCCATTAGATAAATATGTATTTAATACTGAAGCTCATCCATTCCCTAAATTTGATTTAACTGATCATTTAAAGACTGGTTGGATAAGAAAGATTTCTGGTGATAAAGAGCCAGAATTCCAACCTCCTGTTCAAGGTAAACAACCAGTTCCTGGTAGAGCTAAAGAGGCTCCAGCTGCAAACGCAAAAGCAGCCATACCAGTATCTGAACAACAAAAAGCTGGAGTTCCAGTAGGTAAAGTAGGTGGACAAGTACCAGTAATAGATAAAAAAAATCCCCCACAAGCTCAACCAGTTGATAAATCAGTTGAAAAGGAAGTTGAAGAACAAATTAAGAAGAATCCTAAATTAGCTAAAGAGGAGAATAAAGAAGATACTAAGGCTAAATTGAATAAAATAATTCAAGATATTCAGGAGTAGATGCCCATACTCGTCGTTCATCTATAATTTACATATTTACATAAATAACTCATAGTAATTCAGGCGTTTTTAACTATTTTATTGTAGTGTAATATAAATTTAATTACTGTAATAGGAATTGAGAAATGAGAATTGAGTATTGAGTATTGAGTATTATTGTGGAGAGCATTGGATTGAGAATTGATTGTGAAAATTGAATGTTTACGTCACTCTCTTGATCACGTATAGTTGCGACATTTGTCTGGTGTTTATCAGGGTTCTATTAATAAAAAAATGTCATGTCGTATTATCACACCAAAAAAATAAAAAATCATAAGAATTAGGTGTCAAATGTCTCGCATCTTCCTTGCTGCCGTTTTTTTCTTTTTTTCCTTTTCTTTTCCCACTTAATCAAACTAGTTAATATCGATTTATTTCTTCTTTTCTTGATCTACACCTTAATGAAATACCTTTCACGATGGATGGAGAAGTATGTATATAATTTTCAAACGGGATTATTCAACCATACCTGGTTATGTAATACCTTATACCATTAATTATCATGAGTTTAATCTACTATTCATGGAAGTTTAGAGGCGGAAGCTCTAAAAAAAGATTTGTGGAAGTCAAATTACGTCATGTTCGTAAACTCCAACTGGTTGTGAATTTTTTTGTTAATACTATGAACTTTATTGATCATAGAATGAAGTAAATTATAGCAAACTTGAATAAAACTCATATTGGATTAGTTTATTGTCCATAAGTTGGAATGAATTTAAACTTTGGACAAATTTGTTTGACTGAAATTGAAAATTTCATCATTGCTACTCATGAATAGAAAATTACGGTGTTATCTCAAAGGTGATGATGGGTAATGAAAAATATTTTCATGATACTAACTTCAAAAACCTCTCTTGTAGCTAAAGACTAAGACTACGTTCGATTTAGAACCTAACCCTTTTGAAAGATCCTTTGCAAGTAAAGAATCATCTACTCAATCTTTACCTGTTAGTAAGCAAAAATTAGATTCTAATTCAGGAGTAAATACAACAACTTCTGATACAACAACTTCAGAAACTTCAGCTTCTGGTCCAACCTCTACTGCTTCAATAACTGGTAATAATAATAGACCAGATTTACATATTCCAAATATTTCAAATTTAAATAATCAATCAAATGGGAAATTACCTGGAATAACTCCTCCATTATTTACCCCAGGTGGAAGAAGATTACCTCCATTAAGTTTATCACCTCCAGTAAATCCTTCAGGTGCATTATCAAATCCCGGAACTCCAAATACTAATTTATGGAATAGTTTATTATCGGCAACCAATAATCAAAATAATACTAGTAATCCAAATAATTCAAATACTCCAAATAATCCTCAATTAACTCATACAAATTCAAGTTTTAATCAATTTTTAAATACTTTAAGGAAAACAGGATTGACTCCTAATGAATCAAATATTAGATCAGGTTTAACCCCAGGTGGATTAAATCATCAATTTTCTTTTACTAGTCAAATGATACCGGGATTAACTACTCCATCAGCTTTATTAAATAGTCCTATGACTCCCGGATTATCTTCTCTTTTAAGTATGGCAAATGGTCCTCCAACTGCATCACTTCCAATATCAAATGGTCAAACAACAGCACCAACTCAACAACAAGGTCCCCCACCACAAATTCAAGTTACTCAACCTATAGTATCTGGTAATAATACCGATAATGGTACAACTTCTTCTGGAGTGAAAAACTCCCTTCCTTCCACTTTAGAAATTGAAGAACCTACTGATTCTGTAGATACTAAAACATCTAAAGTTTCTAGCAATTCTCCAACTACTTCTAGAAAGAGAAAGAAGGATGATTCACAACCTTCTAAAAAGCAGAAACTTGATACATCTAACAATTCTAAAGTTCCTATAGCAACATCAACTACTGCTGGCTCAGCATCAAGTGTTACACCAAGAGGAAGAAAAACCAATTCCAAAAAGGAACCTAAGGTTAAAGTAGAAGAAGCAGTAACTTCATCTGCAGATGAAGATAGAGGGCCAGGTGAATCTGATGAAAAACGTCGCAACTTCCTCGAAAGGAATAGAGTGGCTGCTTCGAAATGTCGTCAACGTAAGAAGCAACTAATTCAAAAGATGGAAGATGAATTGGCATTTTATTCTACAGGATATCGTGAATTGTCTGTCCAAGTTAATCAATTATATGAACAAGTTGTTTCATTGAAAAGTATATTGGAGGGCCATAAATCATGTTCACTTTTACTATCATCTGTTGGTGGAGCTGGAAATTTGAATAGTATTCTTCAACAAGCAAACTATCTTACTCAAGTTACCGCTTCTACACATACAAATGCTTCATCAATGCCATCAACAATCCCAACCACATTAAATATTCCACAACCACAGCCGCCTCAAATGGGTATGGCACAAGGTATTCCCCAAGGTATTCCACAACATCAACTTCCTCCTTCATTTGCTGAACAACAACAAGCACCTCAATTAGCTTCCAGTGCCAGTGAAACTCCAGAAACAATTGTTGCTTCTCATTATGATCCAAATGGTGCACCTTTACCATCTTCAAATGGAAATGGTGATTTGAGATTAGTAAGCAGTATGTCCAATTTACAAAGTTTGGATTCATCCAAAGTTCGTGCACCTCTAATGTCAGTACAAGCTCCATTACAACAGCAGCAGCAGCAGCAACAACAACAACAGCAGCAACAAGTGCTAGACGCAAATAATGCAGCCAATTTCAACAACCTACGCCCAGTGGTTGACATAAATTTACAACCACATCCCTCGGCAAATTTCAATGGTTTAAATGTTTAGGTGATATTATTATTCAATAACTTATTTATTTTATATTTTTCTGTGCTTTGTATAATTATAGAACATTTCAATATTTATTATAAATTAAGAAATTAAGTAATTCTCTTGCATGATAAGTATTTAAGCCTTGAAACTAGTTCCAGAATTAGAAGTGTCTTTGCTATACCAACTGAGGAGTGGACTAAATTTTATTTTATACCTTTAACCAGACTTTTTGACTGCTGTTTCTTTATCTAATTAATACCATATGTGGAAATAGTAAAATGACAAACGGTCTCCCTTTTTTCGCAGTCATTCGTAAAAAGTCTTACAGTTAATTTTTGTCTGGACACAGCAATTGCTATATAAATATGTTGATGGCAACACAAAGACGTAACAAAAGTTCTAGATCTAACTAGTCATCACAGCTGTCAAATATAGAGTTATGTCAATTGGCCACGCCGGTAAACTTTAATACAATCACCATATATTACTGAAACACTCTGACAGTTTCTCTTTCCCCTTTTTTTTAATTTACTATATATTACATACATATAAAATATTCTAACGCATTTATTACTACTTCCTACAGAATCACACAATAAATCAATCAATAATAATAATGTCAAATCGAATGACTCCAGTATTTTCTTTAAACCACAGACAGATACAGTATATAATTAATAATTATAGGCGCCGCACCCACCGTACCGTACTCAATTCGCATAGAAGCTTGAATGATCACTACAAATAGTATACAGGAAATCATGCCATTAGCCCCCTACCCCGAATTTGACACTCTTTGGTTGCTAATAATTGAGGATACAACCCTTTGTAATTGGTCAGAAACATATTATTGCAATGCCGTGATGGTTCAAGGCGATTTTAGTTTGAATTTCTCCGAATAATAGTAATTGTGTTGGTTCTCTCCTAGCAAACATACTCAACTTATATAAATAGACGTATAATTTACTATAGTAATATATTCTGAATTATCTCTTCTTCTTCTGTTTTAATTAACTTAATAACCAAAATAACAAATTAATTTTAATTATTAAATAAAAAATTAAGTGCAATCACCACCAAATGACAGTCACTGAAATTCACTCCAGATACGTTTACGATTCTCGTGGTAACCCTACTGTTGAAGTAGATTTAACTACTGAGAAGGGATCTTTCCGAGCCATTGTACCTTCAGGAGCTTCAACTGGTAGTCATGAAGCAATTGAATTAAGAGACGGAGATCCAAGTAAATGGTTAGGTAAAGGGGTTTTAAAAGCTGTTTCCAATGTTAATGATATAATTGCTCCAGCTTTTATTAAAGCCAATATTGACGTTAAAGACCAAGCTAAAGTTGATGAATTTTTAATTGCTTTAGATGGTACACCAAATAAGTCAAAGTTAGGTGCTAATGCTATATTAGGAGTTTCAATTGCTGCAGCTCGTGCTGCTGCTGCAGAAAAGAAAGTTCCATTTTATAAACATATTGCTGATATCTCAGGAGCTAAACAAGATAAATTTATCTTACCAGTACCATTTCAAAATGTTTTGAATGGAGGTTCACACGCTGGTGGTTCTTTAGCTTTCCAAGAGTTTATGATTGTTCCATACGCAGCTCCTACCTTTTCGGAAGCTTTAAGAATTGGTACCGAAGTATATCATACTTTGAAAAATCTTGCTAAAAAGAAGTATGGACAATCGGCTGGTAATGTTGGAGATGAAGGTGGTGTCGCTCCAAACCTTTCCACGCCAAGGGAAGCCTTAGACTTAATTGTCGCTTCCATTGAAAAAGCTGGTTATACCGGCCAAGTTGGTATTGCAATTGATTCTGCTTCATCAGAATTCTATAAAGTAGATGCCAACAAGTATGATATGGATTTTAAAAATCCAAAGTCAGATCCTAGTAAATGGTTAACAGGAGAACAATTAGCAGATTTATTTCTCGAATTACTTGATGAATATCCAATTGTTACTTTAGAAGATCCATTTGCTGAAGATGATTGGGATGCTTGGGTTCATTTCTATAAGAAAGCTGGTCCCAAGGTTCAAATCATTGCTGATGATTTAACAGTTACCAATCCAATTAGAATTCAAAAAGCTATTGATTTGGATTGTGCCAATTGTTTATTATTGAAACTTAACCAAATTGGTACAGTTTCTGAGACCATCCAAGCCGCTAATTTAGCATTTAAAAATGGCTGGGGTGTGTTGGTTTCCCATAGATCTGGAGAAACCGAAGATACAACTATTGCTGATTTAACAGTAGGTTTAAGAACCGGTCAACTTAAGACTGGAGCACCAGCAAGATCCGAAAGATTAGCCAAATTGAACCAACTCTTAAGAATTGAAGAGGAATTAGGTGATAAGGCAATCTATGCTGGTAGCAAATTCCACACGGGTCATTTATTATAAATGGCCAAGTGATTTATTTATGAAGTTGATTTGTTATCACTTCTAATAGGCCCGCCACTCCATTCTCTTCCATGTTTATCCTCTATATTCTACCTCTATATTCTACCTCTATAATTAACTATAACTACTATGGTTTTATTTCTCTTTATTGATTTTTATGAGTGTGCAGGGATTGTTATAGAGACCTTTTTAGTAAGGGGCTTCTCTATCAAACAATGTGTGTTTATCCTTTTTGATATTATAAATATTATAAATACTATAAATATAAATATAAAGGTTGCAAAAATAGACAATTTACATTTCCGCATTGGAGAGTGGGGGGATTAGTGGATTGTTAAGTCAGTAATGGAGTGATGAAGTAACTATACAGTGAAGATAGTACCTTACCCTATTGATGTGTGTGTTGTTCAATAACTATTTCTTCAACAACCTTCATAGTATATTTCTCAGCAACATGGTGTTTCTTATTCACTACTTTTCTCACATTTGGCACAAATCGAACTCATCTGTGAGTGCGCGTCATTGTTAGTAGTTAGAAGACAAAAGTATATAACCTGTGCACATTGTAGCAAAAAGAATTTCGCAACATGGCGTTTAGCAGCTTTTACAAGTCGTAATATCAAACATGAATATAACTTTTGATACTTTGATAGAAGATTCAGTTCGTCATTTCTTGAACATTCTTGGAAGGAGACTGTACCTTCAAGTTGATATTATGGAAGATCGAAGTGCTTTAGCTGAAATGAATGAAAGATACAGAGCTTTAGACGATAATCTAAGACTTAATATTGCCCCAAGACATGGTCAAAATGACGGTCAATATCAATTATTATGCTTCTTGATTGCTGATTTCAGAGTAATGAAAAGTAAAAGTTCAATAGTGAGATTACAGCTGGATTATATGGAATCTGTTGCATTTTCCGAAGACATAAACTATATTATTGCCAAAGGAATGAGCACCATACTGCGCAGTGTGAATTTAGGCACGCTCAGGGGTTTGAGTTTATCTTTAGACGAAGTCGTTAATCTATTAAACAATTTTTTCTTTTTGTCAACAGTTTTCAACTTCAACATAAGCTGCGCCATAAGAGGCTTTGGTAGTGTCAATAGCACAAATACCAGGGTATACAACTCATATGTAAAGATTCTTCCAATTACAAGAACTCAAATTCAAGATACTTACATTTCAAGAATTGTCGATGAATTGAAAATTCCTATTTCCGTCCTAACAGATATCCAACTTACGGTGCCAAATTTTACAGAGTCGACGACAATCGTAGATGAATACAGCCTCTTTGCAGCTTCACAGAATTGCTACCTCAGATTACTCAGAATCCTCTTAAAAGGGTATAATGCTGATATGTTTTATGAAACACTGGTACAAGATATAGAAACGCAGATTTCAGTAAAACCAGATAGCTATGCTCAAGTGCAAAATGAGAGAATTAATATAGAGTATAAAAAAAATGTCCTTACATGGGCTAGAGATAGGATCCCAAATCAACCACCGTTCGAAAGACCCAAAATGTTTATTAACCTATTTAGCCAAATTACTTACCAAACGTTGTTTGGTGAATCAGGGTTCGGGTTTGTAGTAGATTTTAAAAATATTTTAATTCAAGAAATAAAATTTCTGATTGATCCAGAGTCATTAAGTCCTAATCTCAGAGCCATAAGGTGCAGAACATCAATAATTAATTTCAATGATTCCCATTATACAGCAGCATTGGTAATAGCCAGTTTTGTTATTAAAAGGATAAACTCTTTCCTGGATAAGCGTGCCTCCATTAAAAGGTTCAAAAAAAAATTGAGAAAACCAATAGAGCTTTAGAATCAATAGTGAACTTAAAGTATAGTTGATAGCGTATATAGTTGATAGCGTATATAGTTGATAGCGTATATAGTTGATAGCGTATATAGTTGATAGCGTATATAGTTGATAGCGTATATAGTTGATAGCGTATATAGTTGATAGCGTATATAGTTGATAGCGTATATAGTTGATAGCGTATATAAGGAGGAGGAATCCACCTTACTTAAATAGTAGCGGAAATCAAGAAATTATGCTTCCAGAAATATTTGTTCAATAGCTTCATAAATATAAGACGCCTCGTCATAGAACGAATAACTACCTCTTCTCACAATATCATCATCCTCATCTTGATCATCATCTCTCAGGCTAGATTCCAATATACCTGCAAAACTTAAATCATTAAAAATAATCTTACTTCCATCATATATAATATTGGATTTATCGAGAGAGCCTATCACAAGATCAACTTCATGTAACTTATCCAACGTTTCATTTGCTAATTGTACAATCTTCTCCTTTCTTCTGCTAGATTCTAAAATAAAATTCTGGAAGTCCTCTTCAAGGCAATAGAACCCCGAAACATTTGATAAATCGTCAAATTTGAGAAAGCCACATTTGAATAATGTCGCAATAAAAGGAAATCGGTGTGATCTTAAATTATATCTGGCATACTTCCCTGTAGGACCATTGCCAACATGCACATACGCCCGCACTGCACGACAGAAACATTCTATTAGCTTAGAAAGACTAACTCGAAATTCGATGTCTGCAGTATCTCCTTGAACCCGCTTACAATGATTGATGTCGTAAACTCTCAACACCATTGTGTTATTACCCCCTGTGTGTCGAACTCTGAACACCCTCGAAAAGCCTCCAAATTCTTCTCCTATTTCTTGTATGTCCTCGAAATCATTCGGATCAAGATCTTCAAATTGACTGAAAGTCGTTAGAAATTTAAAGTTCTTCGAACTGATCTTTAAGTCGTCCCATTTATTGTGGACATAAGCATTGTCGTTTTTATTAAACATTGAAAATTTATCTTTCCATAACTCCTCAACAAGATCATATCTAAATTTCATAATCGTTTTATTCTCTGCTTCTGTAATTAGTAGTGATTTCTTATACGTATAAATTCTGTCATCTTCGTTTGTCAAACCCTTGATTCTAGTAAGGACAAACGCCGCAATAATTAGAGCAAAATTATAATCTTTTGCATACACATGATGTATTGCACAACTAATGAATCGAATGACTCTGTCATCATACTTGACAGTCTTGGGCTCGACGTTCACATCCAATTCGAAAATAATCATTGAATCAACACCAATGATAAATGCAATATCCGAATTTCCAAATAAGCATGTATAAGTAGTTTCATTTATCATCTTTCGGAAATGGACATTTGACTCATATGGCTCTTCAAATGTCTCAACATCTTCTAAAATGTTACTCAATGGATCAGCTGTATACATAACAGATATCTTCGTATTGGTTGCAAACTCAAAATATGCATCAACATATTGCATATACCTTTTATTACTGCTATCAACTAAATTTCTAAATATAGTTAAATCCAGTTTACTATCATAATATTTGAACAAACAAGAAAGGGTTCTCAAATAAAGTCCAAATGCAGCACTAATGAATAACAACCACGAATGAAAACTGTTCCTGTGAACGAAAATATTATATGTATTTAACAAATCAGAAATGGAGAAAAACATATTATTGAGTGACGATTTGATAATATTATTGGAATCAGCTTTCTTTATGAAAGGGTAAACTTCGGCATATTTCTCATACAAACTCCCACCTGTGAAATCACCCCCTCTATCTTTTGGCATCTCTCTTCTCCGTGGGAAGCTCGTAGAATCAATTTCTTGTTTTGTTGATAAACCGATATTAAAAATAAGCGACATGCTAAAAATATTTTTCAATAAATCATAAAGTTTATTTCTATAATCTTCACTGTGTGAACTGTTGTAATGCTTTTCGACTTTCCAAACGATGATTGTATATGCTTTTTGGGCAATGTGATCCAAATCATCAGTAAATTGATTAGAGCTAGAATAATCCTCATCAATGTGAAAATATAAGTTTTTATTCTTAAGCACTGTGAAATCACCTAACATAAAGCATAACTTTTGAAACTCATCTTCATAAGGATGACTTTTGGGACGGGCTTCAGATATATTGTTTTTTTCATCGTTGCTTAAATTATCATATTCATGTAACATGCCCTTCAATCTTGCCTCATCTTCCATAATGTTATAGTCTAGAATTGAATCATCTATAAATTTCAAGAAGAACTCAACTGATCGTTCTATTTGATTTTCGAAGTATGACATTTGTATTTAACTGTCTAAGTGATTGTAAGGTTTAATCCCTTATTTTCGATATTCAAAATATGCTGCTTTTATGATGTTTGAGAGCTGCAAGAATCTGCGGTTCCGGTGTCCTGCGCGCGAGTATTGATTAACTATAGTACCGCTAAACTTTTATTTTCTACAGTAAGTAAAATCTCGCAACATTCTGTTAAGCAGCTTTTGCAAATCAGAGAAAATTCAGTTCGTCACTTTTTGAACATCCTTGGCTCTACGTTCAAGTTTATATTGTGGATTATTAGACAACAAAGACCAATAATCAATAATCAAAAAGTTAATAGTAATCAAAACAACACAACATTGGGGAGAATCAATCAGAAGTATATGAGATATGTTGATTTTTCAAAGTCATAATACAATTAAGTATCCAGAAATATTTGTTCAATAGCTTCATAAATATAGTGCTTCTCTTCATATACCGAATAACTGCCTCAAATCATTGGGATCAAGATCTTCAAATTGACTGAAAGTCGTTAGAAATTTAAAGTTCTTCGAACAGTGGGGAATACAAGAATAAATTGTCGCTTCGTCTGTCCCTTCCTGTATATTCTGTCCAGACGCATTTATTACATGTTTACAGTTAAAATGTAAACAGTGTACACAAAAAAAAATTTGGCGGAGCATCAACAAGTCAAAAGTTCAGATCCGATCTAGAAGGAGAAATCATCAAAATTTAAGATTGACAGTATATTGACAGAGGAAATTAAGATATTTGGAATTATTAATAGTTTGAATTATTTAATTTGAATTCAGTAGTTTTTTCCGATTGTTTTTATGTACTCTGGTTGTGGCTGCAACTCAGTTAATGAATACAATACATATAATTTATAGTAGTACCAGTTTATTCGGAATTCAAATATGATAGATAAATTAGAATTACCTAAATTACCTGATTTAGGAGGTAATAGAAATTCAATTGATAATTCATCCGGTTCAGGAATTATACGACCAGATCAATTTACTAAATCCAATTTAAAATCAATATTACATTTAATAACTATTGAATTAAAATCAAGAGGTGGTACAAGAACTCCTCATATATTTTTACCATTTAGATCTAAAGTCAATGATGAAAAATTAGAATTATTCTTAACTAAATTATATCCCAATGGTGAACTTTTAGATATACCATATCCTGATAATAATGATAATGAATCAAAAATTAGTCGAATAATTAAATCAACTGATGAATTTACATTAATTTGTAGTTTAAAATATTTTTGGAGTAGATTACCAAATCATGAAATTATTGGATGGGATGCTTATTTAGAATTTAAACGTAAAGAATTTGAAGCTGGCAATCCAAAGAATGCATTTTTAAGTATAATGCCAAAATGTTTATCATCACCAGCTCATGCCTCAATAGTTTATGATTTTTTGGATTTATTAATTAATATAACTTCTAATTCTCAATATAATTATTTAAGTGGTAGAAAGATTACTAAAATGGCATCTATTTGGGCATTTAATCCAACTCATAAATTAATTAATTCACCATTTTATGATGCAACAAGTCCAAAAGAATTTGATTTTAGTGAAGGATTAAATTCTTGGAAACCTTCATCACTGGCATTATTTCATTTATTACTTTCATTTTTAAGAGCAATGTTACCTGATTCAGATACTGAAACTTTAAAATTACCCAAGACTTTACAATCTTTACTTATAAGTAATTCTTATCCACCACCAGAAGATGATGATGTATTAAAATCAATGATAACAATTCCATGTGTAAGTATTCAATCAACAAGACATTCTAAAAATGCTTATGAATTGATTTCAAAAATAAGACATAATTTAACATTTGATAAAAAGGATTCATTTCATTCAATTGAAAATTTTACTATTTTAAAGAATGTATTTCAAAGAGATTCAACTAGTAAAATAGTTGAAAGTTTTACTGATGAATCAAGAAGAGTTTTAAATAGATTAACTGAAGATCCATTAAAAAATTCACAATTTGATTTATATCCTGGTTGGTCTAATGTTCAAATCCCAGTTGATGAAGATATTCCATTATTTTCTCAAATTACAATAAATGATGTAACAATTCAAGATTATTATATATGGACTTGGTTATCAACTTTAGGATCTGATCAAAATTCACATTTTAAACGAATTTTTGGTCGATCATTAGTAGTTGAAGCTCAATTTAAAGGATTTCAAAAATGGATTATATTAACTGAAAAGACTATGAGTTCAAAGGAATATCTTAATTATTTTAATTTAGATAATCATAGTTTATATAGTGAGATTCCTCATAAAAGAATTACCTCTGATGAAAGTTATAAAACTAAAGCAATGCCATTACCTCCTTTACCAAATAATCAACAAGAAGATAATGGTCCATTACCAAATTTGAATTTTACTGAAGAAGATTATAAATTAGATTTAGGAGATTTTGCTGATCAACCAGATTATAATATACCTCAACAAAATGATTATTTACAATATCAAGAATATCTTGATTTTAAAGATTTAGCTGATGATTTTGAAGAAAAGACTAAACTTAGTAATTCGAATTCGAATTCAAATTCTCCTCAACCTCAACCTCGTAATAGAAGACGTCCAGCACCTTTGGATAGTCTTAAACAGAAAGCTGAATTACCATTACCTCCTACTCCTCCAACTCCTCCTTCAGATAAAGCAACCATTTATTCAACTCATCCCGTGATTGACAATCGTCATATCGTTGAACCATCATATAAACCAATGACTCACTCTTCAAATAATGATTATCGTGAAGACAATTCTGATGACAGAAGACAATTACAATCACCTACCAGTGAAGATGATGCCAAACGAACTGTCAAAGCAATGGAACAAGAAGAACAAAAGGTTAAAGAAGAAAAGAAGAAGAAAAAGCAAGAACGAGAGAAGAAAAGACAAGAAAAGGAAGCGGCCAAAGCTATGGCTGCAGCAGCAGCAGCAGCAGCAGAAGCAGGATTCTCGTCAGCTCCTCCACCATTTGGATTCTATCCACCTCCAGGAGCCATGCCACCTCCATTCTTTGTTCAACCTCCTTCTCCAACGGATTCAACTCTGTCTTCTGAGAAAAAGAAGCACAAGAAGAAGAAGCATAAGAAGAAGTCGGAGTTGGAGTCAGAGTCCAGAAGTAATTCCCCAGAGAAGGCAGTGTCTGAACAAGTTAATGATCCAATTCCAATTCCAAGTCCAATTGGACAACAACAAGTTCCTGATCAGATACAAGATATGTATCATCCAATAGAACCTATACAACCATCATATATTCAAGAACCTCCTCCTAGAAATATTAAGAGAGCCAGTGTTGACATTAGAAATATGTCTAATAATTATTCAAGTGCTAGTCTTCCTCAACCTCCAGTAAACCCCAAACCTAATAATAGATCCAGTGCTAGTTTACCTCCTCTTCCTCAGGAAGCACATGCTCAAGGTCAAGCACAAGGTCAAGCTCATCCTCCTGCTTCTCCTCCACCAAGGAATCCAAAACGACAATCTATATCTCCTCAACAACAACCAACTATATCTCCTCGTCATCATCGTAATAGTTACATTGATGATAGAAGAGTAAGTAATCAACTGAATTCACCCATCAATAATCAAATGGGTAATGGTATACAAAGAGATTCACTAAGTTCCGGTATGCCATCCAGACCAAATAGCAGATCTCCTGGACGTCCAGTACCAAATGGTCAATACTCTCAGATACCACAACCATCTCAAACATCACCGCCACGCCCTCAATCACAAGGATACCCCAATTATCCACCTGGTCCACCGGCACCACAAGCTTATCCTCCACCGCAGGGATACCCACCCCAAGGATATCCTCCACCGAATCAACACTATCCACCACAACAGGCATATCCACCTCCACCTCCACCTCCACAAGGTTATGCTCAGGGATATCCACAAGGATATCAACAAGGTTATCCTCCTCCTCAACAAGGAGGATATGCAGCTCCACCACCACAAGGAACATACCCTCCACAACCATATTATCCACCACCACCTCAACAAGCACAACAACCATTCTATCCGCCACCAGCCCATGGATATGGACCTCCTCCACCTCAATCACATCAACCACCACAATCGCATGGTAGAGGACAAGGACAAGGACAAGGACAACAAGCACCATTACAACCAAGAAATAATAATGTAATGATGGGTATACCTACAGCCTCCAAATTTGATAAGAACAAGGGGAATAACAAAGCTAGTTTAAGAGCAGCCTTTGTAGATGGCAGTTTTGGAATATAGTCAACAAATATAACGTATATGAATGAATGGGTAATAAATAAGTAACTAAGTAACTAACTAAGTCAATAAATAAGTAAGTAATAAATAAATAAATAAGTAATAAATAAAATAAATAGAATCACATGAATATTTAATCGTAATAGAGTAAACAGCTGAAGTACTAATACTCCGACAATCTCAATTTCTTACCAATCTCTCTGATTGAGAAGCCTGAATTGTTTCTGTTTAAGAATGGAGGTTCTGGAGATGGACCTCTAGATTTGATATCATCATCTCCCATATCAAAATATCCATACCCTCCTAATAAAGTAGATAAATTTGATTTTGGTTTGGGTTGAAGTAAATCCTTAACTGAATTTGAAAGGGATTTTTCGACAGCCGCAGCCGCAGCATCGGCTGCAACTTTTGCAGCATTTTTCTTTACAATGGATACTTGTCTCCAAATTTGATGAATCTCATTCAAATAAGATTCAAGGGTTACTAAGAATCTTTGAGTTTGACGATGTTTAGAACTAGCACAAATTGATATAGAATCATCCTTAATGATATAACCAATTCCAAATCCATTAGCTGATACAGGACCAAAACCAAATAATCTTAAAGATGGATTACCACAATTAGAAGTAGAAATAATGGTATTATTTAATTTATCCCAACCTGAATCAGCAAATATAGAAGGGATTTCCTTTAATGATGGGAATTTCGATACATTAGTTCCTGCTCCATGAGATGTTTTATGATTAACTACGGTATTTTCAGATGAACTATTATCATCATCTTCAACTAAAGTAGATATTGAAGCTCGAGTATTCATAGATGTAGGATCTTCTTCTACATCTACATCTACATCTTCTTCTGCTTGTGGTTGTGGTTCTTCTTCTTCATGAGAATCAACATATCTCTTCCAAATACAGAATAATGCATAAAGATGTCTATCTACACCTTTACCATTAGAACATCTTCTTGTTTGTTGACTATGTTGATTACAAGCATCAGCTAAATATTGTAATTTTTCTTCATTTGAAACGGTTGAATCAAAGAATTTCCGAACAAATAAATTAGATTCTTGACTTACAGTTCTAATGGCTTCAGTTCTTCCATGAAAGAATTGTTTAGTCATTGCTGGTTCATAAGTACATTCAACTTTACCATATAAAGCATAATAAGTTGCTTGAAAAGCCATTTGAACAAAGGCATCTGGACTAAATCTCATCTTTTTAATTTGAGTTGAACCATAATTTTTAAATTCTAAATGTCTAAATTCATTTTGATTGATTAAATCGGATAATCTTGTTTCACCAAATCTTAAAGAAAGTGATAAATCAGAAGTTAATTCCCATTCTAATTTTCTTGGAACAGTAATTAAATCATAAGGTACATTATCAGTATCATTTTTAGTTGCTCTTGAAGCTGATGGAGACATAGTTGCACTATTTTTCCAAAGTGATGGAGCATTACTATTAATTGATCTTGCAAATGATAAAATTGAATCAGTATAAATATCACTAACAAATCTTAATACTGTATGACCATCAACTCCTGTATGTTCAAAATTTATACCTGCTTTACCATTTTTTGTAATAATAATTTGTAATTTATCATACCATCTATTTGTACAAGTACCAACTTGAATACCTTTATCAAGAATTGATAAACCACAAAGCATATTTTTTGATAATAAAGATAAATCATTAATTTCAATATCATCAAGACATAATACAAATAATGCTGAATCAATAATTGATAGTATTTCATTATTTGTTTGATTATTTGATATTAAATTATTTCTAATTCCTGCCCAAATTCTTCTATTTTCAGTAGTTAAAACTCCAAATGAAGATTTAGCAATATCTGAAGGATCAGTCATTAAAGAATCATGAACAATAGATGTAAAATTAACATCTAATTCTGATTCAGTTAAAAGTATATTATTTTCTGAATCAAGAACATCAAACCAATAAAATTGTGATTTTGATAATACAACAATATGATTGGAATTTGAATCGGTTTGCATAATACATCCATTATGAGTTGGAATTCTTGAAGCTCCAAATAATTTAGAATATTGGTACATACAAAGTGGTTTACCATTCTTCATAACATCTGGAGTTAACAGTTCATTCTTAAGAGCTTGAATAAATTTTAATGATGATAAAGTTAAAGTAGTAGCTCTTTTAATTTGAGGATCAGAATGATTGTTAGTATCATTATGAAAAGGATCATCTTCTAATAAGAAGAAAGGATTTAAATTTAAAACAACAGGTGAATCATAATTAAGATATGAATCATACCAAAATTGTTCAATATAACTATTTCTTGTTTTACCAAAATTTCTTAATTCTTCATCAAGATAATGTCCTGTACCATTTTTAAGAAATGATTCTACTGCATCAATAGTTCTTTGATGCTCTTTAGCTGTTTGAAGAGGTTGTAAAACTTTTAAATAATTAGCTAAAGTTTCATTTAAATCAGGAATTGGTAATTTCTCAAGTTTATCTTGTAATGCGTATGTTGAAGCCATGACGGAATAGGAATTGAATAATGAATAATTATTGCAAAAGTTATGTAATCAATTGTAAGTGTAAGTGTAGTGTAATTGTAATTCTATTATAAGTGATGCAAGAGAATGTCAAACAGAACAGAAATGAAGTAAAGTAATTTGAAAATTGAGATAAATGTAATAACTCACTTAATAAGATTATTAATCGTATTGAATAAGGGATATGAGAAAGTTTATATATGGGATAGGATATCCATTCCGATATTTTGAATCCACCGGAGTTCATTTATTTTTGTACGCTTTGCCCCACAAAATCTTTTATTATTTTATAAATATTTTTATTTTTGTCTATTAGGGAGTAACCAATAAAATTGTTAATTACGGTAAGTCTTGTACCGCGCACTAACAAAACTCCGAGATCACCCAATTTCATTCTCGGAGTTTTGTGCACTTGCTTATTTAGAAAATTTATTTTCTTGCAATGGGTTCAGTTTTGTTTTATTTAACTTCGGGTACCCTTTACCCTTAACCCTTAACCCTTAACCCTTTAGCTCTTAACCCTTAACCATTTACTTTGTCCTTTGATCCTATTTGTCCGGACATCAACTTTATATTTTTATTGGAACATATAATTTATGTACTTTCCTCTACGGGTTCTGTGGGAATTGTTTATCAGCGCTAGCGGGCATTTTTTTTTCGCACGCATTCCTCCAGACATTTTTGTCTTTTCTCAGTCTTATTGCTTGCAGGGTCTGGGGCCAAGTGGGGCACATGCTCCCCCACAAAAACTACTTTTTTTCTCATTTAAATCTTAGTAATTACTACAATGATGCAATACAACTGATGAGGAAAATTTTCACTGTAATGAGAAATCACCTGGCACTATTTACGTATCTCCATTGTTTAGCCAGTGATGTGTAGAAGAATTCTAGGCGTTTAACAATTTTTTTTATCGGGTATTCTGGTTAGAAGTGTTAAATTAATTATTTTTCGTCAATCAACTTCTTCAATCCTCATACGTTTCTAACTTTTCTAATTCTTCTTTACGAAGCTTCTATATCCGGACTAAAGGGTGACAACACAAAAGTTAGTTTCATATTACTACAATTTAAAATATTCCATTATATAATAAGAATAAGAATAATATTAAGAATAATAATAATATACTATTTAATTTAATTATATCCATGAAATAAATAATTAGTACAATAGATAACGATTAGAAATGGTGTCATTTTTTACAGATCTTTATTTTTCTTAGGACCAACTTCTCTTTTTTCCAATCTATTGGCTTCTTGAATTGATTATTGCATATCTATCTTATGATAAAAAAATATCCCTCAATAACCTTAATCGCGAATTATGTCACAGATTTGGAATATATAATTCTAAATTTGAGCTAAATATCCGGATGGTTATTTAAATTTATGAATAGAATTCTTTGATATATTTTTCGGGATTATCCATCTAATACCCATCGGCTTCACCTCTCTTACGCCAATAATCACTAACACCTTCTATTTGATTCGTAATACTATTTCGTTTAATTGCATTCATAGCAGTTAATGCTCCGCTTACGTAAAAGTCATGACCTAAATTTTTCATTTGACCTTCTACATTGGTTGGATATTCTTCATTAAACATAGTTAAATTTTCAACCATAATATATTCTGGAATCAATTGATGATGAAATCTAGGATATGAAATTGTGTCTAATAAATCCAATTTTTCATAATAAAGTCTAATTATAGCTTGTAAAACTGCTGTTGTAATTCTTGACCCCCCAGCAGATCCTATTATTAAATCAACTTGTCCTTGACTATCCAATACCATAGTTGGACTTGTAGAACTTAAAGGACGCTTTAATGATGCAACAAAATTAAAAATTGATGGAGTTAAGTTAAATCCATTCGACTCTGTACCTACACTAAAATCATCCATTTCATTGTTAAGCACAATTCCTGTCTTACTATCATATACCAATGAACCAAAATAAAAATTAACAGTAGTCGTCATACTAACAGCATTATTATTCTCATCTAAAATATTAAAATGTGCAGTTCCTTGATGCTCAACCAATGCATATTTAGGTTTATAATGTTTCCAGGGGAAGGTTTGATTATCACTATATTCTTTATTTTCAAGAATGTCTTTTATCCAAGTACGATTTCCTCCTCCATATTTGTCTATTAATGCCTGTTTATAGGTTTCATTAACATCTCCAAATTCAGATCTAATACTCGCTAACCATTTAAAACTTTCAATTACTTTATGATTGTATAATAATTGATCAATATTATTCTCATCAACAGAAGCATTATTAAATACTTCATCAAAGAAATTTAAACCAGCAGTTAATGCTAATCCACAAGAAACCCCACCAGATGAGAAAACATCATATCTTTCATTACCTACATTGATGGTTGTATTTATTGGAGTTTCCACTATGACTTCATAATTAGAAAAATCTTCCTTTTTAAATACCCCTCCAAATTCTTGAATTGTACGAACTAAAGATTCAACTATTGGTCCATCAGGATCATAAAATATGGCCGATGAACCATTATTAGCAATCAATTCTAAAGTGTCAGCATAATTTAATCTTTTAATAATATCACCTTCTTGAACTAATTTATCTTCAGCTTCATAAATAAAATCCCATTGTTTTCTTAATGATGGAATTCGACTTAAAATCATTTCATGCTCTTTAAGAACAGCAGTGGCAAATATCTTTGAACAAACAAACCCTTCTCGATTTAATTTAATAACTGGTTCAAATAATTCCTTCCAAGAAAGTTTCCCCAGTCCATGTAATTTAAATAATTCATATAATCCAGCTAATTCTCCAGGAATACCAATGGCTAAACCACCAATCTTACTTAATAATGGATTAGCATCATACATACTTTGAAATGCTGCTTGCGGAGCCATTTCTCTAGCATCAATACTTTTTAAATCTTTACCATTTTTACTTAATATGAATGAACCACCTCCAATACCTGAAGAATGTGAATTAACACTTCCAATACATAATGCAACAGTAACAGCTGCATCTGCAGCATTACCTCCCTGAAGAAGTATATTCTTTCCCATAGTAGAACATAATGGTACATCACTAGATATCATAGCTTTTGAACCAATATGTAAATGTTCATTAGACGGGTTTAACGTTGGAATTCCAATATTATCAAATAATGGATCATCCAGTTCAATTTGTTGTAAAGCCCGATAAGGATCTGTTCTTTGCAATGGTGGACCTGCAAGTATACTTTGGTAAAAGAATACTTGATTTTTGAACTGATATAATTGAAGTCCAAGGAAGCATACTATGGTGATAAGTCCGATGCTTATAAAGCGAGTCTTCGATGCAGATTTGACCTTTTCATTAATTAATCTTGATTTCTCATTTATCAGTGACATCTTTGGACTGTTTTATGTCAGCATACGTTCCAGGATTTTATCTTTACTTTTTCTATAATTAAATGTAATTGTAATTGTACCTTAACTTTAACTAGTATATGCTTACTGTTGGATCTGATCTACGAAAACTGTGGATATCTTTTGTTCTTAGCGTCTTTTGACTTTTATTTTTTTCCAATTTTGGTCTGGGCGGGACTTCTTATCAGACACTTTTTTTTGGCTGCTACTTTCCTCCGCTTATCTTTTATCCGTGTATTTCCTATAAATTATTAAGTCGGTGCTTAATTACATATTTACATTAGTAATGGATTATCTTACTTGCTTATATATACATTTATATATATTGATAGAGATATAGATATAAATATAGATATAGATATAGTTGTAGTCGTACTGGTTACAAAGAATTCTGTATAGAACACTGTCGTGGAGAACGCCACCACTGTTTATGAGGCATGACTATGGGCAATTCTTGAGCAATATTAGGTGCATAGTAAAGTAAAGACACCGTCATATCTTGTCCTGTCAACTGTATACTGTAAACCATTAAACTTTTTTTAATATGATGATGCAGTATTATATATCAATACGACAAGTGGTCACGTACTTAATTTAGTTTTACGTAGAGTAGATAACGGGCTTTGTTGAATATACTACGGAGGTTTTTGGAACAGTGCCGACTTTTTGTTCGTGATTTTATCACCGCTCTCGGTTCTACACCCGACGATGCGTGCCCCGCTCACTATTTCCTAATTGGTACGGGATATTGAATTATATCAGAAATCATACCTGTAACTACTACTAGTAGTAGTAAAAGTTATATGGAGATTTTTTATGTTAATACTGATATTAATGTTTACTCTATACAGATCTACTCAAACCTACCAACCAAATGGAACAGTTATTGCCCCAATTACATAATAATACGTAATACGTAAGAGCTGCCAGCCTCATCTTTGTTCTATTTTTCATTCCGGCACATAGACAAATAAATTTTAATAAATTTTTATAAAGTATAATATGAAGCCAGAAGTTTAAATTACACCATTATAAATTATATAAGAATATGCATAAGTGGATATTATGACTGATAAGAAGTTGAATAATATGTCGTCTAAGCCGCCGGAAAGTGAGACATCTCAACCTTCTACATCATCTTTGAAATTTTCACTCGAGGATTTACCAAGTTACGAAGATCCCGATGAAGACTTACCTCCACCACAAGAACCAAATAATGACGATGAATTAATTAGTAATATATTACCGTCTTATCATATGTTTCAATCCACTATTTCCAAAAATTTAACACTCACCAATGAAAATTTTAGTGTTGATCCTCCTATGTATGAAGTTAGTCCAGTATCTTCAGCTACTCCATCTTTAATGTCAATATCAGCATTACAATCTCCCATTGATCATTCTAGTACTAGTTTAGATCAATTTCCATTTCCTTTAAGTTCAGTTGGTTCCAATGAAGACAACGAGGGTCATACATTTAATGAAGAATCCTTTCAAATATGGGAAAATACCATTCTTGCCAATGTACATAAATTACCTAATTTAACAAAATTGAAAGATAGTCCTACATCTTCTTTAGAAATTAATATAACAACCACAGAAAAAGTATGTCGAAAGGGAGTTGAACCAATTATAATAGATCTTAGTGATCGAGAATTTAAACAAGGTGATTATATTCATGGTTATGTGACAATACTTAATAAATCTGATAAACCAATACCATTTGAAATGGTTTATGTTGTATTTGAAGGTGTTATAACTATTTTAGATAATAAAGGTGGAGTTATTGATGCCAATAAACCATTGACAGTATCCAAATTCTTAAATATGTTGGATTTATTTGCTTCTTGGTCTTATGCCAATATTGATAGATTAATTACTGATAATGGTGATCCTCATGATTGGTGTTATGGTGAAACAGATCCTTATGATAATACTGTATTATCAATTGATGTTAAACGATTATTTCAACCTGGAGTTACTTATAAACGATTCTTTTCATTTAAAATACCTGAAAAATTACTAGATGATATTTGTGAAAATCATTCTTTAATTAGACATGCAGAAGTACCTCCAAGTTTAGGAATACCAAGAAATCAATTTTCTGTTTCGAAATTATTTGCTAATCCAGAAACTCAAATTAGAGATCTTACATTTATTGATACTTCAATTAGTTATAGTGTTGATGCTAGAATTATTGGTCGATCTCATGATTATGAATATGAATTGGATAAACAGGATAAATATATTATTGCAAAGGAATCAACAAGACCTATACGAGTTATTCCCTTCCCATATCAAACATATGTATATAACAGAAAAGCTATTTATGAAGAATCAAAAATATATTACAAAGCATTTGTGGATTCTATACGATCAAAAATTGAATTTGGTGAAGATTTATTAAATACTCCACCTACTCAAAGATTAAGAGTTCTTGGATTAACACCTCAAAGTTCAAGGGATTCATTTAATAATGATAGTAATAAATTGAGACAATTATATGATATTGCCAATATTAATAATTTAAATCATCAATTCAAGAAGAATCATAAACAATTTGTTGATGACTTTTATCAATATTTATTACCATATAAAAAGAAATCATTAACTGGCTCTGTTAAAATCTTAGGTGTTGTATCTTTAAGTACTCCCAAGGGGATATATTCTGTTGATTATATTCCACCTCTCAAATTTAGAAATGGAAATAAGAAATATAATACAGAAGTTGTTATTCCATTGGAGTTATCTTATGTTATAGAGAATACACTTTCAAAACAATTTTCATCATCATCTGCATCATCATCTACATCAATTACACCGACACTTACTCCTACTCATTCTCATTCTCATTCTCACCCTCACTCTCACTCTCAATCTAGTCTTCCACAACTAAATTCCAAAGTCCAATTTCCGGAAATAAAATCATTACAAGTAGAATTAGTGACTCTAACAATAAGATCCAAGAAATATCCTGTGCCATTTGAGTTCACTCATGATCTTTGTTTCAAAGATCAAGAGATAGACTCCTCGAAAAAGAAAGAAATTGATAATTTCGATCTGATAGTCATAAAGCAGTTTCATGAATATCTCCTCAAAATAGGGCATTTAATTAAATCTGTAGGTAATGAAATAATTAAGTTTGAAACTCAATTATATAAAGACATCAGATCATTAGCACATTTACAGACCAAATATATTAATTTATCAATTCTGGATTATGAATTAATTTCCAAGAATAGTAATCAAACTAGTTTAGGAATTCAAAAACTGTTGAAAACTATTCCTTGGGAATTTGAGCCACCAAATACATCTCATGATCATGAGTTATATTCTAAAAAATTCGACATTAAAATCGATTTAAATTCTTGTCATTTAAAGGGTCTTGATAATGCAGGTCAAGTTGGGTTTGATTATGTAACATTAGTACCTAGTTTTCAAACATGCCTTATGACTAGATTATATTATTTTAAAGTGGTAGTTAGATTAACAAATGGTGAATCATTAGTAGTTAATGTGCCATTATCAATTGAAAGAGATAGATAAAATTCCCCTTCCCCCACACTATAGAATTTTTTTATATATATGTATATATTTTACTAAATTTATGACATTTTTGTATGGCTGTTAAAAATCTGACATTTTTATTTTTCCTTTTTATTTTATTTTTTTGACAAGGCTTACAAGCATAAAAAATATTTAATGCCGATTTACCGGATTAGTCGATTTTTCAAATCCTACCTCTTCGCAAGTGCCATTTATTGCAAGTCCAGAAAAGCTTGTATGATATAGTAGGAAGAAGATTCGAGTAATAGAACACTAGTATAATAAAATAGTTGTAGTTCTAATGGAAGATAGAAACAAATTCAATCTTCGGCTTTCTGGACTAAGTTTGCGGAGTAACAGAGGTGACAAGACTAAAGCAGATAATAGTAACCATGAACGTATGAATAACAATAATAATAATAATAATAATAATAATAATAATAATAATATTAATAATGCAAGTGAAAGTCCAAGTGATAGTGAAAGTGAATATGATATAGTTGCTAATGAGTTGGTCAATATACTTCCATCATACCAAATGTATCAATCTACGATCTCAAAGAATTTAACGCCAACAAGAGAAGATCGTAGAAGTACTCCCCCGAGTTATGAATTAGCACCTTTTACTTCTAATACTTCATCAGTTGAAGATTATTTTGAAGGAATATCCTTACCAGCTTCACCTGAATTAGCTCCTGTATCCAGTTCATTTCCTAATCTAGAATTAACTGATGATGAATCTCAACATGGTGATGCAAATTGGACAGATACAATTCTAGAGAATGCTCATAAATTAAAACGTTTAACATCGGTTAATAAAGAAGTATCCAAATGTTTATCCATTGAAATAGTATTAACTGAAACTATAGGAAAATTGGGTCAAATACCTAAAAAGATAGATCCTTTATCTTGTGAATTCAAACAAGGAGATTATATCTATGGGTATGTCTTAATTACAAATAAAACAGAAGAAGATATTCCATTTGATATGTTTTCAGTGGTTCTTGAAGGGTGTGCAATCTTTGGAAGTAATGGAAATAATAACCTTGTACCTCAAAATACTTCAGTTAATAGATTTTTAACTATGTTTGATTTTAATGCATCATGGAATGATGCTTGTTTAGATAGATTAATTACTGATCATAATGATCCTTATAGATCTGTAAAGCAATTTGATCATACTGATAATACTTATACTCAATTAGATGAACAGAAAATATTGATTCCAAAAATTACTTATAAGAAATTCTTTACTTTTAGAATTCCAGAGAAGTTACTTGATTGTAGTTGTAATCATGGGTTAGTAAAACATTTACAGTTACCTCCTACTTTAGGAATATCAAGAGATGAGATTATAACGACCTTACGACAAAAATGGAAAGATAAGACTAATGATACTAATAGTGATGCAAGAAAGAAATATGCTTCTTTAACTAATGATCTTGCTTTTAATAATGCTTCAATTAGTTATAGTGTTAGCGCAAGAATTATTGGTAAAGCATCGGACTATAAGTCCTTATATGCTCATCCAATTCCAAATTCTGCAGAGGATGAATACGTGGTGGCAAATGAAGATTATTGTTATATAAGGTTGATTCCATGTACGAATGCTATTTTTGAGCTTAATAGATCTCTGATAGATCGAGAAGCAACTTTATTGTATACAAATATGATTGAAAGAATTGAAGAAAAGATTGAACTTGGAAGACAATTGTCTTCTATGTCAGCAGAAGATAGAATTACAAGTCCTCCAACTTTACAACCAACTCAAAGTGCACTTGAATTATCAAAAATGCAACAATCTTATATATCTAAAAAATCAAAATCACATTCCCATGATATTATAGAAGTATTCTTATCTCATAAGAAGAAGCAAGTATTTGGGGGATCCAAAGTATTAGGATTAATTGCATTATCCACTCAAAAAGTGGCATGTCGATTAGATTATGATTCCTTATCAAAATTTAATACCATAGAGCCATCAAATTCCACCATATTGAATATTCCGATGGAATTATCTTATATTCCAGCTACAGCAACAACTTCCAATGTCCCTGATTTTAAAAAGATATCAGTAGATTTGATAGCCTTAACTATAAAATCTAAGCATTTACCAATTCCACTAGTATTCCATTCAGATATGTTATTTAATAATAAAATGAATGAATCAGATAATTTTGATTTGATTAGTCTAAGAAAATTTCAAAAGTATGCTATTGAACTTTCAAAACTTCTTAAGATACATGGAGAAGATCTTCAAATAGAAAAGGATTTAGTATATGATCTTAAGAGTTTAGCTAATTTGGCTACTAAATATGATACTTTGAAATTAAAGTCTGTAACGTATAGTTTACCTGATTCACCCATAAATCATAATTCATTTTCATCAATTCCATGGCAACATGAGAATATGGCAAGCACATCATCAGAACTGCATTTCCGTCTCTTTAAGAAATTTAATTTGAAAATCGATATTGCAGATGCCCTTTTACCAGGATCGGCAACAAATGAATTTTGTTTAATACCGGATTTTCAATTCTGTAGTATGGCTAGAATTTATTATTTTAAAATAACCTTGAGAAATTCATCAGGAGAAAAGCTATGTATGAAAGTACCAATGGTATTGCAAAGATCCAGACATCAGGATTCTTAGTACTAATAGTATAATGTATAGTATGATCACAAGAATATATACTATAGAAATACAAATTGTAAATAATAAATGATAATAAATAATAATTAATAATTAATAAATAATACATAAATAATATATGTATGCCATTAATCATAAATCGTAAAGCGCAACTTCTCATTTTGCAACTACTGCGAGTGGAACCCAAACAGGACAGACATCTCAGCGCTGAAAAAAAAAGTATCATAAGCACAAAAATTATTAATAGCGAAATGTCTGATTTTGCAATTTGATGTTAAACATTTTTATATAGTCCACTAACTATGAGTGCACAGGATTTAACTGAAGATCAACTCCATGATAAGCTAATATCTGAATGGGAAAAGAGGAGATATGTTCCTAAACATGGAGATCCAGCTTTACCGCCTCAATTATCAGAATTACATGATAAGTCAACTGAAGATGTTATGAAAGAATTAAATAGACTTCCATTTTTTATGACTGAGTTGGATGAAACTGATGGAGAAGGGGGAGAAAATGAGACTCTTGAAGCGTTAAGAACTTTAGTGTATGATGGTGAACCTCATGAAATAGCTACTAATTTTAAGAATCAAGGTAATGATGCCTATAAAGGTAAACAATATAAAGTTGCTATTGAATATTATACAAAGGGTTTAGAAGTTGAATGTGATGATAAATCCATAAATACTGCCTTATTACTGAATCGAGCTGCTTGTAACCTTGAATTAAAGAATTATAGAAAATGTATAGAGGATTGTAAGAAAGTACTTTCAATAGATGAAAGTAACATTAAGGCATGTTATAGAGCAGGAAGAGCTTTCTTTGCCGTAGAAAGATACGAAGAAGCTCAACAAATCCTTGAATATGGTTTAACTGTTGATCCTTCTAATAAGGATGTTAAAGCTGTTTTAGATAAAGTAGTTGCTAAACAGAAACTGATTGAAGAAGCCCGATTAAAGAAGGAAAGAGAATTAGAACATAAGAAAATGGTTCAACTGATCCTCGATAATTCTATTAAATTAAGACATTATACCATTATAAAATCTTCAGCTCCTGCTGATTTATTGGAGGATGCTAAAATACGATTGGAAGATGAAAAAGATTATGAATCTCAATTAATTTTCCCAGCAATGATTTTATATCCAACCACAGATGAATTTGATTTCATTGCAGAAGTAGGGGAATTAACCAGTCCATTAGAAATTTTAGAAATGGTTTTAAATAGACCTCGTGAATGGTTTGAAGATCCAAAACATAAGGATTTCACTGTCAAAAAGTTAGAATGTTATATGGAAACTGAAACTGGTGGTCTTATTAAAGTTGGTAAAAAGATTTCCATTAATAACGCATTAATGAATGAGAAACCAAAAGCTCCATTATTCGATAATGGTTTAAGATTGTACGTAGTTCCAAAGACTCAATCTGCTGATTGGCTTTCAAAGTGGTCTAAGGAAGCTGCTTTAGCTAAACGTCAAATGTAAATACTTTTATATACTAATATATACAGATTATTTAAAGGTATCCCATTTGTATAGCGTATTCTCTTTCTTCTTTCAGCCTTTGCTTTTCATCAGGTGAAGCATCTGGAGAATGTTTCCCCCTTAATCTTGAAGCCTGAGATTCAAAGATTTCTTCAATAACTAGTTTAGGAACTTCACCAAAAACTGTTGATGGATTTATCTCTTTATTACGTTGAACAATTCTACGTAATTCAGGTGTACTACCCCAAGCTTGAAGTACTTTATTAGTTTTACTTGATACATTGTCTTCTTCATCAGTAGGTATATCAGGTAAGTTTTCTGCTGTATAAGTTTCTCTCTTAGAAGGAGTTATTGGAGCAGATACTGTATCATAACCTGAAATACGAGTTGCTTTCTTATTTAACAACATTCTCTTAGTCAGATCATTAGTTCGTAAAGGTGTTTTATCTTCCCTGGATAGTTTTCTTCTTTTTGCACTATCCATAATATTGAGATTGATTCCTCTAGCTGCATCAGGTAAAGCAACTGCATTACCAGCTTCTCGTCGAGTTGGCCTTTCTGTCGTCTTCTTAGCTGATTTTGGAACTTCTGTTAACTGAGAATCCACTTTCATTGCAAGTGGTTGTTTTTGAGTGTGATTAACCGATATTAATATCTTTTGACGTGGCTTCAAAGCAGCAGCTTCACTTCTTTCAGCCATTAATGATTTTTTCTTCAACGAAGGAATGCTACTGGTTTCTAGTTTAGGTAAGCTATTGCTTTTACTTTCATCTGTCTTCAAGTTATAATGCCCTGGTTTGACGGGAGATGCCGGTTGATTTGATAATGCTGATGCTGACTTTCTATTAAGCGAAGGAGGCCTTTGGAGTTTAAAATGAGGATTAGATGAATTCAATGTAGTTGTTAAAAATTTATTCTTTGATGTCACTGGCTCAGACTTCTTGTAGTCAGTTGACTTCGAAGAGATCAGTAATTTGGTTCTAGCAGCACTTGCAGTGGTTGGAGTAGTTAATCTATTGATCAAATCGGTTTCTTCTTTAGATGGTGAACTAGATAATCTATCATTAGTATGGACTGGAGATGTAGAAGATTTGGATCGGACAGGAGATATGCTTCTTGAACGAGAATATGTGGTATTGTGAATTGGAGATTTCAGCTTTTTAGTGGTTGGTGATCTTGGACTTATAGTAGTTGTAATAGACTCGGAACTAAGTTTAGGAAGGTCATCCTGTAATTTTGGTATTCTAGAACTGATTTTTGGAGGACTAATTGAATCTTTTGCTTGCCGTATTCCGTTTCTACGTGAAGAATAATCAGGGGTCCCCTTCAAATCGAAATGACTGTTTGAGTTTGAGTTTGAGTGTATTCCATTTTTTTCAATACGGGCTTCTTTTGATTCAGCTTTAAGATCTCCATTATCCTTATTGGCAAAGGGTCTTTCTGATAATGGTATCTTGACAGGGGACATATCAAAGTTATAATTCATTTGATCTTCCTGTTTCTTGTTAGCTGATTTGGTGCTAGGAGCTATTGTAGTGGTTATTGTATTTGTATTTGTATTAGCATTAGCATTAGTATTTGTATTAGTATTTGTATTAGTATTTGTATTAGTATTAGTATTACTATTAGTATTAGTATTACTATTAGTATTAGTATTACTATTAGTATTAGCATTGATCGATTGAGTAGATAACGTTGTTTCTCGTCTTGATGCCATATCTAGTCTATCATAAACTCTCAGTGAGCGACTTTTGACATTGGTTATACGATGTGATTTTGAATTGGAATTGGAATTTACTGTGATGGGTTCTCTAGTTGGAAGTGATACAAATAATGAGTTTCTTTTAGGAGTATAAGCAGATACTCTTTTAGATTCAATGCCATTAGATGATGAATCAGGATGTAGGTTAGTTACTTCAACTTTTTTCTCATCATTAACGTTCATTACAGTAGTGGCATCAGTCTTATAAGAATAATTACCTAAAGCTGTCTTATCTGCTATACTCTTTCTTATAGCTTTACTAATAGCTTGAAATGAATCATCTTCAAATGCTGATTGACCCTCTTCAGGTACTACGTCTGGTTCTGATGCAAATAATGATGGCTTGAATTCAACAGGGTTAATGTCCGAACTTAATGTCGGATCATTATTACCATTACCATTACCATTACCATTATTAATATTATTATTTTCAATATTATCTAATACTATAGGGACTGATTTCTGTCGTATCGGAGATTGAATAGTCGCATTCGCGTGAGCTCGTATAGGACTTTGATCATCAAGTAATTCGCGCAACTTTACTTCATCATCTTGAACTTCGCTAACCTTTTTCATATACGCACTTAATCCACGATAGTACTGTTGAACATCATGAAAATGTGATTCACAATTAATTAATACATTATCATAATGAATGGACATTTCATGTGAAATCCATTTGGAAGATCCTGGAATTAACTCTCGTTTCTTCTTCTTAGTGGCATTAACTGCCCATAGTCTTGAACTCATTGAGTCATATAGACTTAAGCATATAAACCATCAATTAGTAGCCTTGTTGGTATACTGTTTTTATGCGATTGACTATTAGACGTGTGTGCCTATATGCAGTGCGCCATCAAAATATAGTTGGTAATTTTTCATACTGTATACTTTATTCATAATTATAGTAGCAGTATAATGATGGAACTATTATAATTATAATAAGAGTGTATAGTCTGATCACATTGCAACCATTATGAATTTGTTCTGGCTAGAGTATCGGTAGTGAACACAATTCTTGGTGAATGTTAAGCCTTCCCTCCCTCCAGCTTATAGTAAATACTTCAATAAAGACTTAAAATAATGAGAGTATACTTTTGTTATTTGTAATAACATAATTTAAGTAGCTAACACTACTTATATGCAATATTTCTTCTTCTTCTATATAATGTAAAATATAATGGAATTGATATTAGATATTTTGCAGTTGAATGTGGGTCACTTGCCATAATGGATATTTCCTGCATACAGGCCTCAACAAAAAGATTGGGGTAAAGGAGCTTATCATCAACCGTGCCATCCTTATCATCAGATGGTTAAATAAACACAAATTGATCTAATCAAATAGAAATCCATTTAAGAGAGTTGTTTATTGTTGAATAGAACAAAAACAAAATCCAAAAAAGGAAAATAGTATAGAATGCTACATAGTTTAAACAGTTGGGGAAAGAGAGACGATACATGCTCAGTGTTTGATGGAGCATCGACTGTTAACTTAATCTTTCTGATATTCATTACATTTGGTATAATTGTTAGTTATATACCTCAATATATTAGAATACATCATAAACGAACTTCAGAAGGATTATCTACTAATTTTTTATTATTAGGATCATCATCAGCTATATTTACATTAACTAATATAATTTTAGTTAGTTCAAGAGCAAGATATTGTTGTTATAGTGGAGCTCTTACTTTATTCAATTGTATTAATTCTCAACTTAATTTAATTCAAATTGGTATTCAATGTACTTGTGCTATTTTAATTTTAGTATTAGTATTACTTTTAACTAAACATTCAATAAAACAAGATAAACAAGAATATGATAGAATAATTATAGTTGCTAAATTAGTGGCATTACATGGAATAATATCATTGGCACAAATAGTAGTGGGATTAACTACTAATGAAGGTATTTTATATTCCATAGCTAGTATTAATGGATTATTATCAACACTTTTAACGGTCATTAAATATGTACCTCAAATTCATACTACTTATAAATTAAAACATCCTGGTACATTATCTATTGGTATGATGTGTATTCAAACCCCCGGTGGATTTGTATTTACTGCTACATTATTTTTTACTAAGGGATCTCATTGGAGTTCATGGATGTCATATTTAGTAGCGGCATTAATGCAAGGAAGTTTATTAACTCTTTGTATTTACTATGAATATTTTAAAAAGAATGAACAAAATGCCGAAGAATTAGAAAGAAGAGCCATTGAAAGAATCGTAGAAGAGAATCTTCATGAAGAACAACATAGTACTAGTTTGGATGGTGATTTACGAGCTGATAGTAGAGATCCTTTACTTAGTAGTAGTAATAATTAGTAGTAATAAAATAGAAATAGTAATAATAAAATAGTAATAGTAATAATAATAATAACATGTATAATGTAACATGTAAAATGGAGATGTGCTTACATAAGCCCGTCTTCCCACCAGCTCACTAAAATAGGACCAGATTTTGAGCCCGTCCACGAATCACTTCGACGGAAAAAACCCATTGAAAAATTATGAAAAAATCTCCAGCTTATGGTACGACTGTTGAGTAGTGAACTGTATAAACCAATAGTTAAAAATGTTTAAGAATGTGGTTGGAAACTTACGTTTCCTCGGAGTTAACAAATTGAGTGTTCGTCCAGCATTAACTAGATCTTATGCTGCATTTAATCGTTCAAAACCTCATGTTAATATTGGTACTATTGGTCATGTTGATCATGGTAAAACTACTTTAACTGCTGCTATTACTAAAGTTTTATCAGAAAGAGGTGGAGCTAATTTCTTAGATTATAGTTCTATTGATAGAGCTCCAGAAGAAAGAGCTAGAGGTATTACTATTTCAACTGCTCATGTTGAATATGAAACTGAAAATAGACATTATGCACACGTTGATTGTCCTGGTCATGCTGATTATATTAAAAATATGATTACTGGTGCTGCTCAAATGGATGGTGCTATTATTGTTGTTGCTGCTACTGATGGTCAAATGCCTCAAACTAGAGAACATATTTTATTAGCTAGACAAGTTGGTGTTCAAGAATTAGTTGTCTTTGTTAATAAAGTTGATACTATTGATGATCCAGAAATGTTAGAATTAGTTGAAATGGAAATGAGAGAATTATTATCTAAATATGGTTTTGATGGTGATAATACTCCAGTTATTATGGGTTCTGCTTTATGTGCTTTAGAAGGTAAACAACCAGAAATTGGTTCTGAAGCTATTTTAAAATTATTAGATGCTGTTGATGAACATATTCCAACTCCAGTTCGTGATTTAGAAAAACCTTTCTTATTACCAGTTGAAGATGTCTTTTCTATTTCTGGTAGAGGTACTGTTGTTACTGGTAGAGTTGAAAGAGGTCAATTAAAGAAGGGTGAAGAAATTGAAATTGTTGGTGGATTTGATAAACCATATAAGGCAACTGTTACTGGTATTGAAATGTTTAAAAAGGAATTAGATTCTGCTATGGCTGGTGATAATTGTGGTATTTTATTAAGAGGTGTTAAAAGAGATGAAGTTAGCAGAGGTATGGTTTTAGCTAAACCAGGAACTGTTAGTTCTTATAAGAAATTCTTAGCTTCTTTATATATTTTAACTACTGAAGAAGGTGGTCGTCACTCTTCATTTGGTGAAAATTATAAACCACAAGCTTTCTTTAGAACTACTGATGTTACTTGTTCATTCAAATTCCCAGAAGGTGAAGATCACTCTAAAATGATTTTCCCAGGTGATAATGTTGAAATGGTTGGTGAATTAATTAAAGCTACTCCAATTGAAGTTGGTCAAAATTTCAATATTAGAGAAGGTGGTAAGACCGTTGGTACTGGTTTAATCACTAGAATTCTCGATTAGATGTTGACTACTATTATACTATATTATTATGAATTATCTTACTTATATATATAAAAGATATTCACTTATATAAATTAGTCTTTGTATATAGGATAACTATTTAAATTTACTTGTTTAATAAAAATCCAATTTTGTATAAATTATAAATTTGTATAATTTTGCGCGACTGTTTACCTTTACTGTTAACTATGAGTAGGTAACAATCAATTCAATTATCTCCAATTAACTAATCATCCATGACATCCACCACCAACCGAACACTACGGTTCCCATTCATAGACCTCCACAATGAGATTAATTTCCCCATCAATTCAAAAGATGGATATACAGTACAAAGTTTTACTCGAAATAGACAACTTTTTATTTCGATTCGAGAAGTAATAACCGTAGTGGGATCAACTATTTCAAAACGATTAACTTATAATGAAAATGTCGTGGCCGCTACTTATACTACTTTAAAGAATATTAATGAATCATTAGTTGTATGTTTTGAAAAATCCGCCAGAATTTATTGTGATGATGGTACAGAATATGTCGTAAGTTATCCATTTCAATTAAAGAATGCTTTACCATTTGAATCAGGATTAATATTAGAAAAAGTTCAAATTCAAAATCCATATATAACTACTAATTTATCATTTCCTCAAATCAATTCATCAAAATTTTTAACTTTGGTAGATCCAATTGGAGATTTTAGAATTATAACTACTTCTACAACATCAGTTATTGCCAATAATGAACAACTAATGACTTTCCCCATATCTGGTTTAAATAAAACTTCATCTTTATGTGCTACATTCAATCCTCAAGATTCAAAAGTAAATATTTATAATATAAAAGCTCCATCTCGAGCATCTAAAAAGATTGAAACATCACAACATAATACTAAATATACAAAAAGGAAGCATTCAATACTTACCACCCCTAACCCCAATCGAATTCTTGATGATGATATTCAATTTGATGGACCTGGTGGTGCAGGTGGATTATCTACCTCTACTAATCAACATGCTATATCTATATCATTTAATATGGAAAAGAAAAGAACCAGTACTTTATTATCAGATGCTTCATCAATGGCAAGAATGAGTGGAGATCATGATCCTAATAAATTTAGAATGGCTGAATTAAGAAAAGATATGATTCTTACTAAAATAGATGTAATACCTGTTGAAGTAACTCATCAATCTCAATTAAGAGTATTTGGAATAATATTTGAAGATCAAGAAGCTATTGTAATAGTTAATCGAATTAAAAAAGATGCAAAAGTATTTATTTATAAACAAAATATTACTAGTCATTATCAATCATCATATTCTATTCAATGTAATGATTGTATCCCATTAAGAAATCCTAATCATAATGGATATCTTATAGTATTAAAAACTTGTAAAAATTTAACATTAATTAATCCATTCTTAGATATAACATCTCCAAAACTTAATTTATCAACATCAATTGAAACTCTTTGTACTTCATGTGAAGATAGAGTTATTGTATGTGATAAATTAGGTAAATTTTCAACACTTCGAATAATTTTAGAACCAACTGATGAATGTGTATTTAATTGTTTAAAATGTTTTAAATATTTATCAGGATCAAAAATTAATGAAAGTATTTGGATGCTTTGGAGATCAGCGGTTATGTTAGAAGAAAATAAAGATGAATGGAAAGCATTTATAATTACTTTATTATCATTTATTTATCCATTTAATGATGAAATTATTTCAGTAACTAATGAAATTACTAAATTATTACCTCAAGCTAAATTCTTACAACAAATATCTCAACTTAATTATCAATTATTAGATTTAATTCCTTATATTACTATATCATTACATTTATTAAGAGAAGAACTTCGATTAGATCGTACAAGTAAATTAAAATTAAAAAAATTTGATATATTATTAACTCAATTATGTACTTGGATGGGTTGGCCAGATATTTGGACAAAATATTATATGATTGATCATAAAATTATTGATAATAATATTAAATTTTTACTGACATTAATTATTGAAACTCCTCCTAATTTATTTTTATCTTTAACCAGTTTATTTGGTATGAGTAATAATAATATAATTAGATATATAACATTTTCTCAACTTGTTGAAGAAGGTGATTCAATTGATGCATTAATAACTCCTCGAACTTATTATATTTTAAAATTATTTGAAATTATTGTTTCACCTAATTTTGGTTCAAATGTAGTAGTTGATATGATGTCAGAATATAAACTTACAAAGGGAGATTTAGAAACTTATCCTCCTGGAATTTCTATACCTTTAAAAGAAGCAATTCTGTTAGCTCAAGAAAATCCTTCATTTGAATGGGGGAATTCTGAATTAGAATTAATTGGTAGAAAAGATTTAAGTTTATATAAACAAGGTTTAACAATTACTTCAGCAATTATTGATAATGAAATAAAAGATTTAAATCAATTACTTTCTGGTTTACTTAATCCAATTGAAGGTTTATCAGCTTGGGATGGTCAATCAGAAGCTGATAGAATAGCTATAACAAAATTAATATTTGATTATGATAGAAGATTCTTTGAAATTACAACTTTATTACATCAAACAAGAATTCAAACGGCTTCATTATTAATTAATGTTGATGGTATACCCGAATATGAATTATATGAAAAGCAAAGAAATTTAGCCGCTCTTATTGCATTAAGAACTTTAACAATTCCTTTAGGTAGAGCTATATTATTTTATTCAAGTAGGAAACCTTTATTAACTGAAAAGTTTCCTATACCTAAATTTAATTTTAATTCATTAATAGCTCCACAAATGACAAATATTGTATTAAATGATTCTTCATTACCTCCAAAAATATGTGAATGGGGACATTTTCATAATGGAGTTTCATCAGGTTTAAGTATAAGTAAAGAAGCTAAGGGGATTTCTGGAAGTTGGATTATATTTAATAAACCTCCTGAATTAAATGCTCAACATGCTGGATTCTTATTAGGACTTGGATTAAATGGTCATTTAAAGAAATTAGAAGAATGGCATATTTATAATTATCTTGGTCCTAAGCATCCTTTAACTAGTGTAGGATTATTAATTGGAATGGCTGCAAGTTCAAGAGGTACTATGGATAATAAATTAACTAAAGTATTATCGGTTCATGCCGTAGCACTTTTACCTCAAGGAGCTAATGATTTAAATGTTCCAATAATGGTTCAAACTGCAGGATTAATTGGAATTGGATTATTATATTTAGAAACTCAACATCGTCGTATGAGTGAAATTTTATTATCTCAAATTACAAGTGCAGTATATCAAAATGATATTGAACAAGTTCATGAAGGTTATAGATTAGCCGCAGGAATTTCATTAGGATTTGTAAATTTAGGTAAAGGAGATGATTTAAGAGGATTAAATGATACTCATGTAGTTGATAAATTATTATCATTAGCCGTATCAATGAAAGATTATCAACCAATTCAAGAACTTGATAAATCTTGTTGTGGAGCTGTATTAGCACTTGGATTTATTTATATGAAAACTGAAAATCATGCCATGGCTGAAAAATTAAAAGTTCCAATGAGTGAACAATTACTTGATTATATTCGTCCTGATTTATTATTTTTAAGGTGTATATCAAGAAATTTAATTATTTGGAATTCTATTTCTAATACAATTGAATGGGTAGAATCTCAATTTCCTCCATTAATTAATCAAATAAAAGATGATTTAGATAGTGATCAATTAGCTTATTTTAATATTTTAGGTGGTACTTGTTTATCTATTGGAGTTAAATATGCTTCAACTCATGATTTAATTGCTCGTGATACTTTATTACATTATTTAGATGAATTAATGAAAATTACTTCAAAAGAAGCAATCAATTATGATCAAAAAATTGCTTATCATGGAGCATGTAATATGCAAAATCTTATTGCTTTATCATTATCAATAGTTATGGCAGGTAGTGGAGATTTAGAAGTATTTAGAAGATTAAGAGTATTATATAATGATACAACTAAAGAAATTGGTTATGGATATTATATGTCTATAAATACAGCATTAGGATTTTTATTCTTAGGAGGTGGACAATTTGCCTTTAGTAATTCTAATTTTGCCATTGCTTGTTTAATTATATCACTTTATCCAATTTATCCTAATGAAAATAGTGAAATTGAAGTTCATTTACAAGCATTTCGACATTTTTGGTCTTTATCAGTTGAACCTCGATGTTTAATTGTTAGAGATGTTAATTCTCAAAATCCTTGTAAAATTCCCGTTATTATATCATTAAAGGATGGACAAATTAAAGAAACTTTATCACCATGTTTATTACCAAATCTTAATGATATTGAAACTATTGAAACTCGATCAGCTGATTATTTTAATACTCAAATTGATTTCCAATTAAATTCTGCATATCTTGAAACTTTTAAAAAATCTTTAACAATATTAGTATATAAGAAAAAGAATTATTCTATATTAAAATCAACTGAAAGTATACTTATTAAGAATGAAAATAAAACTCTTCAAATTAATAATGGAGAAATTTCAGTTAATGAAGATATGACAAAATTACTTAATTTACAAGTTATTAAAAAACTAGGAGATTTTGAAAAGAAACAATTGACTTATGAAAGTATTGAATCTGAAGATAATTATAATTATACTCATAATGATTTATCATTATTTAAGATTATAGATGATCAATTAGATCTTGAAAAAATGTCAACTCTGCCAACTTCTACTGAAGATCTTTGGAATTTAAAGTTACTATTTGCATTTACTGATACATTACTTAATGATAATCTTCATTATTTATCGGTAGAATTTGTACAACAGCTTAAACAACAACTCTGGAAGTTATCCAATGGTTGATATATATAGAGCTATAGTAGGCTATAGTAGGCTATAGTAGAGCTATAGAGCTATGGTAGTATATGCTATATAGTAGAGTATAGAGTAGTGTATGTAACAGTATATTACATATAGTATATATCGTACATAACATACACTATATAAAACATACCCACAGTATAGTGTATATAAACATAGTGCGTATTGTAATAGCATATAATATAGTGTATATATAGAGCATATAGTATAGTGTATATATAATAATATAGTGTATATATAATAATATAGTGTGTATATAACTTATACGAGTAATATTATTAGCATTGTGAATATTTAGTATGTGTGTTATCTATACTATGTGTTATCTATATATAGGACTATAGTGTATATATAGCATATAATAATTAATAATAGTATGAATAGAATAGTGCATATATAGTATACACCACACGACACTACATAATATCCTACAGTATTGTATATAATAATCTAATACATATAACTTTAGTATAGTACAATGTTGTGTATATAACTTTAGTATATAGACAATATTGTGTATACAACTTTATTATCATTGTAAACAACAACAAACCATTAAACGCATATGAAAACGTATGCGGCTCATTTCCATTTCCCATTTCCCTGGCCAAAATTAACTCGCACACGATATCTTAGTACAAAATTTCTCGTTAACACCACTAAGGTATCGTATAGGAGAAAGCATAACATTGAGTCGTGTGAATTGATATACCATAGTAAATTATAAACAACTAAGTATGGTAATAAGACCGGTGTTTCCTTCGTCTTATCCGACGTTAGGATTAAAACAATTCACTCGAGAAGGGTATGTATTTGGACCTCAAAAGATGAATATCAATCATCCATTATCAAGAGCTTCAACAGTAGCTGAATTAGCATTACAACAAGCAGAACAAAAGAAACTTCGTAGACAACAAAGACGGAACTTATCGACTTATTATTATCAATTCCCAAAGATTCCAAGACCAAAGAGAAATGTATTATATTATTCAACTTGGTCAACTGGTGGATCTAAATTCCCATCTAAACAATTAATGAAATTACCTAAATTAACTATTTCAAGACGTCTGATATCTAATGCCAATCAACAATTAAAGAATCAAACTAAAAAGTTTCATAATCGATTCTTTTCTGTAGAAGCAAGACAAAAGAGACAACAACATAGAAGATTTATTAGATGGTGGACTGTAACTTCTTTAACAATTGTTTTAGGAGGTGTAGCAGCTAAAATTAGTTATGAAAGGTGGGAAGATCAAAATGATGAATTTGTTAATCAATATCGAATTAAACCTCAATCTTGGCATTTATATGCTTATTCAACTTTACCATTAAAAGCAATTTCAAGATTATGGGGTCAAGTAAATTCAATTAATTTACCATTATGGTTAAGAAGTCCATCATATCGTCTTTATTCAACTATATTTGGAGTTGATTTAACTGAAATGGAAGAACCAGATCTTACAACTTATAGTAATCTTTCTGAATTTTTTTATAGAAATTTAAAAGATGGTGTTAGACCTTTAGCAAATTCTGATTTAGTTAGTCCGTCTGATGGTAAAGTACTTAAATTTGGTTTAATTGAAAATGGAGAAATTGAACAAGTTAAAGGTATGACATATTCTGTTGATGCACTTTTAGGTATTTCAACTCCTCGTTTAGCAGCTCCAACTCATTCATTAGATTTTGAACATGATTATGATGATTTAACAATTATGAAAAGAGATGAAGAATTTGCTAAAATAAATGGAATTTCTTATTCTGTTGATGATTTAGTTGGAGGTAATACTGAAGAAACTTTTCATTTAAATAATTTAGATTATAAAGATGATGAAGATGGTACAGCTAGTGGATCTAGAGCATCATTTTCAAAAGAATTAACTGTAGCTAAAAGTTTAACTCAAAGTCCTATTGAAACTTTAACTACAAGTAATCATAAACAATTATTTTTTACTGTTATATATCTTGCCCCAGGAGATTATCATCATTTTCATTCTCCAGTTAATTGGGTTACAACATTAAGACGTCATTTTATTGGAGAATTGTTTTCAGTTGCTCCATTTTTTCAAAAGACTTTACAAGGTTTATTTGTATTAAATGAAAGAGTTGCACTTTTAGGTTATTGGAAACATGGATTTTTTTCAATGATTCCTGTTGGTGCAACTAATGTTGGTAGTATTGTAGTTAATTTTGATAAGAATTTAAAAACCAATGATATTTATGAACATGAAGTTTATCTGAGTTCTAATTCTGTTATTAATGAAAATACTCCATTATTAAAACATAATTCATCAGAAGTTTCAAGTATTTCATTTGGAGCTGCTGATGCAGAAAAGAAAAAGAAGAGATTAAAAAAGAATACTGTATATGAAGCCACCTATACTAAAGCTAGTCGTCTTCTTGGAGGTTATCCATTAACTAAAGGTCAAGAAATGGGAGGATTCAAATTAGGTTCAACTGTTGTACTTATTTTTGAAGCCCCAGATAACTTCAAGTTTGATTTAGAACTTGGACAAAAAGTTAAAATGGGTCAACAATTAGGTCATTTTGAATAATTATAATTATAAGTACCTTTACATTTACCTTTACCTTTACCTTTATCTATCTATACCCCTATAATATATTCATATTAATTATAAATTACTGTAGATGGGGGCTAAACTAGTTTTGCCCACCTAATTTCCGTTTTGGGAAGCAAATTTCGTGGATGTTTGGATGTTTACTCTACTCTCTCTCTCTCTCTTTATTATGTATTTTTTTTTTTTGTTTATGATCCCGATCTCGAGTCCTGATTCACTAACAGTAGTAAGAATACCACCCAATATATATACCCAGATACTTTGATAGTAAAGTATGTCATTCCTAAACACTATACGAGGCTTAGGCAGAAGCTCAAAGAAAACTAAAAAGGATATCGATCCTCTGTCCCCATTATATTCAATCCCCAATAGTTCGTCAGGTCTGTTACGAAATCCTCATTCGCCTAATAAAGGGTCACCGTCTAAGCAACGAAGTAGTCAAATACAACAACTGCAACTGCAACAACTGCAACAACAACAACTCAGTCAGTCTCCAACAAGAAGAAACCATCGCACATCACAACTGTCCAATAGACTGCTGCCTCAACGACAACATTATCAGCAACATCATCATCATCATCATCAACAACAAGATAATGATGAAATAGTAGATGAAGATGAAATTCCATTATTTTTATGTGATCCATTTGTTAAAACTGCCTTAGTAAAAGGATCATTTAAAACTATAGTTCAATTACCAAAATATGTGGATGTAGGTGAATGGTTAGCATTAAATATATTTGAATTATTTAATAATTTAAATCAATTTTATGGAGTTATATCAGAATATGTAACTCCAGAAGCTTATCCAACTATGAATGCTGGACCTCATACAAATTATTTATGGGTTGATGGTAATGGACAAACAGTAAATTTACCAGCCAGTCATTATATTGAATATGTTATAACTTGGATATCAAGTAAAATAAATGATCAATCAGTATTTCCAACCAAAAGTGGAGGAGCATTCCCACCAAATTTTTTAAAAGATTGTAAAAATATTTCAAGACAAATGTTTAGAATATTTGCTCATATATATTATCAACATTTTGATAAAATTGTTCATTTATCACTAGAAGCTCATTGGAATTCATTCTTTGCTCATTTTATTAGTTTTGTTAAAGAATTTAATTTAATCGCTAAAAATGAGTTAACTCCTTTATTACCATTACTTGAAAATTTAGAACAACAAGGTAAGATAGCTTAGAATTATATTATATAAGTTTTAAATTATATATATAAATTATAAATCCTACTTTTTAAATTGTAAATATAAATTGTAAATTTTACTTTTTATACTATATACATAAAGGCAAATAAATATGCAATTTTAAAAATATATACAAAGTTAACAAATGTCTGTGTGTGTGTGTGTGTGTGTCATAATCATGAAAAAAAGTATAGTGAATCTTTAACAGTTTCAACATTAAATTCACCCCTTGGAGGTATATCAGGAAATTTTAAGGGAATTAAAAGCGGGTAACCTACAGATCCACTTGCTATAGAATATAAATCATATTTTTCTGTAACACTTATAGTAGTTTCCATATTTTTACCTTCTTCAACTACTTGAGGATTCTTTGATGCAAGTAATTTTCTTCGTTGATTTTCTAAATGAATTTCATCTCCTAATGTAAGACCCCTCTTAATTTTTTTAACAATTGATTTTCTAATTTCTTTAACTTCTTGAACTACTGGATGATCAATTGGTACATGAATTACTTGTAAATAATCTTTATAACGAGTTTCAAATTCTTCTTTTAATTGTTGAATTAAATTATTTGAATGTAATTTAATAAATTGATCTCTAATTTGGCTATTCATAATTTCAACATCGGCTGCATGAGTCCAAAATGAATCATGAACTGATGCAAATGCTAATCCTAAATCTCCACATGCTTTAGCAGTCATTAACATATGAGTTGCATCAAGTGAATGAACAAAATTTGGTGGGAAAGCTTGTTGTTGCTTTCTAGCATCAACTTGAGTAATGGTTGATGGATCTATAATAGAAATATCTTGAAGTTTAGTTTTAATAATTTCTGATTTTAATGATCTATAAGGTTGAACACAAGGTAATCCAATAGCTGTAGTCCAAATAACTGATGATAAATGTGATACATTTACTTCTCCAACTCTTTCTTCAATTCTTACTGATTTACTAATTCTTTTAGCTGATTCACCTAACCAATCTTGAATTAAATGTGCTCCTGAGAAAAGTTCTCTAATACATGAAAATACTCGAGTAGTTAAATATCTAGCAAAATGAATAAGACTTTCTCTATCTTCTTTATTAAAATATGGTTCAAGTTGTTTTTGAATTTGTGCAGTAGCTCCAATAAATGTAACTCCATAAACATTAGTCATAACAGTTTGTTTAACAACTTTACGAGTAATTTTATCCTTTAATTTCATAGCAGTTTCATCACCTGCTTCAGCTTCTTCATCAAGTTTCTTTTGAACTAATTTTGAAACATAAGTATAAACATCTTGAGGTCTATCAGCAGGAACTAAATTAACTTGTTTTGCTCCTTCAATATCTCCACCTAATGCAGCATAATGTTGTAAACCATTACAAGTACCATCTTGATGAACTGGTATATGAGAAATATATTTAGTTGGATCAGAAAGTTTATATGCTTCATTTAATTCAAAACATACACTTAAAGCTTGCCATGGTTTTTCTGCTTTTGTCCACCAAGCATTAGGTTTATAAGGATCTTGAGCTGATTCAAATACATTTTGAAGATTATCTTCAACAAATTTAACTCTACCTTCTAATGGTGCTTTATCAACACCATAAACATTTGCTAAATGAATCTTTAACCATTTTAATCCACTTTCTCCAAGTTCTTTACCATTCCAAAATAAAAATAATGATCTAGTTACATCACTACCTAAATGATTAAAATGTGGTGAAATTGGATATGCTCTACCTCTAAAATCAATATTATGAGGGAAAAAGATTCTTTCACCTAAGAATCCTCTTGCAATTTCTAATCTATAATTAACATCACATCTTTGAGATTTTAAACTTGCAGCATCATGTAATATCAGTTTTACTAATCTTTCATATTCAAGTTTAACTTTTGGTCCAGCATTTGATGGTGGAGGTGGAGGATATTCAGGATCAACTATAACAGGAGGTATACTAAGGAATTCATTTCCTGTATTCCAAAAATGAGATATAACATCAAAAACATTTCTATTAACTGTCCATGGTGTTTCTCCAAGTATATTTAATCCATCATAAACTTCTGTTAATAATCCTCTATTAGCTGCAGCTTTCATATAAGCCATTATTTCATTAGAATCTTTCATTCTAACAATATTTGTTCTTGAATAATAATATCCTCCTTTATTATGACTTTCCCATTTAACTGGTGGAACAAGCATAGGTAAAAGTTGAGGTTGAACAGAATTTTGAAAATTATTACTTCCTAATTGATCATTAATCTTCTTATGAATTTTTAATATACCTATTTTTTGACCATTAAGAAATTGATAAGTATGATGAAATGCTGCTTGAACTCCAGTAACTTCTTCACCAGTAGTTGGATTTTTACCAATAACAGGAACTTTAGCTACTGATATAAGTGGACGAATTAATGCAGCACCAACTTTTCCAAGAACATTTTTACTCCATTCATTATCATCATCAATTTGTGAACTTTTACTAAGCATAGCTTTCCATTGTTTAGTAGTTTTTAATTTTTTTGAAAACTTTTTACGATCAGATTGTACAAGACTTTGAGATCTATATTCTAATTCTATTGCTCTACCAACTGATAATAAAGCTCTTGCAGTTCTCATACCTCCAACAATTCCTCCAGTAGAATTTAATTTAACTAATTCAAGAATTGTAATTACACACATTTTCTCAGGTGGTACTAAAACTAAATATGGAGCATAATGTTCTCTTTCTCGATTAATTTTCTTTTCTTCTTGACTTATTTTTACTTTAATACCTTCATTAGTTAATAATTCTTTACATTTATTAACTTCTTCTTGAATTAAAGGAAGTAAATCCATATACCATTGATATAATTGAGCATTTAATCCCTTTGATACATTAAGTCCACCTCTCTTTTGCATTTCTTCATATTCATGTTTCCATTTCTCTCTAGCTGCATCAGCTCCTCTTATTTCTAATTGTCTTTGTCTTCCCTCATTAAATAAATCTAATGCTTCATTAAATTTTTCTTGTTGTTGAGGACTTAATGTCTTAAAGAATTGAAAATAATCATTCTTAATTTCAGATGTATTATGTAATACATGAAATTGAATATCTGATTCAATACTTGTTAAAAATTTATTAATTTCTTCAGAATCTCCTTCTTCTTTTAATCCTAAAAGTGTATGTCTAATAACTTTTAATCCAAATGAATCTACAGGCATTAATCTATCAGCATCCTTTTCAATAATTGGAACTTGTTCTCCATTTTCAAAATATTGTGCTCTTTCAGCTTTTATTGAAGTATTAGGATTTGTAATAACATTTCGAACTTCAGCAAATGTATCTTTTAAATCTAATGGTATACTTTGTTCAGTAATAGTTGGATCTTCAAAGATTTTAGATAAATCATCAATACCTAAAATTTCAACATGAGAGAAAATATTTCTCTTTTGTTGATTTGAAAATTTACTTAAATAAGTTTGATATGGACCATTTGCAGCCATATATTTTGATAAAACAATAGCATGAGTTCTATCATTTAATTGAATAGTATATTTTCTTTGCATATCTCTAAGAAATGATTCAACTTCAGAAATAGATACAGATTCTTGAGCACTCCATTGTTCTAAATATCTATTAACTGATTCAATAAAAGATTCTGGATTTCCTAATAAAGGATATATTGAACTCATAACTCTAAATGCTCTTTCAAAACTTCCACTTGATAATAATCCATCTAATAATGATTGTAAATGAGATACATCCTTAGCTAATGGAGAACGAGTTACAGGATCATATCCTGAAGACCATGGAGTTTCCTTTCTTGAAATATCTGAAATATCATGATTTTCTTTAATTTCACTAAAGGTCTTTTGATAATAATTTGGTGATGAAGGGGTTTCAACTCGTTTCAGTTTTAAGTCTTCAAGAATATTATTTAAAATAGGAAAATCTTGTCTACCACCTTCACCTTTAGACAGTAATGATGTTAATGATGTTACATATCTTAAATGGCAAAGTCTTGTGTTATAAGAAGAACTTGATAAAGCTGCTCCACTTGTGAAGTCTGAAGCAGCTCCTACAGTTCTTCTGCTACCACCAGAATTTGCCACTCTAAGCCTACTAATACTCCTTGACAACATCTACTTTGCTAATCGTCTTTGGCTATATAAGACTTATAGAATAGGTGAAAAAAAAAATTAGCACATCAAAAAAAAATATTTAAAGAATGAGATGTATGTATGGGGCTTGGATGCAGTACATGATTGTTAGCAGTTATGTTTATATTTAAAGAGTAATAATAATAATGATAATAATATAATTAGTATAAAAGAATAACAGGTATAACTTACCTGCAATAGAATATGAGCAATATAAAAACAGCTAGTAGAATCAAACCCAAGAATAGAATATAGATAGATAGATAGATAATTATAAAATAGTGATGATGATAATGATTAATAGTAAAGCATGGTCGTGTGCCGGTTATTTGGTATATAGGAACTGAAAAGGTGTATTTGTAACGTTACTTCATATTTTTAATAAACATATGAATTTTACAAACCCATTTCGGCTTGTAATGCTTTTAAAGCTTCTTCATCTTCATCATCTTCAGTGATAGCAGCTTGAGGTTGAGCTTTATTAACAGTTGGAAATGTAGGTAATTTATCAGCTGATGGAGTAACCTTTTGAGTTGGAGCTTTTACTTGTTCTTCCTTTTCAGCTTCTTCTTCTTGTAATGCAGCTAATTCAGCATCTAATTCATCTTCATCAACATATTCACTACCAACTGGTCTTGATATAGCTTCAGAAATTTCATCAGCTAATTCAACTTGTTCTCTAATATCATCCATTGTATCTTCAACTTTATCTACATTATATTCTCCATGTATTTGTTTCATAGCTGCTGCTCCTTGTTTCATAGCCTTCATAGTTTCCAAGTTTAAGTTGGCTCCTTCGATTGAAGATAATTGAGTTTCTAATGATTCTACTTGATTTTCAATCTTCATTAAATTAACTTCATAAGCTTTCTTCTTCTTTAATGCATTTTTAGCTACTATTTTATTGGTCTTTAGAGAACTTCTTGCTATAGCTTCTTGATCAGCCATTTGTTGTTCCAAATGAGCACGCTTTTTATTCAATACTTGAATATGTTCTCTTAATTCCACAATGGCCCTCTTTGGGAGCTCTTTCTTCTGCTGGTTATTGCCTCCAAAGAAATAGTTCCACATGATTTATGATAGTAAATTTATATTTATTGGAATGACTCAAAGCAAATAATGCAAAATGGTATGGAATTTATTTAAAATCAGACTATGATAAGATAATTTGATAAATTTGATAATTTGATACTTCTGATGTTATACTACCCCTAAAGATAAGATTTGTGGGTGGTGATGGGGTTCTAATAGGAAATGTCGTAAGTGAAGATATTTCTTAATTCTACACAGATACAGTAAAACTTCCACTGGAAACTTATTCGTCCAAACGTCTATAAAGCTGATTGATCGATGCTTAGTTCGGCAACTCTTTACGCTTCGTAATGAGTCTTCGCTGCCTGTGGGTTCTGGCTGTAGCTCCCTCGAGCTTTATTTCTTTTTTCTGGTTAATATTTTGGCTATCGGTACACGACCACAAAACCCACCACTAATACAATAATCAATATTTATATCTTTATCCATATCCATATTCATCCACATAAACGTACATTTGTGGTAATTATAATTATTATTATTATTATAATAATTATTAAATAATATTGACTAATGATATATTATACTATTAACAGTTTTTGCTAACTAATTGACTAACAAATAAACTAACTCACTAACTAACTAACTAACTAATACCCAGATCAAGAAGAAAAATATTAATACTCCAAAAATTTTAAGGAATAACCATCTATTACTAGTAATATGAGCATAGTATTTTAATAATTCTCGTTGAGCTCCAGTGATATTAAGACTTGTATCTTCTATATTTTCATCTATTCTTTGTATTTGTTCTCCTTGTTCACTAACTAATGTAGCTAATTGTTGGAATAAATTTCCTACTTCATTAATGGTAGATTCTATAGTTTCTACCGCTCTATTTCTTTGTTGTAAATATTGTCCACCTTGTTCTTCTAATAAAAGTAATTGTTGAGTTTGATTAGGTATTGATAAATATTCTCCTCCATTACTATTTCCATTAGAATATGGAACTGAAATATCGGGATCCATATCTGGATCATATGCTAATGGAGTTGATTGAGTACTTCTTGATAAATAAGGATTTTCACCTAAATTAGAAAGTGGTGAATCTGCTACCATTGGTGATGGATTATTACTTGAACGATGAGTACTGGCAGCTGATAAAAAGTTTTCTGTACGACTTTTATTTAAGATTTCATTCTTTTGTCTAATTTCCAATACATTTTTAAACTCTCCACTAACATTCTTCATTTTAGAATTTAAAAGATTTAATACATTTTTTGAAAATTGAGAAATTTGTGAATCCACTTGGATACTACTTTCTCCTTTAACATATTTTTGTAAATTTTGTATACTTTGTTCTATCTTAAATATATCTTGTTTGATAACATAAGTTAATTCTCCTATTTCAACAGGTTTATCGTCGAATAATGGCTTTCGTTTAGCTAATAATGATAATTTACTTAATAATTCAGTTACATGAACAATATCTTTTGCAATAATACTGGCTTGTTCACTAAATTTAGATTTTTTAGTTGGCCAACTTGTAGGAGTCACTCGTGGAATAGCTCCTCCATTATGTTTTCGATTAATTTTATCGTATGAAGTTACACATTGTTGGAATTCAAACGTACGATTCTGTATAGAAAGTGACATTCCTCTATTTAATATGATATAATAGATATGGAATTATGATATTATCAATTTAATATGAATTGTATTATTCCACCTGGGTTTACTTAACTATTAATTTTCCTCTATTAGGTTAACTTGCCTTCTTCCTGATAAGAACAGCTCAACTGCCAACCACCTTTTTTTTTAGGCTTCACTTTGAACGTGACTGTAAACAAAATTTCTTTTTTTGTTATTTTTATTTTTATTTGTGTGGTGTGCAGTATGTGCAGGACCAGTAGCTGCAATTTCCCAATTGGGATACAATGTCTTTTTAGCATTCATTAATTATAATTATCTAACTAAAACACTTTTTTATATAAAATTCTATAAATTCTCTAACATATGGAAAGATCCCAATTCTTTTCTACACATATTTGAGTCCAATCAATCCATAATTGTCCATTATTATTTCGTTTCCAAACTTCACGTACAATATCTAATACTCTTGTAACATTAGCAACTTTATAATGACGTTTTATACGTTTAAATCTTTCTTCCATTTCAATCCGATCAATTGGAGTAGAACAGGTTATTCCACATATTAAAAGCAGCATAGCCAATGAAGATACTAATTTAGTATCTAATAATACATCTAATGAATTTAATGCATTTAATAAAATTGATTGCATTTCATTACTTGCTGGAGCTATGTTCTTAATTTGATAATTTAAACATAATTGACAACTGTATAAATAAACATCAAATAATGTTAAATGATATTCTACTTCTTTTTGATCATCCATAATATGTTGCATTTGTCCAACATTTGGTTGACAATCAAATATCCGTTGCTTAATTTCATTATATTTATCTTCAATTTCTTGATAATATTCAAGACGCTTACTTTTAAAATCTATTTCATTTCCATGATCATCATAAATTACAAACAGTCCAGACTGTTTATAATTATCTTCTACACGTTTCATCATATGTTCTAATTTCTTTTTCTTCTGATTAAGTTCAGCATTAGTATTACCTATCTCTCCAAATAAAAGAAACATCGACAGTATACATCCTTGTAATGGATCTAATCCATAATCTCCTTCACCCAGATCAAAGAGTTTATCTCGATTAAAGATAGTATTATATTCTTCCATTGGTAACATAGTTCCACTAGTAAATGCTCCTGATGACATAACATCATGAAATTCAATATCTGCTATAATCCATTTAATATTATTGGAATAATCAAACATTTTACATATTTTAGTAATTCCTCCATTTAATTTAATCATTTCTGTACATTTTTTAAAGAGAATGTTCCATTTAGATACATCTCCAGCACATATATGAATTCCCATACCAATTAAAAAGAAATTCAATAAGATATATATATCTTCTTTAGATAAATTTTCAAATGAATTAAATTTTTGTTTAATTAGTTGAACAGATTTTGAAAGATATGTTTTAACATCTGGTGTATAACCTTCAACAAATAATCCACCCCATGCAGAGACAGCATACAGAATACTTTCTTCTATTTCAGCTAATTGATAGAAAGTCTTTAGAAAGTAATTACATGATGCTGGAGCAATACATAGAACAGGAGCAACATTATGAACGAATGAATCAATAAAATATGTTCCCTTATGATCCATATATCTGAAAGGGTTAAACATCTGACTGCCAGCAGGAGAATTAAAATATTGTTGAACATCGAGCATTAATAGTTCTGTATTTTTATTTGATGTTAATGATTGAGGAAATGGAGATGGTGTCTTTTCTAGTGCTAAGTATTCTTCTTCTCCTTCTTGATCTTGTTGTATTGGCGTACCATTATCACTATTTTGTTTTACAGTAACCATATCTGTATCATTGAAGTCATAACTTATTTCGAAATCATCATCTGCATTTGAAGAAGAACATGATGAAAATGATGACGAAGATGTAGATGACTCAGAAGAAGTTGAACTTGACCGTACAGTTGATGAATTAATTAGTGGATAAAACGAATGTTGATTATCCAAGTTATCAGATACTATTGAATTAGTAGTGGATAACGTTTTATTTTTGAATTGAGTAAATTTTTCAAGTACGATTGAATTTCCAGGAGAAGAATCAACTTTTTGAATTTTAAATTTAGAACCATTTCTCCATACACATTCAACATTTCTATGGTTACAAGATCCACATATAGGATAAGTTTCATCACATTTCTTTTTCCTCTTTCTACAAGCTAAACAACCATTTCTTGATCTTCTAGAAGCTCCTATTACAATATTCTGAGTTTGAATACGTCTTGTCCCAACTGAAGAAGATAAATTTGTAGATTTTGAATTAGATTTTGATGTGGGGTTAGTAGACTCAGTATATTCAATAGTCTCGAAACTTGAATCTAATACTAGATACATTTGACAACTTGATAAATTTGATTAAAGAATTCAATATTATAGGCAAATCTAACAGTTGTTAAAGGGTAGTAAAGAAAAGAAGGGTTAATTGAATTGAAAATAAAATAGTAAGAAGATTATACTGAAAGGCTTTAGTCATATTTTGTCCCGATTGGGTAATTGGCGATAAAGGGAGTCAGATTGTGACCTAATTGGGTAATCCTATGCGACCGGGCATTTAACTGTATCGGGCTCTAAGTGTTCCCGGTGATAGCTCAATTGGGATACAACTCCAAGCCGTTTTCTAGATAATTACAAATGCTGCATCTATCTCTATAATGATCATTGTCATTGCCCCTCAGGGGGGCTACTGTTGGTTTATAAGCATATCGGTGAATTGTCTTGAAAGTTCCGATAGTTATAATTTTCATTGTAATTTTGGGGGAAGGCATATAATGCTACATCTTTTAAAGATGCAACATAATAGTTTTTAATTAAAGATTGATCATAAGCCAACCAAGATAAGGGTTAGTAATAATTGTGTATAATATGAATATGGTAGCACTTAGTTGTGGTACTGAATTGCCTGTTAAAAATGAGGTTGATTGCTATGTATAATAAAAAACCCCTTGGCATATAAATAAATAAATAAATAAAACTTATTAAAATGAAGATGAAAGAATTGATTTATTACGTATATTGTATATTGTATATTGTATATTGTATATTGTATATTGAATATTGTATATTGTATAGGCAATATTATATGAAGAAGCTCAATCGTTATAGATGTAAGTGGTATAGCATAAAGTATGTTATGTTATGCCGTATGTTAAGCTTAAGCTATAACTATGACATTTTAAATATATAGTAAATATTTTAGTCATATGCAATAATAATAAGTGGCACTATTACTTACATTAAGTTATATATATATATTTCTATATAGACGTGCTGTACATATAATTATATAAGGTTATATATTAGACGCGCGAGGTAATGACCCTTCCTATTTTGGACTAGAAATAAACAGGCGTCGTGTCCCGCCCAAACCCACCTGTTTTAGACGAAATCAAAACGACTCAGAAAAATTATCAGAAACCAAAACAAATGTAAAACAAAAGATTGATCAATCAGTTCCATCGATAAATCGAAGTCAATCGTGTTGAACTACAAGGTAGCAACAACAGGAAGTATTTACGATAATGAGAGAAATCGTACGTATGATTATTATGATCAATCCTTTGAATTGTCATAGTATTCTCATCGATTACTATGATTAATATAACGCGCTAGTTAAGAGTCTGTGTGTGTGTGTGTGTTGTATCGATTCAATTGTGATCTATTACTGCCATCCCACGAGAAAGAAATTTTCAAATACTAACTATATAACTTATCTAGATCCATTTATCAACTGGTCAATGTGGTAACCAAATCGTATGTATAAATCAAACAATATTGAATTATTATTTTTAGTATAAACTGATATCCCCATCGTAACAATTTTATAGGTATCAAAATACTTTTATACTAAAATTATCAAATTTCAAATTTTATTTATGAACTTATAACTAACAAATTATATTTAGGGTGCTGCCTTTTGGGAAACCATTTGTGGCGAACATGGTTTAGATAATAACGGAAATTATCATGGAGATAATGAACTTCAAAGATCTAAATTAGATGTCTATTTTAATGAAGCTAGTTCAGGTAAATATGTTCCTCGTGCTGTTTTAGTTGATTTAGAACCTGGTACTATTGATGGAGTTAAATCTTCATCTATTGGTAATTTATTTAGACCAGATAATTATCTTTTTGGTCAAAGTTCTGCTGGTAATGTTTGGGCTAAAGGTCATTATACTGAAGGAGCAGAATTAGTTGATTCAGTTCTTGATGTTGTTAGAAGAGAAGCTGAAAGTTGTGATTCTTTACAAGGTTTCCAAATTACTCATTCTTTAGGTGGTGGTACTGGTTCTGGTATGGGTACTTTATTAATTTCAAAAATTAAAGAAGAATTCCCAGATAGAATGATGGCAACTTTTTCAGTTGTTCCATCTCCAAAAGTTTCTGATACTGTTATTGAACCATATAATGCAACTTTATCAGTTCATCAATTAGTTGAATTATCTGATGAAACTTTCTGTATTGATAATGAAGCTTTATATAATATTTGTCAAAAAACTTTAAAATTATCTCAACCAAATTATGCTGAATTAAATAGTTTAGTTTCTTCAGTTATGTCTGGTGTTACAACTTCTTTACGTTATCCAGGTCAATTAAATTCTGATTTAAGAAAATTAGCTGTTAATTTAGTTCCATTCCCAAGATTACATTTCTTTATGGTTGGTTATGCTCCATTAACTTCAATTGGTTCTAAATCTTTTAGATCTTTAACTGTACCAGAATTAACTCAACAAATGTTTGATTCTAAGAATATGATGGCTGCTTCAGATCCAAAGAATGGTAGATATTTAACTGTTGCTGCATTCTTTAGAGGTAAAGTTTCTGTAAAAGAAGTTGATGATGAAATGCATAAAGTTCAAACTAGAAATGCTGCTGATTTTGTTGAATGGATTCCAAATAATGTTCAAACTGCTGTTTGTTCAGTTGCTCCAAGAGGTTTAGATATGTCTGCTACATTTATTGGAAATTCTACTTCAATTCAAGAATTATTTAAAAGAGTTGGTGATCAATTTAGTGCTATGTTTAGAAGAAAAGCTTTCTTACATTGGTATACTTCTGAAGGTATGGATGAAATGGAATTTACTGAAGCTGAATCTAATATGAATGATTTAGTTAGTGAATATCAACAATATCAAGAAGCTGGAATTGATGAAGAAGAATTAGAATATGCTGATGAAGCCCCATTAGATGAGCCTTTACAATAAATTAAATATTAAAGATAATAATTCAAAATTGGGATATGCTATACTTTTTTTTGTTAGTTCATGATGATTTAATTCTTTGTTGGTTTTAATTTTGCTTCTCCATATATATATAATTTTTATACCCCACTCTCTTCTCTATATTTCAAATTTAGCTCTTGTTTCAAATTATAACTTTTTATACGATCCGTGTAATAACTACATTAATCTATATTATAATATTATATATGTATATGTTTCTTGAACATTTGTATTTGAATATAAATTTTAAATATGACGAATAAATACTAATGTATATAATTGAGGTAAAAGGATAGTGTACTAATTGTATACTAATGTATTGTATACAAATGTATAGTATAGTATAGTATAGTATAGTATAGTATAGTATAGTATATGAAAGGAAAGGAAAGGAAAGGAAAATGCAAAATTTTGATATTAATGGGCATGCCAAATTTCTATAATACAATGAGGCATCTTATTAAATTTAATTACCTCTTAAGAAGTTTCTTACGAAATCATTCTTATCAACAATATTATATCTATTTTGATCATCAAAATATCTTAATACATGACATTGTTGTTTCCAAAAGTTTATTAATTCTTGAAATTCCATTTGACCTTTAGCCAATAATATATTGGCAGTATCTAAATCTCCAACATATCTTTGTCTTTCAAATTCTTGTCTAATCTTAGTTTTAACATTAGCTACTGGCATATCTAATTCATATATATCACAAAATTCTTTAGAATTTCTCATATATTTACGATATAAATGTAATACTCTTTTACTTAAATCTGCTTGAGTAGCTGAACGACGGGTAGTCTCGGCAAATTCAGTAGCTAAAGTCATGATTATTATGTTTTAGATAATTTCTATACCTCTTCCTTAACTTATTAGTGCTTATTATTCTAAAGTCCTTCAGTAGTTTGGTTGGTTTTTTTTCTTCCTGTTTACTAAAGATCAAATTTGGTTGGTTGAGTATCTGTCCGTCATTTTTCACGTGATGGTGCTCGTGACTAGTTTAGACCCTATTCTTAATTATTACTACTTTTAATTCATACATTTTATACATTTTATACATTTTATACATCTATTGACTCTAATTACTGTAATCCTTCTTTAATAAGTCTAAGAAGATCTCCTGATGGTTGAAGTAATTTAATAAATCGACATAATTCAAAGCACCAGTCCCATTTCTGTGATTTATCTAACATCTTCATAATCTTTAAAATAATTTCTTCATCATTACTATTAAGAACAAAATCTAATTCTGTAGTTTCATCTTCATCACCTTCCTTTTTAAAATTAAGATAAACAATTAAATAATTATAACAATCTTCTACATTCTCACTTTCAATTAATCTAGTCATAAATTTAACTGGTGTTGTATCAAGAACTGTAAAGAAATTATCCCAATATCCTACTTCAATTTTTCTTAAACAATTAATATATACTGAAGCAGGATCTTTAGTTAATTCAATTAATGTAATTAATTTCTTTAATGTATTTTTAGTCTCTTCATCTCTCGTTAAATATTTAAATAATAATAATTCAAGACAATAACTATAATTTTTAAACAGTTGAAATTTTTTAAATGATTGAATTAATTCATTTTTATCATTCAGTTTATGAATTAAATCATATTCCATAAAATTATTAAGAACTAATTTATGAGATACTTTACTTTTCATAATTAACATACCACTTGATATTTTATTTATAACAGCATGTTCAAGACCAATTAAATCAATAGATTTTAATGAAGAAAAATCATCACTAATTATACTATCAAGTATTAATGGTTGATAATTATCTATATCAATTCTAATTGGATCAGGTTCAGTATGATGATTTTCATGATGAATATCTTCAATTCCTTCACCATTATCATTTAAAACTAATTCATTTTCTTTATCATAAGAATTTGAAATTAAATCATTAATTTCATAAACTAATAATGAATCACCATTAAATAAATAAATATAATTAACTTGTTTATCATTATCAAATTTAATTGATTTAAATTTAAAGAATTCAATTCCAGTACCAATTCTAATTAAATCATACATATTACTTGGTTTAACTGCATCTACAGGATTAGCAAATGAACCAGTTGTTGATTGATTCTTTAAAAGATAAATATCTCCTGAACCTAATAAAAATATAAAATGTCTTTTATCAATCATACTTGTTTTAATAATATCTTTAATTGCAAATCGATGTTTAATTGAAGATAAATGAATAGTTTTATTAACTCCAATAAATATTTTATAACTCCTTTGAGTAGTAGGATTTTGTAAATTTGATGATGAAGTTGTTTTAGCAATAGTTCTACTATTATTTAATTCAATTATTATTAAACGATAATCATCAGTTATAAGTACAAGATGAGTTACTTTGTCATTAAATTTAACTGGTTGAATATCAATTAAAGTAGTTTTAAAATCATATTTCCAAAGCATTAAATCATTATCAAATTTTATATCTCCACCTCCTGCACCATATTTAGTTACACTTGTATCAAAAATAATAATTTCATCAACTAAATGCTTATCATCATTAGTTTGAGCATTCAGATCTTCTTCTGTGTCATATTCTTGACCTTGTTTTCTATTAACAATAATTAAATAATCATTATACCAAAATTGATGAACTATATTTAAACTATCCAAATAATAATTTCTAAAATTAAACCATAAAACATGATTAATATCATTTCCATCAGTTGTTAAAGGAGTTGAAAGTGCTAAATGTTCACCATATGATAAAGCAATTTGATTACTTTCATTTCTACTCATATTAAATATTCCATTAACACTTTTTAAAGATTTATTTGAATTACCATTATAATTTTCTAATCTTGAAAGAATTCTTTTAAATTTTGGTAATAAAGGAAATTTAACTAAACTTCGATTATTTTGAATTATACTAATATATTCATTATCATAAAAACATGCATTATCATTAACTTTTAATAAATTAACATAATATAAAGTCTTTTTATCTTCACTTAATATATTTAATCCATTTGAATTTGGAGTAATAATTATATCTGATGCTCTTAAAAAATCTCGATTATGTTCATAATTTTCATCTAATTCTTTTAATAATTCATTAGTATTAAATGATATACTACCAAATTTTGTAAATAAAGTCCATTTAGATGATTGTTTATCTAAAATAATAAAAAAATTTCCACATGATGACCAAATTAATTTAGTATTATGACTTATATTTACATCAATATGTTTAACAAATTCAAAAGTATCATGATTAACTTTATAAAGTTTAACTTCAATTCCTAATTGTAATAAAAGTAAATTCAGTTGAGGATTAAATGCAAATTTAAATGTTGATTGTCTTAAATCTTCTCCAGGAAATGTTGTTAATAAATGTCCCTTTGGTATAACATGATCATCATGAACATCAAATTTAAAATACCATAATTGTCCCTTAGCATTTAAAAATATAAAATAATTTTTAAATACATTATAATTTATATAAATAATTTTAGAATCTTCTCCACTTTCATACCATGAATAATCAGCTAAATGAAATACTTCATTTTTAAAACTTTGCATATTAACTATTTGAAAACAATTTTCTTCAGGAATTGAAGGTGAAATTGATTCTGATTCTTCAATAATACTATTATTTCTTTCATTCTTATTATTAAATACTATTAAATTATGAGAATTTTGTTTTAACCAATATCTATTTAATCCAATTCCAATTTTAAGAATTTTAAAAATAGATAATTTAGCATTTTCAATTTGAAAATTTCCTAATTCATCTTCAATAGCTCCATTATTAAAATGTTCAATATTTTCTAAATTAATTGAAATATCTTGATTACCTTGAATAATTGATCTTGTTGCACTCTTAACAAATTTTGTAAATGTAAATTTTTGTGAAGTAACACTTAATGGTAATCCAGTTTGAATTACTTCATCATTTTTACTATTACTAACTTCAAATAATGATGTAGTATAGTTAATTGAACAATGATATAATATAAGATAATTTTGATTAGTTTGAACAAAAAAATTAACAGAATTTAATTTTTGTAATAAAGCAGTATTAACTGATACATGTTTAGTTTTAATATTAACATTATGACCATGTTGATTAATTGAATCTTGATTTCGAATATGACTAACTAATGGTAATAATGTATATTGATCATAAACGTATACTCCAATCGAAGTTAATATTACTAATAAAGGAGTATGAGGTACATGTATAATTTTAATAATTTCTTCTTTGAAAACTAACGGTACAAGTCCTTGAGGACATGAATTTATCCATACCATTTCTCCGAAATTTACTGCCGTATACAATTGATGTTGTGGGGGTTATAGTGAAATATTGAAATCAATTTAAAGTTGTTGATAGCACTTGATTTTCTCCTGATTAGAGTCCTGCATATTGAGGCTACGTTAATGATTATCGATTGTATATTGGCTGCAACTATATATATTAGCAACTGTATATATTATCATTAGTTAAGATATAAATTTATTTATTTAAATAGTAATTTACCTCATGGTTTATCAGTAATTTAAGTATATTAGAGTGCAAATACTTATGATCTTAAAATTATCAAATGTTAACTTTATGTATATAATTAAGCTAAAAATTAGAGCGAAATTAAGGTAAAATCATGACAAAATATTGAGAGTGCATTAACAATATATTACAATACCGAGACTTAGTTTGATTAGATAATGATTTCTTTATAAGATAACTCAATATGGAAGAACTAAACTGAAACAAAAAACAATCAACAGCTAGCCTGATCATAAATACTGTTCGCAAGAGCACATCGATACAACATATATTGTTTCAATTGAATTTATTTCTTTATCATTGTATTATAACATTCATAGAGAAGTAAACAACAAGAGCTGTAGATCGTGAGAGATTCTGAGAATAAGAGACATTGCCACATTGAAACTCTAACCCTGTAAGATGTATGGTTTTTAGATGTTGAAAATAAGTAACCATCTTTATTTTTTGTGATCTTCAACCTCACCATCCAGCTCAAAGTAAACTCCAAAAATATGATCATTTATATTGACAAATTCATTGTTTTGGTCGAATTGGAATATTAAAACGCTTGTTAATAGAATCAGAATCAAAAAATAGCAAAAAAAAGGGGAGAGCAGGGAATTGAACCCTGGGCCTCTCGCATGTTTGTTTCAATTGAATGAATTCAATTTACCCAAAGCGAGAATCATACCACTAGACCACACTCCCTGTGCAGGATTCGAACCGTTGCACACTATAATTAAATAGTGCGAAACCTGAACGACTTGGCCACAAATGCCAATTCACATTTAGAAAACTCGCCCATTCTCTGAAGAGATCTACATTCACGTGATCAGTCACGTGACAAATAAAAATCTTAGTTTTATTGCTTATACAATCATATATTGAGGTTTCAGAATAATCAGGCAGTTTTGTTTCCACGATTAGACTTAGGGATAGTCAATAGCGTTCCTTTTACAATTAATATGGTGAAATTATGACCATTTCTATTCATTTTTGAATTTGAAATTGGAAAAAAAATTGCTGCCAAATTTTTGCACTTAAATTTTTCTTTCAAATTTCTTATGGGTATGATAAATCATAAGCATTTAACATATATACAGGTTATCTCCTAGAGAAATATTGGTATATAGGCAAAATTATCTGACTGTCACAAATGAAAATTGCCAGAAGTATCACTCATTTTGCCTAGAGTAGTTTTTGACTTTGATCTTCACTTTTAATAAATAAAATATGTTCTAATATGACTTGCTTAATGTGGTAATGCTTTTTATTCCTAACACCTCTCACCATCTACAATCGTTAATCCAAAAATTTGATGAAGCCAAGATATCCTAAACAAAAAAAGAAATAGCTTTCGGAGAGAAAAAGCATAAGGATACACATACTTGATAATAATATATCAAGCTTGATGATGAATCTATTAAACCAAGGGCTATACTAAGACGTAATAATATTCTTTCAAAAAAAGACGAATTTATTTCAGAAATAGTTACATAATTAACAATGAAGAGCTTAATTTTGATAGTGGGACTTCCAATATAGAAAATATTGATGTAAAATACGTATCCACAACCAATTCTAGGTGTAATTAAACACTTTAGTACTCTTATACCTGTTTAATGACATTTTGGAGACTGAATTGCACAAGTTTCTCAACTCGTATGATGAAATTTCATGCGACAGAATTTTTTGCACAAACTAATTAAGCCCTTATTCAAAACAAAAGCTTGCCAATTAGAGCAAGTGCTTCTAGAATTAGGTTAATTAACTTTGTTCAATTAAGACAATAATGGGAAAGATTCATGATTCAATTCGGTTACTCGTGCTTAATTTTTTTTCGCAACCAACGCAAATAAAGTCATATAAACCCCAAATATTGGAATAGTATCATTATCAAGTCTCTAACTATCTACAATATTCGGTTTAGGTCATAATTAAATATGCAAGTCGACCAAAGTTGTAACCTATCTCTTTTTTAAAATTTTTGATAACGAAGATATCTAAACTTCTACATGCAGATTATTCCTCATGACTTTCCCGTATATTTAATTACTTCTTAGATAATTTTGTTAGAGAAGATATAAATGTCTTAGTTGACTCGGTTCTGCTACAAACAACATTTATGAATTCTGCATCGCTCATTAAGATTTCCATGGTTGTTAACGAAGTAATATTCCGAATTAATCTGAATTCGACTCTTTATGCTAGAGGACATGACCTTAAAGCTTGTTTGGAGCTCATCAGCTTTCATATATTATCTTCTGTAAGAGTTTATAGCTTATAAATGTAAGTCCGCACTTCGGAGTATAGATACTCGCAACAAAGAATAGGTATATAACTAAATGATGATGTTTATATTAACAAATAGTATGTATATATATAATAAATTTATGATAGATTATAAAGTACATATGATTTTATGGAGAAAGGTAATGATAAATATTATTATGGTGATTGAAGAAAAGGAAAATCAATTAACATATTGACATTAAATGTGTATTGACCTTAATATTCATCATCAGTAATAATAAATATAATAATGATTTGATTGGAAAGTAGTTGAAGAAATTTTGATGATGAGTAAATTCCTTAACGGTAAGATTTTTGGAATCTGGCTCTGGCACCACGACCACCGAATTTCTTTGGTTCACTTCTTCTGGAGTCAGCAACTAATAAGGTCTTGTCGTATTTGGTGAAAACTTTCTTTAATTCGTTCTTGGAAGCTTCATCAACGTATTTTTGGTGATAAGCAATTAAACCTTTAGCAATAGCTTGTCTAATGGCATAAACTTGAGAAACGTGACCACCACCGGTAACTTTAACTCTGATGTCAATACCTTGGAATTTATCTAAACCAACAATGGTTAATGGTTCGTAAACCTTGAATCTTAAGATTTCTGGTTGAACTAAAGTGATTGGAGAACCGTTAATTTTGATTAAACCTTTACCGGCCTTAACGTGGGCAACGGCAGTAGCGGTCTTCTTTTTACCAAAAGTCTAGAAAAGAAAAGTTAGTAAGTTGTCATTTAATAATGGATAAAGTAAGGCAAAAAATGAGATTATATCTATGATAATAGAAATGATTTATTAGATTTATTGATAAATTTAAGAATGAAGATATTAGATGGTATTTTTGAATTCTTAATGTTGGTCTGATAGGTTGTAGATATGGTTGTAGTTGAATGTTGGATATAATTAACATAGTTCATATAAACGAACACTGGATTCAATATATTGATTCGATGGATCATCACATCTTATTATGTTAAAGACATATATGATTCTGTTGTAGTAGACTACTAAAAGTTATTATTCATTGATTTATTATTCATTCATTTGTTCATTAGTTCGTTCTTGATTTCCTATTGATGACATTTACTCTATATCCATTAGGCTCTAATAAATTCAAGTTTCCTTTACAACACCACATAACTGACTGATAAATCTCACTTCAATGCCTTAGATATTCTATATTACATACTTGAACAGATTGGGTAGACATGGTGATATGCTTTGGTATAAACTATTCAATGATACTAAACTATTAAATTTTGAATATATTAAAAATTTTTTTAACGCAAGCTATTTTTTTTTCACTGGCTAATTTTGGTTCAGTTAGTGAAATTTTGTTAGTACGAGTTCTGTATAGTTAACAATTTTGTTAGGACGTAATTAAGTTAGTAGTGTGCGGTAATCAAAGAATCTTGTTTTGTATAGTGCGAAGAATACAAAGGTGAGGGTGGGCTAAGAGACATTATATTGGAGACATCAATACACTAAGTAAAGATGGCGTATGCGACATTATATATATAGTCACAGTGCTCAAAAATACGGTCACATCCCTATATTTACTTACATAAATCACGTGAGCAATGTGACGGTGTCGCGCGCTCCTGCAGAATCCTCATTTCGATAATTTACTAGCCTAAGCTTTTCGCACTCACTTAATTATATTAGATGATTTGCACCCGGACCGCAATATTTAATTACGCCATAGTTAAAATCACCGCTAAATTTGTATGGAAAATTTTTTGACTGTGCGCAAGGGCAGCGAAACAAGCAAAGGCCAGTTTAATAAAAATTGGAAAAAAAAATTCTTTCAAATTTCTTCATCTTACAAGACTTAATAGTAACCAACCTTTAAATCAACAATGGCTATCTCTAAGAACTTACCATTATTAAAGAACCACTTCAGAAAGCACTGGCAAGAAAGAGTCAAGGTTCACTTTGACCAAGCCGGTAAGAAGGCTTCTAGAAGACAAGCTAGATTAGCCAAGGCTGCCAAATTTGCTCCAAAGCCAATCGATACTTTAAGACCAGTTGTTAGAGCCCCAACTGTTAAATACAACAGAAAGGTTAGATCTGGTAGAGGTTTCACTTTAGCCGAATTAAAGGCTGTTGGTTTAACTGCCAAATACGCCAGAACTATTGGTATTTCTGTTGACCACAGAAGACAAAACAAGGCTCAAGAAACTTTCGATGCCAATGTTGCCAGATTACAAGAATACAAATCTAAGATTGTCATCATTGACAACAAGAACAAGTCTGAATCTTTCGAACAAGTTTCTACTGCTGCTACCTTCCCAGTTGTCCAACCAACTCCAGAATCTGCTCCAAGAGCTGTTGAAGTTCCAGAACAATCTGCTTTCAGAACTTTAAGATTAGCTAGATCTGACAAGAAATACAAGGGTATTAGAGAAAAGAGAGCTAAGGATAAGGCTGAAGCTGAAGCTGAAAAGAAGAAATAAGCGAATTAATTAATTAAACATCACACATCATATCATTTACCACCAATCCCATCATTATAATATCATATCATTATAAACGTTTTAATTACTTTTTTTATATTTCCAACCTATTTCATACTTCCAAATGTATTTATCATAAATCCATATACACTTAATTTCTTGGGGGGTTATTGTCTAAGAAATTTGTCCAATATCTATCCATATATAATGATCTTCGAACTAGGGTTAACTAATTTCTTTATCATTATTGCCAGATTTTTTTAAAGTTTTTTTTAAAAAGATAATCATCTATATGTATATATTGAATTATGTATATATGTATAACACCAATAAAAAACTATTATTCTCGTGAAATAATTTATTAGTATCATTTCGTATTGACTTGTAGAAATCATTAATTGCGAATAATTTAATTAACAGTTCGGAAACTTACAAACTTATGAATTTACAGAACTTAAACAACTTACAAAACTTACAAACTTACAAGTATTATTTCAATAGATTTTGATATTTTTTGTTGTTTATTCAATTTTAAAGCCAATATAAAAAGATAAATATTATAATATATTTATATAAATAACCTAATAATCCTTAATAAAGCCCATATGGAAGTATTAGTTAATTAGTTAATTAATGATGTAAAGAAAAAACGAATTGAAAAGTAATCATCTATACTTCCCAAACAAAGGAATTACTTAGATTTCAATTTTATCAGTTTAATCTCTTCTTCATAGACAAATTAATTATTTATTAAACCATGTGAAATTTATTTCTAATAAAACATAACATAACTAGAATCATGAATGATTTAAAATTTAAGAATGAATGATGATAGTAATATTAATATTAATAAATTTAACACTCTTTAGTTAATGCATTTAATCGAATAAACCGAAACCCATATCATCATCGGATTCTTCCTTAGCTTCTTCAACAACTTCTTCTTCAGCAGCTTCAGCAGAACCAGCGGCAGCACCACCAGCAGCAGCACCAGTAGCAACACCAGCAGCTGGAGCAGCAGAAATGTTGAAGAATAAGTCCTTTAAGTTTTGACCTTCAAGAGCCTTGGCGAAAATGTCAGCCCAGATACCTTCAACTTCAACATTGGCCTTTTGGACTAAGGTCAATAATTTTTCAGAAGTGACTTCAACTTCGGAGTCAGCTAAGATTAAAGCAGCGTAGGATAAAGCAGTTTCAACAGACATTATGTAATTCTTCTAACTAGAGATAATCGATTTAAGCTGTGGCAGACTATTCTTAGTTTGGTTAGAGAGTTTTCAAGAAAGAGTCAGACTAACCTATAGATTTCGTGATACTCATTTTTCACTCAGTAACGAGAAAACTTTTTTGTGCGATAGGTCGTGCGCGGCAATATATAGGGTTGTAGCCCTAAGCTTTACTTACCATCTATCACCAATAAGAAAAGATCATTCAAATAGATAGTAAGAAGGCATTTGAATTAATGATCAAATTGGCTGGGTAATTTAGATTGAATATGTTCCTTGAATAGAACAGCAATAATTTAATCATTGAGGTAATTTCTCTTCTGACAAAACTTTGCCTTAAGACTAATCGCAATGCAACTCTGTATCTCAATTATTAATTTAGCTGCGAAAAACAACTGAGCCGATATGATGATAAGATATAAATTAAGTATAAACAAAAGTAATAGTATATAAATATATATACGTACAGAGTCAATTAATAATTAAATGTCTAACGAAATGAATGAGTAAACTAGTATTATTTATGAACAGAAGGTTATATTATTTAAAGGCCATCACGTAATTGAAGGAATTCAAGATACCAATCTTTGGTCCATAATCTAATTCTCTTACCGTAGTAAATCATTGGTGCAGCACCAATCATGATCAAGAATTGAATAACAGCTAAAATAATGAATGTGTGAGTATTACCCATAGCAGCTAACCAAGGAGAACATGCGAAAGTGAAAATACAACCAATCATATTATTGATTACAGAAACACCACACATCATTTCAATAACCATTTCTGGATAGGAGTCCATTAAATAAGACATGGCGACATCACCAGAGCAACCAAAACCAAAACCAATAAACCCTAAACCAACATAAGTTGGTGGCCAATGCCAATCCTGATCAGTACCAACAGCAAAAAGAACAAGACCAACTGGAGCAATGAATGCAGGAACAAACAAGAACCAAAGACGGAATTCAGCTTCTTGAATACCTCCATTACGTTTTGCCATCCAGATGGAAAAGTAATCGGACAACTTACCTGCAAAGAAACAACCAATAACAGAACCAATCAAAGTAGGGATATTCATTAAAGCAACACCTACATTACCATAATTGTATGGTGGATCATAGTAAACATCATCTTCTACTGTCAAATAGAAAGTCAAGAGAGCACTTTGAATACCCCAAACAAAACCGGAATAAATAACAGGTGGATATAAGAAAACTTTAAACAATAATCTCAATTGTAAAAGATATTGCTTAATACCCCATCCTTTCAAGTTTTTAGCAGGAGTTATTAATTGAATTGATCTCCAGTAAGATTTTGGAGGATCATTGGCACCATAAGTGACCTTTTGAGACAAAGCTAATTCTTGTTCTTTCTTTTGGTCTTCGAATGAGATGTCTTCTTCATTCGTTAATTCTTTCGAATCAATATCCTTTTTACCATCAGTAATAGAAGCGGTTTTGATCGCAGTTCCAGCTGGAACAGCGGCTTCAGCGATTGTAGGAGCAAAACCATGAATAACACCTCTGAATGCACTTCTATCAAAGACAGTTTCTTCTAAACCGAAAGCGATAACAATTAATAAACCAGCGGAGATGAAAACTGCAATCCAACCAACAAATCTAAAACCAGCGTATTGGACAATAAATCCAGCAATTAATGGTCCCAAAAATGTACCCACAGAGGTAGCCAAAATATATACAGTTAAAACAGAACCTAATTGATGTTGAAAATATAAATCACTCAAACTTAATTGAACTTGAGCTTCAGCACAAGATTCAGAAATACCAACAAATAATTGAGACCAGATTGTATCTGATGTACGACGAGCCAATGCAAACCAAAGAGCACCTAATAAACCCAAGAAAATACAGATGTAATAAGTAAATTTACGACCATAAAGAGAAGCTGAAGGTGCTAAGAAAAAAGTACCCCAACCAATACCAATAAAAAGTACACCAGCACCAGTATTCATGGCATCATAAGAAATTCCATAAATTTCATTGAAAGAGTCTTGAACTGCACCAGCATCATTTGAAGTTGCTGCGGTAAAACCAGTTATAAATGCAACAATGGCAAAACATATTGCTTTTCTATAAGAAGACCAATTTAAAGGATCATTTGGAGAATCAGAGGGTTGAGGAATAAGAATAATATTACCTTGAGTCTTTATACGATGGAAATTAGGATCTTTTTCATGAGAGAGTTCTTCATCATCTTGATTTATTTCAAATGAATAAATGTTAAGGGTACCCGGGATGAAATTATCATTGTGTCTGTTGTTTAATTCAACTGGATCATTTGAAGTTATAGTCTCAATAGGATGCAGCATTGTAATTGTTATTTAATAAGTTATAGTAATTATAATAGTACAAAATGAATTAATGATTAAATGACTCTAGAACATGCTATGTCTAAAACTAATATTCATAAATATTATATGATATTATAATTCGACAGTATTTGTTTGACAGCTTTGAAATTTACCTTAATAAAGCCAATATATTCTTAAGAGAAAAAATATTTGACAGGATGTAAAAATATTTGACAGGATGTGATCGATCTTGTGAAGTCAAGAAAAAAACTTTAATCGGTAAATACGAACGATTAACGATTTAACAAAAGTTGACTTAAACTGATTGGAATATATATATATATATATAAATATCCTTTCAAAGGTATAAGATGATGATGTAGAGAGCAATAAATTTTCAAAATTTTCAAAAGAAATTTGCAATATCATCAAATCATTTTAAATTAAATCCAATACATTATATATTATACTATTGCTGATAACCCCAATTTGGATGTAATGCCATGCCAATTATTGAGCCTCTCAAAAGATAAGAACCAAAAGGGAAAAAAAAGAAATTCACCAAAAGTAATAAATTAGCCGCCGTTTAATCGAATCACCAACAGACTGTATATAGCCGCCAACACTTAAACTTTCAATGAAATGCCATAGCCCATTACTCAAAATAGAAATTGGAACGCATATTTATATCAGTTAAGACAATCTGTAACTTATTTCTACGATTAAAACGTCAAAGATTCATTTTATGGGGTTTATTACAGATTAGATATTATGAATCTGCCAAAATGATTTCGCACAGTAGTGATCTAGCCGAAGTCAATTTTTCTGATTAATAGGAGTATGAGAGCCGTACGCTAATATTGTAGACACCGTGAATGTATATTACTATACGCATTGTTTTTGTTTTAACCGACTCCTCGAAATACTCCAACTACGAATGGAAAGTTTCAAAGCGTTAACGGGTTCCGAGTACCTAACTAATTTAACCGCTTTTTTATATTCCTAGTCATGACATATTCTACTCCACATTTTGAGTTTACTACAAGTATCATTTTGAAATTTGATAGTTAAATAAAATTACAATAATGGAGTTAATGGATCCTACTTTATAATGTTATTATTTGATAGATTAGAGTTCTTCACTCATAGATCAGCAGAAAATTAAGATTATTTCTGACCGGTGCAGGAGTTCATTAACTGCGAAAAATATAGGTTCTTCTTAACTTTAATATTTAAAGTTTGTAATTTTAAATAATACGAAACACTGTCTCAAATAGTCTCAACTATAAAAGAAAGCATATACCTAACAAAATTACGTTGAACACAAGTAGGAGTCAAAAGAAGGATGAATAGTACCATACAAAACCGACTTTACTAATTGAGTCATCCTCTTGTTGACTTCACTTTCAGACTTTACTTTACTTTTCTTGACTTTACATTAGTTAACGTGAAAGGTCCACGTTCAACATGATACTTTGTATACAAGTTTAATCATATAATACATATAATTCTGAATCTACTAGTATTAAATTTGGAACCCAAAAAATCACGCGTTTGTTTAAGTCGGACCCTGTAATCCACCCAGATTTAACAGATAAAGTTAGGAACAATATTATTCTTAAACTGAATTTGCCATTTTCCAAACTACAGAAGGAAGCTGACGAATAAAAGCTTAATTTTATATTTTGTTTTATTCTTATTGGGATTGGCGCTGCATATTAATTCATTACACTAGTTCTATATACTATTTGTCTTTTTTTTTGTTGCCTGCCGATCATCCCTTTGGGACGTTTTTGTGGTTGAAATTTTATCCCAATCGATCTCAATACCTTCCCGGTTTGGGTTCTTTCGCTGGGCTGCGCTGGTCCATTCTGCTGCATACTTTACAGCTCCCTCCCCACTCTAAGTAAATTTTGTGTCGAATTATTCCATCGGTGATATAAACTGATTAGCTATTTCCAATAGTTGCTCTACTAGTTTATAGTGAATGTTGCAGTGAAATACCCGTATATTCCAGTATTAATTGTAGTAAGTAATGTTCAAGGAATAAGTATAACCTTTTCTTGACTACAACTGGCAATTATAACTTTAAGTTCTTTTTATTCATAAAAGTATGAAACGCAAAGAATTAAGTTCACTCGCAGTAAGTTCCAAATATCACAAAACTCGTTTCTGAGTTTTGATAAAATGGTTATTGGGAAGAGTAGTATAAAATATCATAAGTACAATAGAGGTCAACGATTAAATATATTCAGTCAATTGATTAAAATTCAACAATACGAATTTTAGTATTTTTGAAGTATTTTTAGTTCATACTATGAAGACATCCATCAAATAGTGAGCCATACCCCTGAATAATCCCATTGTCTCAAAACATATACCGAAATATTTATAAACAGCACAGTAAAAGTTATTTGACGTAGAATAAATAATTTACTAAAATTAATTAACTTTATTACACTACATATAATATATACTCTTAAGTGGTTCAAATAAATTTAGAAACATATATATTTAGTAATGCAATTACGTACATATGTACATGCCGATATACGCAAATAATTTAAATCATAAGGTGATGGTTCTTTCGCTCGCGCTCGCTGTATTCTCTCCCTTACTCCCTGGATTTAGCTCCCTAGCTCCCTCCCTATTATAAGCTGTATAATAATAATTGCTTCTATATACATTTTGTGGTTCATTTTTATATATAAAACATGTGTATGTGTAAGATGTGGGATGTATATTTGTTATCACTGAGGTGTGGGTGTTCTCTAATACTTGGCTCATTTCTCTCCCCTGTCTCCCTTTGTCTGGAAAATTAAAAATAATAACGGGATGGGTGGATGGGTATAAATTAACTATGGCAATAAATTTAAATTTAACTATAACTCTTTTTCCTCTCTTTCTTCTCTTAATATCTTCATATACTTTTATCCTTGCTTAATTGAATTACTGATCAATTGCTAAGTATAGTAATTTTTCAATTGACTAAATAGATAAATACAATCAAGCAATATGGGTGACTATTTAACTCCATCGGAATTACCGCAACCTAAATTGAAAAGAACTAACACTGGGTTCACACCTAATCAAATTATTGCCTTAGATGCTTCAATTCCAGAATCAGCCAAACATATTTGGTATAAATACTCTCAATTGAAAGTTTTAGACTCTGGTAAACGTGGTACTCATGCTCCAGATTCCGCCGATGTATTGAACTCTAAAGATGCCTTTGAACAATCCTTTGTTAGACATGTTGAAACCACTTTAGCAAGAAATATGTATAATTGTGATAATTTAGCTGCTTATCAAGCTGCTTCAGAAACAATTAGAGATGGTTTATTAATTGATTGGGCTAATACTCAACAAAAGCAAACTGTTCAAGATGGTAAAAGAGTTTATTATTTATCATTAGAATTCCTTATGGGTAGAGCTATGGATAATGCTCTTATTAATTTAAAATCAAGAGATAATACTAAACAATCTTTAAGTGAATTAGGTTTTAATTTGGAAGATGTATTAGATCAAGAACCTGATGCCGCCTTGGGTAATGGTGGTTTAGGTAGATTGGCTGCTTGTTTTGTTGATTCTCTTTCTTCAAAGAATTATTCCGGTTGGGGTTATGGATTAAATTATCAATATGGTATTTTCAAGCAAATGATTATTGATGGATATCAAGTTGAAGTTCCTGATTATTGGTTAAAATATTCTAATCCTTGGGAAATTACTAGACATGAAATTCAAATTCCAGTTGATTTTTATGGTTATGTTTATGAAGACCATGATCCAAATTCTGGTGTAGCTAAAAAAGTTTGGAGTGGAGGTGAAAGAGTTCTTGCTGTTGCTGTTGATTTCCCAATTCCAGGTTATAATACTTCAAACACTAATAATTTAAGATTATGGAATGCTAAACCAACTGAAGAATTTGATTTTACTAAATTTAATGCTGGTGATTATCAACAATCTGTTAATTCTCAACAAAGAGCTGAAGCTATCACTTCTGTATTATATCCAAATGATAATTTCGAAGGAGGTAAAGAATTAAGATTAAAGCAACAATACTTTTGGGTTGCTGCTTCTTTACATGATATTGTTCGTAGATTTAAAAAGAATCACAAAAATAATTGGAATAAATTCCCAGATCAAGTTGCAATTCAATTAAATGATACTCATCCAACTTTGGCTATTGTTGAATTACAAAGAATTTTTGTTGATTTAGAAGGTCTTGAATGGAGTAAAGCTTGGTCTATTGTTACTAAGGTTTTCGCTTATACCAATCATACTGTTTTACCAGAAGCTTTAGAAAAATGGCCAGTTGATCTTTTAGGTAGATTATTACCTCGTCATTTAGAAATCATTTATGATATTAATTTCTTCTTTTTAAAGGATGTTGAAAAGAAATATCCTGGTGATAGAGATATTCTTGGTAAAGTTTCAATTATTGAAGAAAGTACTCCAAAACAAATTAGAATGGCTTCTTTAGCTATTGTTGGTTCTCATAAAGTTAATGGTGTTGCTGAATTACACTCTGAATTAATTAAAACAACCATCTTTAGAGATTTCGTTAAAGTCTTTGGTGAAGATAAATTCACCAATGTTACTAATGGTGTTACTCCAAGACGTTGGTTAAGACAAGCTAATCCTTTATTAGCTGAATTAATTGCAGAAAAATTAAATGATCCTCATTATGAATATTTAACTAATTTAGGATCTTTAAAGAATTTAGAAAAATTCATTAATGATGATGATTTCTTAAAGAAATGGGATTCAATCAAATTCCATAACAAGAGAAGATTAGCTGCTTTAGTTAAAGAAGAAGTTGGTGTTGAATTAGATCCAACTGTTTTATTTGATGTTCAAGTTAAGAGAATTCATGAATATAAAAGACAACAATTAAATATTTTTGCTGTTATTCATCGTTATTTACATATTAAACAATTATTAGCTCAAGGTATTTCAGTTGAAGAAATTAAATTGAAATATTATATTTCAAAAGCTTCAATTTTTGGTGGTAAAGCTGCTCCTGGTTATTATATGGCCAAAACTATTATTCATTTAATAAATAAAGTTGGTGAAGTTGTTAATAATGATCCTGAAATTGGTAACTTATTGAAGGTTGTTTTTATTCCTGATTATAATGTTTCTAGAGCTGAAATCATTATTCCAGCTTCTGATTTATCTAATCATATTTCAACTGCTGGTACTGAAGCTTCAGGTACTTCTAATATGAAGTTTGCTCTTAATGGTGGTTTAATTATTGGTACTGTTGATGGTGCTAATGTTGAAATCACTAGAGAAATTGGTGAAGAAAATATTTTCTTATTTGGTAATTTAGCTGAATCTGTTGAAGAATTAAGACACAAACATATCTATGAAGGTGTTCAAATTCCAGGAGCTTTGAATGATGTTTTTAATGCCATTGAATCTGGTCAATTTGGTCATCCAGATGAATACAGAGCTTTAGTTGATGGTATTAGACATCATGGTGATTATTATTTAGTTACCGATGATTTTGATTTATTCTTAGAAACTCATCAAAAATTAGAAAAAGTATTTGGTCATCATGGTGGTGATGCTAATGATAAAGATCATTTACATAAATGGGTTAAGAAATCTGTTCTTAGTGTTGCTAATATGGGTTTCTTTAGTAGTGATAGATGTATTGATGAATATGCCGAAAATATTTGGGATATTGAACCAACTAATCAATAATTGGATTTAAATTAAAATTAATAAACTATAATTTGATTTTTACACTTCTTTTCTAATTCTACTTTCTTTTACAATATTTCTTGTTAAGTTTGCTATTTCTTCAATTCTTCTATACATCTATATCGTATAATTTCTTATGAAAAATATATACATTTCATAATCTAAATAATATGAATATATAACTTTATATAAATTAATTATTTTATAATTAGGATAAATATCTCGTTATTGACTTTGCAGCAATTCATGTTACATAAATTTCCTATTGAGGCAGTGTAGACCGGGCCACCATGCAGGAGAAAAGATACAGGTCTTCGAAATACGGCACTCGGAAGAGAGATTTAAATTTAATATCAAATTTACTTTATATCTTATAAAAATTTTGATAATTAATATAGATTGTTACTAAAGGTATCAGGTTAAATTAGTGAGGGTTCATAACATAAGGTTGAAGTTGAGGTTATAAAAAACTTGTTAATAATTTTGTTAACTCCGATCAGTATATTCAGTTTGTCTCGGCAAGCTCCCCCACTCAATCGGCTCCTTTTTCGAACAATTACTTACCTTTAAATATATAACAAATTATAAATCATTTTAATTTATTGATTCAGATATATATCTCATTGGGAGCCTCAATTAAAGGAACGTATTGCATTTAATTATTTGCTGTATTTTCATTGTTATAGACATATCAAAAAGTTGATACATCACCAGACCCCCACGTCATCATTATCATTATCATTATATAGACCCGAATAATCCCCTAGCATGTATTCTATATTGTATAATTTTATCTTATTAATCCTGGTGGTGATACAAACATCCTTTGCATTACCACCTAAATTAGGTGCAACAAATGATCTTCAAAAACAATATTTAATCACTGATCTTCCAGGACTTCATAAAAATATTCCCACTGAAGAAGTCCCACTAATGTTTTCAGGTCAACTACAACTATATCCTGATAAAGAAACTCATTACTTCTTTTGGAAGTTTTCTGATTCTAATAAAATCCCTGAAAATAATAAAAGAACTATATTTTGGCTTAATGGTGGTCCTGGATGTTCTTCAATGGATGGTGCCCTCATGGAAGCAGGACCCTTTCGTATTAATAAAGATAAGCAAGTCACTTATAATAATGGTTCATGGCATAAAGCAGCAGATATAATCTTTGTAGATCAACCAGGTGGTACTGGATTTAGTTACACAGATAAATATGATCATGAATTATATGAAGTTACAGACCATTTCTTAAAATTCTTAGAGAAATATTTTGAAATTTTCCCAGAAGAATTATCTAACGAAATTTATTTTGCAGGTGAAAGTTATGCTGGTCAATATATTCCATACATAGCTGATGGTATTTTAAAATATAATAAATTAAATACAACGGAAACTCCATATAATTTAAAGGGTTTATTAATTGGTAATGGTTGGATTTCACCAAATGAACAAAGTTTATCATATTTGCCTTTTGCCGTTCAAGCAGGCATAATCAATAGCAATAATCCTCGTTGGCAACAAATTCTCGTACAACAAGAAAGGTGTCAAAAAATAGTAAATCAAATTGATAGCTATCAAGATGATGCTATTCATGCAGATGAAATTTCTTCTACTGATTGTGAAAGAATATTGACATATGTTTTACAATATACAAGAGATAATAATGCTCCAGAATATGAACAATGTTATAATATGTATGATTATACTTTGAAAGATTCTTATCCTTCTTGTGGAATGAATTGGCCACCTGATTTAGTAACGGTGACTCCATTTTTAAGAGAGGAAGAAGTTATGAATGACTTGAATTTAATTGAACATAAGCAATGGCAGGAATGTAATGGAAGAGTTGGTAGCAGTTTGAGTGCTAAAAATTCAATTCCTTCTGTTCATTTATTACCTGGAATATTAGAAGAAATTCCTGTTATATTATTTAATGGTAATTTGGATATTATTTGTAATTATTTTGGTACTGAAAACTTTATTAAAAAATTAACTTGGAATGGCCAAAAAGGTTTCTCTGAAGATTTAGATGCCATGAATTGGTTATATGGTAATGAAACTGCTGGTTATATTAAGTCAGAAAGAAATCTAACCTTTGTGAATGTGTTTAATGCATCACATATGGTACCTTTTGATAAGCCAGAAATATCAAGAGCTTTGATTGATTTAATTACTGGAAATTATGATGAATCAATAAAAGAAACAGATGGTACAAAATCATTAATTACATATCCTCTTGGAGTTAGACAAGCAAAAATTGCAGCCGTGGAAGACTCTTCATCTACTGGACCTGCTTCACAAACAACTGCTACAGGATCCGATACAGATGCAGCTTCGGACTCAGATTCAGATTCAGAGGAAGGTGAATCGGGGTCCACAGACAAGAGTGAATCAGGAAATGAAGAAACTTCTGAACCAGCTTCTAGTTCATCTAGCAGCCGTATAACCAGATTGATTCAATTATTAGTCATCATAGTATTGATCTGGGGCTTATATGTTCTTTATTCATCATACAAGTCAAGACCATCATCAATAATCAAAACTGGACCAACTTCTGGTAAGAAAAAGAATGTTCAATGGGCAGATCAATTGCGTAGATTCCAAGAAGACGATCAAGATGCTCAAAATCAGCAGCAGCAAGGTTTCTTTGTCAAAACATTTAATAGACTCACTGGTAGTGTTACCGATGGCCGCGGAAATTACGCGCCTACTTCTGCAAAAGTTTATGAAGATATTGAATTAGGTGAAGGAATAGCATTGAATGATAATGATCATACTATGGATGATTTCATTATTGACAGTGAAGAAGAGGAAGTAGGACAAGTAGAAAATGGAGAGAATATTGAAGTACCTGATGTTGAACCTCCAAAGATATCAGACAATGAAGTTAGACAATCTTCAGATTCTTCGTCATAGTACATATATATATATATCTATATCAGGTTAAATAATATATAAACAGCTATTATTCTTACATAAATGGGGCGGGGCTATAGTAGATTCGCTTATATAATACCTTCGGACTTAGAAAGGAATTTAATTAATCCCGCCATTCACAAGGAATTACTTTTTTTGTTCAAGTAGGCTAACAAATTGTCAAATATTAGTAAATAATAAAGTGAAAATATAGCCACACAATAATGCAACTCAAAATTACATACGCAATTTAGAAGTTGTCTCCAGAACGTTTTCATTTCAAGCCCTGATTTAGAAATTCTTAGATCTTTTATCTTTTATGAGTGTGCAGATACACCAATCAGTTGGGCAATTTTTTAGTATACAGCATAAAATGATGAAAACACAAGAAAATTACTGCAAACATATTATATCATTTGGAGAAGATAATTCTCGTTAAATATATCATAATTATGCAGAATTTGAAGAAATCACTAGAATTGTTGCAAAAAAATTCGAGACTAATTGGCTCAAGTACGATTAATAACTTCATCAATGATATAGCATCTAAAATCAACAACCATTTTGTTGGGTATGATTAACACGTATATAGATTGGGTCATTAACCACCATGTTTATTGTTATTGATCGGGTAGGAATGAATGACGGGTATGATGATTTTATAATCCTAAACAAAATCCGTATTTCCTCATTAACTCCGCAATTTTTTCCAAAAGAAGAAAGTGGCAAGTTGCAAAAAAGATTCGGACATATCCCACAGTACGTGGATAAAAGAATATAAAATGGACTGTGGATCATTAGTTTGGATGGATTTGTTTATATGTGTAGAACAAACGAATTAGAATTTACGTTAGAGAAAATGACACAAGAAACTGTTTTTATTACTGGTGCAACAGGTTATATTGCTAAACACATAATCTTTCAATTGTTAGAAAAAGGTTACAAGGTTGTCGGGCAAGTGAGACTGAACGAGAAAGGGGAAAACTTAGTTAAACAATTCAATAATTCCAATTTCCAATATGAAGTTGTTGAAATTTTAGAAAAGGATGGTGCTTTTGATGAGGTTTTGTCTAAGCATCCGGAAGTTACTGTTTTCTTACATACTGCTTCTCCTGCTATAGTTGTTACTAAAGACAATGAAAAGGACATTTTAATTCCAGCTGTGAAAGGAACTAAAAATGTCCTCCAATCAATTAAGAAATCGGCTCCTCAAATTAAGAAAGTTATTATTACTAGTTCTGTAGCTGCAACTATTTCTAATGCAGACTTAACTAACCCAAATTTTAGTGGTGGTGAAAACACTTGGAATCCTGAGACTTATGAAGAGGCTATCAAAGGTGATGGTGGCAATGCTTATAGGGCCTCCAAAGCCTTGGCAGAAAAGGCAGCCTGGGAATTTGTTGAAAAAGAAAAGCCAAATTTCAAATTGTCAACCATTTTGCCAAGCTATACATTTGGGCCACAAGTTTTTGAATCAGACATTGAAAACTTACATGGCACTGCGAAATTGCTTGCAGATTTGTTGTATTTGAAGAAAGACAGTCCGATCCAACCATTTTTTGGTGTCAGTGGTGATGTTCGTGACGTTGCTAAAGCTCACATTCTTGCTTTTGAAAAAGAAGAAGCTGAGGGTAAGCGTTTTGTCATTTCTGTAAACACTTTCAACTTTCAATGGGTAATTGATATCTTTAGAAAGAATTTTAAGGATTTGGCAGAAACTTTGCCCGTAGGAACTCCATTACCAGAGAATTTCTTTGCCCATGCATTAAAAGTGAATGATCAAAATGCAAGAAAGATATTGAACATCGACTATATCCCATTTGAAAAAACCGTAGTGGACCATATCAAGCAAATTATTGATCATAAGAATTAGAATTAGGTTACTTCCTAGTTATCACTTTCTTTTTAGTTGCGAACTTTAGTTTTATAGCGTTTGAAATTACTGCAAAATATATAAAAATAAAAGAGCCATTTAACCCTGAGGATTAACCAATGAATATGTTTCTCTCTTGGCTGAGCAGATTGATATATAATTAATTTAATTGGTGGATGTTGGATGTTGGATGTGTGGATAGGCTTTTAAATCCGATGTTGCTAAATTGAATCTTGCTGCTCAGATTCTTGCCAATGCTTTGAAGTTGAAAAAGGATGACCCTATTCCACAATTGGGAACATTTTCTGCAGACGTTCGTGATGTAGCCACAGCATATATATTAGCATTCGAAAAAGACGAAGCTGAAGGTAAAAGGTTATTAATATCTACTGCAAGATTTAATTTTCAATTAGTTCTTGATATAGTGAGGAAAAATTTCAAAGAAATAGCGGATTGATTACCATTAGGTAACCCTTTACCTCAAGATTATTTTTCTAAATATGCAATGCTTAATGATTCAAATGCAAGAAACATATTACAGATAGATTATATTCCGTTCGAGAAGACTGTGGTTGATGAAATCAAGCAGATTTTAAACTTTCAAAAGAAAATATAATGTCTTCACATAAAATAATAGATTGTATATAGAAATAGCGCTTTAGTTTAGTTGCAAAAAATATGGTTGTAGACATATATTAATGTTTTGCAAAAAGTGTGCATGACACATTTTGGGATAAGTCGGACAACAATGAGCTATGACACTAACCAATTAGCTTTGTTGATACACCGCTAATAACTAGTCAGCAGAGTAGCAAATAAATTAAGCTGCAAAGCTAAGCTAATTAGTAGGTGTTCGTGTCCGTACCAGAAACCAAAATTCATCAACCCATTTGAAAAAAATTACTGCATAGGCCATAGAATATATTGAGTATTAATAGAATTCAAGAGGAGTAACCTCATAATATCTAATAAAAATTGCTTGACTTACATACTACATATAATATACCATGTACAAACAAAGTATTAGGAGGTTAGCAACTGAAGTTAACATCCCAACTACTGTCAGTAAGACTCCATCATTCAATATCGCAAGCCCACCAAAATACACATTAGCATCTTTACGTTCATTTCCATCATTGGAACCTCATACCTTCATCCCATTACCTAATGATTTCTTAAATGCACCATCCAGAAGAGATTTCTTATGGAGTGCGGTAGTTTTTGAAGCTGATAGAGCCAGAGTGGGATCAGGAAATGCTCCAACTAGATCAGATAAACCATTTTCAAATAGAAAGTTACGTCCTCAAAAGGGTTCTGGTAGAGCTAGACTTGGTGATGCCAACTCTCCACATATGGATAATGGACTTAAGGCACATGGTATCAAGGCTCCTCATGACTGGTCAACTGAATTGCCAAGTAAGTTATATAGTAAAGCATTTCAAACTGCCTTTAGTGAACAATATAAGAATGGGAAGTTGTTTATTATTGGAAAAGATCAAACCAAAGAAACGGCTATTAATGAGAATGATACTGATATATTAGAGTTTGAATATGACTATCCAAGTGCAACAGAACAATTCGTAGAGGCTCATGAATTAGAGAAATTAAACTTGTTATTTATAACTAATGATCAAAGAACTAATTTATTAAATTCTACCGAAGCAATCGGTAAAAAAGCCAGTGTTATAATTAAAGAGGAAGTTGAAGTTAGAGACATTTTAAGAGCCAATCGTATCTATATTGAATTGCCTGCATTGCAATGGTTCATTGGTAGACATACGGTTGTATAAGCTGAAAATTGTATATAAGTTCATTTGAACTGAGCATGCATCTAAATAGCAACTAATTAATACATGTATATATTAAATCGAACTATTAATAGAATCCCTTTGGATCAAATCTATATAACGAAATGAATCTGTTTAGTTAATACTATTATTGCTGCCATATTGCACGTGCACCGAGATAGGGCTCCAGACCTTGTTGTTTGTACAGGATATTTTGTTTTGTATCGAATATATTGTGCGGCTCAATGAACAAAAGAACTAAGTATTTGTGTTAGGAAAGATGCTTAACTATGGGAGTGCGATCGTTAACTATGATACTCTCAAATTTTTGTTAGGGAGGGAAAAAAACTAAAAATTTTCTGTAGATAGAAATTTAATATTTGAAAAGTCTTTTTGAATAGGTAATTACGTTTAAGGAACACCATCAACAACAGTATCCAAGATGCCATTAGTCGTCCAAGAACAAGGTTCATTCCAACACATCTTACGGTATGTCTTAGAATCATAATCATATCCAATCAGAGAATCCTAAATAGATTGAAAAATATCAAGTCGAAGTTATCAACAAGATGAAAATTCTTAAATTAGGCTGACTTATGGAATAGTGCATGTTTACAAGAAACAAAGAGTCACTGGCAGTGTAATATCTGTTCATGTTAATCAGAAGCTTGAATTCGTGTCATTGCTTTCATTGTAAAAGTATTGTTCCGGAAGTCATAACAAACCTTCAATATAATCATATATTTCAGTTCATACCCATACAATATTAGACCACCATCATCATTTTATTATATTACTTAAAAAGAAAGATCAACCTTCATAATCATATATTTTATATCATGAGAATTATCAAAAATTACCTACTAATGAACTTGCGTTTCACAACTAATACTTTCAATCTTTAAGGATAACAAATCTGATTATCATTTCTTACTTGAATAACTTTACTAACTTTTAATCTTATAGTTTATTAAATACCAACATTGATGGTAGAATTAAAATCATGTACGCCTTAACCAAGATTAGAGGTGTCGGTAGAAGATACTCTAACTTGGTCTGTAAGAAGGCTGATGTTGAATTAACCAAGAGAGCTGGTGAATTAACTCAAGAAGAATTAGAAAGAATTGTTACCATTATGCAAAACCCAACTGACTATAAGATCCCAGCTTGGTTCTTAAACAGACAAAAGGATCACACTGATGGTAAGGATTACCACACCTTAGCTAACAACTTAGAATCTAAGTTAAGAGATGATTTAGAAAGATTAAAGAAAATCAGATCCCACAGAGGTATCAGACACTTCTGGGGTTTAAAGGTCAGAGGTCAACATACCAAGACTACTTCCCGTGGTCGTTAAATCTAAAATTATTTTTAAGTTGCTACATACTAATTTAATCCATTTTGTAAATTTTTAAGTATTTCTTATTGTAATTTAAAATAGTTTTATTCATTTCCTTATTTCAATGAAATAAAAAAAACCATCCCAATATACATTATATATATAATATATTATAATATGTTTGATCTGTAGATATGCTGGAATGGGCTAGATGGTTACTCTGAAAAATTTGCTATGTCGCACAGATTTACGACAAAAGAATTGTCTTTTTTTTATTCGTATGTGTCAATTGACTGCAGATTAGATTGACAGAATTAAATTGACAATTCCAACAATCATAAGAACATGTTGAAACTATATCTATCGTTCAAAACCTATTATAATTATCTGTAAAATTACTGTACTATGCTTATTTTATCAATATTCTACATATTGTATGAATTTTGAAAGACAATTTTTCCAAAAATAATTATTCCAGATACCATTCTAACGGAATACTAGTATACAAATGATTCGTAAGATACATTTCTCACTCATTTATTGAGTTACTTCTGATCACTTTACAACCATCGGTAAACTTTAAGCGAAATACATGCCCCTATCGCCTGTCCCCTTTCACCGTCTCGTCAACTCCAAAATATCCATTGTTAATAAATCAGATATTTTTCGCGAGGTCTCTAATTTATCCAAATTCGGTAATTTCTTATGAAAGGAGGTACCAAAATAGAGGCTGCGAAAAACTCAACAGAACAAAAAACCCTGCCAAGCACAAACACGAATCTAATGTCATGTACCTAATTAGGATAAGTATCGAAATTTAGATCTAGGAATTGGTTGGGTAGTCATAAGTATGACTGTTTTACTTGAGTATTGGTAAGAAGAATTAAATTATGCATTTTAGGAAATAAACCTTAAGAAGTAATAATAAATATAGGGGAATTAAATATGAACTAATATACATTTTAATTAGCTAATCTTAAAGATAACAAATTTTCAGCACACTGCTTATTTTCCTCTTTTGAAGAATCGGACTTTTCTGGAACTTTAACAGTATTTTGTTTATTTAACAGTTTTGAATTTAATTGACCCAAAGGTTTTCTGGTTTGTTGTGGTTGTTGATCAGAAACATTTAAAATATTATGAATACTTGATTTCTGTTGTAGTATAGTTACTGGAGTAGTATTAGTAGTTAGTGGTGTAGTATTAGTAGTTGATGAAGTAGTTGTAGGTGTAATTGTTGCAGTTGGAGAAGTTATAGAAGGAGTTAATTTAAAAGTCATTGTTGAAGAGGTTAATGAATTCAATTGTAATGGTTGTTTCTTTTTAGTTTCGTTTAAGACTAGCGTGGTTGGTGTGATTCTTTTACTCTGATGATTGTGAATTATCATTGAATCATCTATTGAGCTATTTGATTCATCAGCAGCCTCTGAATCATCAGCATCTTCACTAACTCTATTAGCGACATTGGGTATAGATTGTGCTCTCTGCTTAATCGGAGAAGAAACAGGTAATGGCACACGAGGACTATCAACATAAGAATGAGATTTAGTTATAACTGGTTTCGTTGGGGTCGATGAAATTAACGGAGGAAGTATTGAGGACGTAATATCAGGTGATGGTAATGGAAGAGTTGGAATAGATGAAACAGACAAACGAGTAGTTGGAACTGTAGTACCATCTACTGTTAATTGTTGTTGGTGTTGATGTTGGATATGAGGATGTTGATGAATTGGAATTGAAGGTAATTCCGTAACTTCTTTTTCTGTATTCAGTTGTTTTCTAATAGACTGTCTTCTATTTTGAAACCAAATTTGAACTGCCTTTTCAGTCATAGATACTCTTGCTGCAATTTCGAGCCTTCTAGCTTTATTTGGCGTGGTTCCTAAAGTGAATTCTTTATTTAAGATAGCCAATTCATTAGGAGAAGTTCTTCTTCTTTTTCTTCTTGCTAAAGGAGCATTGTCAATAGAAGGTTCTTGCAGTGGATATGTGGATGGCGAATGGGATATAAAAGCATAGGATTTAGTATCAATTGGTGTTGGTCCATTTGAAGAGAAGCTGCTAGATTTGGACGCAGGAGTTATAAATGCAGGAATTGGACTCGTTTTAGTAGTGGAAGAAGTTGGAGATCCCACATCTGATTCTGAAGCAGATATTTCAGCACTTGAAGAATTTCTTTTCAACAGAGATGTAGAATTTAATGTAGCAATAGATGCAGTAGGGATATAAGGCAAACTTTTATTACGAGTTATTGTGGATGGAGTTGGTAAAGTTGGTGGTAAATATGATGAATTATTAGTCGATTGAAAATATTTCGAAGATAATGGAGTTGAAGTGAAAGAATCAATTGAAGGTAATTTTGTTGTTAAATGAGGTGAAGTAGAACTTGTGCTTGATCTAGTATTTGATGATAATATTGAAGATAATGGAGGTAACGTTGCAGTCGAAGCTTTGGGATGACTAAATGGAGTTGGAGCTGATGGTATGCTTGACCTTTTAGGTGTTTGTAAGTACATCATTATAAGTTGTTAATTTATATATATATAATTAATAAATGAAAGATTAACAAATTGGTTATACTATGAATATTAGAATGCACAATTAGAGGAGATCCTTCCATTGAAGTACATATATATACTATGGTGATTAGTTGAGATATATCGCAAAGGGTTGAGATACACGCTTGTTTCAAAAGTAAATAAATAAAAAAAAAAAATAAACAATTAAGTTGATTAATTAATTACATGATATTGAAGAAACACAAACAGCATTCAAGATATTTCACGTCAACAAAAGAGTAATAAAGCACAAAGAAAAATAGAGAAAATAGAGAAAAACAAAACAAACCCCTACCAAAGACACATGAAAATTAACGTTGGCAGAAAGGAACAGGAGGCACAGGAAATAAAAGCAAAGGACAAAATCAAGGGAAAGTAAACACACAAAACACCAGACCTAAAACTAAAGCTGGAACTAAAATAATAACAATACAATCTCACTACAGATAATATCCAAACCTGGACAATGGTAATGGAAAACATTATCAAACCAGTTAGAGAAGATAAACTCATCATTATTATTTCTTTTATTGTCTTGTGAGCTAAGATTAAGTTGCCCAACCTAAAACATGCACTAAATCAGTTCATCGAGTTATTCATAGATCTATATTTCTCGTCAAGTTCACAAAGAATCAAAGTTAGTTGTATGTACTTGATTTGTTACTTTCATATACAAATTTAATTAAAGAAATTAAAAATTAATTTTAATTAGTTGCATAGTCATTACCGTATTAGGAAGTATAACTAGGTAAAAAAAGCGCATTTTGTGAAACTATTTACATTTCTGTTTCTTTTACAACTTCTGACTTTTCGTGAATAAACGCGAAATTTTTCCTCAATAGTTCAACTGGTTGTGAAATTGGGTAGCTACGTTACCTAATTGGGACATTTATAGAATGCATGGGGTTGATCGCATACACCTTTATTCGATCAATTATATCATCTGCATCAAGTTAAACTGGCGTCACTTGTCAACCGCAATCAAATCAAATTAGTCTCGTGTCAAATTGAGCAAATTTTACTGGGTCTATTCTAATTGGCTCAAGTAATAAATGTTACAATAGTTGAAGAAACAAATCATACATCTATTTACAATAAAATGTATGAGTAGAAAGGGCTTGAAATTCATCTGTAGTTTTTTTACCGTTGCTGCTAGTTTCTGCTCTAAAGTATGCTAATATTATCTAGAGTCGGCAAGTATTATCGCACTATCATTATTAAACCTTCTCTTAATGTTTCTCGTAGATTCGCTCATAAAATCTTGTGAAATTCCGATCTTATGTTCTACAATAGATTTCATATTTGGACATGTACAACTTAATTTAAGGAAACTTTTAAAATAATTTTGCCAAATTAGAAGAAAACCAAAATTCTCAAATAAATTTGAAAACCTATTAATAGAAAGGTTTTATAAATATTAAGTTCGAAATTAGAACCATAAAACATCACCATGTGCTAAATATGTCTAAACGCTTTTGATTTGTAAGTTGTACGGCTTGGTTCATTGCCTATTACTAGCCACAGCATAGAAGAAAAAGGGATCTAGAATGTACCTGATGATTAACACTATGCAGGATTAACACTTCACACATAGAGGCCGACATCGGCCACTAGTATACAAGTACTAAAGATGAGGAAGTAATGCAAGTACATTTAATTTGAGACATATTTAACTTCTGTCAGGATGCAAAAAAGTAAAACCACCACTTGTCTCGAAGAACCAAAGGTAACACTTGTATATTCTCATTTAAGACAAAAGCATATGATCATTTATTACTAAATATCTCGTTTTAGGTGAGGAGTAAATTAAAAAAGAAATATCAAATTTGTCGTAATCATAACTTATTTGCTTAATAATTCATTTTGGGCTCCATTGAAATTTCTACAAGATTGTTTTAGTAGGTCTATTATTATATTCCCCACTTATTTCGCAATTGCAGCTAAATTTCTGGAGATAAAAATTTCTTTTTAATTTACGAATAAAGAAGGTCGTGTACATCTTCCAAAAAATTAAAGAACAAACATCTTTAAATTTTGGTACTGCTCAAAGAGATGATGACCACACCAAAGGCAGACGTAAAGGAAGAATCCTAATACATTCATTTTGGTATCTTATTATTCAGTAATATAGTTGCTTTATTGCTAGTTATATTGGCTTTATATTATTATCTTTATTCGATTATAGATCTCCTATAAATTGTTTTTGGTTGACCAAGGTCTTACCAGCCATATCATTTATTAGTTAGATTAGTGGGGTGAAGCTCAGTTAATAGTCCGTTGGATAAATTATAAAGATGACTGAGCACATTGAAAAACTTTCTCTGTCAATATTAAATGATAATACGGTCAATACAACCAAAAGCAGATCCCTTTCGAAATTTAAATCTTTTCTTGCCTTTACTATTATAATCCTTACATTAATAGTATTATCATTCAGATATGTTCTAACATCTCCTTCAATTATTTTGAATCATGTATTTTTAAATCCAAACTCATCATTAAGTATAAATCAAATATTTTCTCCTGTACTCAATGATGTCATCTCAGTTGAATCTGTTCAATTATCTGAATCTCAAATTGAAGGTATTAAGAAATTAGGGTTAACTCCAAAGTCTCCAATTAAATTAATCACAAATGAGAAAGGTGAACAAATAATACATGGTAGATTTGTTCATATCACTGATTTCCACCCTGATCCTTATTATAAAGAAGGTTCTGCTCTTGATGAACAATGTCATAGTGGGAAAGGTAAAGCTGGAAAATATGGTGATGCTATTCTTGGTTGTGATAGTCCATTAATTTTAATGGAAGATACTATTAAATGGGTTGAAGATAATTTAAAGGATAAAGTTGATTTCATTGTATGGACTGGTGATAATGTTAGACATGATAATGATAGAAGATACCCTAGAACTGAATTAAACATTTTTGAAATGAATGAAGAAGTTAGTGATTTAATGTATGAAACTTTTAAACATGATAGTGATCCAAATTTGTTAGTTGATTTAATTCCTTCTCTTGGAAACAATGATGTCTACCCTCATAATTTATTTAGTCCAGGCCCAACTTTACAAACTAGAGAATTATTTAAGATTTGGAAGAATTTCATTCCTCAATCTCAATTACATATCTTCAATAGAGGAGCTTATTTCTTCCAAGAAGTTATTCCAAACCAATTGGCTATTTTATCAATTAATACACTTTATTTATTCCAATCTAATCCTTTGGTGGATAATTGTGATAAGAAGAAAGAACCAGGTTATAAATTATTTGAATGGTTAGGATATGTATTGAAAGAAATGAGAGCTAGAAATATGAAAGTTTGGTTGACCGGTCATGTACCTCCCAATGAAAAGAATTATGATATCTCTTGTTTGAGAAAATATATTGTATGGTCTTACGAATACAGAGATGTTATTATTGGTGGATTGTATGGTCATATGAATTTAGATCATTTCATTCCTTTGGATTCAGTTGCTGCTTATAAGTCTATTAAGAAGTCCTTGAGCAAGAAAAAGAAGAAGGCTAAATCAAAAGCAACAAGTAAGAACAAGAAGAAGGGTGCAAAGTCTAAAAACATTGATAGCGAGTTTTTTGATATCGATTTTGAATATGATTCTGAAGATTATGAATACGACACTGATTTTGAAGACCATTTCCTTCTTAGTGATAATGATTCTGATTCTGATTCTGATTGGGATTCTGACGACGATGATGATTATACAAAACCATTAGAGGAAACAAACATCTATCGTGTATTGGATGAGAATTTTGATGAAGATTTCTTTAGAATTCAAGGTGGTACACCTCTCAAAAAGGTGAAATATATGGAAACATTGAGAGAAGAGTTGTATGCTGGTGTTAAAGGTAAGAAAAAGAGTGGAGAATCAGCTGAACGTTATTCTCTTGCTTTTGTAAGTGCTAGTGTTGTTCCAACTTTCAATCCAGGTATAAGAGTATGGGAATATAATATTACAGGATTACAAGAAAGTTTGAAATCTAAGATTAAGTTTGAGCCATGGGATAAATTCTTTACTGGGTTAGATAACTTAATGGCGTCATTTGATAAATATGATAGTGAGCACATTGATGATGATGATGACAACTTTACTATCAACGCATCTGATGATGTTTACTCAATCTTAAAAAAGAAGAAGGATAAGACTTTCCCACCAAAGAAGCCAGATTCTCTTGGTTTGGGTCCTGGTTATGTTCCTCAAACTTTCACACCAGAAAGATATGTTCAATATTTTGCTGATTTAAACGCTATTAACAAGGGAAAGATTCCTTTTGGTTACGAGATAGAATATAGTACTGATGATAAATTATACAATATGGATGCTTTAACAACATCAGAATGGTTGAAATTTGCCAGAAAATTAGGTAAACCAATTAAAGATGAAAAGAAGAAGGACGAAGACAAGGACTCAAAGAAAAAGAAGAAGAAGAAGAAGAAGAGTAAGAGCAAAGCATTTGCTGATCAATTGAAAGAAGAAGAATTACAAATGATTTGGATGAACTATTTGAAGAATACTTTTGTTAGTTCTGATTATGAAAATAAAGGGTTTGGTTAAGCCAACCAGTTAAGCGATCTTTTCATTAATAAAAACATAGAAATTTTAATACATATTAACATATACACATATATATATATATACATTCTTTTAATATATTCATAAAGGTAAACTTGTGAAAGTATAATTGCAAGATCTTTGTAAATTTCACGTGCGCACTGATAGGGCTTCAGCCCTAGCACATATATTTTTTATAATTGAGTAAAGTTCGGTATTCGCACGCTAGCAAAAAAATTTCGGCCTAGTCTCACAGAGACACTGGTAGTCTCATGGTATTTTTCACCATTTCAATCAAGTCTTTTCAAAGGTCATTTTTGATTGAATCATCTAACTTTGGGACCATTAAATATTCCTATCGTCAAATAAATATAAGTCGAAATGGGTGGTACTCGTGAAAAGAAAGTCGAATATTTCGCTAAATTAAGAGAATTATTAGAAGAATACAAGTCTATCTTCGTTGTTGGTGTTGACAATGTTTCTTCTCAACAAATGCACGAAATCAGAAAAACCTTAAGAGGTGATGGTGTTGTTTTAATGGGTAAGAACACCATGGTCAGAAGAGCCATCAGAGGTTTCTTATCTGACTTACCAGAATTTGAAAAATTATTACCTTTCGTTAAAGGTAATGTTGGTTTCATTTTCACCAACTCTGATTTAAAGCAAATTAGAGAAGTTATTACTTCTAATGTTGTTGCTGCTCCAGCTAGAGCTGGTGCCGTTGCTCCAGAAGATGTCTGGGTCCCAGCCGGTAACACTGGTATGGAACCAGGTAAGACTTCTTTCTTCCAAGCTTTAGGTGTTCCAACCAAGATTGCCAGAGGTACTATTGAAATTGTTTCTGATGTTAAGGTCGTTGAAAAGGACGGTAAAGTCGGTCCATCTGAAGCTACCTTATTGAACATGTTAAACATTTCTCCATTCACCTACGGTATGACTGTCGTTCAAGTTTACGACAACGGTCAAGTCTTCCCATCTAACATCTTAGATATCTCTGATGATGAATTAGTCGGTCACTTTGTTTCCGCTATTAACGTCATTGCTTCTATCTCCTTAGCTGTTGGTTACCCAACCTTACCATCTGTTGGTCACTCCGTTGTTAACCACTATAAGAACGTTTTAGCTTTATCTATTGCTACTGACTACACCTTTGAAGGTTCAGAAGCTATCAAGGACAGATTAGCTAACCCAGATGCTTACGCTGCTGCTGCTCCAGCTGCCTCTGCTGGTGGTGCTGCTGCTTCCGAAGAAGCTGCCGAAGAAGCTGCTGAAGAAGAAGCCGAAGAATCTGACGATGACATGGGTTTCGGTTTATTCGATTAAACTGATTAAGGAATCTTTTATCATATAATTTAATATAGGTTTCATAACTACTTATGTATAATAAAAATTCTTTCTAATAACAGTATATTCAATGTAGAATCATAGCGTCCATTTTTGTCGCAACTTTTTAGTCAATATTTTTTTTTTTGCAGTAATTCAATTATGGTAAATACTTATAAATATCACTCTTAATGCCATCATCATTATATAATACGTCGGACAATTACATTGATATTCTTGATCAATGGAAATTTCAGATTATGATACCAACTTTTCAATATATGATAAACCTGATCCCACCCGAGCTGTTCGGCGTCTAAATTTTAGTAATAATCAGAAGTTAATATATAATCTAGCTAAAATAGACTGGATTTTGGATGATGGTCCATACAAATGCCCTTCAGATTGTTCTGCTAATGAACTTAGTCAAGTTTATTTGGAAATAACTGATCTTATTATTGATCTGGCTGAGTTGATAGAAGGGGACCAAGATTTCCAGTTATCACTTGTAAACTTTTTGAATAATGGCCGATTGGATAAGATCATAACAATCCTAGTCACAGAATCACTTTTTGAAAACTTCCTAAAAAACTACGAAGGTAATGATTGTCAACATGTATTAGTGGCTGCTAAGAAGCTTATCACATTCATTTATGAGATTTCTGCACCTTATCAATTAAATTTATTTATTAAGTGTAGTAGGACGCTTAATTTACTAGAAAATTTATACAGTTGTCTAAATATCCATTCTCCTAAAGATGATTGGGACATTGTAAAGCTCTTTAATGATTATTACGATTATCCGAGAAACAAGATAGATGATGATTGGGTAAATACATTGTTGAAAACAATCTTCGAAAATTGTAATCCACGTTTGGAAATATTCCAATTTCTAAACGATAAATATCAATTGTATACTAATAGTCTAGATCAATTTGTGATCCACATATGTTCACTCATTAAGAATTTTCAGAGACTAAATTTAATTTGCGAAGATTTGCAAAGTAATTTGATAGAATATAAAATCGTTTTGCAATCGTCAATACTTGAAATATTGGAAAGTCAACAAATTTCGGAAGTAGCCTATGATTCTCATTTCAATGACTTGATAATTACCTTTAATGAAATATTTGACGAAGATATTAGGTTTTCACAAATAGAACCAAGTAGGACTATTATCAAATATGATTCTATTGGTGAATATGCCCAAAGTAATTTCAGGTATCACGTAAAGAGAAGTAAAATGAAACCTGAATGTATTGATATTTATTACAAAACAGATTCAACACCAAATTATGATATAGAATCAGATGATAAGGTTAAAGATTTACCTGATTTTGAACAAAGCTTTAAGTACAAGAAAGTCGGATTCCGAAGTAAATTTAGAGAATTATTGGGTCTTCCTTACAAAGGTACTAGCAATGCAGACAAGAAAAATCATTGGGCTAATCCATTTAGAAGGCAGAAAGTTGCCGAATCTTAATGCTATATGTACATTATTGATGCTTATATACAAGTTATGGAGTTTTTAACTAAAACGAATGGTAAATAATTTTGAATAAACTTATGTATAGAAATAATTCACCTTTCTCTGACAAATTCTCTTGCTTCTTCGATCTTTTTCTTTGCTTCAGCAACAACAGGCTTCTTAATATGTTGAGTTAATTTAGTTGGACTTGGCCAGTCTTCTGGAAGTAAACCTGCTCTCTTGAACAAAAATGATACTCGGTCAGAAACATCGGCTCCAACACCTAGCCAGTACTTTGAACGATTAAAGTCCAATTCTATATGCTTGAATGGTTTGACATTTGCTGCCTTTTCTTCAGGAGTTAAAGGCACAGGAATTGGATTGTAGGTTCCTAAAACTTCTATAGGTAATGAATCACGAGCGGATTTTTTATTGGCCACTACTATATTATAAAGAGGTTGGTGTTTCCTTCCAAAACGGGCCAACCTTATTTTGATGGGACTCTTTATTCTAGGAACAAATGACATTATGAATTTCCTTACTGTATTGTAATTTTTGTATATACCTCTCAATGGTTAGACTTTTCAGAAGTAACTAAATTTTTTTTTGAAGATCTGGTTGAAAAATTACATTGCGCACGACTTTAGTTAATACTGAAATTTATTTATTTTATTGCTAATATACATATATAACGGATGCAAAAAATTAGTTTAAAGCTTCTTTCTAGCCTTAAACTTCTGTTTTGGTTTATTGACTCTAGAATTAGTCAAATTCTTACCCTTATTAGGGTTTTTAGTTCTATTTGAAGTTTCTGGTGTATCTTGTTCATCATCAGACCAATCATCTTCTGCATTTCTATTACCTCTCTTATATTTCAATTTATTTCTTTGACCTCTAATAGGTGCTTGTTTAACAGCTTCTAAATAAGCATCAAGGCCAGAACCCTTATTAGCCAATGGATCTTCATCATTATCATTATCATTGAAAACAAGTTTACCATTCTTAGTCTTAAATTGAGATTCTTTAACATCTTTCTTAGAAAATTTACTAGGTTTAGAAGAAGAAATATGAGCTAAAGTTTGACGATCTAACAAGTTTAATGGATCTTCACCCTTTTCTAAAATAAATTGAGCAGGTGCCTTCTTGTTAGATTTACGTTGATCTACTTCTTCATTATCATTATCATCATCTGAATCAGAATCATATAATGCTTCTTCATATGCAGAAACAAATTTCTTTTCACCAGATGTAGATTTACCATCTTCTTCAGTTTCTTCTTGTTGTTTTCTTTTAGCTCTATTTCTTGACTTTTTAATATTAGCCACCAATTTTCTATCTTGTTCAGGTATAGCATTTTCAACTTCTTCAATACCAAACTTTCTTATTAATCTTTCTAAAATATGTTTAACCTTTGATTTAAAATGTCCTTTATGTTCATGAGACCATTTCATTAATTTTTCCAATAATTCCTTTAAATTATTTTTAATTAATTCTTCTGGTAATGACAAAACTTCAACTTTAACGAAACCAATAGCTGATTTAGCAATTTCTCTTGAATTATGAGTTAAGAATAATTCAACAGTTGAACAAATTTCTAATAATACTTCAGTTGGTAATTTATCTTTAAATTCAAACATAAGACATGAAATAGCAGTAATAGTAGCAGAAATCATATGCGGAGCTTGAGCAGCCAAACCGGCACTTACCATAGTTAAATATTCTGTAATATTAGCTTCAGTATTTGGTGAATCTTCTGGGAATCCTGGAACTTTAGAATTTTCTACAACACCTCCTTTTAACATAGCATTACCCATTTTGATTAAGATAGTATATGATAATTCACGAGTTCTTTCATTGACATCCTTGGTAGAAATAATAATTTCTTGTAAAGTTGCTGGAATGAAGTAAAGATCAGTTTCAGGTAACAAATCTAAGATTTCCAGAATAGCATTTAATCTTGAAGCACGAGCAGAACTATGAGTCCCTTCAGTAGTTTCGATAAAGACTCTTTCAATTTCATTAATAAATCCTCTTATGGCTACTTTACCTTTTTCAGTTTCACATAATTTAGAAATAATTCTATAAGCTCTCTTTTGAGTTAATGCATCTTGTCCAGAAGTAACAGTTCCAGAAAATATAGTAAATAATGCATTATAAGATGTTTCAGGAACATACTTAGCCATAGCAACAATTAAATCCATCATAGTAACACTCAACTTTGGAGAATTATCATGTTTTGATTTCTCTTGACTAGCTTCTTGATCCAATGAAGTTTTAAACAAACCACAAACTTTATTAAATGTAATTTCTAAATCTTCATTAGACATAACTTGTAAATAACTATCGATTGTTTCTAAAACAAAACCTCTAGATTCTGGTAAGGTTGAAGAATAAACATTAAATAAAACAGATAATATGTTAGAAGCTTTTGTTGAAAGATATTCTAAATTCTTTACTGCTTGACTTATTGGGAATTCTTGAATAGTTAATAAATCATCTTCTAAAGCTCCTTCACGATAGGCAAGATTAGATTCTACCAATAATCTCAAAGCATGACAAATAGGAACTCTTAATTCAACTCTTGAATACATTAAATCAGATAAATGAGCAGCAAATGAATCATCAAATGCAACAATTAAATCCTTTGGTAAATCACAGAAATGAGGTAATAAACTCCAAATTTGGTCGACAATAGTTTGGAAGATTTTAACATTGACTGATTCTTTGTTACTACTAGCACTGATTTTACTTTCAAAAAATTCTATAATTGGTAAGATAGATTTCTTATAATAGTTTAAATCAGTAAATCTGACATTGTCTCTTAATAAAGGTAAAAGCCATGCTCTACCTTGCAGATTACCATTACTTAAATTTAATGGTAAAACTCCTAATACAACATCTGGTCCCATAGTACTTATTGAAGCAGCAATAACATTATCAGCTTCTGTATTATATGGGAATTGATCAGTTTCATTTGTTCTCCATTCACCCACAACACCAACTATTCCTAAGAAATCAGGATTACAACGAGTTCTTAATTTCAAAATAGTAGCACTAATGAATTCAAGAATATCTTTTGTAGCATATTGAAATTTAATTGAAAGTAATTCCTTTTCAATATATTCTGCTAAATAAGTGATTGTATCATCCATTAATTCATATATTTCTTCAGTAACTTCTTCCACAGTACCTGGATTTAATAAATAATTATCAGGAATAACTTCAGTAATTATTGCAATTAAACATTGTGATGCAGAACTATAAATATCTTGAGATTCACTAGATAAGAATTCTGATATTATAGGAAAGTATTGAGGAATACGACGAATTGCGTCTTGTGGAGATGATTTACCAAAACATTCCAAAGCCTTAGCAACTACTGCTAACCATGATGCTGCTAAATGGGTATCGTTCTTGGAAGGTTTTAAATCAAAAATGATATTTAAAACATTTGAAAATTTTTCTAAATTAATTACATCTGCCATTGATTTAAATAAACCTTCAAATGCTGAGAAAGCAGCAGAAACTAAATATTGATCTGAAGTCTTGGAAATTTCCAACAATATATCACATAATGGTTCAATTTTATTAACGGGCCATGAATTTGAAGAAGTAATAGAACCAATTAATTGTAAACAATGAATGATTTGAGAATTTAATTCTTTATTACTTGTTTTATTTTTTCTAGATTCTTCAATTAAAGAAGTTAACTTGGTTAATGAAATATCTCCTGCTAATGAAGAAACAGAATGAGCTGGGGATGGAGAAGGTGGTGGATTTGATAAAATTTTATTAACTGAATCTTGAGCTCTTCTTCTAACTTTAGGACGAGGATCAAAGGATAATTCTAATAAACCTACAAAGGCTCTCTTTGGAGAAATATTACCATTTGAATTCCATTGTTGATTATCTTGAGCTAATAATAATGATTCTAAAGCTCCAATAGTAGATCTAATTAATGGAGCTTCTGATTCAGGATTTGTAAGCGCAGGAGCTAATTTAGTTAAAATTTCACTAAATTTAGCTTTTAAAAGTGGTTTAGGAGTAAATGGAAGAACAAGATCTAAAAAGTATGCCGTGGTAGTTGCTAATCCTGAATCCACAATAACATCATCTTTAACAGATTGATTTAATAACGATAAAAATGATACGAAATAAGCAACAGGAGTCTTTTCATTTTTTTGTTCTTCTATGTTCTCTTCAACGGCTGATAAAATTAAGGCTAAATGCTTTTGATTATCCAACTTGGAATTAATTTGAGTTCTAATTCTGGCCAATTTATCGTCTAAGACAAAAGTGTCTTCAGACAATCCATCAGAACTCGTTTCCAATGACATATTACTTAATCTTAATGGTTATATTATATTTAATTTCTACTATACATAGTAATGAGATCGATATAATAATTTTTTTTCAGAAGCAGAGATGGGCTCGAGGAACGTGACCTCACACCCCGTGACACACGATAGATAGATAGATAAATAAATAAATTTTGCAACCTAACCTATATAAAATAATTTATGCATCTAATTGTAAACCATCCAATAATGCATCAATTCTATCAATATCTCGTTCATAACTTATTCTGGAATTCTTATAAAGTCTTAATTCTTCTCGTTTATAATCAACCGTATCAATCAGTTGTTCACCCTTCATAAATGCTCTAACAGGGTCAAGTTCTTCAAAATCTTCTCCTATAGCATATTTCTTTGATAAATAATATCTTATATCATCAATAAGTTCAATTGTATCAGTTTCATGTCTTTCTTCAATTCGATCAGCTGATTCTTTAATTAATGCCGAAAATGCCTTTCTTTGTTTAGCATCTTCATAAATATGCTCTAAATTATAGGCAAGCATCTTAGAAGTATGATGTTCTAATTTAGCACATCTTGTCTTCCAGGAAACTCGCACTAAATCATAAACATTGTATCCGACATCTTTTTCTATACCAAAGAATTCTTCTTGATTAAATTTATCAAAATTTGAAGATATATTTACTGCACACATTGTCTTTAACCTATCCAAGAATAATTCATCTGCCACAAATAATAATTCCACTGTTAATCGAAGTGGGATATATAGTATATTATCATGATATAAGAAAGATAAAATCATTTCAGCTACTTCTGAACTGGCTGATGCAGTAGAAATTCTAATTATTGAAATATCATCTGGTACTAAAGATTCACGCTTTATTACATCACCAAATTCATCCTGTTTATTTGGAGATACTAATGGTAATTCTCGATTGGCTTCTAAGAATATTTCAGATTTAAACATAGTATCAAAGTATTCTGATCTCGCTATTATTGCTTTATTTACAGGATAATAAGTAATCGATTCAGTATCATAATCAATTGAAGCAAGAATAATATCTGGAATAGCTGAAGTTTCTAATAATTTTTTCTTTTGAACATCTGAAATATATTTTGTACAATCTAATTCTTCAAGTGTTTCTTCGTCAGGTATTTCAATTTCAACAACTAATTTCCCCCCTAGTATATGTTTTTGTAAGAAATCGTCTAACCCAGACCTAGCCCTTTCAACTAATCTAAAAGAAATATCATACATTATTTTTGTTCTTTCCTTAGTGTTGCATGCATCTTTTAATTGTTCAATACTACTAATTAAATCAGTTAATTGAAATTGTTTAGCAATTCTTATTACTTCATCATGATTTTCTCTTGAACCAATTGAAATCCCATCAGCTCTAACATATATATAATCAGCAATTACTTTAAAAGATTTAAAATTATCTTCAGGAAAATCAATTATAGATTTATATTTCCAATCATTAATAATTTTCTCTTGAAAATGAGGTGATCTAGCTGATAACATGAAACGATTTAATTTTAGATATTTATCTCCAAATCGGAATATAATATCTTTAGTAATTACTTCATTTGATGTTATTAAAAGTGAAGATACATGACTTGCAAATGGTTGATCTAAATCTACTGCTTTTGAAATATCAAAACTTATTAATAAATCTCTAATTTCATCTGTTAAAGCTCCATAAATACAACGAGCACCTTCAAAAGTATCTCTATCACATATTGCTCCACGAGAAAGTAATAATTCTACAACATCCATATGACCACATAATGACAGTAAAATTAAAGGTGAATAATTAAAATCATCCATTTGATTAATATCTAAATTCGGTATCGAAAGTAAAATTTCCACAACATCCCTATCCCCAATTCGACATGCATGACAAAGATCTGAAAATGCCTTTTTCAATGATGATTCAGATGACTCATCTACTGATACTCCAGGCTCATTCAATCGTCTTTCAATTGTTCCTCCTATTTCTTCAATCTGAGTTGTCATGTCTCCCCATAGATTAATAATAATTATTCATGTACCGAAAGTAGCCTGAAAACGTTATCAATCAAAACTCGTACTGAGTGCAGGAAGAGATGCAAAAAAGAAGAACAAAAGCAAAACTACAACATCTTACTAACTCTAATCTATTACTCTAACTTATATATTAATACAATTATACGGAAATGAAACACTATATATATATATATATATATATTAAAAGGGTTACAATTATTTTTCATAAGTTTTAATGAAGTATTTGTACATACTTTGTTTGAACTTATTCATTCTCTTATTCTTTTTCTCTTTAACTACAACAGGTACATTATCCACAGTTTCAGGAATCTTGTAGTCTGTGTCGGTATTACCATCTTCATTTTTTAAAGGTTGAACAATATTATTGTCAACAAATGTTTCATCTGATTGAGATTCATGACGTTGCTTTTGACCAATTTGCTGAATCTCTGACTGTTCCTGTCCAAAATTTTCAAGAGAATATGCGTTACTGTCGGTGCCCAAATCCTCATGAACTGGTTCTTCTTCTTGTTGATCACGTCTAGTACTAAACTCAGAAACTTGTTTCTCAACAGATTGCTCCACAATCTGTCTCTTAGGCTCTTCAACTGATCCTTGAGCTAGTTTAGCTGAAGGATCCAATGAATTCTGAACCGGTGCTTCTGAGCCTTGAACATTCACTGGTTCTTCAACTGGTTCTTCAACTGGTTCTTCAACTGGTTCTTCAACTGGTTCTTCAACTCGTTCTTCAACTGGTACTTTGACAGGTCCTTCAACAGGTTCAGAGGTAGAAATTGGATTTTCATCAGGAATAGTTTCTTCTATAGGTACAGTGTCGGAGCCAATATTGCTTACATTCAATGGAGATGATGCAGCATCATTGTAGATTTCGGGTATGTGATCTGTTTCTTCGTCCTCTTCACCAGAGAACTCTTCGTCTTGGACATCTATATTCTTCAACTGTGGGACTGGAATAGGCTCACTCTTAGTCGTATTAGTACTACCCGATACTTCTACAGGCAAACTACTAGTTGCATCTTCATGTAAACCTTTCTCAGCGACATTGACAATTCCAGCTGCAGCAGTGACAGCAGAAGTCACAGCTATCGAGGAACCCAAACCATTAGATGTCAAGTTTCTGAAAGCATGCGGAGCTCTAGCTTCTTCGTCTTCTTCTACTTGCTTGGTAGCAATATCCTTTGCATACGCATGAGTTTTTCCCTCCAATGTATCATGATCAACTTCCTTCTCGGAAACACCATTTTGAATTACTGTATTTTCTTGATTAAGAGGAATTTCATGTTCCCTTACAGCTTCAACTGGCTGTTGATGAATGGGGTCCACTGACGTTGGCTTCTCTAACACAGGTTGCAGGTGGACGACAGGCAGTTGCGCAGGTATTACGGGAGCTGGATCTTGATACTTCTGTTCTGAAATAGGATGATCCTGATTTGTCTGTGAAGCATATACTGGTGATTGTTCAATTACGGATGCATTTGAACTAATACTCTTAGCAGCATCTTTATCACCCTTACTCTTCTTACTTCTGCTGAAAAAGCCAAATCTCTTCTTCTTAGGTGTAACCTGTTGCTCTGGAACTTGACTTGATTCAATTATACCAGGCTCTTCAACAGTAGTTTGTGCTACTTCTGGTACTGGAGCTGATTCTTCCTTTTTATGCTTAGAAGATTTTTTGATGCCATCATTTCTTAAAGAATGAGTTGCAAAGGATTTATTATGTTGTTCGTACCGGTAATTTTTATCAATTCCTTCATCTTCATGTTTGGAACGAAGTGGAGTCTTAATGACAGGTGCAGATTTGTTCTTGCTGGAAGAATCTACCTCTGGTTGAGGCCCGGGAACTGCATTTTCACCATAAACTCTCTTATATGCGGCTTGCATAGCAGCTGCGTAAAAATCAGAGCTGTATTTAGGATCCTCCGATGGTATTGCTTTCTTATTCCTCACTGGAGGCGAATTTTGAGAATGATATTGATTTTGATGATCAGAATAAATAGGTATAGTTTCAACTTTATCTACAAACTTAATTGAGCTTGGAGGTGAAGAAGTAGTATTAGAACGTAACTCTTCACTACCTTGGAGTGATATTCTAGGCGAAAATAAACGTTGATTTGTTGGAGAATATCTTGGATCAATTGGAACTGGGCCTGATGGAGCCTTGAATTTTGGAGGTTGAGATAAGCTTCTAGGATTCTCCTCTTGATTTGAAAATGGTGGCTGTAATTGATGTAATTGATCATAGGGAATTATTGAAGGGATTTCTTCAGTTTCATCTTCAAATTTAGGGCGTGTACTATTCTTTAGAATCGATCTAAGTGGTTTAGTAGGAGATGCATCATTGGATCTCTGAGGTGGCCTTTCAATTACTGGAGTAATTAATTCATTATTACCTGATGGAGATTCAGGAGGCACTACAGATTTTGCTTCAAGTAAAGGTGAACCTAAACTACTTGGTTCATTATTATGAATATTTAATTTTAACTTTAACTCATCATCAGGCGTGATATGATCGTTATCCAATTGATAATTATACTCGAAGTTTTGCAAATCTTCTTCAATTTTCAGGAGGGCCGGATTATTTGCTCCAGAAAGAATTGAATTATGTCTTAAATTATTTGATGATAAGGAATTAGTTCTTGAATTACTTCTGGAGATATTTTTACTGGTGGTTTCAATAATATTAGAACCATCTGGTAATGTCTTTATAGTCTGTGTTGTAATAGATTGAGTTCTACCTTGTGCATCAACTACTCTTGTTGTTTTAGTAGTAATAATGATATCTTCTTCACTTCCTTCTAAATTTTCATCACCCAATTCATCAATGACATAGTTTGATGGTTTTGATAATGATACAGGTCTTCTGGCATTTCTGGCTGCAGCTGCAGCTAATGAATTAGTAGTAGGCAAAGAATTAATACTTGAATTAGTTAAACTATTATATCTTCTAGCATTATTTATATTTGCTGGTTGACCTGGAGTATATGAACCTTTAGGATGATATGAATATGTTCTTAGTGAATTTGTTCTTTGAGCTGAATAGTTTGAAGTTAATGAATTTGTTCTCTTTATTGATGATTGTCTGACAGGTTGAGGTATATTACCTTCTTGATTTTGTTGATGAAGTCTGAGAGCTGCTACGGCAGCTTGACCTGCACCATTAGCAAATGATTGACTTCGAGTAGCACTGGAATTAGGCAAGCCAGCTACAGTGTTCTGCTGTTGATAATGATTGATCTCATGATTATACTTCGCAAAGCCTTGGTAGGAATCATTTTTCCGCTAAAATTGGTTACACTAGTTAGTAATTTTATACTTACCCCATGTGACACTTGGTACTCTCAACATAATACATACCCTACGAGAAAATAGATTCACCATTGTTAGTTGGTTTTAACACTTTATCGTGATAGATGGATTGATTTCGTAATAAATGAAAAGGTTAAAAGCCTTAAAGTATTAATTAATAAAAAATATCACCTTAATTAACTACTAACCTACTAATATACAACTTTCTACAACTTAGGTCTGGATATATATATGTACCATTGGAATTGAAGTCATTGCAATTTCAGTGTAATGACTAAATTTCAGGGGATATGTCTGAGGGCCTGCACACAAGCACATCATTCTGCAGCCATTGTTTAATATATGGAAATATTAGTACTTCGAGGGAAAAGCCTTTTCAAAATTAGTTTGTTAACTAAACTGCTGCAGCTTATTATAAGCTGGATGCATGTGACATATGGGTGGTTAAGAGTGTACTGAGATTAGTAGATGTTAGAATTTGTTTTCGGTTTTCAGACAGAACACAACGTTTTCTCTGTCTGTTTCAATTCGGCTGCGACTTAGAAGACTATCAGAATTATTGCTACCGGTACATAAGAATGAAATTTTACATGTCTATTTGTCTATATGTCTATATGTCTATATTTCTCTAAATATATATGTCTATACTCTATTCCGTTATAACCTTAATTGTTATTGTAATATATAAACTGTAAGTAATGTAGTTCGGTGTCTTTTTTGCATTTGCATCTACTGACATCTCACCTAAATCGTTCTACCAAAGTGGTCCATTTCACAAAGACAAAAATCAATTTGTATCAGCTTTTCCTAATTGGGACATTTTATACACAAACTATACACACTATTAACTAAAAACATTTTCTTTTCACCTATCCGTCAAATTAATTAACCAACTCTGTTTATACACTAGTACTATTAATTTTACAGGATTTAATACTTTTGAAATTTCTTAAAGGGTCTAAGCATTGACTCACTTATGCTTACATTGTAAAAAGCTCAACTTATAACTATAAATATAAATTTAATATTAATATTAAATATTAAAATAAATATCAATATCATAAATAAATAAATATAATTCATAGCATTAATCATAATTAAAAACATACTAATTAAATATCATTATATAAAGTCATAATGGGAAGAGATACTCATTCTCCATATTTAATGGATAATATTAATATAGTTAATAATTTTTGGGGAACTCCAAGTCAAACAGGTTATAAAACTATTATATCTCGAATGAAAGATTCATTACAAACTATTCAAGAAATTCTTAATTATTATGAAGATAGAATAAATATTGAAAAGGAATATACCAAGAGACTTGATAAATTAAATCAAAAATATGTTCTTGGATCTCGAGAAACAGGGAGTTTAAAAATTGCTATAGATAAATTATCTATGGAGAATCAAACTATGGTTCAACATAATTATAAATTTATAAAATCGGTTGATGTTATTAATCAAGAGAATTTGAAAAATTTTTATAAGATATATGAAAGGAAAGTTCAAAAGATTGAGCATCATATGAATAAATTAATTTCAAAATTGGAATCTGCTTATAAGAGTCTTCAAAATAGTAAACGAATATATCAAGAAAATTGTTCTTCAATAAAATCAATGAAATTAACAGTTCAAACTACTTGGGGAAAGGAATTAGAAAAGAATGAAACTAATTTACGTAAACTTCAATCTTCAGCTAGAAAAGTTGAGGAAGATTATACTATGAATTTACAAGCTTATAATGAATTAGTTGATATTTATAATTGTGATTGGTCAATGGCTCTTCAAGATTTTTATAAATTAGAAATTGAAAGAATTCAATTATGTAAAGTTAATTGTTTTAATTTTTGTAATAATATTGCTACCCTTTGTGTTGATAACGATCAAGCTGTTGATGTAGCAAGATCAACTCTTGCTAAAATCCAACCTCAAAAGGATTTACAAGATTTCAGTAAAATGTATGGAACTGGGAATAAGATATTGAAAAGTTATACATTTATTGATTATAGAAATGGATTTGATGATTCTGCTGTAAGAGAAGAAACTTTTGATATTGCTAATTTTGAAGATCCAGAAATTGAATCTATATTATCAAGAACTTATTCAACATATTCACAAGCATCACAAGCAGTTAATAATCGAGCTCCTCAACCAAAACCTCAACAACTGTCTCCTCATCCTCAATTACCTTCTTCAATAAATATAGCATATTCTTCAAATTCTCTTAATTATAAGGACAAACCAATTCCTCAATTACCACCTGCAACACCTTCACCAACAAAAGTTAATATAAGTTCATTACCTCTTCAACAAGCACCAGCTACCAAGAATAAACTTCATCAAGCTAGTTCAATCTATAGTTCAAGTCCTGAAGATGACAAAAATGATGTATTTTCTATTAATAAAGAGAAAGGATCTGTAAATAGTAATGGTTATACCAATTCCAATTATTCTAATCCAACAAATTATTCTGTTGGTAATGGTCATGCTCATACTTCTTCAACATATTCTAATGAAGGAAGAACTTGGTCATCTCCTAGAAGAAAACTGAAACAATTAAACGATTTCCAAGAACAAATTAATCAAATGTCAAGAGAAAGACTGACTGCAAGTAGTAATAATCGAAAAGATGAAAATGAAGTAGTTAAGCCAACAAAAGTACCTATCATGAAAGATTTTTCAATTGATTTTATTGCAAAAGCATTAGAAGATTTATCATCAGGTGGAAATGGTGATGTAAATCAATATAGAAGATCAGTCAGATTAGCAAGAGAACATGAAGATAAATATAAACAATATCAAAGTGAAACTGAACCTACTACCCCTTACAAAACAAGAGCTCAATCAGATTATGTTGATGATAGAACAGAGATAGCTACAAGATATGATTCAATTAATTTTAATTCACCAAGTAACTATAGGAAAGAAAGACCAAAATCAATGATTGATGAAGTTTCTAATAATAAACCTCATCAACATTTCCATCGACGTTCATTGCTGAAATTACCAACTACATCTTATAATGATTTAAATTCAATTATAAGTCCTCAAAAACCAAATATAATTAAACAAATTACTCCAATTACAAAGAGTCCCTATATTATAAAAGCTAGAGCCAAATATTCATATAAACCACAACAAGATGGTGAATTATTTTTTAAGAAGAATTGGCATATGTATATCCTTCATAAACAAGCAGATAATTGGTTTGTGTGTGAATTAGCCGACAATTGTCAGGACCACATTGGTAAAGTGGGTTTAGTACCTGGTAATTATTTAGAAGAAAATAATTCTATTTTTTAACAGTATATTTATTATGTAACTATATAATTTTTTATTTTGTATTATAAAAAAACTGTGGTATGACTAAGCATTTTCTCCTGTATCGCAATTTTGCATCACCGATAAATTATATGGCTCTATTTCAATCAAGTGAAAAATTGCTTTGTTAACTATTTCTATCAACAGTAATATAGTCAATATAGTCAATATACAACATGACAGTTGATCCTACTCCTATAGGAGCTCTTGAGGTTAAAAGACCTCACTCTATTAACAATTTACCACCTTTAATTATTGGTGGTGCAGTGTTTAATACTCAATATTCCGATGACCCTCGTAGTTTACCAGCTAAAGAAATATTAAGGAATGCCTTTGAAAAGGGTTTAAATGCTATTGATACATCTCCTTATTATGGTCCATCAGAAATAATTATTGGTGAAGCACTTAAAGAACTTGATATCGATAGACAATCTTATTATATATGTACAAAAGCTGGAAGAGTTAAATTAGATGATTTTGATTATTCACGTGAAAATGTTAGAAATTCCGTTAAAAGATCATTACAAAGATTAGGTACAACTTATTTAGATCTTGTTTATATGCATGATATCGAATTTGTTCAAGAAGATCAAATTTTTGAAGCATTAAAGGAATTAAAACAGTTAAAACATGAAGGATTAATTTTAAACTTTGGAATCTCTGGTTATCCAGTTAAATTCTTATATAAAATTGCCCTTGGAGCAACTAAAAGTCCAGAGATTGGACCACTTGATGCAGTTTTATCTTATTCAAATGGTTGTATACAAAATGATACTCTATTTATTTATTATGACAAATTTTTTACTGATTGTCATATCAAGAAATTATCAAATGGTTCAATTTTAAGTATGTCATTATTAAGATCTCAAAAGACCCACGCATTTCATCCAGCTCCTCAAGCTTTGAAAGATAAAGTCCATGAAATTGCTAATATATTAAAGGAGGATTATAATGATTTAGAATTAGCAGATTTATCTACTAGATTTGCTCTTAGAGAATGGTTATTTAAGACTGGATCTGAAGACGTTGACTCTTATGGAGTATCTAAATGGAATTCTAAAACGTCTATTGTTTTAGGTGTATCTAGTTTGGAAGAATTAGATGTTGCTATCAAGAGTTATTGGCAGGTCAAGAATAATGAAAACAATATAAATATTAAGGACCAACCAATTATTGAAAGAGTTCAGAGTTTATTGGGTGCAAAGCATTTCAATGAGACATGGCCAAGTGGAATCGATGGTCGTTAATTCAAATTTATTTTAATTTAATTTATTTTAGTTTATTAAGTGCTAATTTATAGAACGAGACGCTTGCTTATTTATTACAATTTGTTTATTCACTTCTTCATAAAATATATATTCTTATGTTATTTAATGGGTATTAAGTTATTAAGTATGTATGTCGCGTCCTGATCAAAAATTGAGTTGCACCAAAAAATTTCAAAAGTAATTGTTCACTACAGATGCATCTTAATAGTTAATTAATAACCATTCAATTGATTCATAGATACCATGGCATATAATAACAAGAGGACATTTTCTAACAGAGGAGGTAGTGGATCCTCTAATGCAGGTGGATCTTCATCTGAAGAAGTAACCATTGAATTAGATAAGAAAAAGCAAGTCACAATTCGAAAATTTAATAATATTAACCTTGTTGATATACGAGAATTTTACATAGACAAAGACTCTGGTGAAAAGAGACCAGGTAAGAAGGGGATATCATTAACTGAAGATACTTGGTATAAATTATTGGAAGCTACCAATAAAATACAAAACGCGTTAGATACTTTAAATGGTAGATCTAGTACTGTAGCAAGTATAACGGCTGCTGCTGCTAAGAAAGCTAAACTTGATGAAAAACCCAAGAAGAAGGAACCAGCTCCTGAAATTAAAAAGCCAGCAGTTGCTGCAGCTGCAGCTCCACCACAAGTCGAGGAAGAGGAAGAAAGTGATGAAGATGCATACGAGTAATTCAGATACACCATTGATAACTAGTTCGAACCACATAAATATATAATAGAATATATATCTGCTTAGTTAGTGAATGAAAGGATTTGTAAGCGGATGTGTTAGTGCATTTGTCTTTTCATTATTTATATAAACAAAATGTAGTAGAAGAATTGAATTACCCCGGATTCTTCAGGGATTGCTTCATTTTAGAGTAGTACTGATCCCATCACTTAAACCAAGTAAGGTTCAGTGTCCTTAACCCTTAATAAGTACAAGTTCACCATATAGTGTATACCCCTCTAACTATTGCTACCCAGCTATGGCACAAAATCGTTGTATAACCCAGACAAATACATGTATAGCATAAGTTACATCACAAAATCGCATAAACTTTTGATTTAGTCATAAGCCCTGTCCCGATGTACTGGTAATAAATAAATAAATTAACCCAGTAACATATTCATTAACTCTGCTACATATATACTACATATATACATTTTCTATTAAAATACTTTGCTTTTTCTATTTTCTATTTCCTATTATAGTAAACAAACTTCTGCAGCACCACTAGTCTTACGGCATTGAGCCTAATTAAGGCACAAAAGTAAAGTAATACTTGCCTATCTTTTTTCTTAGTGCGATATAGATTGCTAAATATGGTGGACATCATGATGTTCGAATACATATCAGGTTAATTAAATTAGCATTATATTTTCTTAGAGTATTGTATAATTATTATATATATGTATACATATTATGTCAGGAAAACCTAAGGGGAAAAGAAAGGCATTCCCTTCTGCCAATTATATTGAATTGACTCCATCCGAGGAAGGTTCTACATCATCTCAGATCAATTTGAACGATCATAATCAACCTAGTTCACCACTTCATCATAGTTTATTAAGACATCATCATTCAACTGAGTTGGCTGCTACAACAGGAGTTACAACCAAATCATCTAATGTAGAAACTAATTCTAATACTGATAATAGATCAGTTGCTAGTAGTATTCCTGGAGCTGGTGGAGCTTATATTGATCATAGAAAATATAATGATTTAGCTCATTTACATTCATCACCTGCAAGAGCTAGAAGAAGAAGTAGTCAACAAAATATTTTGGGTCATGGAGGTTCAAGTCCTACACATTTAAATAACGTCCTTGATAATTCTACAATTGGTAATGGTGCTGGACTGAAATTAAGAAGAGCAACAGATATCAGTGCTGAATCTGATGATCATGAAAATAATATCCCTCAAACTCGAAGACAAACAACTTTACCTTTGACAAATAAGAATCTTCAGAATTTATTATATCATAGTAATACTCAACCACAATTAAATAATATCACTAATTCAGCTCCTGCCGTTCCTACCATTGGTAATAGTGCCAATGGGAAATTTGGTTCTATTACTTTAGATATGGATGAATATGCTAAAGAACAAAGAAGATTAACCCATGCACAATCCTGGTCTTCTGAACATCATGAAGGAAATACATTTGAACGAGAAGATAGTGATCAATATTCATTAAATTCAATGGAATTTGGAGGTTCTAATCCATCATCTGATCATTCAAGTGATTCAACTTCCTTAGATGATGTTTGTTTCCCAGATTATTATGAACATATTGCTGCCATGAATAAAAGTGAAACAGAATATCAATGGCCAGATTTGAAAGTATTAGAAGAATTTATTAAAGAAGAAATTGATAATGAAGCTCGAGCTTTAGAAAGGCCAACATCTCCAATGTCAGGAATGTCTTCTTCACTTTCTCCTCAATTTGAATCACAACGTCCTTTAGTTAATTTCCATCATCCTATAGCCAGAAAACCAATTGCTGAATCAGTTCTGCCATTAGAAAGAGGGTCACCTAAACAAAAAGTTGTTGAATCAACCCCTTTATTACAAAATTTCCATGTTGATGAAATAGCATCTTTAAATCTGGTTGAAGATTCTTTAAGAGTACGTCCAACTCCAATCCAACCTTGGGATAAATCAAAACAAGAAATTCTTCCAACTATTTTGAATCGTCCAAAGGGAACAAGTGATAAAAATGGTATACCAACCAAATATAATCTGAAGAATGGAAAGATTGATGGAAAATTATGTAGATATACTTATTTTAGAGAAGATTTAGATAAGACAATTCATTCACCTTCAATAAGTGGTTTATTAGTCGCTGAAGCAAACAATCTTGAAGAAAGGATTGAAAATCAAAATAAATTATTTGAAATGAATGAAGAACCACTTTTAAGGAATTTAGATGATCTTGAGAATGATTTTGAAGAAGAACAATTAGAAGAGGATGAAGAAGATTTATCACTTTATGAAAAGTTACAAGAATTATTTCAACCTTCTTATTATGCTCAACCTATATCAAGATTTCCATCATCAGCAAGTGTTAGAAATCTTGCGTCACCTTCGATAATTAATAATAATACTAATAATAATGCTACTAATAACAATACCACTACTAATACTACCACTAATACTATAAATAATACAAATAATATAAATGGTAATATTACTACTAATAGTTCAACTGTTCAATTACAAGTTCCTACCAATTCGAATGCTCCTGAAACTTCAATAAATGGTACAAATATCGCCAATAATTTATCATTAAGAGCCATTCCTTCTTCAAAAGGTACTGAAACTCCTGTACCAGGAACCACAGTAGGATCAGTTTCAGAACATACATATGTTCAACCATTTTGGCTTGATGTATTAGATCCTACAGAAGAAGAGATGAAAGTATTATCAAAAACTTTTGGAATTCATCCTTTAACCACAGAAGATATCTTTTTAGGTGAAACTCGTGAAAAAGTAGAATTATTTAAAACTTATTATTTTATTTGTTTTACTTCATTTGATATTGTATATGAGAGACGTAAAGCAAGAGCTAAAGAACATGAAAAGAAATTGAATAAACTTCAAGAAATGTATGATAATGCTAGTGATACTAATAGTATATTTGGATCTCAAGAACGTAAAGCCGGAATTTGGTCATATTTTAAGAATTTAGTAGGTATGAGATCAAATAAGTCAAGATCAAGAGCTCCTTCAATTATGCCAGCTCCAACCAAAGATTCAACAGTTAAATCTAGAACTAAAAAGATTAGAGAAGGTGAATTACTGCCATTAAATATGTATATGATTGTATTTAAAGATGCAGTTATAACATTCCATTTTTCAGCTACTCCTCATCCAATTAATGTTAGAAGAAGAGCTCGATTATTAAAAGAATATCTTACTGTTACAGCCGATTGGATTTCATATGCATTAATAGATGATATAACTGATTCATTTGCTCCAATGATTGAAAGTATTGAAGAAGAAGTGAATTCAATTGAAGATGCTATATTAAAAATGCATTCAGGGGAAGATTCAGATGATGATTCAGATGATGATTCAGATGATGAAGAAAAACCAATTGCAGCTCAACCATTTCATCAAAATATGAGAAGAACCAAAAGAGCTGCTGAAGTTCAAGATACCAATGCTAATGTTTTCCATTGGAGAAAAAGATCTAAATCTACAGTAGATCATAATGTTGGTACTGGAGGATTTTTTAAACGGAAACCAGCATCAGTAAGTTCTAAAACTTCATCAAAATCATCTACAACTACTTCATCAAGAATATTAGGATGGAAACGTAAAGGAGATATGTTACGTAGAATTGGTGAATGTCGTAAAAGAGTTATGTCAGTTTTAAGACTTTTAGGTTCAAAAGCTGATGTTATTAAAGGATTTAGTAAAAGATTTTCTGAATCAATGACTGAACATCATAAAGATTCTAAAGCAGAAATTGGAATGTATTTAGGTGATATTCAAGATCATATTGTTACAATGATTCAATCATTAAATCATTATGAAAAATTACTTGCTAGATTTCATTCTAATTATTTAGCTCAAATTAATATTGATATGACTAAAGTTAATAATGATACTAATGATGTATTAGGTAAAATTACTATTTTAGGTACAATTGTATTACCAATTAATGTGGTAACTGGATTATGGGGGATGAATTGTGTAGTACCAGGACAAGAATATGATGGACTTGAATGGTTTTGGGGGATCGTATGTGCCATACTTTTATTCAGTTTTATAGCTTATAATTATGCTCGTAAAGTAACTGGTTTATAATTATAATTATAATATATAATAATATATAATAATATATAGTAATATGTAAATACGTCATAGATTTTTTTTGCAATTGTACAAATCATACAAAAATAAAAAAATGCAGGGGCATCATATGCAGGAGAAAAATTTCACATTACCATCAGCCTTTGAACAACGGTTCTAATACCTTAATTAGGCGAAGGCAATACAATTACAAACAATTGAAACTAATCTGATTAATAACAGAGTTTAGTAATAGTTATAATAAGATCAGAATCATATAAGTAAGTTAAAATAAATAAAATGAGTATTCAATTGTCTTTAGTATTTGGAGCTATGGTAATTCAAATGATAACTTTAGTAGTATTATTATTACCATTACCATATCCTATTAGAAAGAAAATAATTGATTTTACATTTGTATTACAAAAATCTCAAAATTTTAAAGTTGGAGTTGTATTTACTATAATTTTATTAATTCTTCAATTTTTAGATTGTGTTAATAGATTAAGAAGACTTGATGGTTATAATGATCCATATTTTACTACAGCTGGTATAACAAAAGAAGCTCGAGCTCAATTAAGTTATGATCAATTAGCTACTAAATTTTATTCTCAAAGAAATCTTTATTTAAGTGGTGCAGTATTATATTTAATGGTAGCTATTGGAACTGTTATAACAATTGTAAGAAAATTAGTTAAAAAAGAAACTGATTATAGAAATTTATTAGCTAGAGAATCAACTAATGGTGATGATGGTGAAATTGAAAAGTATAAACAACTTATTAAATTAAAACAAAATGATATCGATACTTTTAAGAAACAATTATCTGGATTACAATCGGCTTATGATGGATTAAATCCTGATAAAGTCACTCCTTCTAAGGATGATTAAATTTCTTAGTTTTAGCTTTAGCTTTAGTTTTAGTTTTAGTTTTAGTAACCATTTTTTTTATATGTAGAAGAAAACAAAAGGGGAAGGTAATAGAAAAATCTATTTACCTTCATACAATTGAAATAAAAAATAATACAAATACAAATGTTATATAATGAATTAATCATTTAAGAGTGTCCACTATAATTTCCACTAACCAAATTTCTAACCACCGGAATTTCTTGAGAATTATCGGAGTTATATATAGTAGTTAATTTAGTTGGACTATCTTCAATCTCAAATTTAACTTGAACTCCAGATTCATGCTCAGAACCTATTCCATTAGTTACAAATCTAGCAATTAATCTTTCATCGGATCCACTAAAAGTTAATGGATGATCATATCTCCAAGTTATTCTATTTTTATCTCTATTGAAAGCACCTTGAGGTTTTGATAACGCACTTGATACTTGAACATCACTATTTAAAGCAACAGATACAACAAAATTTCTTAATACAATTGGAGTTGAATAAGTAGGATTTAATTTAAGATTTATCATAAGACTAGCTTGATGATTTTCAAATTTCCATACTTGTTGAATTAAAATAGGAATTTGAGATTCTTCAACTGCCTTTAAATATTTAAATCCTCCTAAAGTTTTAGATATAATAAATGATGGATTTATTTTAAATGAATCATTATTTAATTTTTCCACAAATGTATTGTTTAATATCAATTTATCATATGAATTTGGAATGTTTACAAGAATTGGATCAACTGGAATGGTTGATTCTGATTCATGAGGTTTATAAGTAAAGGCAACTTCACCAATAATTTGAGATTTAACTAAATTACCATCTTTGAAATTAGCATTTATAACTTCTGCTACAGAAGAATTTAATCCATATGATTCTTCAACCTTTGATGAATCAAAATGTTTAAATATATCATTATGTTTAGAAGATAATGATAAACCTGTATCTTGACTGATCAATGTAGAAGCACCAGTTGGATGAGATTGAATAACAGATTCTCTTGCAGCTGGAGCATTGGCAAACATTTGAGACGTAATTCTTCTAGCTTGTTGCGATGATTGAATTGGTTGTTGAGATGATAAATCATCTGTTAGATGATGGGCAACTTTTCTAGATGGAGGAGGAGTTGGAGGAATTGGAAGACTCTTTTGTGATGGAAGCTGAGAAGGTTGTGTAAGCTGTGATTGAGAATCATGACTACTTAAACCAAGAATGGTTGCTCCGGCGGCTGCTGCGGCTGCAGTAGCTCCAATAGCAATTCCTGGACCTGTTGAAATTGAAGTAGATGTATTGTTATTAACAATTGAATTATTATAAACACTGGATGATGAATCAGGTTTTGAAGAATCTCTTTCAGGAAGATCTTCAAATACATTTGATTGTTCAGTTCTTGGTGTTGCAGCAATTGGTTTTTGATCATCACCAACTTCAAAACTATATTTACCAGAACTACTTTGTCTTGATCTAGGTAAAGAAAGTAAAGCATCTGATGAAGTAGTGGTTCCATTTGTATGATTATTAATAAAAGTATTACTTGAAATTGCAGGAGGAGCAAGATTAGTTGGTAATTCTTCTTGAGCTGTTGGTGCAGTAGCTGGAGCCAAATCATGCTTTTCTAATAAGGATTGCCTATGAGAAGCTCCAATACCAACATCTTCATCATCAGAAGAATCAGTATCATTATACTTAACTACATTTGGAGAATCAGTCGCATCATTATCAATTGTATGAGCAGGAAGTTGAGGAGTAGTAGGTTCAACTGCTTTTGGTTTAGTATAATATTGAGGAGCAACAGATGGAGTTTGTTGAGGTTGAGGAGTTGGTGGAAGTGAATGATCATAATGTGGTTGAGAAGAAGAAGAAGGACCATCAAAAGGTGGAATTGAAGAATTTCTTGTATGAGATTTAGATAAATCATTTCTTGAAGTTGAAATAGAAGCATTTTCAGGAATTGTATCAGATGGTTGTAATTTTGAACCCTTTTTATTTCTATTTCTACTAAACATTGAACCAACTCTACTTAATCTTGAACCTTTCTTTTGTTTAGTATTTGAACCAGATGATATTAATGAATTATTATCATGGTCTAATTCTTCCTTTGAAACTGGAGGTGGTTGATTATGATTTAAATGCAAATTTAAATGAGAATTACGCTTCTTTGATTGTTTAGATTTCTTATTTTGATCTACAACTGGTTGAGATCTTGAATTTAATTGAGATTGTTGTTGTTTTAATTGTTGCTTAAAGAATCCATCAGTAACTGGTTGAAATTCAGTATTAGTAACATAATTCAAGTAATTATTCATTTCATGTTTTAATTTGAAACTACCTAATAAATAATTAGTTGAATTTTCATTATTAGCAAGATTTTTTGACCATTTATCATGACTTGCTTGAAAGAAATTTAAGATTGAATCAAATAATAATTGAATTTCATATTTTTTAAAATTTTCAAAATTTTCAAAAATATGAGGAGCTTTATAATTCCATTGCATTTCAGCATTTGAATCTCCAACTGCTAAACCCTGTCTAACTTCTTGTAATTCTTGACTATTAACCAATAACTCAGATAATCTTACATCATTTTCCATTAAATCACGAAGAGGTCCAATAATTTCTCGTTTAATAGATTTACGAACTGCTTCATTTGATTCAATTTCTGTATTTATTGATGTAAGTAAACAATTCCAATTTCTTGTAAATCCATCTTTATTAACATTATTATTATCTTTACTAACAAATGTTGAACCATTTTCAATTAATCCCTTCAATCCAAGAGTATAATTCTGAAGAGTTGATTCATATTCTTGAAACCAACGTAATACACTATCATTAACAAGCTTTGATGTTTGATTAATACCATTAGGTATAATTAAAGCTGCCTGATCAGGAGTTTTCGAAGTTAAAATATGAGTTGGATAATTAAATGATTCTGGAGAATTACTCATCTTAAATGTTTCAACTTTAATTCAATTCAATTCAATTCAATGGCTATTGTTATTAGACCAATTTACGACAATTAGTTAATTGCTCCGATAATTTTCAAATATTTCATTCACAATATAGTCAGTTTTCACCGATTTAACCGTCTGTTTTTATTTTGCGTGAGGGGGGCGTGTCTCGGCAAACTTAACGGGGAAGCTTCCATACAGAAATGGTTATTATTCAAAAACAATAGTTAGCCTCTTTAACATTATTATACTATAATTGAATTTGTAAATAGATAGAGAGACTTTAATGACCGACAAATTGATTGAGTAGTGATTCAAAATATCTAGAATATAGATATCAAATATTGCAGCATATACTTAAAGTAGTATTCTCATCCAAAAACATTATTTGTGGGCTATACCCCACGCGCTTAACATTTTGCAGCAGAGTTTACTTTAATTCGGTGGGGGGTGTTGCATGTCCGTAACATCAAAATAGTTTCACAAGATGGGATATGTTCAAGATATTGATTCAAATGTTTCTTTTGTTCAATTGGGGTAGTGATAGTCCAATGTATAGTATTAAGTGGAAAAAGTGAAAAATTTTCACTTACTGGAATATAATCCTCTTATTATCATTGTTATCATTATTTTATCATTATTTTAATTATAATAATCCTTTAATTATTGTAATTTTGTATAATTAGCATAATTAATTAATTAATGAAGTTGATATTCTACTCTAATCTCTTTCATATTAGATAGATGCAAATTTTTAAGGACCGTTGACGGAGCCATATCACTGAAAATAATCGGGGGGCTTAAAATGACATCATTTACAATGGTTAGATAAAATAGGCTTTTGATAAGTTTATGCGTAAGTCAGCTTATTATGAATGTATCTTCTGTTAAGAGATAATGAAAAATTTTTATCTGCTAATGAAAAGTATTTTCTGTAAGATTTCTCCACAATTCAAGAAAAATGTTATTGGGAACAATAAATTAATATAAACAATAACTCAACATAAAATTCTTGGCTGCTAGAGTTTATATCTGGTACTTTCATTTCATATCTTTGGATTAAAAGGTATTTATTCGTAAATTATCAGTCAATTGAAGAATTAGAGTGGAGTAAAGTTGTCACGCATGGAGATGTTTTAAAAATACCTTTGAAAGATGAATCTTCACTTAACTGCTACTGTAATATTATGTAATTTCCACTATTATAGTATTTTCAAAGTAAGGGATGTTCTAATGCATTATCACATTGAAGAATATCTGTCAGTGTTTCCTATTTAGGAAGAGTCACATTCAGTTATTTACGGTTTAGAAATTAAGCTTTTACAGGTTATAATTTGGCATATTTGAGAAAAAAAAAGCAGATAAGCAACAGACTTTTTACTGGCACAGATAAGAAAGAAAAAAGCTAGTATTAAAGGACCTACTAATACAAATGAATAATTGTAATAAATAAAGTATAATTAATTAAATAAGAAAACTATATTGATATCGATACACACCCACTCCCAATAAAGTTGACGATAAATTAGCTGAAAAACTGTAAATTAGTAATGCAACTCAAAATACGCAAATTCTGACTTGTGGAGTAGTTCAGGCATGGTCAAGCAGGTGGCCAAATCAAAGCCATGAGAAATAATAAATTTCAATAATAATGTTTCCTAACTAGTCGATGCGAATCGGTTTATTGTTCATATAGAATAGAATATTAAAGGGTTATCTGCTCTGCGGTAACGCAACGCAAGGAATCAAATTAAATGAATAGATCTTCACCCCTCCTTTAGTACCACTCCTCTTCAAACTTATTGTATGCAAACTAACTTTGCTAAGCCAATCAATTTGAATGAAATTAATAAATGCGATAAGATAGCCTAGAATTGTTTAGAGTAGCGGTTGACTCATTTTCTTCCTATTATATAAGTTAAGCCAAGTTTTATCCGTTTGATTTTGTTTTTAATTGCTCCTCTTTAACTGTCAAGATTAATGAGCTTAAAACAACGTTTTTGTGATTAATATAGTATTATTAATTGGATGAATTTATTACCACATTTATTTTTTTAGTAGTGTATGTTTCGTTGTTTTGTGGACCAATATGTGTGTGTTCCTTTTATCTCAATGAATCGTTTAAAATCATTAGCTGCTTTGTGTTCACTTTCTCTTATCTTACAGTCTTAGCTACACTACGAATTAATAAAATTTTCGTTGATTTCTGCCGCTTTACGGCATTTTTAAGAGGCAAATGTACTCCAAACTATTTCATTGGAAGGTATGCAAAATGTAGTGAATAGTAATGTGAGTTAATAAAACCGTTTACTTAAAAAATAAATTAGTCAATATCCAGTAATAATAGTAGGATATTCTAATAGTAGTGTATCATATGAAAAGCATCCAATCTCAACAGATACGAACTTTTTTTGCCCAGCCTATCCTTAAGTGTAAGCAAAGATAATTATAATCATGTTATGATTTATCGGTTGAGAGGATTCTGCTGAAGGGAATAGTTATAATTAAAATTGCATTTTTAATCTGTATCATTACGCCTATATGAGGCTATTACTTTAATCAATATTATTGACTACTATTTATTGAATAATAATTAAAAGCAGGAGGAACACAATTTTGTGGTATCCATTAAATCAATTCATGTGATTGCAAACTAATCTTCCTACGAGGATAATTAGCCTCAAACGTATACCCAAAACTAGAACTCTATCGAAGTAAAATCTTATTGCGGAATCGGCTCCAAAGATGTGACACATACATTTTAAAAGCTTAAAGAATTGAATCATATCCTGTATATTGCTTATCTAAACGTCTAATTAAAAATAAATGCAGCATCTGTTTCTCTTTTTTCTTTTTTTAGCCTTAACATTTGAGATTACAAGATTTAATTGGCCGATGATAAGTAGATACATAACTAATAAAGTCCTAATTAGGAAATAAATTTACAGATTTACAAATGTTATTTTTTTCTTGACTAATATTACAGGTTGTAAATTCCATATATTCACAATAATATAGGATAGGATAGCAAGGATTGGATAGGCGAATTGATTGAATTGATCAATTGAATCTAAATTATTAACTAATACTAATAAAAATAATTTTTAATAATATGTAGGTTAATTATCAAAACAAAATAAACAATAATTAATAAAATGCATATCGTGATACTTTATTAACATTCCTAAATGAATATATATATGGACTCGTATACCCTCTTTTCAATTAGTTTTATTAATCTTTTTATTTATATATATATTTTTTTAATTTATATATTTATTTCTATCTATTATTTTCATAACTATCCTATCTCAATCACTATTGATTAGTTTTTGTAATTGAATCCAAATAATTCCCTAAAGTCAATTCTTCTCTGGAATTAATCAATATCATTAAATTGATTGGATTTAATAACTTCAACTTCAACTTATAAAAATTGGTAATAAAATTCTTTATCAAATCATTAATATTAGAGAAGAGTAGAAAATAAAGAATCACAACAATGTCGAATACTCCAGGTGGTGATGTTTTCACCACTGATTTGAACGCTCAATTCGATAAGGCTGATATGGCTTGGATTGGTGTTGCCGGGGCCTTGGTTTGGATTATGATTCCAGGGGTCGGTCTTTTATACTCTGGTTTAGCCAGAAAGAAGCATGCTTTGTCTCTTTTATGGGCATCTATTATGGCAGCATGTTTAACGTGTTTCCAATGGTTCTTTTGGGGGTACTCATTAGCTTTTGCTAAGGGTTCCTCTAAATTCTTGGGTAATATGGATTTCTTTGCTCTTAAAAATGTATTAGGTTCGCCATCTGCTGTTACCACATTACCAGATATGTTATTCTGTTTCTATCAAGGTATGTTCGCTGCTACTACTGCTATTTTAATGGTTGGTGCTGGTTGTGAAAGAGCAAGATTGGGTCCTATGATGGTTTTCCTTTTCATTTGGTTAACTGTCGTTTATTGTCCAATTGCTTATTGGACTTGGGGTGCCAATGGTTGGTTGTATGACTTAGGTGCTTACGATTTCGCTGGTGGTGGTCCAGTCCATCAAAACTCTGGTTTTGCTGCTTTAGCTTATTCCTTAGTTTTAGGTAAGAGACATGATCCTTTAGCCAGTGGTAAAGTTCCAAAATATAAGCCTCATTCAGTTTCTTCTATTGTTTTAGGTACTGTTTTACTTTGGTTCGGATGGTTTGGTTTTAACGGTGGTTCCACTGGTAATGCCTCCATTAGATCTTGGTATGCTTGTGTTAACACCAATTTAGCTGCTTCTTGTGGTGGGTTAACTTGGATGCTTGTTGATTGGTTCAGATTAGGCGGTAAATGGTCAACTGTTGGTTTATGTACTGGTGCCATTGCTGGTTTAGTTGGTATTACTCCAGCTGCTGGGTTTGTTCCAGTTTATACTGCTCCAATTTTTGGTGTTATTCCAGCTATCGTTTGTAATTATGCTGTTGATCTTAAGGTTATCTTAGGTATTGATGATGGTTTAGATGTCTTTTCTTTACATGGTGTCGGTGGTGCTACTGGTGCCTTCTTAACAGGTATATTTGCTGCCGATTACGTTGCTGCTTCAGATGGTTCTGTTGCTGCTGATCCATCAGCTCAAATTGCTGGTGGATGGATGAATAGACATTATGAACAATTAGGTTATCAATTGGCCGAAATTTGTGCTATTGGTTCATGGTCATTTGTTGTCACCGCCATTTTATTATATGTCATGGATAAGATTCCTTTCTTAAGAATTAGATTACATGAAGATGAAGAAATGTTAGGTACTGATTTAGCTCAAATTGGTGAATTTGCTTACTACGACAGTGATGTTGAAGAACATTATAAGAACCCAGAAGAAAGTCCTTATGTTATTGAACCAATTAGATCTACTGAAGCCAGAATTGCTAAATTAAAGGCTGTTGCTTCTACTAAAGAAGCTCAAGAAATCGAAGGCACTACCGTAGATGGTAAGGGTTCTTTAAGTCCAGATAATGGTACGGTTAGTGATGATTCGAAGAAATAAATTAACTGATCAAACTCGTGTTCTTTTAATTCAAAACATAAAATTCGCAGTATAATTTATATCTATAAATATCTATTTACTTTCAATTCTTCTGTTACAATTAGTTTATTCAATTCTTTGTTTGAGTTTTTAATTTAATTATAATCTATTTAATATTAAATTTTTTAAGTTTTAGTTAATCGTAATAATTGCAATTTCGGACTATTATCTAATGATAATACGAGAAATTTAGGGATGAAATTTCTTATTAGAAACCATGCTCCAAGAAAAACGTATTTATAATTCATGGTCATTCAAATAAGTCTCAAGTAACGATAAAGAACAACGGTTAGTTTGTATGGTCATCTTCAGTATAGGTTAGATTCTCGGAAAAAATACTACTCTGCCTGAGGCGGAACCTGCAATTTTCTCGGGAAGATTTACTAAAACGTTTACCCCATAATAAAATCTTTCCATGGAATAATATTATTAATCAAATGGTACACTTTTAGAAGTAATGGAGATGAAGGAAATATTGATTAGAAGGCATACAAGATTAAAACATTAAATTGTTTAAATAAGAATTGGTTGTTCTTCATTTTTTTTGGTATATCATATTAATTTATAGATTTAGAATATTATACCAACAAATTGATTAATATGCTGGTGCTTACAGATCATCCACATATAGAAAATTCGAAAGATGCATATTCATATGACATTACAGAGATTGGCCCTTTTGAGAAAAGTTCTTTCACCAGCCCAAATTCTTCCCATAATCATAAACAAGGACTTGATAAAAGACCACCATTAGAATATAGGGCCACAGAAACTGATGAAATAGCATTCGAACATCATGATACTTCTGAAGAAGAAGAAATTGGACTGATACTGAACTTTGAAGTTGAGGAAAGCATTTCTGAATTAGGACCATTATCATTTACAAACCCTCCTGGGAATTTGCATAGAGTCATAACAGCTTGTATATGGGTTTTTACTTTAGGTTGTTCTGATGGATCAGTTGGAGTTTTATTGAATTATATTGAGGAACAATATAATATATCATACAGTATTTCATCATTGCTTTGGTTGAGTAATGCTGTGGGTTATATCATTGTTGCAGCTTTGGCAAGTAAAATTCAAACTCATCTTGGAAGAAAATCCACTACTATAGGATGTATTTTTTCAATTGTGATGTACTCCTTAGTACTGTCTGGACTGAAATTTCCAGTTATAGTGCTTGGGTTTTTCTTTGGAGGTATTGGAGTTGGAATTTGTGTATCTCAATTTAATGTGTTTGTTAGTAGATTGGAAAAATCCTCGACTGCTTTGGGCTATTTTCATGGCTGTTATGGATTAGGTGCATCGGTTTCACCATTAATGGCTACAGCCTTTGTTGAAGCGGGCATTAAATGGCATTATTACTATGTTATTTTAATCGGCTTAATGATATTTAATACTGGTAATACTTATTATGCGTTCATTAGAAAGGGTGATGAATTGATACCTTGGGACATGGCAGAATCAACTAATCTGACAAATGTAACGGTAGAACGTGGATTAATGAAAGAAGCAATTAAAAACAAATTAACCTGGATGACATCTTTTTTTGTATTGTTTTATCAAGGAGCAGAGGTTGCAGTTGGTGGTTGGATAACAACTTATTTTAGAGATTTCCGTCAACATAAGGAAGCTTCTGTTGGATATATTGCTTCAGGGTATTGGTTTGGAATCACATTTGGGAGATTGGTGCTCACAAGACTTATCCATAAATTAATTGGAGCAAGGAGAGGAAATTCCTTGCTTGCAGTGTCTGCCATTGTATTTCTTCTATTGACATGGTTGGTTCCTAGCTTACCTCTAGAAATTCTTACAATAACTCTAGCTGGTATTTCTATAGGTCCAATTTATCCTTTACTAATGACTTATGTAGTTCTGGAAGGGTTATTACCAAGAAAAATTCAAATTGTATCATTAACAATAACTACAGCGTTTGGGTCATCTGGTGGAGCAGTCTTTCCATTTTTTGTGGGCTTGATCTCTCAATTTGCTGGAACCTTTGTTGTTTTCCCACTGAGTATTGCCCTATTTTCAGCTACGCTTGTGCTTTGGTTGTCGATGCCAAATACTAAATATAGAAATATTGGTCAAACAAAATTAGAAAGATTGAAACATATTTGGTAGCCTTTTAATATATTGATATCTTCAATGTCAATATGTATTCTTATTCTACTCTATATATACACATAATAAATAAATAATATTGCAAAAGACAGAGTTTAGAATACTTCAGTATAACAATAAATATCTGGCGCATTCTTAACCTTTCTGTTGGCTTGACAAGCTACTTTAATTTGATCAGTAAATTCAGGTGGACCACATGCACAAACAGCTAATGCTTTATATGATGATGTGTGTTTGTCAGAAATTAATGCTGCAGTCTGTTCCTGTATTATGCTATCTAAATTTGGCCGGCCATAATTTTCTTGCACTCCTTGTAGTCCTAAACTTGAAACAGTAGAACTAGAAGCGAAGCTTGCAGATCTTACAAGGGTTTCTTTGCAGGTTTCTTTGCTACTGATGATATCCGGGCTCATTACAATAGGGGATTCTAATTCCGAATTTGATGATGTATATTCCTTTTCTTCTTGAGTGTAATGTATTTGAACAGTTAACTTTCCATTACTAATAAATTCTTGAAGCTCGTCATATAAATGTTTCATCCATATAGTGTTCTCATGGCGCTTGACAGCCCAAATTATGTGTACTCTAGCCTCAGTAGATCTGTACAAGTAATCCTCAGCGTCATCTCTTTCTTTAATTGTTTTTAATAAATCTAAGGCAACAGGAAATACAAAAGCCGCTCCTGCCCCGGCACCAAAGAATAAGGAGGTGTCAAATGATAGTAAAGACTGATAATGTGCCCCATAGGGTCCATGAAATGTACATTTAAGTTTAACGACAGTTCCTAGTTCTTCATCTTCAGTTTGCATTTTTTCAATCTTGTTCATTAATTTCTTAGTAAAACCATTTTGCTTTCTAATAATCAATTTGATATGCTTCGAGTCAGGAAGGCTGGCAATAGTAAAAGGATGCAATTGGAAAAAGTTTACTTTAGGGACATTTAAGAATATATGTTGACCAGCTTTCCAGAAACCAATCTTTGGCAAAAATGCAGAATACCACTTATCGTAACTAAATTTCATCATCTTGACTGGAATAGTGACAGAAATAGTATCGTCGTCTAACTTTTTGAAGCTGCATATACCCTTTGTTGGAGACTTTCTTTTATGAATGAAAGAAATAACCTTGCTTAATATTCGATCAAATACGATTAAATGAACGGAAATTAAAACCATGGCTCTGTTACCAGTATTATGAAAAAATGCCAACAACAACATGATAAAGGAGAATATTTTGTGTTGGATTATGAAGAACTCATAAGATAATTTTCTTATAAATCTCAAACTTGCCCAAGTTAAGAAGCACAAGCAACCATAAGAAATCATTCCAAAAATTTGTGGAGGAATTATAATCATGATTAAAAAATCCATTTTTAGCCAATAGATTAATCCCATTATGACATGAATAGTGATCAAAGTCCATATGTACCTTCCTAACCAGATATGTATCCAAATCATTCGGTCGTGCTGTAAACCGGACATAGCTCCGAGTATATCATTCTTAGCTGTCATTAACATCAATGTTAGTAAATTACCAATTCCAACTCGCAGGATTCTTTTACTAATAATATAATATCTCGGTAAGTAATCCAAATCTGCCGTTTCAACTACAATAAATGCAGAATTAATGGCAAGAAATATTGCCGATAGAAGTAAGATACTAGGTTGGCAATAATAAGTCTTCTTTCTATAAGGGAGTTTAAAAGCAACACAACCAGTCCAAAAATCCCAGGCATTTACAAATTTAAAATAGCTTCTATGCTTTAATGAACTTGTGTCTCTTTTAGATCTTAAAATATTTGGTATCCAATGGAATATAACTCCATGTCCAATAAATAACATGGCAGAAATTAAAAAAGATAGCCATTCAAACTTGTTGTTTCTATTCTTTTCGACAAAGAATTGAACATCAAAGGGAATTTCAGCCATTGTTGTAAAGGTTATATATGATATCTATCCTGAGATATTGTATAAAAATGCCTTTTTTAGAAATAAGTGAAGAAGCTCCAGTTATAAACCATTTGAATACCCTTTATTTTGCAAGGGGGCTTTTCAAAAATAAATTGTACCAAGGATAATCTGATCTCTTGTAAGTTTTGACTAATCAGAGAATGTACTTTTTTTTTTGGAATAAGATCGCTAGATATACGTTATAAAAGGGAAATTTAATTAATTAACTTGGCTTTACCTGTAATATATTCTATTTCAATTTCATTGGTATGAATTTGTGAAGAGAAATTAACTTGCAAAATTTCTGGGCAAAGAGCCTTTGTGCACTGATCTTTTCGATAAAATTGAATGGCTTAGGAACAATGGAGGGGGCTTCTGCTTCATAAAAAGAAAAGAAAAAAAATTCGAGCATGAAGGAGTTATCGCTCTTTGCTATATCCATAAAGCTAAATAGGAGTTATCGCTTACAAGAGAACTAACTTCATTAAAGGCATAATATCGTTTTTGCACAATTTAGCTTCTTATTGCAATTATGTGCATTGCTTGTTAAGTAATTCTACATTAGGGGAAGTAATGGATCAATTTTGCCGAGGTCGGAGTTGAGCCAAGAATTAAAATTATCTGATCATCTCAATTAAGCTACTATTAATTATCTCTTAGTTCTTAAAAAGCATTAGATGTAATTGATAATATTTAAATCAAACAAAATTTCAATTTAAATTGAAATATTAATAACAAAACTTAAGGTCTGTACAGAGTTTATAAAATGATGTCTGTTAAATTTATTGTTTCATATTTGCTAGTTTTTACTGCTGTCCTAGCTCAGAACTGGGCTACTTATCCCCAGGTCCCAAAGACAGCCAGTATTAATGGCTTTGCTGATCCCATATATGCCAAGCTCCCTGATTGCGCTAAAGAATGTGTAAAATTTAATGTGGGAAACACTCCTTGCCCTAACTGGGATACTGGATGTTTTTGTGTTATGCCTCAATGGTCAGGATTAGTAGGCCAATGTGTAGCTCAAAATTGTAAAGGTGAGGAAGTAGTCTCAGCTACTTCTTTAGCATCTTCATTGTGTTGGTCTGTTGGTGCTAACACCTGGATGATGCCCGCTTCGATTTCTACCGCTTTATCTTCGGCAGCTGGAAATGTTGCTGCCGCTGTTGCTATCCCAACAGATAGTTCCAGCTCAGAAAAATCGTCCAGCAATTCCGCTACTGCATCAACAGTTTCCACTACTAAATCTTTTGCATCCGACGATTCATCTTCCATTTCTTCGATTTCTTCTGTTTCATCTGTTTCTTCAACAAGTTTGACAACTTCAGCAACTTCTTCTACAACGGCCAATGGTGTTGTTTCTTTGGCTACTAGTGCTTTGGCATTAGTCGGATGTCTTTTCGCGTATTTAGTTTAATAATATTGTTACTGTGAGTTAGCAGAACAAAGTAAAATACATGCACCTTTTTAATTGAAAAAAAAACTTGCGTTTAGTGTAGACTTCCAAGAAAAAATACAACTGAAAAGCTGTATAGTTCAAGTTACCATATTAGATTTAAGACTGAAATTATAAATTAGAATGGTATACTTCGGAACTTCCTCAAAATGAAATGTAGATAGTAGGTGAAATAAATCTAAAGGTCGGATATTGCCAAGCATAAAACAGCAAACTGATATCGAATTGAAAAAGGCAAATAAATTACTTAAAAGGTATACCTTTTCCGATTTCGATTATTGAATTGACCATTAAAGAAAAAATTGCATGTTCTATAATTTCCGAAAAATTTCTTGGTAAATGTAATGAATACTTTCTACATGAGGATATGTTGGTAAACTCCCTAACTTGGGAATCCCTGATACTGAACGATTCCAAAATCTCGTAAAATAAATGCCGGGAATTATAATAGGTCCTCAGAAATTTAATATATTAGGGTTTGGTATTCCTCTTATTTGTTTGTAAAATTGAAAATAAGCAAAATCTTTGAAGACGATTAACTTAGTCCCTCGTTCACAAGTTGTCCAAATGAGAACCACATTCGTTTTATCAACTGCCTTATCTATTGTAGCAGTCCTCGCTGCCGATGATAATCCGTATGCAACCTATCCATCAGTTGCAAAGACAGCTTCCATAAACGGATTTGCTGATAAGATCTATGATCAATTACCTTCTTGTGCCAAGGATTGTGTTAAGCAAAATACTGGAATTACCCCCTGTCCTTACTGGGATACTGGCTGTTTATGTGTCATGCCTCAATTTGGAGGCTTAATCGCTGAATGTATTGCAGAAAGTTGTAAGGGAGCAGAAGTTGTTACTGCTACCAGTTTAGCAAGTTCGATTTGTTCTTCTGCTGGTGTTTGGGAGCCATATTGGATGATCCCTGCTTCGTTAACTGAAGCACTAGATTCTGCAGCCGCAAACACAGGTGATGTTACCACTACTGCAGAAACAACTCCTGAAGAAACTGGCAATCCTGAAACAACACCTCAGGAAGACAAAACAACTCCTCAAGAAACTGCTGTACCAGAAACTACCGTACCAGAAACTATCGCCAATGAAACCACACCTAAAGAAACCACTACCAGTGAAGCTGCTGCTAACGAAAATACTACCAACGATACTAAGTCTACGACAGAAACAACTATTGCTGTACAAAATTCTGTATCTGAAGTGAATTCCCAAGGTAGTTCGACCCAAATCGGAGAGCCAGTAACTGAATCTTCATTGTCTGCTGTAGACATATCTGATGAAGCTACAACAATCAGTTCAGTTGAATCAACTTCTGCTACATCTTCGGAAGTTGTCTCTGTCGAACAAGCTAATAATGCTGTCAATAACTACCCCGGTGCAGTTCTTGTCGGATCTTTTGCTGTTATAATTGGCTTACTCCTTTAGTCAGTTAACTCGTCTCATGCAAGTTTTTAGTCTGTAAACAATTCTCTAGTTTTCCATCAAAAATGTTTCTCTTCAGTCCTCTATATGATAAAAATATATGCTAAATTATGATATAGGTTAATTAAACTGTCAAGCAATCATCGTGAGTTCTTGTGTTACAAATTGAGATATCAGAACTGTAATTATTCTTTCCATTAAAAACAAGCATCGGAAGATCTGAAAAATATTTTAATGATATTTCAAACACTGTAACTGTCCTTCAAACTTCATTATTCATCAACAAAGTTATAGTGGATTTATTGAAAACTGGAAGCTAATTTGAAACATTTAAGACGAAAAGGAAAACGGATCTTCAAAATACATATTATTCTAAATTTACCAATTCTCAAATTGCTGACAAAATGAAAGTAAAACATTGTTGCTAGGTCAACAGTAGTGCATTAGTTAATGATTTTAGTCAAATGATATTGTTAATAATTAACTATCCAATAAAGAGTCCACAAAAGTCATCATAAAAACCATTTTTCAATTCATTTACAGAAATAACCAAATAGCTATATTTTATAATTAAGTTCTGTTCAGATCCAAAATCTATTATTCGATCTAAAGCTTTGATTCCAAGGGTGGCCCTCAGTTAAATGCTCAATTTAATATTAGATTACCTTTGATGAAAGGAATCATAGAGAGCTATTGTAAGTGATATACGGTGAAATAGTCCCAATTGGCATATTATTGAAACAACAATATGTGGTCTCCCAAAAATACAAAAACGCGAACAATAGAATTCGTTATTAAAGAATATAATGAATTATTTCTAAACAATATGATAGACATTCTATTTATACAATATAAGGATCATCATGGATTATATCTCCTTAAATATGTATTGTTAAGATGAGAATCTACGAAGGAATACGCTTCCCAACAACTGATATAAAAACTGATATGGAATTTTACAAAGAAGCAAAAAGTTACAATAAAAATATTAAAAACAAAAGGATTTATTTGACAATCTGCGATATTGCTAACATGCAACTAACTACTAAAGCAATACAAGGAACTTTTAAGTAAAAGTTATGTGACAGCATTACCTGATTGTTAGAGTACAATTGGAGCAAGGTGCAATTGTTTTCCGTTTATCCTTTGGATATAGTTCTTACTTGCATTTGTGAAGAATTAAATATTACGTGTAATTCGCTGCCTTGCTCCTACCTAAGCTTCTAGATTCTACTCTATTGAGTTACCACTGAATATGAGTAGTACTTTAAAATAAAATTTTGCACCAGAAAATATCCGCTGTAATCCAATTCGTTTTTCGGGAAATTTGGCGACTCGCTCGATAAAATTATATTTATTTTGTGGAGTTGAACTGAGCCACTTTGATAATAAATTAAACGAAACATTTACCGCATTGAACTATTATAATTGGTCAATCATTATTAGATGCAACAATAAAGCAATCAAATAACAATTGTGTCCCAAAAATATTAAAATATCGTGTAATTGAATGTGAAATTTATCGATGCTCTTGAAGCGCTCATTGTAACATCCATCGGAAAGATTCAAAGCTTAGTTTACTTCACCGAAGCTAAGTTGAATTAACTATAGTGGTAGCGAGTACCCTGACGTAAGCAAATGCCAGATATTGAAGAAGACAATAGATTTGTTAAGGCGGATGCCTGCATCAATTTCCAATTTAGGAAGTTTTCCTGGTATTTTAAGGGTATTTTTAACAGCCTTGCTAGTTTTTCGCATGTGAGAAAAACCGGCTCATTGACATATACCCTACAATTAAATATTGAGAGAAGATCACAACTGTAATGAGATAAAGAAAATGTAATTATTTACGTAGCAAGACATATGTTCTTTATTCTAAATTTCAATTCAAATTTCTGGTTTTATTGTAATTAGTGAAGATCTATGCCAACAAAGGAACAATTATAATTGAGGAGAAATATAGCTAAAACTTCCTCAAAAGTTTAAATTAGACTTTACTATATTTTTTTAGGTTTGAATCCTTCCTATTTAAAAAATTTACATCCGTATTTGACATACGAATGAAATGATGAATGCGAGGTATACTTTTTACAATAAAACTTATTCGCAAATTCTTACTTTGCATTTCTTCGCAAGTATAACGCGATGCTCAACAATGTAGAAGATAAAGAATATCACCAGGAGGGTTGTACAAAGATTGAACTTAATTGATTAACAATCAAAGTACATGTTCTCGTAATTCAAAAATCATGTTGAGAATTATTCAAGTTAAGGAATACTTTTCTCTTAGCCTTTCCAGTGATACTTCTGTTGATGTAATGTCTAGTTTATCTTAGGACAAGATGTTAATATCCCAAAGTAGTATATCCTTCGTAGTCCTTATAGCCACTTTTAGTAATATTGAAGAGGCGAGGTTTAATCAGGAAGAAAATAACACCAACTTGTAAATAATCATGCACTTGAGTGAGCCTATAATGGCTAAAATTGCTCCTAAATTTAATGCAGGTGTAGGAACTAAAGTAGTGGACTGCCTCGAACTATGATTACTTTTAATTTACAATAGAGAAAATACAACTGATATATTTCGTATTATTCATGTCACCTTCATGATGCTTTTCTTGCCAAGGATAGTTGACATGGTACTTGATATCATAGAAGGGAGATACAATAAAACTTCAATTAAGGAGATAGAAGATGAAATTAACACCAAAGCAAATCACAGGATAACCCACTTTGTTTATACAATTAGTTTTAATTGTTGAATCCTCAAATAGTCTTTGTGATACTGTATTCATAACCAGTAGGCAGCTTCTATTGTAAATCATCTACATTTATTTGCCCCCAAAAGTTGACGAACTTTCTGAAGATAGCCTTATAATAACATGAAATATGTATGAGCCATGCTGCATGAATAGAAAATAATATTTTTTTATTTGCTGCATGAAGGACCCTCATTTTTAGCAGCTAAATTCTGCGTTACTTGAAGTCCACCAAGAAGCTTACGAGTGAATGAATTGTATAAAAGGTTGTCAAATACTTCTATCATGATTAGGATCCAGCAATTTTACAGATTGTTTTCTTGTTTTGTATAGTATTCCAAAGTTTTTGAATCTCAAATCGAAAATGAAAGTAGCAAGCTTGTTTTTGGCAATTGCTCTAAAATTCACACTAACCTTAACTCAACAAATCACACAAGACACAGTAGATTATGGGACAATAGATATTGGGGTAGGTGATATAGACATAAATCCAAATGTGTACTACTCTATCATAAATAATGCCATTACAGCTATTGTCGGCAGTCTTAACGTTGGAGACGGAGGTGGGTTTTATATCAGTAGTGTATCTAATCTTATCGGTTTGGATGTCACTTTAACAGGTGGCAATGTATTCAATAATGGTACTATTTCTTTCAATTCTGTGGCATCCATTCTTCCAAGTACTTATATCATCACTACTTTAGGAAGTTTTGTTAATGATGGTGATTTCTATATGGGTTCAAATGGAGCTATAGGTTCTGGTGTTTTCACTATCAATTCACCAGTTGTCACGAACAATGGGTTAATGGTTTTCTATCAAACACAAAATAATGGTGGTCAAGTGATCTTAGGTGGAACAAACTTATTAAATGGTATTACTAACAATGGACAGATTTGTTTATACAATGAATTATATGAACAACTCTCTGATATTGATGGTACAGGATGTATTACGACGCAAGCAAACTCTACCGTCTTTGTTTCTAATCCTTTGGCTAACATAGGCGGCCAAACTATCTATTTAGCTGATGGTCAATCATCTGTTATTGCTAATCCCCTTCTTTCAGGAAATCCAATTAATGTTGCTGGATTTGGTAATGGAAATATGGTTGCTTTGAGTACAACGTTAGTTCCCAACGTCCTCGGAGTTACTAGACCTTATGCGTATAATACACAAAATGGACAGTTGACACTTTATGGCTTAACAGGTTCTCAGGTTTTCAACATTGGTACAGGGTATGATGCCAATGATTTCGCAGTTACAACAGATTGGGATGCCGTTGCCGATGGTGTAATTCTTCCTTTTAATGCAGTTACATACAATGGACCAGTACCAAATCCAAGTTTACCAAGTAATTGTGCATTATGTAATACCCTTCCAGCCATTCCTGGACTAAACGGAACAGATTACACAACTACTGTAACTACTACAGAAAATGGTCAAGTATGTACAGATATTGAAGAGGTAGCTGTAACATCAGATTCACTGGGAAATTTCTATAATACTACCATTCTCATTTCCGCTTACTGCAGCTCTACAGAATCAACTGCATTATCATCATCCAGTGAAGCCAGTTCATCATCCAGTGAAGCCAGTTCATCATCCAGTGAAGCCAGTTCATCATCTAGTGAAGCCAGTTCATCATCCAGTGAAGCCAGTTCATCATCTAGTGAAGCCAGTTCATCATCCAGTGAAGCCAGTTCATCATCCAGTGAAGCCAGTCCATCATCTAGTGAAGCCAGTCCATCATCCAGTGAAGCCAGTTCATCATCCAGTGAAGCCAGTTCATCATCCAGTGAAGCCAGTCCATCATCTAGTGAAGCCAGTTCATCATCCAGTGAAGCCAGTTCATCATCCAGTGAAGCCAGTTCATCATCCAGTGAAGCCAGTTCATCATCCAGTGATTCATTTACTTCCTACACCACCACCTTCACCACCACCGAATCCGATGGATTTGTTGCTACTGACTCCGGTGTTGTTGTTGTCACATCTGCCAGTGACGGATCCTTAACTACAGAAACTTCTTTGTTCCCAACCGAAAGTGATCCATTTACTTCGTACACCACCACCTTCACCACCACCGAATCCGATGGATTTGTTGCTACTGACTCCGGTGTTGTTGTTGTCACATCTGCCAGTGACGGATCCTTAACTACAGAAACTTCTTTGTTCCCAACCGAAAGTGATCCATTTACTTCCTACACCACCACCTTCACCACCACCGAATCCGATGGATTTGTTGCTACTGACTCCGGTGTTGTTGTTGTCACATCTGCCAGTGACGGATCCTTAACTACAGAAACTTCTTTGTTCCCAACCGAAAGTGATCCATTTACTTCCTACACCACCACCTTCACCACCACCGAATCCGATGGATTTGTTGCTACTGATTCTGGTATTGTTGTTGTCACTGGCTATTCTGATGGAAATATCTATACTACTACATCATTATTCCCAACCGAAAGTGATCCATTTACTTCCTACACCACCACCTTCACCACCACCGAATCCGATGGATTTGTTGCTACTGATTCTGGTATTGTTGTTGTCACTGGCTATTCTGATGGAAATATCTATACTACTACATCATTATTCCCAACCGAAAGTGATCCATTTACTTCCTACACCACCACCTTCACCACCACCGAATCCGATGGATTTGTTGCTACTGATTCTGGTATTGTTGTTGTCACTGGCTATTCTGATGGAAATATATATACTACTACATCATTATTCCCAACCGAAAGTGATCCATTTACTTCGTACACCACCACATTCACCACCACCGAATCCGATGGATTTGTTGCTACTGATTCTGGTATTGTTGTTGTCACTGGCTATTCTGATGGAAATATCTATACTACTACATCATTATTCCCAACCGAAAGTGATCCATTTACTTCCTACACCACCACCTTCACCACCACCGAATCCGATGGATTTGTTGCTACTGATTCTGGTATTGTTGTTGTCACTGGCTATTCTGATGGAAATATCTATACTACTACATCATTATTCCCAACCGAAAGTGATCCATTTACTTCCTACACCACCACCTTCACCACCACCGAATCCGATGGATTTGTTGCTACTGACTCCGGTGTTGTTGTTGTCACATCTGCCAGTGACGGATCCTTAACTACAGAAACTTCTTTGTTCCCAACCGAAAGTGGTCCATTTACGTCTTACACAACCACATTTACTACAACCGAATCAGATGGGGAAGTAGATACAGATACTGGTGTTGTAATAATTTCTACCAATTCTGAAGGTCTGTGGTATACCACTACATCGTTATTAGGCTCTACTGGATATACTGCCAAGGCCACTTCTACTCTTTCTAATGGAATCGTTACTACTGAATCTGCTGAAGTAATAGTTTCTACTAATTCTGAGGGAGTTTGGTACACTACTACCTCAATCATTGAAAAATGTTCATGCTCAGAATATACAACTACTATTGTGACAACTGATACAGTTGGTGTTCCTTGCACTTCATCAGGTGTGGTAATTATTACAACTAATGATAAAGGAGAATATTATACAAGCACTTCTATTATTGGAACCAAAGGAAACAGCATTTACACCACTACCATAGTAACAACTAATACTGTCGGAGTTCCATGTACAGAAACTGGAGTTGTTAGTGTAGGAACTGACTCTGAGGGTCATGAATACACTAGTACCAGCTTTATATCTGGAAATAGTGTAGTTTCTGCTTTCACAACAACAATTATTAAGGGAAGTACCGAGGGAGAGGAATCAACCCAGATAGCTAATATAGTTGTTAAAAGTGGAAGTGAAGGTAGTCTTTACACCTCTACTTATATTATCGGTGAAGCAACTGCTGGAGGAGAAATTGTTGGTACAACTGAGGCATCACAAGCAAGTGAAACGGATATTTCTACATCTTCTAGTGCAACTTCTCCAGAATCAACTGTGGCAGCTCAAGAGGGCTCTTCCAACAGAAACCAAGGTTCAATTTTATTTACATTAATTGTAAGTTTGGTTTTCACTTTTTTCATTTAGTGTTATTATGTATCAACCTTTAAATTCAACATAATAATCCCGTCCATGTTTAATTCTTCAACATTACTTTCGATAAATACCAATTAAAATCTAATGCTTCTGATGGCATTATCCTACCTTTCGATATTTGTGTTTCTTATTATTAATTATTCTTAAATACAATCTTTTTACTAGGTGTAATGAATTCTTGACAACTTATTCTTTCTTGTAATATTGTTTACAAATATTTTCGGTCTATATAAATATGAATATAAAGTGATATTTAGAAGTTTATAAGAATATTTTCAACATTATTAAATTAGAAGAATTAAAATAAAAGCACTTCTGATTCAACTAAAAATATTTGGAATTACTCTCAGCAGCAGTATTATTATTATAATGTCATAAATTTATTCAGGTTGGGTCTTTTTCATAAATTATTTTGCAATTATCTTAATTGTTATATTTAATAATGAATTAAAACTCTTTATAATCATGCGATTCCCAACCTCTAGCAAGGACAAAGATTCCTAATAATTACATGATCACCTTTTTATATCTTACAAGAATACTAGATCCCATTCTGAACATTGTCTCACTCAAAAGTAGTAAGGATAACTTCCTATTGTTTTGCTATAAAATAACGAGTTCTAGTTTATATACCTGTCTTAGCTGGAGGTAAATGTGCTTGTATAAACGCTCATATTATTGGATCCTTATGAAACTTTAGGTAATAAATTTGGAATGGAGCCTAACTTGAGAGTGAATCTGTGATTATAATAATTGGTTTAATTCCCATTTAACTTGTTTTGCTACTAGAAAATTTTTAATCTAATGCATATGATAAGCGGAATTATATACATATATATACCAGATTAATATATTGCTCAAAACCATGATTCGCTTCAAAAAATGTAGTTCAAGAGCCTCCTCGATAATATCCAGTTGGACAAACATCAAGCATCTCCTCCTCCGTATTGAATACTTAATATCAAAAAATGCTAACCTCACCATCTATATCTCATATGTAACATATCCCGTCAAGAAAGGTATTTCAATGGTTATTTCCTCATAAATAATTATTCTATGAATAACAATACACATTTATAGTTCAACTCACTACTCTCTAAGTATAAACACGCAACGGGTATTTTGTCATATCAAATGATCAAGAGATAGTAATATTCTTTGAATCTTTTGTCTTCTATTGATTATTCTTTGCTAAAGAATCGATACACTGGCGTCATGAGTGAATATTAATGACTTTGGAGTTGGTACAATAGAATAATCGTTCTACTTTCAAGAAATATAACTGAAAGAATGCTTGTGTATACGTATGTGTAAGTGCCAATGCTCTTCTGTGAGGCTTAACTGTTTTTTGTTCATTGAGGGAAAAGTAATTAATTTATACTAACAGGTATTTGAAGTATTGGCTAAAAATAATCTTCGGTGTAGGATGAAAGGATGGTATTGCACATAAAAAAGTACACTGATATATATTAGGATCATATATAGTTATTGTTACGATATAGTTATTGTTACGATAAGAATCTGACGAGTATTTACGGGGACAAGAGCCAAACAAGATTTCAGAAGTTAATCCATATTTGAAAATAAAGGGTCATTCTAACTTGAAAAGTACATTCTATTTACAATATATAATTTTCGAAAATAAGATCTTTGAATCAACTATACTAATTTGATATTAATCAATATATCTAATTTATGTAATCTTTTATGTGTGCTTTCAAAACTACCATGCTTTGAAAACTACCATGGTTTCAAACAAGCCATGGTTTCAAACAAGCCATGGTTTCAAACAAGCCATGACAGGTCTAATTTGAAATAGACTTCACGTCATCATTTAATCCAGCTATTATACTTAGATTGATGTCCAAAATTGGTTAAATTAAACTCTTTGTCACAATGAATTGCAAACTGCCAAGCCAATTAAGGTTTTCAGAGGAATTTGCCCACAAACTTTTTCTTTTTTGCTCATTCTCTCGTGCAGAAAAATTTAGCAGCCAATAGACATTATAAGTTAGAGCATTCTTGAACTACAGACATATTGGAGATTTCAAATAATAGGAATATAATAGAGGTAGTATCATGCTGTTCAGAGACGTATAATTTAAATTTAGGTGCTGTAAATACAACAAAAATGAAGTTCTTACTATTTAAAGCAGTTAAATAGGCTTTATTTTTCTTGCAGACCATATATGCATGGTCAACAAATTTAGATATCACTAAAGACACCGACTTAAAGATCACTTCCTTAGATGGTGGATATTCCTGTACTTTCAGAGCTGATATGACTATTGAAGAAGATGTGACATTTTTATTCAATGGATTCAACTTTAATATGCATGGTAATTTTCTAAATAAGGGTATATTTTACGTTAGGAATATAGGAACTTGGCCGAATTATGCTCCTGGTCACAAAACTGGTATGACGTTTAATATTAATAATGGTGATAGCCAATACTCGATCGATAATTATGGTACTATTGTTATCAATGATAACACTACTACTTGTAGTCCTCCTTCTTATTATTGGGCTAGTAAAGACTTCTATAACGAGGGTAATATTACTTTCGCAGGTAGTCAAATATGCGACGGCGCTACCTTTCAAATTAAGCCAACAGGATCTTTTGTGAATAAAGGAGTCATCTCATATGTTCAATATTATATGACCACATTTAATCCACCAAGTACCTATTTTGGATCTCGGTCTGGTTGTGACACCGGTGCTCCCACGACAATCAATAATGGTACATTTTGTTTAGTGAACAATAATGCTTTATTTCAAATGTCCCAATATTCTGGAAATGGATGCATAGATGTGGGTGAGCAAAGTACATTTGCACTTTTATGTTCTCAATTATATGGAATTGATGGAAACTTACAAACAATTTATCTTAGTAGTAATACATCAGTATTAGATATTTATAGTATCAGGAATCCTGCATCACAAATCTGAACAGGAATCATACATACTGTATTTCCCTCTTCTAGTATAGACAGAGGAACTGGAACTAATACTGAGGGTTCAACAACCTCTAAGATCATCAATCTTTCAGAATGCCCTGCTACGGCTACAAATTATCTTTTGAATTCAATCAAGAACATCATAATTCCACATACTATTACTATTATATACTTTCCGGGATGATATTTCTTGCACAGAATCTGTCAATAATAGTATTACTGTAACTATAATTCCTAACCTTGAATAAGCTCAAGTGAAGCCAAGTCATCATCGAGCGATTCATTCACTTCATACACTAGAACAAGCTCTACCACCCAATCCGATGGATTTGTTGCTACTGATTCCGGTATTGTCGGTGTCATAACTGATAATGAAGGTGAAGTGACCACCTCAACTTTGTTGTTATCTACTATTGGAGGTACATCTGGAAAATTTGCTAGCAATACGTGCTTCTCGAAGTCAATGAACAGTATATTTCCAAATTAATGCCGTAGCTCAAACACCTATTTATTTTAGAGAGTATGTTGCAGTCAACGAGAATGTGGGATCAGAAGAATCAGATGGACCAATATATGAGTTGGCAGAAGGGTACATCACTGTAGATGGATAATACCTTGAAGCAGATGCAACCAATGGTGTATTCTTATGTGATACTCCTATGGCTGATAGCTGATGATCCAATTTTATCATTAGAAGGCTTTGGAACAGAATTCTATATCTGTCCAGAGGAGGCAGCTTTACACCTTAACTGATCGACTTTAACTGTTTTGTTGGCGAATTACATGTTCTTGAAGACGCACCTCTATCACATATGGTCAAACTGTAGCTCGTGTAGCAAGTGTATGTAATACTGAATCTATTTCTACTTCAATTTCGATTGGAACTACTTCAGAAACTTGACCTGCTGTTACATCTTCTGCTACTACTCCTAATTGATCAACCATTACTATATCATGTACATCCAATGAACTCATTACAATCACCCGTTGACAAGAAGCTGTTACAGATTGTCCATAGAAGTCAATCAGAACTACTACAGTTATTCATACACTCAGAACCATATATTGCCCGACTTTGGACATACATCTGGAGAAACTGATACAACCTTAGAAACTTATACAACAACAAATCTTAATACTAACATTGTCGCAGAGATTAGTACAAGAACTGATAGCAATACAAATACTGAGTCTACTATACACGGGAAGTTCATTCAAGTATTGATTCTATTGCTTTTTCTTCCGTTTTACCAACTCCTTTCAGTTGACGAAAGTGGAGCAACGATAAACAAATGGAAGATTGTCACCCACTTCTTCCTTCATTAATGCTCCTTATTTTTGGTTAGATTATTTTATGAAGTTTTTATTTAATCGTTATTATTTTTTCTTTTCTCACATACCTTTTAAATTCAGTTTTTATCTAATAAATTCAACTTCGAGTTGGATGGTTTTTCAATTCACATCTTTATAATTTTCGCTCTATAAATCTTGTAAGAATTTCTACCACAGATTGTTTTAATCAGTTTTGTATTCTTATCATGATCTGAGTATTAACTAAGGAACAACAGACGAATTTATTGTAAACCAAAAGGTGCTCTCATTAATAGTCAACAGTACATTGAAAAGGATATCTCTAGAGATCAGAAACTGTCTAATATGCATAGAAGTAGATAATTACCTGGTTCTAAAACCAAAAGAATAATTAACTAAAGAGAATATAATTTGACTAGATTTTATTTAGATTTATCGAAACTAAGCATATTGTTTAGGAAATATTATAGATTACTGATTTGGCAAATTATTAAACTGGTACAATATAAACTTGACCGAGTTTCATGTATAAGTATCGGATGAGAATTATTAATCAAGGATAACGCGTCTTATTACAATATAGATCCGACAAGTGGAATCTTAGGCAATACTCTTATAATATGCTACTATAAGTTATATTTAAACAGAAATATCATAAATATATTAAGGAAGTCATAACGACAAGCCTATACATCCTAGAGTTAGTAAAGAATAGCCTAAAAGTTATGATCTTTAAACAGAATGAATAGACCGGAGTCCAACAATGAGTCTAAAATATACAAATGTTACTTATAATGTGACACAGGAAGCTGAACATGATACTAGACTACATGCATGGTTACAAAATCCATTCAGGAAATATGAAGTATCCTGACTCATTTTCTAGTTCTGCTTTGGTCTCGTTTATTCCACAGCATCCTTGCACCTACTGCAAAGCACCCATATGAAATTGCCAAAGTTGGCGATAATTTTATGGCGTGGTTTTTGATTCTCTTAACTTAAAATTAACCTACGCACGATATATACATCCATGCCACCACCTTCATGATATAGCCAAAGTAGGCGTCAAATAAAAACTTTTTTGCCGCGCATTTTGAAATAGGCGTAGAACCTATAAAATTGGCGTCATAAAACAGGCGTCATGCTCAATTTTAAGGATTTTGAGCTGTAATTGGCACTGTAGATTCGTACGTTCTCTGGGAGGTTTAGTTAGTATAGAGAAGTGTTGGAACGATCTGTAGCGTTAGTTAGAGCAGGTTGAAGTCAATATTTTTATGGTATGTGCAGGATTTAGGAATATCTGTGCAGGTCTCAATGGGCGAATTCTGGCTGTTTGAAGTAGACTTTAAATTTAAATGGTTGGAGCTAAAAATGAAGTATATTGTAGAAGATGATATTCTTAAGTGAGTTCTGCAATTTGGTAGTGCTCGCATTAAGGTGGGTGAAGTTAACGGTGTTTTAGAGATGATCATAACTATGTGCGAAAGTAATGTTGTCATAGTTAAGGATTGCTTAAATCAGGCGTCAAGTGGCACTTTTATTAATTGTTTGAACATGATCTTTTGGTAGGGGTATATTGAGGTAATAGTACATATAATGTACGAAGAAGAGTTTATTAGCACTAAATTTAGAGTGTTTGGATTTTGGCAATTTTACATAGTTAAGAGCATATTTAAAACAGGCGTCATTGGGTATTTTTTGTAAGCGTATGGAAAAAGTGAAGAGTGCGATTGATTTGTAATTGCAGTGGTTACTTATGGTTGGGATATGAAAAATTGAATATTAGTAGTGGTGGAGTTGGAGATACCGTAGTCTAATAGGTAATACTTGGTGGCGTCTTAATTATGTCGCAAAAAATATAGCGAGTGTCGCAAAATATTCAAAAATTTAGGGAGCATTTGGCTAGCGAGAAAAAATAGGGAGGGTTTGGCTAGGCGCGCATACTCTAAAAAAGCAAGAAATTAGGGAGAGTCTAGTATTGCCGCTTTTGCAGTAATATATTTAGAGGTACTCATTAAGGTAGTTGCAGAAGTAAATAATAAAATGGTACATTTAAGTATATAAGAGCTATGTGGTATATATAATGATTGTTTGGAAGTAGTATATCCGTGAGTCTATTAAGTTAGAGTAAGATATACTTTAATTAAAAAATGTTAAAGTAAAGGAAAATATACATAGTAGTTAAAAAATGTTTGCGATCAGCTAAGTATTGGTAGAATTACTAAATGAAGTATTAAAAGGGTTCAGAATACTTAATTTTTAAATATATGTCAGTGATCTGTTAGCTACAGTAAGATGATAAGTAAGAAAATATAGCAGTGGACAATAAGATAAAAGTAGAACTGCGTAAGGAATTAATATAATTATAAGTAGAACTGCGTAAGGAATTAATATAATTATAAGTAGAAACGTATATTCAGGGAATAAAGGTATTGGAACAAAATGCGCTTTAGAAGTTAGATTGGAACATAATGCAATTTAGATGGAACTAAGACACTTTAGAAATAAGTTTGGCGAATTACTAGAAATTTAACAAAGGTGATAGCAAGTGAAGTTGAGTTAGTACAGGTTTAAATAGTCATAAAGGAGTGTTGATATATGTAGTAGTATCATAAGTAAAGCTGGTCTAAGTATTGGAAAGGTACTAGAGTCAAATAATTATAGACAATGTTGGCGCATAATAGTTTTATTTAAGATAAATGTAAATAGTAAATATTATGTGAGAGCACAGCTTAATTTGGCTAGGCGCAAAAAATAGCGAGGGTTAGCCTGAAAAAGATTAGGATGGTTTGGGTAGGCGCGCAACTTCAAAAGCGAAACATTAGGGAGATCGAATTAGCGCGCAAAAATTGTGATCGAAAAATTGACAAGTATTATTTGGCACTAATATATTTCGAGGTCCATAATAAGGTAGATGCAGAAGTAAGTAATAATATGGTATAGTTAAGTCTATAAAAGCTATGTGGTAGAGATAATGATTGATTAGTATATCCGTGCATTTATTGAGTTAGAGTAATGGCTCTAGAAGTAAAGGCTTAAACTTAAATAGATCTAAAAGGAAAGTATAGCATGTGTAGATTTAATAGTAATTTAAGTAAAGGTCATTGAAGAGTGTAAACGAAGTCTCAAATTAAGTCAGTTTATATATCATTAGAAGTAAGTAATATAATGCTTTTATAAATGGTAATAAGAAAGCTATAATAGGAGGTGAAGTTGGTGATAATATTAAAACAAATGTTATTGAAAGGAAGTAGAGCTATCTAAATAAAATTAGTAGTAAGATAAATAACATTAGTATAGATATATGTTATAGAAGTAAGTATATAGTGTGGTAGCGCAAGATTATAAAGTTGAAGTAAAAGTAGAAATGAGCAGTGGTATTAAAGTAAAGAGGAGTATAAGGGTAATACTGGATTTATGATAAAGTAGAAATTAATAAAACGATATATTATGTAGAGGTAAGAGTAAGTTAGTCGTAATTTATGTGAAGTATAGTAGTTATTTTATTAGAAAAATAAGGGTGATTGTAAGTTATTGCATGTGATTGGTAATGAAAATAAGGGTATGAAATATATTAATATAGAGTAAATAAGTAGATGATTAAGTATAATAAGTAATATTATAGGTAATATTACAGAGTTAGAAAAGATGTAGAAATAGTTAAATATTGAATTGTAATATGAAATAAAAGGATCATTTAGTTAGAAGTGTAAATGGTTGAAGGTGATAATAGGTAATAATGGAAAATATGTAAGTGTGGAAGTGATTATAAGATAGTAATAAGTAAGTTATAATAAATTTAAGTGTGTTTAATTTATGAGAATTTGGTTAGAATATATGGAAAAAGTGAATGCATGCGAATTTAATTTAGGAAAAAAGACAAAGATAATATAGTATATAGAATTTATGATTATGCAATTATAATGCTAATATTTATGT